AACCCGGGGGCGAAGGCCTCTCCCACGGGTGGCAACGACAGCGGATAGCCTGCAACTCACCTAGAAGGGATGTTGGTTGTAAGAGGCTTGTTAGAGCGATGAGAGGAGATGTTCGAGTGAACTGAACTGTAGATTGGGGGTACAGAGGTCCCCTATATATACTACTGTACATCTGTGGCTACGTAGTACTATACAGTACATTCCCAGGATGCACAGTCGCACAGAGAAGCAGTGCGTACACAGCGAAGCTGTGTGTGTACCACATGAGTAGTACAGCCTCGGTTATTGCAGTAACCGGCTGTGCCGTTCCATATCTTGTGACGGCTGTGTTAGGCAAGCTGTGTAAACCAGCGCCTGTTCAACATGACTGTATGACATCTCTGTAACTGTCTTCGACTAGCACCCACACAGACTCTGATCCTATGTCCAGACCCGCACATTCAAACTTGCATTGTTTGGAATCCCTTATCCCTCAGCCAGTTCGATTCCTCTACTGCGTCTGCATACTCCACTGAAAATGCGAGATCAGAACCCATTCATCTTTCTGGCCGAAAAGACCGTAACACTACTCACAGGCAGCGTGGCCGTAACCTCCCTGCTCGGAATATCTCTTGACCGCTTCCACATCTGCGGGGGTGATGTCTTGGTACTGCCAAGCCCTCTCCCTCTTGTTCGCATTCCTTACAGCAAGCAGATTGTCACACCATTTGTATCCTCTCCCTTTGTGGATGGCCTGAATGCACATGTTCACAGGACGCTTTTCCGTGAGGAAATTGTCGTTGTAAATCAGAATGAGTCGATGGCCCAAGGAAGGTCGGACGTCGAAGCCAGCGATCTCAATGCGCGTTCTGCCCGGGGTAGCTCCTCCCAGCACAGGCGTGAGGTCTAGCTGATGTGCGGGATAGTGCTCGTCCTCGAGAAGCTTGTAGGGAATGTCGGTGATGCGGGGCTCGCTGCCTTCCATGGGGAACACTGCTGCCTTGATAGCCAATTTGGCTGTCGAGTCCCGCGGCTAGAGTACTAGTGGGACACTCTCGCTTGTGCCTCTTCCAGTCCTTCATTGGCATCGATCGGGAGTGCCTCAGTTGTTTACCCTCTGCATCTCAACCTGAACCCACGTACGGAAACGCTGTGTTCGCGGGAACAATAGCGAGCAAACTTGCATGTAGAACACTGGCTCGTGCTCGGCTTAGAGCATACTTGACATGGGGCGGACATCGTAGACAGGTGAACTGGAACAGGGTACGCGTCTTCCCATCACGACGCATACACGACATATCCGCTATGTAAGAAATTGACATATGCAGAGATGTCAGATGCGTCGTGCAATGGCTTCTCATCAACTTCCTTCTATCGGACCTTTACAGGAAAATACGGTCAAATTTGCCGCCGCCGTCCAAATTGCGAGCGACCTGATTAGGAAAGGAAACGCTCTTGTGCACCACCGTCTCCGACGCACGGCAAGCATCATGACGTGCACTTGATACATCAGCTCGTGGCCTTCGACGGACCAAGGACATCGCCCATTTCCTCCAAGAACTTGTCATAGTCATCCTTCGGCTTCACAGCAGACGTCTTCGTCCCTTCCACTTCTCCCTTGGCTTTCTTGGGTGGCGGCGGACCGAATTTGTCCTGGAGCGTGCTGAGTAGATCTGGTCTCGCTACAGGAGCGGGTCCCGCATCACCATCGTGGTCTTCCGCCAGACCGACGGTGGGCGCCGCATTGACCTTGCTTCCTGTACCAACGCGCTTTCGTTTCAGTGCGGCCGGAACGAACGCGGTGCTTTCCTTCTTGAAATCGCGGAGCTCCGGCTCGGCCGATATGACGGCCGACGCAGCTGGCGCTGGCGGAGAGCCTGCTGTGGATAAACGCACGCCACCAGAAACCGGTTTCTGGGGAAGGGACGGGTTGCGCGGAAGGGTCGTTTGCCCAGCTCCCTTCGCGGCACGGTGCGCTTGGAAGGTCTGATGTGGTATTGACGACAGTGGGTCTTGTATGGCGCCTGCATTGCCTTTACGAGGATAAAATCCCGGGGGAGGTGGAGGGAGGGGTGGTTGGAAGTGGGAAGGGGAGAAAGGCGGGAAACCAGTAGGAGGCGGAGGGACTCCAGGTATGGTTCCCGCCATGACAGGGAACCCTGGTGGCGGGGGCGGGGGCGAGGAAGCCATGGTGAGGAACCCAGGTGGCGGTGGCGGCGGCGAAACCACGTTAGGAAAACCAGGTAGTGGAGGCGGAGGCGGAGGAGGCATTGTGATGCCGGGGTTGGGGGACATAAACGGCATACTAGGAGGCGGAGGAGGTATGACAGGAACACCAGTAGATGTGGGCGGTAACCCTGGAGGTAACGGAGGTAGCAAAGGTATCGGAGCCGACGGAGCCAATGGAGGTATAGGCGCACCAGCTGGCGGAGAAGGTGACATGACCGGGACCGGACCTATTGATAGCGGCGAAGCTGTCCTTGTAGTCAACGCGCATCCTACAGCTTCAGAGAGCACTGAGTTACCTTGTTGCTCGCCAGGCTTGGGAGGTGGAGGGCCGTCCGGCATAGGAATATCTTCGTCGCTATCTTCCTCTGCTGGAGGTGGTCCCTCTGGCATGACGATCTCATCATCTTCAATACATGGTGGTGAGACATATCCTTAGAATCATCGTACTCGGTGCTTACCGGACTCTGGCTCAGCCTCGCTGTCTACCTCGTGCGGCAAAAGGGCTATACACGGTGGATGAGCAAAGGCAGCGACAGTGACGCTACTGCGACTACTTGCCCCGTTCAACGTAAGGCATGCCTGGCGGTGGGACACCATACGGGTTCATGATTGGGTCGTAATAGATACTCCTCTCCGGATGCCGAGGAAGTCCATTCTTCTTGAATACATTCCTCTTCTTTGGAGTAGTACTTTCTTCCTTCTTCTCGTCCCGAGACTCTGCGGGCCTACGCGACTTGAAGACCAGCTTGCGATGCTCAGGGTGTTCCTGGACATATTCTTCCTTCTTCTTATTGATCTTCTCCAGCTCGGCCTTGAGGTCCGCAAGACGGGTCCTTTCAGACACGGGAAGCTCAGAGGCCGATTCGAGTTTTGCTATCTCATCCTCGATGTCTGACGGTGCCGCTTTACTTGGAAGTGATATGAGGACGAAGTGGTTGACTACTGACCTCGCGTGTCCTTCTTCACAAGGGAGAAGTCTCGCGCCTTCGCACGCTCCGCCTTGTTCTACTACAATGTGGAGGGATGAGTGCACGAAATTGGTCTGCGTTCGGAACGGGGCCTTGCCTTCTTGAGTTCCTTCTTCCTCTGCGCCTTCCCTAGTAAATTGTAAGTGACGTGCAGAGCATTCAAGCCTGTATAAGCTCACTGTATGCGTCCATGGGATTTGCGGACTTTCCCTTGGCCATGATGAGAAAGCGCGAGAGTAACAGTATCCAGCTGGAAGGTGGCGGAAGAGCTTGTCGAGCATTGGCGCCCATGTGCAAGTCGACACCCTCCTAACCCATACCCCTGGTAACCCATAAACTCTAAGAACCCATAGGATTTTGGCTTTCCCAAGTCGGGATAGGGGGAATTCGACCCCATAACCCATAGGTCTCCAGTACCCCATAACCCATAGCCTTCTAGGGCTCAAAACCCATACGGTAATAGTGGTCACATTGAGATTCCGCCCATCAATAACCCACAAAGTACTCGATACATGCTTCCTAGTGTCCTCCCAGCATCCATCCATGCTTCAACCACGTTGTGGGTAGGTTAGTGCGTTCGAAATCCCATAGCGCTCCCTCGAAGGGTCAGTAGACGCCTGTTCAGCGCTCGCTAACTGGGACTTATCAGGGCGCTTAGAAGGCGCTAAAGTTCTGGTAGCCCATAACCCCTCAAAACCCATATATTTGGGCCTATCCCGAGGGCTATGGGTTAAGAGGGTGTCGACTGTAGCCGGTTCGGGAGCGAAGCACGTGCGCTGTAGGGATACAGAGTCATGGGTGACCGAGCTATCGCGCTCACACCTTCAAACGCTTCCCTCTCCTCCCAGGGAAGCCCATCTGCTCTGCACAATCGCTGCACTCACCCCTTGTCGCTTGGCCTCTTATTGTAACTTTTCATATCTAAACGACCGGGAGGACTTAGTTGTCTTGTCTCAGTCTCACCATGCTCACCCCTGCGACCATGACCCACTCCACCGCCCCCAACCAGAACAAGCGTTCTTCCAAGGCTCCTGCACAGTCTCTTAATCATCTTCTCAACTTTAGTCTCCCGCCTAGACAATCGCATCATAATCAAAGCATACCCCGCAGAGCGAGAAAGATTGGTAACCAGTATGGGGTATGGAATAAGGAACGTGAGTACCATAGCTCAGGTTTACTGTCCATAGGCAACCCGCCTGACGCCCCGCAGGCTTTGTGAATGCTCAATATCGGTTCCTGATGAATCCCACTGGGGATTACACAGTGCATTTTGCGGATCCAGACATGTGAGTCCGCCTTCGACGTTATCGTGGATATGTCAGAGTACCGACGCCCATAGCTTAGCTACTTTCAGTGGCATGATATTCTCCAAGTCATCATTCCTAGAGGGCACTCCGTATTGCATCCCGAGAGGCAGTCCGCTCATGACGATGACATTCTCACATGTCCTATCTGCCTTTCGCCTCCCACCGCACCCAGGATGACCAAATGCGGTCATGTAGGTCTTCTCGAATGTTTATTTCAGGATCTGCATTGACTCTGTGCACAGGTGTTCTGTTACCCCTGTATGCTTCACCTACTCAGCACATCTGAGCAGCTGAAGTGGGTTAGATGCCCCATCTGTTTCGACTCAGTAAACGAACGGCAACTCAAAGCCGTAAAGTGGCTAGACGAGGTCCCTGCCGCTGAAGATGTCGACGACAGCCATATCGAGGGATCATCGTCGTCGACTTCACTGGACCGTGACCAATTCGCCGCGCCACGCTCCGGAGCTACCCTTCGGATGCGCCTCATTCAACGACCACAAATCACCACCCTCGCTTTACCTCGCTCAACCACCTGGCCCTCCGATCTCATGCCGCCGCATCAGGCACCGTTCCACTTCCTACCTGATGTTCTTGCTTTTGCCAAGTTCATGTTGGCAACACCATCCGAGCTGATCCAAGACCTGTCGAAGGATCTAGACGATCTTGCTACCGAGCGGCGGTTACTGTGGGGCATGGGTGATGAACTCGGTGCTGTGTTTATAGACGCAGCTGACGCAAAGGTCCGACACCAAATCGAGAAGGCTTCGGCTTTGGAGACGCCTCATCTCCGTGAAGCTATCGAGACGGCCCGCCATGTCGCTCGGCAGTTTGAGGATCGATCCAACCTCACTCGTCATCGTAAAGCAGAAGCCCCGTCGCTCCCTCCCGAGGAGGTTCCAGAAGCGTTCCTGGCGGCGCAAGGTCCTGGCTACGTCGCACCGCAGCCTTCCAGAGAATCGGCGCCCACACCCACGGGCCGCAATCAGCGACAACGCCGGAATCTGAATCCTCCACCGCCGTCCACTTCGACGTATTACTACTATCAGGCTGCGAACGGCCTGCCCATCTTCCTCCACCCGCTCGACATCAAGATACTCTTCTCACATTTCCACAGCTACCCGGCCTTTCCGGACGAGATCACCGTCCGCGTAGAGTCCTACACGGAGAGCACCGTCAACGACGACCTCCGCAAGCGCTGTAAGTACCTCGGCCATCTCCCCGAGGGCGCCGACGTCACCTTCATCGAGGCGGACCTCTCCCTCGTTGTCGGCGCGGACGGTTTGCGACCCTTTGAGAACGCACTCAGGACCCGCCGCGCGAGGCGCAAGGAGAAGGGCAAGCGCGACGACAAGGCCCGGGCGCGGGCAGAGGAGCGCGAGAAGGAGAAGCTCGCGCAGACTTGGCACGAGTTCGGCTATGCACCCCCCGCCCCCGTGTCGGTCCCGCTCGATATCGTGCGCGAGGACCCTGACTTTGCTGCTGCTGCCGCCGCCGCCACAGACGCCCCAGGGGGCGAGCCGGAAGAGGATGCTTCCTCCTCCCCACCACAGCCGGCGGGCGCGTGGGGTGCGCGCAGTTTCGCTTCGGCTGCGACCGCAGCCCAGGGGCGAGCGCAGCAGGCGCCGCGTCCTGCGGCGGTGCGGAACAACCGCGGGGGCGCAGAGGACGAATGGGAGTTGGATATGGCCTTCCACGAGCTGGAGCAGCGCAGCGCGAAGGGAGGGGGGAAGAAGCGGAACAACAGGATGGTCATCCTCGGTGGTGGCGGCGGGCGTCGCGCGCGATGATGGTGCCAAACGCTGTGAGCTTCGACAGATCGAGATGCGAGAGGATGGCTAGTAGAGGCCGCTGGGCTGTGGGACAGGCTTTGTGGGACATCGGATTTCGAGGCGGCTCGAGTCCGTTCATGAGGTGATCGTGTTTAATACTTCTTCGTTTGCTTCCTTGTCTCGGTTTTCATAGCACATCGCATGTACATGTACGTCGATCGCAGGACCCATACACTGTAGCACCAGTATAGCTAGCACAAAGCCACACATATCTCAATCTATCTGCCATATCAGAAACAGATGCGTGAGGCAGGATGGCTTGACGTGAAGGCTCCAGACGAGCTTAGGGAGGTATATCGTTATATTGCAAAGGTACAGTAGAGAGGTAGCACGTAGCGAGCTCCTAGTCGATCTCGCGCGACGGAGAGCTGGGGATGGTTTCCTTGGATGTAGTCCGAAGGACATGACAGGACATAGTTCGATGAGCAACTCAAACGCAAGCATACTGGTAAATAGAGCTATGAGAACAGTGGCAGTGCGCGACAAGGGGAACATTGAGAGTATATCCACATGATACGTACTGGAAGAAAAGGCGCTAGACCGGCAAGACGAGGAGAATGTAACATCACTGCTCATAAGATTACGCTGAAGGCAAGTGGAAAGCAATCGCACGGTGGCCTCAGACGATCTGTAGGTAATTCGACGGTGCGACTAGGATGATGCGTCAGTAGGAAGTTTTTCAGCATAGCACATCGTACTCACTTCCGACCGACCCGTCCGCTTTTCTCGCTTGCCACCACTTCCCGTTCTTGTCGAGGATCTCGAGGATCTCGCCTTTCGAGAACGAGATCTCGTTGGGGTCGTCGGGCGACGCGGTGTCTGGGAAAGCCATATATTAAGCGTGAGACTGCATGCCATGGCAGCACGAACGACCTACAGTTATAGAGCGCCTTTGCGCGGTACTGGTGCGTTTCTGCTCCCACGTCGCTCGTGTCCGGACCTGCCGTTCCCGGGGTAGTCGGAGCAGCGCCAGGTCCTCCGCCCGCCCCGATGCCCGCAGCGCCGCTGCCCATCAGGGGCGAAGCAGGCCCGACGCTTCCCTCCCCACCTCCTATCGAGCCCGGACCCGTACCAGAGCCCAAGTTGTTTACGCTGCCCGCCCCGCCCAGACTACGCGGCGCGCCGCCCTCCACGCTCGGCGCCCGGAAGCTACCGGTGTTGCCAATGGGCCCAGTCATACTGCCCGCGATCTTGGTGTCGTACATGGGGCCGCCGATGCCGCCGGTCGCGTAGCCCGCCGTGTAGCCGTTGCCGCCACCCATGTTCATCATGGACGCGGAGCGGGTGCCGCGGCGGCGGCGCGAGGGAGGAGTGAGGCCGCCCGTGCCGAGGGAGTTGAAGACGTGGAACATGAGCGAGTCCTCCTCGGACGTGAAGTAGAGCACCCAGAGGATGTCGACCATGGCCAGGATGAGCCAGCCAGCAGACATGGCGTCGAGGGACGCGAAGCCAGAGAAGATGCCCTCCTGTACGCCGATGACGGCGAAGACGATGGCGATCGAGCCGAAAGTGGCAATTTGGAATCGGTGCATGGCGATGGAATCAGTCGCGAGGGTGTGTAGGACGCCGAGGATGAGGAAGAGCTGGACGAAGATGGCGAACCATAGTACGCCAACTGTACCGTTTCCGTCTACGAGCGAAGTGCGTTGATAGGGAGTTCGCGAGGAAGGTTACGTCGAATACTCACGTTGTGCAGTGGCCACTGCCTGGCCGATGAATGCGACAAACCATCCTATCTAGATCAGGGAATAACGTGTTAGGAGATGACCCATGATGGGTGTATGGAGGCTATGACATACCACGGCAAGGATGGTCGTGAAGAGGAAGAGGTAGTGGGTTAGTATTGGCGTAAAATCGTAGCCCTCGCTCCCGCGCGGCGGCATTTTCATGCAAGAGATGAAAGCGAAGGAATTACAGAGAAGGAGAGACGAGGAAGAGGGGAGGGAGGGGCTCGTCCAGAGCAGGGAGGTGGAGAAGGGTATGCGCAGCTGAGAGCGAGTTCAACGACCGTCGCCGAGGCCTGTCCAAACATGACGATCGTCCACCTGCGCGCTTTCCCACGCGTCCCTCTCGTCCTGTCCTTGTTGGTGCCGCCTCTCGTCTGTCTCCGCCATCGCCGCACCCATGCATATTGTCCGCACAGCCCGAGCTGTTCTGTCCACCGCTTGTTTCCCTGGCAGCGCTGCACTACTGCTCATGTCCGTTGTTCTGTGAACCCCGTCCTTCCCTACGCTTACGTCCAGGTGACGACGAGCTTATTCTCGTTCCCGTATCCTGCTGTGTGCACACTCTCCCACTCCGTGTGGCTGCATTGGCGGGGCACGACAATTTCCACGGGCGGCTTTCCTGTGCGCACCGCACGAGTCGCTGCCAACTGTCCCAACATTCATCGCTTCTTGCTGCCTCATTGCACTCCGCAGTAAGTCCACAGTGTGTGTCTGTTACCCATGACCTTCCCGGCACTCCGGTTCCTCTGTTTCTCTATATTCGGACCCTAAAGTCTGGTATATTTTCCTTTTCATTGAGTTCGCGCTTCTAGCATATTTTGTGTACACCCCCAATGCATAGCATGCATTGGCTCGTACACATCCGCCTCTTTTCTTGCCTGCGATTACGGCCGCGACCAGTCTAGACGGGTGGGCACGAGACCAAGTATATGCCAGTAGGCAGCGATGGAAGCGCCACCGTGAACACATACCTCGTATCATTTATGAATTTGATGATTTCTTTGCTATTGATAATGGCGACGTGATGGAAGGCCTCTGGAAGGGACCGAGGCTGACGTTGACGATTAACGTGGCTGGGGAGCATGAAAAGTCCTTCTCGACCTATCCCAAGGTATGATTTGTAGTCAGCAACAAGAGGGAGAGCCTCAGTAATATGTCTGCAGGACTTTCAGGGTTAGAGGCAATGTAGCTGTCGGAGCCGGCGGTACCAAGAGTCGAGCTCGAATGGAAATGTCCACTGACCGTCTCCGAGTTCGGTAAGATTGCCCCAGAACACAATGCTATCGCACGTGCCCTGCGCCAAAGGGTGACAACGGAGGTCTGTATAGTAGGCTCGGTCCCCTCCCCGCAAACAGAAAATCGAAAACCGTATCTTTGTAGCAAGGGCACCCCGCAACAAAGTTACGGTCGGCGTTTTGTCAATTGGGCTCCCCTCATCGAGCCTATGCAGATGTCGCACTTTTCCCCGCCAAAGCGTGACAGGAGTGATGCCCCACATTGTGCTCTGGTCCCAGAACAAATTTAAACGAATCATGTTACCGTGTACTATGTCAGCAAGGTGGGTCAAGTGCGACAGGTGTTACCTGAGCCCTCAGGCAGACCCTTGCAAGAGCTCTGAGAGACCCTTGTTTAGGAACAGGCGCGATGTTCCGTGAGGGCTGCTCAAACCTTTGCTGGAGGGGAACAAGGCCTTGTGAAGCTGGAAGAATCGAACAGCCCTGTTAGCCACACTGCGTATGACAAAACGGGCCGCCACCAACTCTGTAATACAGGAGTTGCCTGAAACCGCAGGGGCCGGATGTTGGGACGGGCGTCACGTCATCACCATGACCCCGCGGGATCGCTACTTCCGGCTCGGAGCGTCCGTCGCCTCTACGACCGAGACCTCCCAACTCTCACGGGTCTGTGATGTCGAGACTCATTAGGCTTCGTCCCTTGAGTTGGCAGCTACCTACTTACCCTCGTCATATCTTAGAATGTACATGATTGTGCCGTGGACATTCCACTACTTATCCGCTGATCCAGGTGAGTTCATTCACGTCCGATCGGATACGAGGCTCTCTACGCATTCAGCATAGCTGCGATCCTGCCACCAACATTACTGCTGACACGGAGGCTGATGCGTCAGCGCGCACGCTTACGATACCTTGATCACCTCGGCACGGCCGCGCGGGTGCGTATGTCACCCTCGCTTGCATGGCGTCCAGCTATGGTCGCCGCATACATATGATACTTGCGAGCCGCGAACGCGCAACCACCAGGCGACTCGATCCGAATCCGTACGTTCCGGATACCCCTCTCACAGCCTTGTAATATAAGCCGGGCGGCCTGCGTTGCCTCGTAGCCTGAGCGAAGCTTCTTGCCTTCATACTCCTCTGCCAATATCACGAGCGTTACTGGCATCGGCTACCGCTTCTAGCCGTCAACTTCTTCACTTCAGAAGTTTCTACTCTCGGGCGACATTCGAGTCTCGCGATTTTGCGCATGGATATGCGCCTACCATGAATTGCCCTGCGAACACCACGGTTGCGACACGGCACATATTCGTACTTGCAGCACACTGCTCACAAGACTGGAAGATCGCGAAGTGCCCCCTTGCGTTAATGTTCGACCTCATTGAGGCGGGGGCTAGGCTGGTTTTGATTGGCATTGCCAGTGCGGTGCTTGCGATTGCTGGGTTTATTCTCGTACGCCCCCGTTCAGATCGCATCCAGAATATTGCAGCGTATTGACGAGATATTAGAGTGTCCTTGCTCATGTGAAGGAGGGCACAAGTGGCCGGAGTCCGCGAAAAATTAGCCCGGATGACGCATCCGCCACAGCGGAATCAACTCCCCCCTCCCGTGAGCGCGACTCTGGTGTACCTTCTCCTCGCACATCGCGCGCCCACCGCACCCCGTCGAAGCCATTCAGTAGTGGTATGCAGTATCGGGACCTATCTCGTGGCCGCCACGCGAGCAGACGTGAACCATCTCCCACCACGCCCCAAAGCCCCTCTTCGGCCAGAGAGGCGCCGGGCTCCAAGAAGGAGTCGGAGCAGCGGGTCACATCTCGGAAGCCACGATTGCGGAGGCCAATCTGCCAAACTGTGAGTATGGAGCCGCGAGCCGCGCCATAGTGTTGGTGTACTGACAACGTTCGTCGTCCTATAAGTCGCCTGATGCTGCCCCTGTGGCAAGCCCTCTACGGACGTCTCCCGACACTACCAGAAACGTAGAGATCACCACAACGTTGCCACCTCTCAAGCAGACGCGCGCATTCAGCGACATATCTTCCAACCAGTCATCCGAGCTTTCGGCTGAGTCATCTGTCCCCGAGGAGCACTCGCCTCTTCCTGGTCGCCAAGTATTGCAGAAGCTCAAGGAACGCCACAGCTATTGTAAGTCTCAAATGTGTCGGCAGTGGTTTATATGCGGCGAACTCACTTTCGCGTAGTACGTGAGCGTTGTCTTGTCAGGGCCCAGTCCATGCCAGTGCCCAGAACCAGCACCACCTCGCGGCCTGCGCGACGCACCGACCCTTACCAGGCTCCCTACTTCTTTCCGACCCCCATGTCTCCCGAGGCTGGGACGTACCTCCAGGAAGTCGTCAAGGAACGCCATGGAGAGTATCCACAGCTTATCGAGAATGTCGTAGAGTCCTCCACTATTGATCCGAACGCTGCCCTCGCATCATCTTCCTCTTCTCCCACTCGTGAAGAGTCGGAGAAGCCGCCGAAACCTACCCCTCCTCCTTCGCCGCCTGCGCGGTCCACCGCCAGGCAGCCCGCCGCGGAGGCGGAGCACCGCCAGAGACGACAGAGGTGGTCCTGGCATATGCCACATCTCCCGTCGCATCACCAATCCAACGAGCGAGGGAGGTCCGTGGAAGGGGCTCGACAAGATAGGGAGATACTCTCCAAGTTAAAGTTCGGCCACCACAGAAGGTATACATCCTTGCTTTTCTTGCTCGGTAACCTAGTCTGACATCCCCTTGGGCAGACGTCACGGAACCGGCAGCGACGACGTCCGGACTGCGACTTCTCTCAAAGCGTCGTAGTTCTGTGAAAACCCTGATCATCCTTCATCAGAATCTTCGGTCAACCAGTGGTAGAAATTTCACGTCGGCTCATCGCATCGGCTCATCATCGGCAGAATCAATACGCATATTTATCCTTTGTTATTAGCGCAGTTTGCCTTGCGCCTTGCTCTCGTTCAACCTCGTAATAGAGTACCCTCCACTCCTTTGTAGCTGAACTTGTCAACAACATCTCAGAGTAGCATGCACCACTTGTCCATAATGTACTGTACCAAAATTATACGTATCGTAACACGAAGTAACACGACGAAATCTACCCACATACTTCTTACCTGTGTGTTGCAACAAGCTGAAAAGTGGGAACCTCGTACTTAACTGCGGCAGAATCTAAGGGAGAAGATTAGATGGCGGACAAACTATATGCGCATAGATAAGATAAGATGCGAAGGGAACGACGATCGAGCGGTGCGCCTTGTCGTCTTGTCCTGTGTACGCGCTCCTCCACATCGAAGCGAGCCCTAAGCGACCCCGGCCGGCCGCTGCACCATGGATCCAGGACAGTCCTCGACGCACACCCTCGACTCCTCTCACCCTGCTCGACACCGTCCTCAACAGCCTCTCGCCGACGACACCGCTCCCCCGCTCTCTCGTCGTTCATCTCCGAAGGTCACCGCCCCGGCCCCACGCACGAAGCACCAGCCGCAATTCCTCGATAGCCACGGCGGACGAGGGAGCCTTCCATCCTCGCCATCGCGGACCCGTACGCCCAAGAAGACCCCCAAGCCCACCACTCCCGCGACCGCCGCTATGAATGGCCCCGACAGCAACGCGGCCGCCCTCGCTGGGCCGTCTACGGAGGCGCGGCCTTTGAACGTGTCGGACGCGCTGGGGTACTTGGATGCCGTGAAGCTCCAGTTCCAGGACCAGCCGGATGTCTACAACCACTTCCTGGACATCATGAAGGACTTCAAGAGCCAAGTGTGAGTGATCGAGCGCGTCTAATGTTCTCCTAGGGTCTCGGAGTGGCACGGTCTGTGTATGCGGGTCATGTATCTTTCGCTCCTCCTTCTCTTCCCACCCCGCGCGAACAGCTGTCCTCATGACTTCGTATCTGGCTTTCTAGGATCGACACCCCGGGCGTCATTGAACGCGTCTCAATGCTCTTCCATGGCCACCCGATCCTCATCCAGGGATTCAATACCTTCCTGCCCCCTGGCTACCGTATAGAACTCAACACCGATCACTCTGACACTATCACGGTAACAACCCCGATGGGACAAATGACACAAAGGACGACCATGTACGGTATACCCACCCTCAGCCGCGAGACCATCATTCAGCCAGGTCTGGTCCCGCCCTACTCTCAGCCACCTTTTGGCCTCCCCCCGCCTCCCGTGCTCCCGGTTGGCATTGGAAATGGCTCCCGTCCCGTTACTCCCATACCCATCCACGCGCCCCTCCACGCGCCACCCCACATCGCCCAAGAGATGCAGAGCATCCGCCCCCCTCACTCGCAGTCTCCCGCGCTGCAGGGGGGACGCGACGATGCCGCGCTCCTGGGAAGCCTCAACACGCACCAGGCGGACCGACAGCAGAACGGCGAGTTCCACCACGCGATCAACTACCTCAGTAAGATCAAAAACCGATACCACGACGACCAGCAGACGTACAAGCAGTTCCTCGAGATCTTGCAGACGTACCAGAAGGAGCAGCGGCACGTGCAGGACGTAAGTGGATTTCCCACACCCTTCGTACGATCAAGGTATCAGAGAAATGACCGACATCGTTTGTGATAGCAATCACAAGTCTATGCGCAGGTTCAGATGTTGTTCAAGGACGCGCCTGACCTCATGGACGAATTCAAGGACTTCCTGCCTGAAGTTGTGCCTCCCACACACCCGGCGGGCCTTGTAGGCATCCTCCCTCAGCCAACAGGGGGACCAGGCGTGTCCGGCTCGTTCCCCCCGCCCGAGCCACCCGTGGCGGAGAAGGGCGCGAAGCCACCGCCGAAAAGGAGGAAACGGCCCGAGAAGGACACCGCCGCAGCGGCGAAGGCCCCCGGTGGTCGAGTAGGTGGTCTGGTCCCTGCCTTCAGCGGATGTTGACGAGTGCGTCTCAGGCCGCGAAACGTCCTAGGACGACGAATGCGAGGGCGGAACCAGCCTCGCCGAAGTTTTCGCCGTACCAGGTTCCGCCATCTCCTCAGCTCGTCAACATGCATATCCAGCAAGCGTCGACGCCAATGCATCAGCCGATGCACCCTCACTCCATCCATCCACCGAGCCCGGGTCCAATGGGCGCGACCCCCAGCAACACTCAAGATGAGCTACTCTTCTTCGATCGTGCCAAGAAGGCACTCGAGGGCGGTGGGACGTACGACGAGTTCCTCAAGTTGCTGAATCTCTTCTCTCGGGACATCATCGACACCAAGACCCTAGTCGACCGTGCGGAAGTGTTCCTTGGTGACGGGGACCTGTTGATGCAGTTCAAGGACCTACTCAGCTGGGAGGACAGGAAGGTCGAGGAGAACGTTCCGCCAGGCAGCATGCGGACCGCTCCCCCAGAATACTATGCGCTTCTCCCACCGGAAGATGGCCAGGGTCCTAGTTACCGCCGACTGCTGGACACTGTAAGTATAGAGTGGATGCCACATGTCTAGCTATTTTGGATGTTAATTGTGGGGTTCACAGGAGATCCGCATGGCATGCTCAGGGCGCGACCGGCTCTGTTGGTCTGTCCTCAACGACGTGTGGGTCTCGCATCCCACATGGGCGTCCGAGGAGGCTGGGTTCATGACGCACAAGAAGAATCAGTTCGAGGACACCCTGCACAAGAGCGAGGAAGAGCGCCACGAGTTCCAGGTGCAGATCGAGGGGCTCACGCGCACTATCGCGACCCTCGACCCCATCGAGGCCCGTATAGAGACCATGTCCGCCGAGGAACGGGCTGCGTTCCGGCTCAAGCCTGACCTGGGCGGGACCGCGCGTGCGATCTACGAGCGGACGATCAAGAAAATCTACGGCAACGACGCGGGCAACGAGGTCCTTCGCTCGCTCCAGGAGACCCCAGCGGTGGCGGTCCCTGTTGTCCTTGCCCGCCTCCGACGCAAGGACGACGAGTGGCGGCGGGCGCAGCGAGAATGGAATCGGACCTGGCGCGAGGTGGACGCAAAGAACTTTTACAAGGCGCTCGACCATCAAGGGATCACGTTCAAGCAGAACGACAAGAAGTACATCACCGCAAAGTCGTTCGTTCTCGAAATTGAGAACGCGAAAGCCGCGCAGCTCCGAAAGCGCGATGGAGCCGGGAATAGCAAGGTCGGCGGCGGTGCGGGCAGTTCTCGCGGGTCGAGCGGCTCGCCGCCGTCTACTGTGGCCGGGTCGTCGACGCGTCCGCTGGGATATCAGCTGCAGTACCAGTTTGAGGACGTCGGTGTCCTGCACGATGCGGTGAAGTTGGTCTTCTCGTACCTCGACCACTCGCCGCAGCAGTTTGGCCCGCAGGAGCGGCGGGCCATCGAGAAGTTCCTGCGATCGTTCATCCCTGTTCTATTCATGTTCCCTCCGCACGAGTTCAACAGCGCGTGCGGGCCGCTGGCGCCTGGCCACGACGAGGATCCCTCCGAAGCACAATCAACCTCCATCGATGACGAGCCGGCAAAGACGGCCTCGGGCGGCGCGAAGCAGCAGCCGGGGCAGGAGGGCGTCTCGGCGCAGGACCTTCGGACGCGTCTTCTAAAGACGGCTCGGGAGAACGCGCAGGACGGCGGTCAGGATGGCGCGTCATCGATGGTCACCGGGTCCACGTCCCCCATGGCTACTGATAGCCCGAATGAAGGCACGGCCTCGAACGTAAACCACCACACGGTCGGGGGCGAGGAGGCAGCGCACCATCCCGATGCCCGCACTAATGCCGAAGATATTTGGGTCAGAGAATTGAACGCGAGCGGGACCCAGGGGGCTGGCGAGACGCCGCTAACGCGGCGACCGTTCTTTGCTGGCACGACGTTCTATACTCTGCTGCGGCTATTACAGGTGTGTCTCGTAACGCCCCGCTTATAGATTGGTTGTTGTGTCGTGTCGGGCTGACGCTGCGGACGGGTTCCCCGCCTCACCCATCCAGTTACTGTACTCACGCCTCCTTTCCTGCAAGAAGATAGGCGCGAAGATGGCTGCGGAGAAACACGCTTCGCTGCTTTCGAATCCTGTAGCGGTCCACCTCGGATTGGACGATCCCAGTGGACCGTCGGTCGTGCTCAAACAGGCGATGGAGGCGTTCGGAAGCATTCAGGAAGGAGACGAGGTGCCAAACGTGCTATATTCGTACTTGCTTGACGCGTGCGAAAAGGTGTTCGAGAGCGAGCTAGACCAGGGCACGTTCGAAGAGCATATGCGGTGGTTTTTCCGCACGAAGGTGAGCATGTTCGAGTTATTTTCAGGCCGAGCCAATGACACGATACGGCGGGTTGCTGACAAGGCGTACCGGTTGATAGGCTTACAACGTCTTCACGCTGGATCGGGTCATTGGGGCGATCATTAAACAGGTAGGCACGGCGTTCTACATCTTAGAGCGTGAGATGGGCGTTTGACCGGGATGAATCGTACGCGTTTTATTCCTGCAAGGTTCAAACCGTGCTGGGCGACAACAAGTGTCAGGAGCTTTGGTACCTTCTGCAGCATGCGCGAAGCGCGGACAAGGCCACGACGCATGATGTGATCAGATACCGGAGAGAAGCGGAACGCAGTGTTGGATCTGACGAGAAGCTGTATCGTTTCGACTGGGTGGGTTCTCGTACCGGCATGCAAGGTGCACAACATGACTGACGTGCGGGCGGTTAGGACGTGGCATCGAAATCGTTGAGAATTCAGCTGATGGGTCCAGAAGACCCGAGCGTGGACGAAGATGACTGTGCGCTTGGACGCTGGCGGGCGTACGTGGCATCGTATGTAATGGTGCACCCGACGGAATGGGTGTCAGCTGGGAGCAGTTATGGGCCCGTCTATCTAAAGAGGTATGTTGCGGGTCAAATTTAGACGTGGGCGTGTTTGGGGTGTGGCCATGGAGGACGAGGGACGCTGACTACAGCTATTTATAGGAATGTCCAGCAAGATGTTGGGGAGGAAGGGAAGAACAGCGTCGTGCAGGAGCAGCGAGAGATGGGGGTGCAGATCCAGTCATCGTCATACAAGATCATGTTCGAGCGAGGGCGGGAGGACGTGCTATGGCGGCGGAGGGGGGACGAGGAGATGCGCGTCTTGGGGGAGCGGGCAGTCGCGCGAGAGGACGAGCGCCGGCGACGGGCAGGACGAGTGCTAGAGCGGTGATTGGGCCACTATTTATAGAGAGGGGGATATTAATATTGTAATGTCATGGAAGTAAAGCTAATGATAGAAGGTATTTAACGGATAATGACCGCGGATGGGAGGGCGTTCCCGCCTGCTGCACTGTGCCCTCGCCCCGGCTCGGTCTCTGCTTGCTCCTCCCCCCTCCGCCAAGCTCCTCCGCTCCCCTCCGTCTTGGCACCCGTCCTCGACGCCTCTTGCCGGCCTAATCCTCATCAATCTCTCCCTGGCGAGGCCATGCCATGCAACATAACAAGCACCCCTTAGATCCGTCTCTCATCCCGCTCGCCAACCCCTCTGCGTCCCGCCCCGTCCCGCGTCTGCCCAAGCGGTCCCTCCGCCTCTCGTCGAAACACTCATCCGCCCCATATTCATTCCCTGACCCGTCTCCTGGCTTACTTGCTATCCTCGTCACCGTCGCCGGCTCTTCTTCTGTTGACGGTAGGCCGCACGACTCCGACGTACCTCCAGACTTTCTCTGCCCTCGCCTCCACACCTACTCCTCCGCTCAGCCCTCTGCGTCTCAAGACACCGCGCCCTTGTATCGGCAACCTTGCGACGTACCCGAAGCCACCACATCCTCCAGGAGCTCGTTCACCCCCGCTCCTGTCGACCTCTACGCGCGTCCACGCAGGAAACGCGTACGCAGGACCGCCAACATCGCTGACAAGTACGTGCAGTCTCCAGACGGGAGGTGGAGGAAGGCAGACTCTTGGCAGCTATACGGCTCTTCGTCCTGTGCAGTACGTCTCTAGCCCTGCCTCACCTCGTTCACTCGCGTGACACTATTTTCTAGGCTTCGCAGTGCATGGACGCTACACCAACAGAGGTTCCCGTCGAGGACGATCAGGTCTCGGCCTCTGCGGCAGCGACAGCTTCCGCGTCGACTTCTTCGAGTTCGTCGACCGACCCCACTCTCCCACATGGGTGGGGAGGAAACAAAACCGAGGACGACATGACGGGCATCATCCTCGGTCTCTCGCTTTCGCTCGCCTTCGCCTTAATCGCCTTCATGATTGGCGTTGTCCTGTGGAGGAGAAAGCGGCGGAAGCGGGAGAAAGACACCGAGAAGACCGCGCCTAGTATCGACACACGGGACACCGAAGTCAGCGAGCAGGCACAGCGCGTTCGCTCCAAGCAGCGGTTATGGCAGCGGGTTGCCGTCAAGTGGAAGGCCAACGTGAAGCACTCCGCGCGCCTGCGTAGGAAACGCGCGACGACCGCTGCAACGAGGCCTTCGGATACCGACCTTCTCAGCGACAGGCCGACTATCCAGGCTTCCACGTCAGCTGTGTCTCTCACGCGGACTCGGACGGTGAGCGACGGTGACTCTGCTTACACCGCCCGGCCGCTATCTATCCACGGAGATGACCCAAGACTGCAGCGATCGCGCTCGCCTAGTGTTGCATCGTCTGACATCGGTACTGGCACTACTGACGCTGAGTTGTTTTCTCTCCCGACATCCCAGCCTCCTGCATACATCCCCAGCTCTCCCTTCCACCGGGCGCGCTCCACGCCGCATTTGACTCCCAGTGACGCCCCTTCGGGCTCACTTGATCCCGCTAAGGCTTGTTCATCGTCCGACGTTTCCTGCGACCCGTCGGTCCCCTACCCATACGGGCCGCCAGTCCATTCAGCACATGTCGCCACAGATGACAAGGCCGTTCTGGCCCAGATGGCGCGTATGGCTAGCGCGCCTCCCGCAGATGGACCATCAATGTCGGACGCAACGGGAGGATTATCGGAAGTGCAGCCCTCGGTACCTGTCCTTGAGGAGGATCCGTTCGAGACTCTGCCGTCGGAGATGCAGCCAGACGTTGACACGGATGACGAGCACGCGATTCGCCAAGGCTCGAACCTTCCCATAACACATGACGCGCTATCAATGGCCATTCTAACGGCGCCCTCTTCCTACCCTGGCTCGTACCTTCCCGTAGACGACGACGGCGACTCCGACGTTCCATCCTATGCGGAAGACGCTATTCGACATCCCACCTTGGTGCTGCCGCCACCCCCACGCAAGGTACCGCTCACCGGTCCGATGTTCTACGAGTATCCGCACGAGTTCGAAGAAGACGTCGCGTCTGTCGAACCCCCAGATGGGCCCTCGTCGCCTCCGTTCGAGGAGCCATCTGCATTGCCTTTCGCGCTCGCAGTAGCGCCCGACAGCGCGCACATGATCGTTCCAAGCTCTCCCCCGCTCGAGATCGAAGACGAACGACTGTTTGCGGCGCATCTTTTGCCCTCTGCGCCTCCTCTCGACGACGACGCCGAGCACGTTCCCGTCCACGACGCAGGCTCACCGTCGGCACCTTGTGGACCATTGCCTTGCGCGTCCTCGTCTGCCCCTGGAGATCACCGAAACGTCAACCGCGACGACATTCCAGGCGCCGCCCCTCCAGAACGGGCTGCTATAAGTGGAGATGACGTGTTGCCTCCGCAGTATCTGCCATGACCGGGCGCGCTGAAGGCCGTGAATTCCCGGAATTTACGTTACGTTGGTCCATTGGCCCACGCTGCGGCGGAGGCCCTTCGCAGCTATCGATCCCGGACCGCCGCTGCATCGTCCTGACTGCGGACCTTGTTCTAGACCGTTGCCGCTCGCTCGCTCGACTGTAGGGAGACGAGCAAGGAAGCGACTGGTGATCGGTTTTCTGGCCACGCGGTAGGGAGACCTATTCATAAGTACTCGCTTGGCGCGCATCCACGTGGTGCTGCTCGCTCATGGCCATCTCGCGGCTTGTACTGAAAGTTCCAAAGACCCTGGTCCGGGAAGAATCCGCTAGCTAGCCGGATGTTATTAGTTTCAAAGGAGATGTATTGCTGTATCGTTATCCCGTTTCTTGCGCTCTGCGTTGCTTTCCGCCGTCCGTTTTCGGGTAGTTCTTCTTGTCTTACATCATTGTCATCGTCGCAGCAATCTCGGACTCAACCGCATCTCATTGACATACTATACGCAACTACCGAAACGATGACTGCGGCATTATTATTTGGCAGGGGTGGGACACAGAATGTATCGAAGCCCGCAGGTTCTGGCCTGGCCGACCCTCGCATTAGATCCCTTATCTGATGTCGGGCCCCGAGGCTCCTGTTCGCACGGGACGGCGATGGCAATGCACCTGTCGAGAACCGAGAACGTTGAACGTTGAACTGCCGTTCTGGGGCGTGCCAGACCGTGCGGTACTGACCCATTATGACGGAGAGTTATCGGCGTACATGCGACGTGCGGGGCCCGACGGACACGACGGCTTTTAGACACCGCACCGGAGGAAACGTGTGTTAGGCTTTGTCGTTAAGTCCGGTCGGGGCGCACCGCTGTTGTGGACGTCTGCTTGTATGTACTTAGCATCACCCATCGTACGCATACAGTATGCTTAACGCCTGGCAGCTGCTCAGCCGTCCACGCGCTGGTCGCGTCAATGTGACCTTGCAGGGATGTTATGAAAGATGATAGATGCGCTCAGTGCTTGCTACGCTCAAGTAAGTGCTAGAGAACGCGCACCGGAGGGAGGCTCGGGTGGGAACGTACTGCAGGACACCCCGTTTCGGTGGTATCCGTCGTGTCAATCGTAGTCCTGTTGCGTTATAACGTCTCTGAGGCGCCTTCAGAACGTATTGGCAGTATGGCCCTATTGCAACCTGCTCGTACGCGGCCATCTCCTGCAGCCAAAGCCTCTCGCCGCGGTGGTCGCTACCAACCTAACGACCCAGGCAGCGCCCCCAGCGCCCGGCCACTCGCGCCCAATCACCCATTGCATGAAAGATCGTCGTGGTGGGAGACTCGTAGCTGACTCGCGCCCGCACACCGCCTCAGCGAGTCACGCGTCGCGCGAACCCCTGATGTATCTCATCGACTGTTGCACAAAAAGGTTCACGATTACGTCCATATGCACCAGAGTGAGCGAGGTCCCAATCCAACTGGTATTGCCGACTCCGCTGTCAACGGTGTTTACCTGACCCGTGACCGGGTTGCTTGAGCGCTTGAGCCTATTCACGCCATTTGACGCTCGAGGTTAACCTGAACGACTTGCAACCTCGAGCGCCCGTCGCCTCGCTCTCCCAAGTCATAAGCACGTACTGTATGCGCTGACTCCTGATAGTGTGCGCTGCGAAATCAGATGCACCACCTCCGGCCTGTACCAGTATTCCTCAGCTTCCATGGGCGCACCGGACAGCGCGTGAACCGCAAGGAGGTCCTCAGCCAAAGTCAGATGATCACTTTTCTCTACGCCCACCGGCTGCGGTGGGGGACCAGGCCTACCCTCATAACCTCATCGACGGTTCTGCCGCACGCCGCTGACTACTGAAGTCGACGGCCCTCATAGATGGGCCGTCTGGACCATCGTTCTATGGCCTTGGCGTTCCAATTATGTATTCTCTTGCTGCACACGCTGCCTTCGCCGGCTCCCATGAAGAGGGTCCGGTATTCAGTAAGTGCATGCCCTCCTCAAGGCCGAAGACGCGGGAAGCGAGCGGGGTCTGTCAGAGGACAAGGGCATGACAAATGGCCCGAGACCTAGCGTGACAGTCTGACTCGGTGAGCGCCAGGGATGAAGGTCTTACTCAGGAAGCGAATCACAGACGACAACTTAGTACTCTCATGCTCTCTGATAGTCAGCTTCGCAGGTGCCGCGCCTAGGAGTGGACAACGGAAATTCGCAGCTCATGATTCATGTACGCTGAAGACCATAGTATTCGCGTGACACGGACGTACCAATCCAAAACCCTAGCCAACGGTTTATGACGACGTACTGAACGCGGTATTCGTTGTTGCTCCTTGTGAGAGACAATTGTATCGTCAGGGATTAAGCGCTGAAGCTTGAAGTGGCGGTCGAACACGTACCGACACTCTGGATCATCCGCCTTTTCGAACCACTGTATCAGATCTGGGCAGGAGCGTCTCCCGGCTCCTGAGCTGCCTATCGTACACCGAACGCTCGTGCTTTTCACTCGGTTAATCCTACTGGCATTGCCGACAGTGACCATGTCTTGGAAGGTTCCTCTTGTATGACAGACTTCTATTGCAGGGCGTCCGCCGGGCTGAGGGGCCTGGGCGATCAGCTTGTGCGGCGATTAAGGTCGGATATAAGGGTACACATCCATCAGAGTGGTGTCGCGCTTGAGCTTCCCAGGCATCTGGCCATGACTGATAGAAACGGTGAAGACATTGGGGGAGCTTTGAATGAAGAGACATCATCACGATTACGAACTCTATGCAATACATTGCGTCACGGCGGGCGGAGGAGGTGACAATGATGGTAAGAATGTAACAGAACTGACAGAGCGTGGAAAGTAATGTAAGAAATGTACGCGACGCGATTATGGAGGAAATTGAGAGGATAAGAGGAGAACGAGTTCGTGTTCCCGATCGCTTCCAAATGATGGTGTCGTCAGCGTCTGCCCTTCCTACCAGACTGATCTGTAGTCTACACTCACTTATGAATTCTTTACATGGTCGTCTTCTCCACATCCACTCGAATTCCACTGACAGGACTCCCAAGCGAGACGCCGCCGGTGTACAAGGCCGCCTCAATGTCCGACTTCTGGTAATGTATATTGTCCATCTCCATCCCGCTCGTCGTGCCCAGCGTGTCGCCAGGAATGCTTCCAATCGTGCTCAGCACGACGCCCTGGGTACGTACAATCGCCTTTGAGCCCGAGCGACCCTGCATTCCGAAACCAAAACCCAAACCAGAGAACGGCGAGCCCGGACTTGACTTCGACGATGTAGGGCCAGCGGTGAAGGCAATAGTGCCCGCCGATTGGCTGACAGTCTCCGAACCCCGCTCACGGAGATCAAGAATGAGCCTGCAGGCAAGTACAGGCGAGAGCATAACACTGAGTGGTATGCAGATGGCCGAAATGGCTTGACGAGGTCTAGATCACCCGTCATCGGAATCGTCTCAGGATCAGTTAGCGGCAGCTAGGACGTACTGAAGGTAGAAGATACCGTTGACGAGATTGGCGATGGAGATGAGAATGTAATAAAAGACGCCTGGGATGCATGAACATCAGTGTCATTCTAGATCGTAACCCTCTGCGCCTTACCTTCACGAAGGAACGTTTGGATGAGTCGACTGCTCGGCCCACCGTTACGACGGCGGATAGTGATCGCCTTGCCGATCGTCATGAACGTGACCATCGTGTCATACAACAGCGGCGCGATCTGGGGTCGCAACAAGCGTCAGTGTCAGTGATAGACTTCCACAAGGCGTGAAATAGTCCTACGAAGAATCCTGCCAGGTGACATGGTCAGTGCGATTGCAGAATAGGCAGCGAAATAGTCGACTTACCGAGGAGGTGCGCCGAATGAGGCTTCGACATGGGGAAACAAGGGCCCATGATGGCATGAGGGGGCATAAAGGGAAGAACTGCAACCACGTGTGAGCGCTGTAGCCTGATTACCTGAAAAGCGAACAACACTTACGGTCCATCTGAGATGTTGCGACGTAAAGCTGGTACGCAACAACACCGGAGAGGGCCGAGACAAGGAGGACAAGAACGTAGATGTTGCGATTAAAGAATGCGTAGGTTCTGATCAGGAGGATGCTCTCTGCAGCGACCTGGTTCCACATGGCAAGAGCAACGGGGATCTACGGGATGACAGTCAGATTCCGATAGCTGGATATGGACGACGGACGCTGCAGACCTTGAATATCCGCTGGCATGTCTCCTCAGTATGGTTGACGGCGAAGGCATACAGAAGGTAAGGGACGACGGCCAACACCCAATACCTGTCGTGGCACGGCGACATTCAGATACTTCGCGTGCTTTAGTGCGGACACGACGAACGCACCGGCAGAACAGGTAGGCCACTTTTACAGGTGTCCAGCTCGTCTTCCAGATCTACACTAAGGTCAGAAACGCGTCCTAGGCTGACGAAGGACGGCACATACGAAGCGGTACTCCCGCTGGAGACCAAAGAACCAGTCCCAGACGATGATGGCGTCTGCAGAAATGTCAGTGCACTGCACCCTCGACATCATCACATGAACCTACACATCGCTGTTGTGGGCAGTGAGCGATGCGGTCAATTCCACAATGAAGATGACATGACATACCACAGAAGTGGATTTGCGTCCTTGATTAGCGGGGGCAGTGAGATGACGGGACCGTCGGACATCAAGTCGTGACTGACTTACACGAAGATGAAATACTGCGCGGTCTGTAGGGTGTCCTGCATCTCGACGTCGATATATGCGATGCGTATTCGTAGATGTTTGGTGGCTACGTCGTCCGCACCGCGTTGCGAGGCACGTCAGAGACGGGGAGGGCGGACGAAGGGGTGGTGGGGCGAGAGGAGAGGGAAAGGAGACGGGGCGGGGCAGCCGAGGAGAGCAGGGCGAATATACTCGCCCTCGGAGGGTCCACGCTCGACGCAACACGCGAAGAAAAATCGAAGCATCCGCCGCCGATGGCTCGCGGCGACCATATCCAGCCCCTCGACTGCCCGAAACGCGCCGTCGACTGCCGCATCGAGCACGAAGGGCTGCACATTGCTGCACGCCTGCCCGCATCGGGTAGAATGCCCGGCGCGCCACAACCCTCGCATGTCACGAACAACGTCGCCCGAGGCCGCGAACGACCACCTCCCCTCCGCGGCGCTGGCCGCGTCTTGCCCCCGCCCCGGGCCCCGTCCTGCTTGCGAGCCTCCAAGCGACATCGTCCCGCCCGCAGCGCGGTATGCACGGACAACGTGCATCCGTCCGCTACGCGTGTATGCGAGTCCATCGCGACCAGAGCCACCGCTCTAGGTGTGCGCATCTCCGTTTCCGGAAGGGGGCATTCCCGGCGATATGATGTGGGCCCTCTTCCCCGCCAGACCTGCACGCCCCACCAGGATCACATCGCGGGCACATGTGCCCAATCTCGCCCATATCTGCATCTCAAGTCCGGCTCACCTGAATCCTTGCCATACACGGATCTCGGGTCTGCAGCGCGGTGCCAAAGAGTTGCGATCACCCTTCCCGGTTTCGTTTCTTTTGTTTGCACGCTCGCTCGCTCAGTCGATCCACCAGATCTGGCCTGCGTGCATAGAAAGCGATTACTCCGATTAACGGCGGCCACGTCCGCCGCCCAACGTCAAGTTACTCGATAGGCACCAACCTCCGCCCGTCGCCCGGCGTCCTATCTACGCCCGGTGCACGGTGTGCTCCCTCTCCTTTTTCGCCACGTTCGCCCGGTGCCTCAACAGGCAGAACTCGCCGTACGAGTTCTGCTGCTGCCACAGCGCGCCCGGGAACCACAGCGTGCGCGTCAGCAACGGCGAGTGCGCCGCGTCCAGGAACGGCTGGCACGCGACGCGCGCCCAGGTCTGCTCGTCCACGATGTACCGCGGCTCGTGTGGCCCCTCTTGCGGGTGCTGCGGGAAGTCCAGGTCGAGGAGGTAGTCACACGAGTCCACGTCCACCTGTGAAGAAAGCAAGAGAAGCCAGGGGCGAAAACAGGAACGCGAACAGCGCGCCGACGCGAACGAGGTGTAAGAGGTGTGAAGAGGACAAACAAAAGAGGGGGGAGAGTGAACAGATGCTGTCAGCCAACGCTTCGCTGATTCCGAGCCAACCGGCACACCTACATAGAACGCTCGCGCTTCCTTGTTCAGATCGTTCAGATCCTTGGGTACCACCCTCGTTCCCTGCTGTCTCACCAACAGCCCGCCCTTGCGCGGGGTCTCCGAGAAATGCCCAGGCAGCATCCCGTCGAACGCGCTCTTGACCCAGTCGACGCGCACCCCGTCCGGCACAATGAAGTGTCCCGGGAAGCGGTGCCACTCCTTGCCCACGCACAAGCGCAGATTGAACGGCTCGACGAGCGACAGGTCGATCCGCGGCTGCTCCTCCGAGTCCGACTCGGCCTCGGGATGCTCCTGACCACCGTGACGCGCGGCAGGGTCGAGTTGTGGCGGAAGAGATACGTGACCGGTCGCATTCAGTAAACGCGGCACCTCCGCGGCCTCCAGGGCGTACGTGACCGATAGCGGGGCGTGGTAGTACTTCCAGTGCGCCATGGTGCGCGCGAGCGAGAGCACGCTGGATGTGACGACCACGGAGAGCGTGAACTGGCTGAAGAGCGACGAGCGCGATGCCTGTATGCGGATATTAATTTCAATATACGTGGTATTGTGTGAAGTGCTGCTCTGAGAACGCGCACCCGGTATGGCGAGTTCGTCGCCGCGATGAACGCAGCCTCGAGCCAGCCGCGCACGAGGTAGATCGTGACGGCGGCGTTGAAGCAGATGAACGGGTAAATCGGGTACATGAATCGCTCCTCTTTGTGCTTCTGCGTGGTCATGATCGCGACCCACAGATACACCGGCGCGAGGCGGACGGCCAGAAGGACGTACGGGGAGCTCTGGTTGACGAACAGATACCGCTCCCCCAGACGCTTGTGGTCGAACCGGTACGTGACAAGGAGCGCGGGAAGCGCCGCAAAGGCGAACGGGACCAATACGTTGAAGTTCAGGAGCAGATTCGCGAGGTAGAAGTGCACGGGCTCTGTTCCGTAGAGTTCGGGGCCACGCTGCGCATCTGGGAAGACGTTATATTTGACGATGTTCCACGGAACGACGGAGAGCTTGTTGTAGAAGAGCGTATCTATGGCGACGACAGGTATCTGTCGGAGATTACGTCTGCATTAGAGCCTCAGAGAAACCGGGAATGCAGGACGTACGAATAACAGGGCAGCAATTGCACCACAAATGGCCATTCGTTGCCACCTTGTGGTGAGCCAAGAAGTACGCGTCTCGGAAGTGACCTTGTCTGCGCCAGTCAAGAAGAGCTCCTCGAGGACGAATGGAATGGCGACCGCGAGCGAGAAGGGCCAACCGACGATCGCACCTGTCGCGAAGCATAGGGTGGCAAAGAGTGTGCGACGCATATTGCTGTTGCTTGGTCTCTCCATCGCGTGCGCGAAGCCAAGGGTGTTGGCGTACATGGCAAACGAAGATGGCAGGAATGCTGCCGAAACGTACTGAGCAACTGGGCGGCTGGATTGACCTGGAGTGACGTACATGTAGATGCGATCCACATCCCGGCATTCGCGAGGAGCATAAAGAATACGTACCGACCCACACGGTAGTTGATGTGCTCAACTACCGCGCGGTAGAAAGTCACCTCACAAAGAGAAGAGACGATGGCAAGGAAGATGCGGACGGCGAAGAATGCTGGGCGCTGAATGGGCAATTCTATCAGCATTTGGAGACAGTTTGCAGCAACTTGATGTCACTTACCTTTTCAGGACCCAGGAACATCGCGGACAGCTGTACAGGCAGGTAGTGCAGGAGGATGTATGCCCAACTCCTGATCGAGTATTCAGGGGACGTCTCCCATGTCTGGAAACCATAACCCTTCCACAGATAGTGCAAGGGTTCCCAGAAGTTGTATACTAGGAGAAAATAATCATGAGAGGGATGGCGGATGCACCACATCCCTACGACACGCACCTTCGTCGCAGTCCTGAATTCCGTTGTACATGGCTCCAGCTACGCGGATGAGGAGCAAGATGCGCAAAGCACTTGACCAAGTCGGACACCATGGCGCACGTTGTGCCCTGCATGACCATAGCGGGCTCACAGTCTATCCCACCCACGATGTGCGAGAGGACGCACCTGCGAAGTTGGTCCTGTAACAACCCTCCGTGACGGTTCTTGGGTTTTGTGGAGGGAGACGAAGCAGCCTGGTTTGTCGGTTTCCTGAAGCTGATAGTTTGGACGTTCGGACCCAGCTGAACGCCGGTAGACATGCTGGGCTGTGTTTTGCAGTTACAGAGAGCCGCCTAGGAGGAACATGAAAAGGGGTGCGTCGGCGCAGGTCGGCTTGGACGTCGGAGAGGGCGCAAAGAACCGCTGGACGCCGTCGGAGCGCGTGCGGACACGTGGTGGCGCCGTCGTGACCGCGACGCGTTCAGAGGCCGAGCGCGCCTCCCGAGCTCTCGCGCATTGGCGACCGACGACGAGCATCTCACTGCTCGCAGGACATTCTGGAGGATGCACGGCGGGCAAAGGGTATTGTGCAAGAAGGGAACATTCGGCCACGCAGCGCGTCAATAGCAATTCCACCTGGTCGTTGTAACCTCCTTGGTTTTCTAGGAATCGCTATTGGCACGGTGCATGGCACACAAGTGTCGCGAACATTACAGCTCAGCTGGACATTCGCGCTTTGCCCGCCGTATACGCAAAACTTGGCACGTTCGCTATGTGACGAGAGTGGAGAGTGGTACGGTCCAACCTGCGAAGTGCCCTTGCTCGGTCCCCCCGACGAAGTCGGCTCCCCCTCCTTCTCCTCGCGGTACTTGGTCCTGGGCAGGCCTAGTCTCGTTCGTTCGGTATATCACACTCTTTGTCCACAAATATCACTGACCTCTCCCTCCTTCCCTCTTCCCAGCCCCGACCACCCACGCCGCCATGGGCGAGTCTCCGCACCGACGCCCTGTCAACTGGACCGCCCTGCACGCCCTTGAGAACCTCACCCCTCCCAGCCCATCTCTGTCGGGAAGTCTCGATGCTCTCGCAACTTTGGCCAGCTCAGGAGAGATTCCCATTTTCCTCCACTCTGGCTGCGATCAAGACAAATCCAGGCCACCTTCTACCATCCTACGGCGGCATAGGTCCATGAACCTCCTCAAACCGAGCTCTAGCATGGCGACATTCCGCTCCACCAACACCTTTGGTGAAATGCGCACCACCAGGTCTCGGGTGCAGAAGGTGGAACCCCCGAAACCCGACGATGCCAGTGAACGTACCGTCCGCCAACAGTCTTTCCGGTCTTCCGATGTCAGCTACTTGTCGACGAGAATCAGCACAAGCACAAGCTACTGGAACAATCGCTTCTCTGCTGTCTCGGAGCTGGATGCCTCTCATCTCAGTATCTTACGTCATCTGGGTTCGAATGTCTCAGATCCCGAACCTGATTCTCCCCCCACTGGGTCAGACCTGTGTGTTCCCCGGGCCTCTCCAAGCGTGCCTTTAGCAGTCTCTGCCTCTGAATCCATCGTCGTGTGCCCTGAACCCCCATACCCCTCCCAGACGTCTTTCGATGCATTCAAGTTTCCATTCACCCCTGAGTCCCCTCGGCTCACACGAACTCCTTCGAAGTCACGGTCAAGATTATCTGCTTCCTTTTTGCACCAGAGTGTCTCCCCGTCTCCATCCAGTACAAGCACTGCGGCTTCCGACGACTTCAGCACTGCTCCATCAGTCCGCTTCCACTCTTCGCTCCTGCGGCATGCCTGCCCATCTAGGAGTTCCTCTCTTCGCTCGACTAAAGGGGATAGCCCTCAACGGGCTATGCACAGTCCATCTCCTGCCCCTCTAGGCCGTGGACAGGAGGATTCTCTACCGGTCTCTCCTACATCTCCGCGCTTCGCTGTCCTCTCTTCCCCTACGCTTGCGGACAACCAGACGGCTAGTTCTGGTTCTGGCTCCAGCACCCGCATACATAATGCTAACTTGGTTTCTGTTGACCTGCCTGCCGTCTTGAGCTGGCTACGCGACATCTGTTTCGAATTGTGGATCGACCAAGAGGGCTTTCGGCGCATACAACCAAAATTCAGGCTCGTTGGATACACGCCTCCCTCGCCGGATCCCGATATGTCTTGCGACAACGACTTGACGCACGGAATCGCTCTATTTCGTCCCGTCCGACGGGTATCGTCGACCTACCACCATGGCATTCTCGACTCGCTCCCCGCTATCCGCAGGCTCACACTCGCAGACAGGGAAGACAAGGATTACATGTCTCGTCAGGCCAGCCTGGCCATCAAGGCGAACGGCGTGTATGTCGTTACTGGCACCGAATCATTCGAGGATCTCCCTCCAGGCAGCCCGGGTAGCGGCCTTTCACATGCGGCCAACAACTTTCTGAACCTCGGCCCGGATCATGCAGAACAACCCAAATTACGATGGCGATTCGAGTACATGGTCGAAGATAGGAAGAACGATTCTGGCAAGGTCATGACTGGAGAGAAGGTCTTGACTCCGCTGGGTTTCTCGTGCTCTCCTGGACTGCTTCACCCCTCTCACGGCAAGCGCATCCGCCTCGTGCAAGTTCTCATGAAGAACATGATCCCCAAACTCTCTTCTGCGAAGCTCACGGCGACAAATGTGGCGGCGCGGGTGCAGACTCAGAGGCCGGTCGGAATTCTCAGCTCAGAGGCCATCCGAGGGGCCTTCGGAAGCATTGACTTGCCCAGGTCTCCTCCCGTTTTGCGCGCGAAGAATCTTATCCGCACACTATCTGGTCACCGTAGAACGCGTTCTTCGGAGCCGTCGAGCATCCCGTGGTCCCCAGGTATGCAAGGACCTGATCTTGCCGAAAGAGCAAGACCTGCGTCTCTCTCAGCCGCCGCCCGTCAGACGGTGGCACGGGCACCTAGCCTCAACATCCAGAACGGCCGCGGTACGAATGCGCCTGCGCCGTCGTGGTCTAACAATCCACCCAATCCCACGCCACATACTGGACCTCCGGACAGGCTCTCGAGACAGATACTTACGCGCGAAGAGCTGGCGGCGATCCTTGCCTCCTTCCCTACACCCGGTTCGGGCGACACGGGTGCGACGCTGACTTCGGGTGTAGGTGCGCTGAGTCCGCCCAGCTACTATCGCCACCGGCGTGCCCAGTCGGATCTCGAACGGGTGGACGAGCTGGGCATAGTAACGTCCTGACAGTGAGTCCGAGGCATCCTCTCACGCTGATAGCTAGGCTGATCTCTTGCAGACTTACAGAGCCCGATCTTTGCTACGATGTACATGGTGCAGGCGTGGCACCCGTCCACTACAGACTCGGGCTTTCGGTCTGTGTGGCTGCATGCACGATCGGTTCTTCGGGTTTTCGTGGTCCGAACAGACTGCGTCATTGTGCGATTCATTGGCTTCCAGATTGCGTTGGGCGTGCCTGTACGTCCCGAACGCGAAAGCATCGGATTGTGTGGTTCTGTCACAGGGGGGATTGACCCATTCCGAAGCTGTGCTCCCGAAGAATGTTCATCATCACACTGTATATCATTGGGAACCGAACTGGGCTCCACACCCTTCGTGGCACTGCAAGTTGACCTCACTGCGTATGAGATATATGTATGACATCACACCAGAGATGAACGTAGGCATCCGTAAACATTGCAACCCGAGATAACAAGATGGAGATGTCCATGGAAGGTACAGGTATATAGATCGCATGGCTCACTGCACTAGCGACACACGCAGCGGCATCTGGGGGCCGAGATGCATCTCGTCCTTCACGAGCGGTGTGACGAGACCTGCAGCAAAGCGGATGATTTCAGGCTTGTCTTCGGGGATGGCAAACTCGAAGTGCTCGATGAGCTCGACGAGGATCGATTGCATCTCAATGACCCTGAAGAGAAGGAAGCGTGAGCCAGGCCTCCCAGAATTCCCTGGTCATACAGTAGGACTCACGAGAATCGCCAGCCGATGCACGCCTGCAGACCCGCGCTGAACGTCATCAAGTTCGACGTCACACCGACATAGGTCGCCCCCATCTTCTCGTGTGCGACAAACCGGTCCGGGTTGAACTCGTCCGCGTCCGGGCCCCAGATGGTCGGCAGCCGGTTGTACGCCCAGATGGAGATGAGGCAGTTGGTGCCCTTGGGGATCGGGATCTCGCTCACGGCCTCCCCGTCCGTCGTCGTGATCGGGGTAGCGAGCGGGAGGACGTCGTCGCGCGCCGCGACGCGCCCGAGCGTGTAGACGATCGGGTGCAGCCGGAGGACCTCCTTCATCGCCGCGAGCGTGTAGGTCATCGCGTCGAGGTCGGAGACGGAGAAGTCGGCGTCGCCGCGCTCCGCGACGCGCGCACGGATCGCCTTGATCTCGTCCCGCATCTTCTGCTGGTAGTCCGGGTGCCGGGCGAGCTCGTAGAGGAGCCAGGTCATCGACGACGCGGTCGTCTCGTGCCCCGCGAGAAGGAAGGTCGCCATCTGGGACATCATCTCTTCGTTTGTCAGGCGAGACTTCGGGTCTTCCGAGGCGTTCGCCTTGACTGTGCCGAAGCGGAAAAACGTTCAGTACCAGTGCTACGTTCCCCGAATACGCCGGTTATCAGGCAGGCAGGAAACGTACCGAGGATGCTCATAATATCCTTCTTCTTCTCTCCGTTGCCGGCGAGGACGGCCTCGGTCTTCTCGTCGATCAGGGTCTTCGCGAAATTGTTGATCACTTTGAGCGTTCGCCGGAAGCGGACGTGGTCCTTGGTAGGGATGTATTTAGCATACTTCAGGATCGGCATGGGGATCAGGTGCCAGAAGGATTGGAAGAAGAGAGTAAGGTTGGACGGGTATGGGATAGCATCCGTACTATTTGGGGCGAATCAACCTTAGGCCGCCATTGGCTGAAGAACTGGTTCACTCACAACATGTTCTTGTATGCCTCTATGACGGGGTTCAGGGAGTCGTCGAGGGCACCACATTGCACGTCGAACCCGACTGTCCGCGAATTGGGCCGTGGATGCGACAGAAGATGTTTGACGACGTACCTTCTCCGATCACATCCAACGTACACCTCGTGAGCCAAGCCAGGACGTTGATACGCTCGCTACCATTAGGTGTGGTAGCCAAGAGTTCCCTCCACTTTTGACCCAGCTAAAGGACGGTCGCAGTCAGATACTCTAGACATGAAACACTTGCAGATGCTGAACATACTTTCTGGGCCGACGCGCGGAAGAGGGGCAAGAATGACTTTAATTGACTAGCGGTGAACGCTGGGTTCATGATCTTGCGGATACGCGTATGGTCCTTGTCTATCATGCCGAGTTCACATACACCTTGTTCCACTAACGAAGAACAACCCACCCTGCGCGAAGAGAATACCTGAGCCAGCGATCTCGCGGCTGAACTGCCTAGCGACAGCGCTCTTTGGGAAGTGATATCCCGACTTGTGAAAGATGTATTGGAGAGCCTGACGGAGCTATCAGCACAAGTGCAACCGTTAGTACTAGCGTCCGGACAACATACCTTGGGATCAGCAATTACCAAGTTGTCCTCCTGCAAACGTAGTCTCGAATCAAGCATTGAACAACGACAAGAGACGATATGAAATCACTCACACCCATGACACCCTTGGTCCGCCAGACATGTCCATACTCCCGCATCCATTGTCCGTCTAGCTCCCCTACTTCCAATTGTTGATTCACCTGTTGCAAGTTCCCTGAGGGCGCGTGCAACGTCAACTTTGAGTTCCTACGATTTAGCCAGCTGTGTTCGCTCACCCATGAACCAACTCGGGGCGGGCGGTCCCCTAACCTTCCTCACATGGCGGCGCGCAAGGTAGCGCCGTACCGAATAGACAAGCAGGAGCGCACCCCCCGCCAGCAAAACAAACACCTGGGGATCCATGACCTGCCACGTTGCAGATTAGCCTCGATCCCAGCCGAGACAGGGGGAAACAGACTCGCGGAGGAACAGCACTCACTTAGACCAGGAGAGCAGAAAGCCACGTTCGGTCGCACCGGCCTATGTCTATATAGTATGCTGCCGTGGCAGGCCTGTGCACGGTCGTGCTTCTTTCGAAGTCGTCGGCTTCCCACAACGTACCCTGTTATCCGAAACGCAGCCAGTCCTGGGCTTTAGGGCGGCACTTGACATGATCGCAACGGCTAAAATCGATGCCGAGTCAGCCTGCTCGGCGTCATGGAAGACAGGAAACCGTCGCGGTGCACGCCCAGTGATATTCCCATAGACAATCAGGCGTCGCATGGCCTATGGGAGCGCTGACACCTATGTCGTAAATGCTTGTGGTCTGGTGCGCACCTGTCAACAGGCGTCCGCCTGTGCCTGCTGCTTGCGGTTGTGCGCCTTCATATATCGCCTTCGCTTCCTCCTGCTCGCACAGAGACTCGCGCACTGACACGATGCATCTCCCTAGTATGGTTCGTGCTCGCGCACGCGCAGCTGAACGCAACAAGATTGGTCTTGGGAAATGGGCCGACAGTAATGTGAACGGAAGCTACCAAGCTGTATGGTGATCATGAGAGAGGCATGGAATGTGGAGTAGGTGCGAGAAAGCTGTCAATCTGACGCGGTCACAAGCAGAACTTGTGAGATAATCGCGGATCCGATAGCCTCCATATATGAACATACCTCGTGTAGAGACCAGAAAACAAGCGTCTACAGAGACGCCCTCTCTCTCTCTCCCAATAATCACATCTTTCATCTTAGGTTGCGGAGACTTAGCCTCTATCAGTCGAAGGACGCACTGCAGAGGCTGACCGCTGACCTCGTATCTGGAGTAATGGGGTGGTTCGGAGCGCCCCTGGGCGCCGGAATCGCTTCCCCGCCTTCCCATGACATACAGGGCTACTTAGCGGCTGCACTGGGCGCTATAGCACCCTAAATGCCGCTGTCAATCAATGACAAAGTCCCATACCTTGTCAACCCTGTCCTGCACAGAAGCGCAGAAGGTCAGCAGGCACAACTGAATCAAATCAAGGCAACCTACCGACGGGGTTGGGCGGCTCCAGCCTGAGCACAGGTCAACGCACTCCGAAGATGCCTGTCGTTTGGAGGCTTGAACGGCCATCCAAATCGCAAGAAATATACTACATACTATGTAGCATAGATAACGTACAGAGCGCGCTCTCTCGTCAGCAGGCTACCGCCCTGTCAGACGAATCTCCAGCCACCGCAGGAGAGGGTACGTCACCGCTGCAAACGCCGCAGCAAGCTACAGACCAATGATTGTACATTCAGCAGAGCTCTGGAGACCGCCCATGTAGCGGGGACGCTCACCTCAAAGCCCAGGTCGGCACCAAACTCTGCGCCGGCCATCTTGCCTAATGGTCCTGTGTACCACACCTCGGACATCCCGACAACAGCGCCTGCGACGCCAAAGCAACCGGCCAACACTCCTGCCGCGCCCAGTGGGAGTCTAGTCAAGAAGTCTGTTGAGCGATACGATCAGAAGTTTGGGGGCATGACACTGACCGGCTTGGGCTATCCCATTCATCAAGATTGTATCCACCGAGAGGGCCGCCTTTCCGGCGGAAGATGAAATGCTCCTCGGCGACGATAACGATGAAGAAGGCTGTCCAGTACGAGAGGATGCTCAGGAAGTTCGACAGGATCTCCGAGAAATGCTCGCGACCAGCCACGCCTGCGACGGTGTAGATGACAAACGCGAGGAATGTCCAGAAGAAGCGGGGAACCATAGCAAACGGACGGCCGATCGACTGCATGGCAAGGCCTGCGCTATAGGTGTTCGGAATGTTATTTGCACTAGAAGGCTGTTAGATACTGCTCTTATTGCACTGCTAGAAGGGCTTACACAACGGAGAGCCCAAGCAGAACAAGCAAGAATTTGCCGAAGCCACCCCAAGGGGAGAGAACTTTTGCTACCAACCCTCCGGTGCTACCGTCGGCATAGGCTTGTACGTATGCAGGATTCGTGATGGTCATCAAGGCAGCGCCTAAGATCTCCACGAAGCAAATCGGGATCCACAGGCCAAAGAACGTGAGCAAGAAGATCTTCGTGCTAGAAGTGTTCGCGGGAAGCCTGCAATTGTAGTCCGCCGCGACCGGGGCCCACTGAAAAGAGATGAAAAGAGGATGGTAAGAGGATGGTACGAACTGGTTGCGCGTGTACGTACACCGGTGAACGAGCCGAAGACGATACCTCCGAAACTGAGGACGTCCGCTGACAACGCTCTGCCCGTGTCCTCTAGAGGCTTCTGAGCATTCACATCGAAGCCGGCGTGTCCACCAAGACCCCAGAGGAACATGATTATGATGAAGATCACAATCCACGCATACCGCTCATAGTAGTGCACGTAGTTGTACCCGACGAAGCAAGGGATCAAGCTGAGAAGACCGATGATGATGATACCGACGACAAGTGGCAGTGTACCAGGGTTGATGGAAGCAAGGGTTTGACCACCGAGGATTACCGCAGTCACTGAGAAGCCCAACCTGATTGCGAAAGAAGTCAAAAATTATACATACCGAGATGTACGTCACACGACAGAAAACACGTACTGCGTGAGGATGTTGAGGATTGAATATATTGTTCCACCCACGTAGCCCGAGCTGAACCGTGTTATGATCATGGTGCGGAGTCCCGTCTTCGGTCCTAGGGTACTGATGAAGGCGGTAGCGATTCCGCCCAGAGCGCCAAAGCAAAGGATTGTAGCGATAGCATGGCTGCAATACGAATTGGTCCAGTGTTCACATGCATGGTGCCCGACATAGCATACGTACGGCAGGCTCAGGAAATAGAATTCTTGTGCTAGGGTGCCAATGGGAATTGTTGTCAGGACCGTGTTGACGGACCACCACATAAGCAGGCTGTCCGCATGCGAAAAGCCGTTCGATTGACGCGTCTCGCATAGATCGACTTCGCATGCTCACTTGTTCCACATGTTTTTCGTCTCCCGCTGGTCCTCCGGAACTCGCTCAACACCTCGGGCCTCTACTCCACTGGCGAAAAGCTTAGACAGCAGAGGTCCGAGTCGGCCATAGCGCTTGACCAGAACGTCTTCTGGCGCTACCTCCGCGGCGGGCACCGTCGAGTCGTGAAAGACGGGACCCTTCTCCTTGTCGTCCGAGACATCCGAGCCCAGGGTAGACATAGCTACTGCAAGTAAAGAGGGGAGCGGAGCAAAGGAGTTGGAGAGCTTTAGCGCTAACAGCCCATTAATGGCGACGAGAGCTGAGCGCTGAGCGCCGAGCGCTAGCAGCGGGCTATTTTTGCAATCGAAGCGACTCGCGTGCCTGCACACGATTTTGGCAGGTTTGATCAAGCCGGAGGAAAAAGTCCTGATATATATATCTTAGCGCTCAATACAACACAAAGTCTATACGGGTGGCTTGTTATCCTTTTGCGCTGTTCCATGCGTTAGTACTGCAGACGGCCATCAGGAGATAAGCAGGAGGAACCTACCCATGGTGATCCTGTCACCCAAGGACAGCGCAATGCCCTGAGTTTTGCTACGTATCCGTACATGCCCGGTGATCGTTCCTGCCTCCGTCCGCTCGACACTGAGGTTCGCCAACGCATCCTCGCCTGTGCAGAATGAGCATTGAATCAAGAACGACAATATACCACAATGCTTACCGAACAAGCTTCTTGCGTACATATTCGCCGATAAGAAGTCGCAGTCGCCGGAGAGAGCGCCTTCTGGAGTAAGGCATGACATGTTCGTCGCCTTCATGACATGTTCGAGGTACTCTCTCGGGTCCCTGCACCACAAACTGTCAATAGTGGCGAAAGGATCGCTGCGCGGATACGTACGAGATAGTCGTGGTGACGTTGACCCGGTTCTCCCACTCAAACTCCGTCCACATGCTCCGGAACTTAAGTCATGAGCGGTGTCAGTGACGGTCGCTGGTGCATGCGAAGTAGTCTACGAACCTGCTGCTCCGTGCAATACGCCGGCTTGATATAGTCCATGATGTCAATGTGAATGTCGTTCAAGATGACGCATTGCTCTGCCATGCCAGGTCCCTCCCAGAGAATGCTACCGAAGATGACGCCGGTCTCCGTCGATGAAACCTTGATCGTCGCCTTGATGCTCTGGAAGCTGTGGGGCGCGATGGTGTATATAGAAGGCCGCTCGACTAGCTTGAGGTCACCCAGGGTCGCGAAGTCTAGGCAAAGGTTCTGGAGGGTATCCGCTGTCTGGTTGACGAGGAGCACATCTACATGCCCATGTTCATCAGTGACTGAATGACATCCAAATCCGGCATGTAGACTGACCGAGGAGAATATCAAAGCCGTGGACCTTGACGTACGCCTCGGCATAGATGGGGTCGGAGAACCCGGTAAGCTGCGAGATCCTGCTAAGGTTCGAAATAAAGTCTTCCGTAACCTCGCCTGCGCCAGTCGCGCGGTTCACGTCCTCAGAGTCCTACCACAAACATTGAGTCTGGCGGACCACAAACAACGGCCTGGTTACTCACGTCGATTACGTCGTCCGCAGCCCTCTTCGAGAACTGACGGAAAGTGAGGAGGTCGTCGACCTGGACGATGGCAGCCTTCGCCTTCTCCGACTCCTTCTTTTCCGCAGCCTTTTTCTGCACATCCGGTGACTGTCAACGATGAGAATTTGTGCATGACAGAGCTCACAGACCTCCTGAGCGGCGACCATCTTGGAGTAAGCAGCCTTGGTGTCCTTCAGGAAGATCTCGTGGACGGGAGGCTTCGACTCGAGCTCGCTGAGGGTTTGGATGCAGCTCATGATGCGCTCGGTCGAGTCCTCATCAATGGGCACGGTGACAAACTTGGACTGGCCGACGCGAATGACTGAAGCCATGATGAGCATTGCCTGTCAGGGGTCCGTTAGCTCATGTCGTCACACGCTGCAAAGCTGAGTACCGACCTCAGCACGGAGAGCGTTGACCTTCCGCTTATCGCTGGACAGCTCCGAGAAACGGAGGACGAGCTTCGTCAAAGCACTTGCCAGAACAGAACCGGTGTAGAAGTCGCCGCCGAGGATCAGAGCTACCACAGACGAAGGATCATCAGCACCCCGCAGTCGCACACGACATCCATCCACCGCGCGTCCACGTACCTCGCAACGGCGGCTTCGCAGCAGCCTTGACCGCCTCCAGCCGCGCGCTCGACACGCTCGTGAACGCGCTCTCGCTCGCATACGTCCCGTCCGCGAGCACCTTCGGCTTCGACGCCTCCGCCCGCACCTCGTCCTTCCGCTCCTCCCCGTCCTCCGCGCCCGCCGCCTCCTCCAGCAGCCGCTGCTCCGACGCCAATATCGGGATCTCCCCCAGCACCTTCCGCAGCTCCCTGAGCACCTCCTCGATCTCCGCCGTCTGCTCCGCGTACTCCCCGAGGATCCACAATATGCCGCGGTACACCTTCCCGGACTTGATCTCGGGCAGCGTCTGCGTCAGCTTCTCGCAGATCGTCCCGCGCAGCTGCGGGAACTTCTCGACGACCTCGCGCACGAACGCGACGACGTCCAGCGCCGACGGGTTGCTCGAGTCCCCGAGGAAGTCCATGAGCGCGTGCACGACGCTCGCCGCGACCTCGGAGAACTTGACCGCGCAGACGTGGATGCTCTGGATGAGCAGCTGGCGGTACTCGGGCGCCTTCTCGTACTCCTGGTCCTGCGTCTTCTGCAGCTGCTTCTTGAGGAAGAGGACGACCTCCTCGACGTTGCGGCTCGACGTGAGGCTGAGCACGATGCCGATGGCTTTCCGGCGGACCTCCAGGTCCGTCGCGCTGGAGAGGATCTGGAGGATGTCCATGATGAGGGGGTCGAGGACATGGCCGTGCTTGGAGCGGAGGGCGTCGAGACGGTCGAGGACGATGAGCTTGGCGTTGTTGTCAGACTCCCTTTGGACGAGGCTGATGTAGCAGGACGCGGCGGCTGTGGACGGACAAAATCAGGAGAACGCTTGCCTACAACTGCACGTTTACGCACCCTTAACGGCCGCCGGGTTCTGCGTCAGGGAAGTGAGAGTCGTCGCCGCCTCGTACTTGACCGCATGCGACGGCGCGTTGAGGAGCTCGGAGATGAGGAGGATGTAGCGGGCCTGAATGCGTGCGCGTTCATGTTCATTCCTCTCCGCACGCCCGACAGACCAAGACGCGCGCGAGCACTCACCTTGTGCGACGTCTCCTGCTTGCAGTCGAGCCTGACGACCTCGATGATGCTCATCTGCAGCAGCTCGTCCATCGCCGGGATCTGGTCGAACACGGACACGATGTACTCGACCGCCTTGGGCATCGCGCACTGCGCGAGGAACACGAACGCGTTCCGCTTGCACGTCGCGTCCGACTCCGCGGCGAGGAACGTCTGGATGAGCTCGGGCGCGTCGGGGATGAGGTTCTCAAACTCGCGGTAGATCGAGTACACCGCGAACACGGCGTTCTTGCGCACGTACGAGTGCCGGTGCTCGAGGCACGAGCGGCACGTAGGGATGAGCGGCTCGAGCAGCTCGGCGTCTTTGGAGATCTTCTGGAGGAAGCGGAGCGTCGCGCCGCGGATGTACTCGTTGGGGTGTTGCTAGATGTGTCCTGCGATTCAGTATAAACGCGGGGGGTATGCGGGGGAGCCACTCACGAGGTCGTTACGGATGGCGTTGCTTCATGCGGGGTCAGTACGGGGAACGGGCAGGGAGTAGATGAGGAGGCTTACACGACAAGAATCATCTCCTGCTTGAGCTTCCCGTTGTCATCATACTTTGGGCACACCTCCCAGTAGAAGTGCAGGAGCTTCTTGAGTTGCTTGTTTCGTGAGGGCATAACATATTGGATGATAGGCATTAAGAGTGAGGGCTTTGAAGCACACGCGCACACAAGATCAATCCTCTAATTCCTTGGTGTTATTTCCCCCATGATGATAAGCATACCTGCGGGTTCCCATTGATTGTGGAAACGATGATTTTGCGCAACGTGTCAAGCTTGACCTCGTCCGAGCCTTTCTGCAGTCCCGCACGGAGATCTGCTGTCGTTGGTGTCTCGGAAGCATCCTCAAAGACCAAGGTGTAGCAAGAAGCATCAGCGGACGCCATGTTCGGAGAGAAGTAAGGGAGGGAAAGGGCCGAGACGAAGGACAGTGGAGGTCAAGAGAGGAGTTGCTATATTCGGTATGCGGACATGCCGGCCACGATAGCACTTGCATAGCGCTCAGTGATGCATATAATTATTGCCTGCTACATCGAGCTCTACGTGTACGTCTACGACCGTTGAAGCGGACGGAAGGGCAGAAAGCTTTGTTCTTGCACTATACACCCCAATGTCTCGGGTAGATCTTTGCACGCAATCGCAGTAGTTCTCCGCACAGGATGAGATTGCAAGAGGTTACACTATGCAAGGTCTGTAGCACATGATATGTACAATCACCATACGAGCCGGCGCACGTTGGCCGCCGCTCCAACACCATCGTTCTACCGACGTCCCAGAGTCTAGGAACACGGGAGGAACAAACCCATTTCAATAACAGCGGCAATCCCAGACCGACGTCCCCCCGAGGCGAAAGAGGATCATGAAGGCAGGCCCAAGGTCGTGCGCTGCAAGACGCTGCAGTCAACACAACGCTCACGGACATCTCGGGGGAACCAGCTCACCAGTTTGATGATGTTCTCCCGGTCTGCAGGCGGCATCGCGTACACCTCCTCCCTCGTCATGGCGATGACCCTCATAATGAGCGCCTGGACGCGCAAGTCAATTTCCGCGGAGCACGATAAGCATACCCAGCACTGCGCACCTTCTGGTCGTCGGGGAGCCCTGTGAGAGCATCGGGCAGTTGCGGGGCAGCAGGCGCAGGTGCAGCAGGCGGCTGTGACATATGCGGCAGCTGCGTGTGAGGAGGCGGCTGCGCGTGGGGCAGCCCTGGGACATGCGGTGGTTGCGGGAGTGCTTGGGGCGCGTGAGGGACAGGAGGAGGAGCGGTGCCAAAGCCAGGGACTTGGTTTGGGGGAGGTGTCCCGTATCCACGATTGGGCGCTGCGGGAGGTGCAGGTGGGCCACCAGGGTAGCTCTGCGGAGGATAGCCTCCTGGTGGAACAGCAGCGTGAACTGGGTATGTGGGTGTTGCGCCGCGTGGAGGAGGGATTTGGGCTTGCATGTGTGGGGGTATGGCTGAAGGAGGTTGTGAAGGGATTGCTGGAGGCGCGGTGGCTTGTGGAGCTCTAGGTGCGCCGGGAAGAGCACCATACTTCGCAAGAATTTCCTGAAGACACCATCGACCCAGAGTTGATTCAAATCTTAAGAATAGACATGACTACTGCTGACCTGGACAACTTCCATTTTCACCGCGTTGATATTGACCATTACGGTCATAAGTGCATACGCGATTTGGGGTTGCTGGTTCAATATGGCTTTCGCCTCAGCAGCAGTCGTTCTCTACCGGCGGGACGTTCATTATACATGAAGCCGTCTTCATCAACCAGCAGAACACACTCACAGACCTTCAAAGTGAGCAGGAGCTCCAGAAGCTGTTCTTCCGGTATTGTTGGAGCCGCCATCGGAGCCTTCGAGACGAATAACGCACTGACTGCGCTGGAGATGGATGAATCAGAGTCCGGAACAAAGCACGTTTGCTGTAGAGGTTCTCCGGTGACAAAAGATAGCAGAACGGCAGGTCGGCCAGAGTGACGGTAAGAGGTCAAGTAGAGTTTGTTAAGCGCCCATTGGGAGGAGCGGAAATCGAAGAAGCCACTAATATTGACCTAGTGCCGTGCCACCACTTCACACAGCAATGAATCGAAGTATAGTACATATTTATTGATCTTCCATCCACTACATACGTGAAGGTAGTCGACTATGCAGGAACACGAGGCGTCAAACGGTGACGGACGAGGGAAAAGTAAGGCAGTAGGCCACGAATGCTTACGCCGAGGCCGAGACGAGACTGGCGAGCTTGCCCTGCGAGTCGAGACTGACGACGGTGTCGCAGCCACCGACATGCTTCTGGTCTGAAGATGGTGGTGTCAGATGGAAGTGGGAAGTGGGGAGCGGGTGGGACACTGACTGATGAAGATGTTGGGGACGGAACGTTGGCTAGTCTTCTCCTCGAGGTAGTCCTGAACTGCAGAACCCTCGTCAAGCTCATCAAGCCTAGAGAAGGAGCTCAGTCGTGAATGACAGGAACGGTTTGAGCACGTATATGCGCACTCTACGATCTTGGTCTGCGCATCGGGGAACTTGGAGGTGAGCAGAGCCTTGGCACGCTTGCAGTAGGGGCACCAAGTCTTGGAGAAGATGACGATCTTGTTCTCCGCGATGGAGTTCTATCCCAGGAAAGACATGAATTAGCACTTGCGTCAAGCTGAATCGGAACGGCGTCTGGCTACCTCTACGAGATCCTTGACGGCCATGACTTTGAGCTGATAGGGAGAAGGATGGGATGAAGATGGAGGTTCCGTGGCTATTACGACAGACGACGGCGGGGATGCTTACTGGGTTGGAAGCAGAGTGGGAGAACCAGGAGGAGAAGCCTCTATATAGACTGGGGAGCATCGATTTGGAGTGACGGGCGGAGGACCTGCTGAGCAATCGTGGTGAGCACTGGGCGCGTCAGACGCGCTCTCATCTCGTCATCCGCTCACGTGTACCGTTCGTACGCGTCTGGTCACGCCGCCCGCCCCGGTCACGTCCGAGCTCGTCGAGCAGCACCGACATCCTAGTAGCGGCACCCTTCGCGTCGAATGGCCACATCTGTCCCTGAGATCAGTCTATCCACCGAGCCGCAAGCACAGCCAGAAATCATGTCGTTGGTGCGCAGCTTCTGCAAGATCATGGAACGCATCGCGCCCCTGCGCTTCGCTGAAAAGTGGGACAATGTCAGCATTCCCCTTCCCCGACCCCCGTCCACCATCGCTCATGGCCAAGCTTCCTCTAGGTCGGCCTCATCCTAGGTTCGCGTCCCCCGTCCCTCCCTCAGTGCCCGATCGTCTGACACCCCAATCCAGAGGCCCCCTACGTCCGCCCCAACGCGAATAGAGTCCTGCTGACCATCGAGTGCGTCCCCCGCCTCGACCCCTCCTCCTCCTACCCCTCCTGACCCCCCTCGCGCCCCGCCAAGCCTCACGCCCCAAGTCGTCGAAGAAGCCCTCTCCACCCCGACCGCCATCGTCGTCGCCTACCACCCCCCCATCTTCAAGCCCGTCCCCGCGCTCACGCTCGCCACCCCCCTCCACGCGTCCCTCCTCCGCTGCGCCGCCGCCGGCGTCTCCGTCTACACCCCCCACACCGCCCTCGACTCCGTCACGGACGGCATCAACGACTGGCTCTGCACCCGCGTCGCCGACTCCCTCCGCGACATCAACTGGTCCGCCCGCTTCATCGGCCCGGCCTTCCCCGACGGCCTGGGCGGCGTCGGCCGCGTCGTAACCCTCAACCAGCCCATGGCCCTCGCCGACCTCTGCAGCAAGGTCCGCACCGAGCTCGAGCTCACCTCCGGTACGCCGCCCGCCCTTTTCTGGTCTCTGGCTTCTCCCGTCGCTGACCCGTGCCCCTGCCCGCCGACAGTCCAGGTGGCCTACGCGAAGCCCGAGCGGGAAAAGGTCCAGATCAGCACCATCGCCATCTGCGCGGGCTCGGGCGGCTCGATGCTCCTCGGCGTCGACGCCGACGTGTACTTCACCGGCGAGATGTCCCACCACGAGGTCCTTGCCGCGATCCAGAGCGGCCACAATGTGATTCTGTGTGGGTGCCTTCTCCCGGACCAGTTGTCGTACTCTACGACTCACTATCGCCGGATACCGCTTAGGTGGGCACACAAACACGGAACGGGGCTACCTCCCTTGGCTCGCCAAGGACATCCTCGACTTCATCCAGGAAGAGGTCGCACAACCCACCGACCCTGCAGGAGCGGAGCTTCTCAAGGACCTCGAGGTCGTCGTCAGTCAACGGGACGAGCACCCTCTCTTTACCGTGTAACCCCGTATTCCATCCTTGCTGGTCGCATCTATCGATACATACTTCGCAGCTTCCGAGTTCCTTCGCATGTACAGGCGTTCACACACGGCAGCCTCCGATGACTTTGCCGGTTTGCCAGAGACGGAGAGAAAATGATCTGCATTGTGTAGCGCTACATACGTCACCGGTCGACCTCGCTGATATACATGACCCCGAGATGGAATGATCAGTATCCACATCGACATGAGATATTAGGGGGGAAAAACATACCCGAACACAAGATCCTACAAATCGATACGGTCAGCAACGGTCTCGTCCACGAATTCCAGACACACGTTTACGTACCATGGTACCGATGATAGCGACCACGTCCGCAATCATGTGCTAAAGGGAAGTCGTGAGCACGCGCAACACGCAAGGCGCTACCATATCCTCTCACATCTAGCGGATAGAAGACAGAGTCGCGTAAGGAAACCGAACGGACGGGGACGGCTGGATTCAGAACGGTGCACTCACGTCTCATCATGAAGTCGGCGCCGGCCAAATGCGCGAAGCCAGGCGCGCGGATCTTGCACCGGTAGGGACGGTTCGTGCCGTCCGATACGAGGTACACGCCCATCTCGCCCTTGGGCGCCTCGATCGCGCTGTAGGTCTCACCCGGAGGGACGGAGTAACCCTCGCTGAAGAGCTGTGGACCCTGCGGTGAGCGGCTGGACTACGTGGATTGCGAGAAGCAGTATACCTTGAAGTGGTGGATGAGGGACTCCATGCTCTCCTTCATAGAGGCACGGGGAGGAGGAACAAGCTTGTAGTCGTCGACCTTCACAGCGCCAGTCGGGATCTTGTTCAAGCACTGGAAGAATCCGGTTAGGGAGAGCACCTAAGAACACCGCGTAAAAGGCTACACCTACCTGGCTGATGATACGGAGCGACTCGCGGAACTCCTGGACACGGCACAGGTAACGGTCGTAGCAGTCGCCGTTCTTGCCGACGGGGACGTCGAACTCGACCTCGTCGTACTTGTCGTACGGCGCGACCTTGCGGATGTCCCAAGGGACGCCGCTGCCGCGGAGCATAACACCGCTGAACGAGTAGTCCAGCGCCTGCTTCGCGGTCACTACACCGATGCCGATCGTACGCTCCTTCCAGATACGGTTCCCAGTGACGACCTCCTCGATCTCGTCGACGCGTGAGGAGAACTGGGTGGCCCACTTGAAGATATCCTCGAGGAGACCGTGGGGGAGATCGAAGGCGACACCACCCGGGCGGACGTACGCGGCGTGCAGGCGGGCACCGGAGACGCGCTCGTAGAACTCCATGAGCTTCTCGCGCTCCTCGAAACCCCACAGGAAGGGCGTCAGGGCACCAACATCCATGGCATGGGAGAGGACGGCCATCAAGTCTAGCAGTCCTCACTTTGAGGATATAGGATGACTGAGAGGGGAGAGGAACGTACGGTTCAAGATACGAGTGATTTCACCGAACAACGTACGGATCCACTTCGCGCGCTCCGGCACCTCAATGTTAAGAAGCTTCTCGACAGCCAGAGAGTAACAAAGCTCGTTCGTCACTGTTGAGAAGGCTCAGTCTACTGCAGGATTAGGGACTATTCCAAATGACGTACTCATCGAGACATAGTCGAGACGATCAAAGTAGGGAAGAGCTTGAGTGTAAGTCTTGTACTCGATCAGTTTCTCGGTTCCTCGGTGGAGTAGGCCGACGTGCTGCTCAATGTAAGCAGAAGGTCTACCGTAATGTGATGGACCACTCACGGGATCCGCGCGCAAAACCTCCTCTCCGTTGAGCTCAAGAATCAACCGAAGCACACCGTGGGCGGCGGGATGCTGGGGGCTGTCAGTGTATCAGTATTGCTGTTGTCTATTCACCCATGAAGCAACACGCACCCGAAATTGACTGCGAGCCCGCATCAAGTCAACACACCTCTCCTTTGCTGATGAACTGCCCCTGCTCACCAGTGAAGTGACGCAGCTGCGTCTCCGGTCTGCTCCCGGTCTCCGCCAAGATCTCCGCCGCATGCAAACCATGCAAGTCTTCTACCGTATGTGTCTCAAACACGTTTTTGCCACCCCGAGTGGTCGCCGGCGACGGCGTCACCTCCGCCTGGGCGACCGCCGAGCGCGAGAGGTGTCGACGTGCCGCTGCAGCAGAAAGGAGCGACGATGGTCCAGGGGAAGTAGGGGATGAAAGGCGCGGCGCCCGCGCGAGCTGGCGACGGAAGAGCGTGGAGGCCATCCTCGTCGCTGGCGGGAAGTCTAAGGGGGCTCTGTCGTCGTCGTGTTCGACGTTAGTCGGTGCTAAACGGACTGTTCTCATTCGACGCCGCCCGGCCCTCCCCGCCAGGGAAGGTCGGGCCCACGGTCCCGTGACGCCGGAGATGTGTTTGGCGCCCGTCAATCGCTGCAGCGGCCGCCCAGGTACTGCGACCTATGGCTACCACAGCCGCAGACACCGTGTCCTAGTCTCTACCTGTCCTATTCCTATTACTCTCGGTAGTGTCACCTACCACTCTGCATGCTGACTGAACTCTTGGCGCGGAGTTGGCTTCTCTGTCTAGCCTCTGTGCTGTTGTCTGGGGTGGGAGTGGTGCGTGCGGACGAGAAACCATGCACTACACACGATAGTGGGAACTACTATGACCTGAGCAGGCTGTCCGCAAGGTACGCCGCGCGCATGGTGCAATCTACCACAGTGCTCATTGTCTGACTACAGTCTATAGCAAAGACTATGAATTCACATCCTACAGCGGCCAGAAATACGTCCTGAACGTCTGCAAACCGATTTCTACAGAGGTCTGGAACCCTCGTGTTGACAAGCCCGATGACGTCGCTGGGTATACGGAACGTGGACATGGTGGTTTCTCCATGGGGTGAGCAGCGGTCTCCTGAGCTGGCCCACGACATTAGCTTGACCGCACTCCGTAGTGATGTGAACACCACCGTGCTTTTCCGCGAAGGGAACCCAGTCATTCTCATGACGGACGGCTCGCCCTGCCCCAGTGCCGGCAGCTTGACTGCGTCCACTGCGATTCGCTTCATTTGCGACTCTTCTGCAGGAACCGGTACGTGTGCCAACCCTTTCCAAGCCGGGCGAGGCCGTGGCTCACCTATCCCGTGTTTCCCAAAGGCAAACCCAAAATGATCGCCACTCTCCCTCCAGACGAGGAGACCGCATGTGCGTTCTTCGTGGAATGGCGGACTGAGGTGTGTGCCGAGGACTTAGGCCGCATCAGGGGCTCAAGTGAACCCATGCTTTTGTCCAGATGGCATGTCCCACGTCCGAAGGTGGTGTGTTTGGAACTATCGTTTCTGTTCTAGCCATCATGTGCGCTCTTCTCAACTGCTCCTGAGCTCATTACTTACCACCGGATTGGCGGTTCACAGTGCTGCAGTACTATTTGCTCTCTATCTCGTCGGCGGCACCCTCTATAACCGCTACGTGCTGGAGCTTCGAGGCGTGGACCAGATTCCACGAGTTTCGTTCTTTTCATTTAGCGACACGGTGGAGTTCGTTCGAGACTGCGTGGATCGCATCAAGTACAGGACGTCTGACGCATGGCAATCGCGTAACTGGGGAGCGCAGAACTGGAGCAGTGGAAGTGGGTCGTGGGGAGGCTCAGGGAGGGGGGGATATGGCGGACTACGCTCCACGCCTGAGGAGGCACAAACCATGCTTGGGGGACCGCCCGGATGGCTGGATGAGCAGGACGAGGAGGACGATGAAGAGGCTGCGCGACAGGCTCCTCCTGCGCCTGCGCATACGTCGCAGCCAGAGGATGAGAGTCGGCCGTCGGGCATGGACCAGAACGGAGTGGTACGGTTGTGACCCGGTGACTGTGTAGTGGGTGCAATTGAGTGCCTGCTGAGCTCAAAAGCTGACGTCTATCGCGCCACAGATTGGTAGGTTGATATCGATAGGTGCATTTGTGGCATTCGCTATTCACGAGTTATCATGAAGAGTGTAAGGTTGTATTATGCGAGACTGAGAATGGCGACTGGCAGTGGATACGGCCGAGTACGCAGCGGATGGGTCGAGAGTGTCCTTGTGGGCGAGAGTTGCCGAGAAGAGCGCGAACGAGAGTGGGAAGAGGAGATGAAGCGAGGGAGCAACGTTGTTGAGGATCGCCCAGCTGGTGGATCGCAATCAGATCTGCAATGACCGCATCGATGTTCCGGCGCGTGGCTAGCCGGAGTCCGCTCGGGCAGGGTACAGGGTGCGCAGACGGCTTTTGTGAGTGCGTTGTGGATATCGCGGGCGACGATGGCAGCGCGAAGGGGGGCGAGGACAAGGACGGGGTGGCATAGGGACGGGGACAATGGGCGACGTTGTTTGGCTGAAGGCGCGGGCTGGGCGACAAAAGGGCGTATGGGCGCCTGTGCGGGCGTGCGAGCTGGGGCTTTGGCTGCCACTGGGGCTGGCCAGTCTGTGTCTGTTGGTGTTCTCTCTCCCGTTCCCCGTCGTCCAGCCGTCTGGACGTAATTGAGAGACCGCCACTGGGATTCCGTTTCTTCCTTCTTCCCATTGTTTTATTTCTTACTCGTCCTTACATCTCTTCACGTACATCTCTCTCCCTTCTTCTCTCCTTCTCCCGTCCCCCCAGTCCATCCGCTATCTACGATCCTCCACGACCCGCGACGCCCGCCATGGATCAGCACCAGCAGCAGCCCCAGCCCATGCAGCACGATGACTCCCAAAACTTCGTTACGGCCCAGTACACCATGTATCCCTCATCAGAGGACGATACCACGGGCTACCTCGTGTACCCACAGATGCAACAGCCCACCTACCCGCCTGTCGTGCATCATCCTGGCCCCCCTCCTCGTGGGTTCCTCCACTCTGCCTGACTTGCTTCGCGTAACCGAGATCTGACTTGCCCATTCCCGTCTTCCCTTTTGTCCTCCTCCAGGGCAAATCTCCGAGAGCGACCTGCAGCAAGCGATGCAGTACCATCGTTCAATCCATATGATGCCCCAAACGCAGCACTTCGTACCTCCCGCGCCTGGCGTATACCCTGCCCCTTCGCCTCATGGCGTTATGCCACCCTCCGCGTCCCCTCCCCCGCAGTCCCCAAATATGTACGACCCTCTGTCTCCCCCCATTTCCGGATCAGACACGTCCGCCGACGGCATCTACCATTCAAGGAACAGTAGCGCAAGTGGTTCCCCCTCTTCTTCCCGTGGAAACAGCCTCGTACACCGCCATCCGCTTCGCTACAACCCCACCCCATCCCCGACCAGCAGCTCTGGGCGCCGGAGCCGAGGTCACTCAATATCAGACGACGACGATCGGCATCCAATGGGCGGCGTTAACATGGCAGAGAGTCTCGCGAACACGAGAAAGGAAGCGACGAGACGGCAGCGGATCGAAGCCGAACAGAGACGTCGGGACGAGCTTCGCGATGGGTACGCGAGATTGAAGGACGTCCTCCCCGTGTCCAACCAGAAAAGCAGCAAGGTCTCCTTGTTGGAACGAGGTACGTCCGTGTATCGCGGTATCCATTCCCTCTGTTCATGGACGAGCAAACACCAGCGACGAACCATATCGTCAACCTGGAGAAAACAAACCGCTCCCTACAGCAGCGCCTAGCGGCTTTGGAGGCGGAAGTCACTCGACTTCGCTCTTTAAACGAGAAGATCTCGCTTGGCGTAAACAACACGCCGTCGCCGGGACAGGTCAACATGGACAGCCGCCCTTTGTCGCCGCCGCCCGAAGGAACCCAGTCACAAGCATCGGGTATCGACCAGCCCGTCGGCGAGTCGAGCCCGTCTGCCTCGGAAAGCGGTTATTGACCGGTCTTGCGATCGGTCCCATCTTCTCTTGCTGCATCTCGGACATTGCTCTCTCCCTTCTCCTGCTGTCTCTTTATCACCATCCCATCTCCTATCAACTTTTTAGTCCTTGCTTGGTTTCACGATGTCCATACTTGCCTTCTCGCTTCCCTCGCTCTGCTTGCAGACTCATGCTGCCTCCTGGAAGAGCAGCACTGGTCACTGAGGGAGGCCTGCCGCGCTGCGCCTCCAGATACGAAGTCGAAGACAGTGAGGTCGAGCTCAAGGGTGCTGAGGATCGTCTGCAGCGCCCGGCGCGCTCGCCTTGACGTCCTTATCGCTATCCCTTGCCAGCCTATCCTCCAAGAGAGCCCTGCCGCTCGAAGCTGCAGGCTGGTGCACGGCGATAACAGCTCGTGTGCGCTCCGGGTGTCCTTCCGATGTCGCTGGTGAGGTATTCTCCCAGACATCGTTGATTGACCCCGAGTGTTTCGCTCGAGCTTCACGTGCTGTCTCGTCAATTCGCTTCGGACTCTGGCGGAGAAGGTCACCTTCGTATGTCGGTCGGTGCGGCCGCGCCATCTGGCTACATCCAACTGACGCGACCTCTCGCCGACGCAAGATGCGCTACTCGCCTATGGATCATCGCAATCTCTTAGAATGAAAAAGGATGCTACGTTACCTGGCCTCACCCGCGTTCCACCCCACCACTCCCACACGAACTCACCGTGCCGCGACCCACATCTCCTCCTCTCTTCCCGTCTCATTTATCATCAATCTTGTACTATATCATACTTATCGGGCTCTGGACCGCGCGATGGCCAATCACGAAGGATACGACCGGCGACGAAACAATACGAACACGCTTCCCACACCTGCGCTCGCGGACCGAGTCGACAGCTCCCCGACACCCGACCCCGACTCCTCTCTTGGACGCTTCTATGGGAACCGACTTGTACATATGGCGGGAACGGGGCTATTAGTTATGACGGCAGAATGATTGGAAGGGGAGGCTGCCCGCCTTCTCATCGGGGGCGGGCCGTGTGTCGACATCGGCCGTCTCGCGCGCGCTGCGGAGGCGACGCGTGAGGCGGGTGTCGTCTGGAGAGGGTGATATAAGGAGGTTCTCGGAGCCCCGTTCCCGTCAACCTTGCATGACGGACTGAGCAGTACGTTGTACCCATAGTAAGGCATAGTAGTAGTCGACTTAGTCTGTGAGCTGCGCGATCTATCAAGTCATTTTGTATCCTTCATCCACCCTTGCCGCGTGCTCTCTGCGCATGTCCGAGCAAGACCTTCGCTGGCCCGACACCCGGTGTACATGTACTACTTCTCAGATTGCTGAGATTCGCCCGTCGGCAGCATTCTCATGGCCGGCTGCTGACGCATGCACCGCTGCTAATCCGCATGCAGGCAATTTGGCCTGCTACTTGACTGATCCTGTCCCGGTGTGGCGCAGACGTCTCAGGAGCATAAGCCAGGTCCGCTTCCGATTGCCTGGGACGATACGGGCAAGTACACCCCGGTGCTGCGTCTGTCCCGCTATAGTGCCCTGGCTCTACTTTCCTAAAGTAAATCTGCAATCAGCTGCGCGCGCCCATTTGTTCTAGCCACACATGGCACGCTTGCGCCCGCCTCTGACGCATCCCTGGCCTGCAGGCAGCGCCACACGCCGCCAATTCACCCCGGCGAACGACACTAGCGGCCAACCGAGTAGCCGGAGACACGCGGGCCACCGTTCAGAGCATTCAATGGGCGGGATGGCCATAGAAATATATATTGCCGGCACTCCTGGTACTTCTACTCCTGCATTAAGTTTGTAAGGCACGGTGTACGTGAAGCTTGGTCTGGCCGAATGGGTGTACTCGGATTCTTTGAGGTCAACACGCTTACTGCCGACGCCAAGACCGCGGACCCGAGCAGGAACTCGTTGAAGCGGACAAGTTACGACTTGCGGGGACACCGAGCGCTAGGAAGAGACGTCCGCGTCACGGACTCCCCGCAGATGACCGCCTCGAGTCGAGGTGGAGGCTTCGGATTGCTCGGTATGGGTAAAGTGAGCGATGCTTCCAGCATCTGCGTGAGATCGACAGTCGCATCGAGCAGGAGGGGTACGGCAACCCGCTGCGGTATCCCGGCGCGGTGCCCGAGGTTCGCGGTTGAGAGAACGGAGAGAGTCTGCAGGACGGGCACCGACCGATGGCGTTATGCCCGGTGTAAAGACCGTGACGGAAAGCTTCCTGATAGAAGATGAAGGCCCATCTCCAAAGACGGAGTTACGATCGGGTGTTCCTGTCTTCAGGATCAATAGTTACCGTCATGCTGGTGGTTGGGAGCCTCGACCTTGTCCGATGAAGGACGGGACAGAGCAAAATGGCCGTATATTCGAACTCGGTGGAAGGGGCAACCGACTATTTCCGGAACGAGTGCGAAGACCCTCCTACGATGTCGTTCCGGGGTCGACTGGGAATGCACCCTATGACGGACAACACCGGCTCGTCGAAGGGTTCTGCGTTACGAGAGCTAGGAGTTCTCTCTCGCCTACCTTGGGAGTTACAGATCAGCTTGCGTCGATTACGGACATTGGGGAAGCCATAACGCTCACCTCTAGACAACCAGCCGCCATGTACGGTAGTGAAGTCCAAGCCTGTGATGGTGCAAAACGCCTCAAATACGACTTCACTAGATAGAGAGTGATCAGGAATCGTAGGATTTGGTGCGCCATGGTTTGGGAGGAGTGACGGGCCCGGTAGGTCGGATCTGGTGACAGTCAGGACTTGGAGCATAGAGAAGCTCGCAACCTATCTGTGCGAAGATCGTTGTGTGTGCTGAGGTAGGTCATCTAAAGAGTCCGAAAGAAGAAGAGTCGCCTAATGCTGGATTCTGTGGGAGTCCTCGTACCGGACGCGGTCTCGATAGATAGCTGCGCATGATAGGGAGCCAATTTCGACGACACAAGTATTCCGCGAATGTACGTACTTTGTATCGAGTCTGTGGGATCCCGAGAAAGTTAGGCTGAGAAAAGCTATCTCCGAGGTGAGGCGGCCGACGAACTAACGCTTATCTCGAGTGACTTGTTTAGGGTCGTCTTTGGATACCGCCTCCTCAACAGCGGTCGTGCCTCGTGGAAAGCGCGCGATATCATAGTCGGGAAGGACCGTTCCGAGAGTACACAGCGGTCAGAGGTCGTTCTAAAGCCTCGACTGACATGAGGATCCTGATACACGCGGTAGCTGGAAGGCGTGCCTTGCCTCAAAGGGTAATTTCAGCGTCGGGGAACGGAGCATGAGACAGGGCGTCGATGTGCACTCCAGATCTGCACTGGGGTACGCATGCCAGCTTCGTTGAGTGACAGCGGTACACAGGTGGCGGTAGAACAGAATGGGCACGGGAGCAGTCCGAGCGTTCCTTCCGGCGTCTGAGGGCTTCCTTCCTTGTACACGCCCAGATATAACAAGGTAAGCAGAATAACTGGACGAAGCGAGTACTCGAATATCGACTTTCGCCACCATATCGCCGAGCCCGACCGAGGAGCACCGCAATTCGTATACATATATGCGTTCTGCGGGCCGGGATAGACTCGTCCGAAGACTCAGATCGAGGTGATTTCCACGCCTCATGCCTGTGACTCGGCGATCAAACGTCTGGTACGTGCCTTCGCGGAGCTTCAGTTCCACAGACAGCACCTTGCCCTGGCCCCCGGCAAACAACACACTCTCGAAGTCAATACCTGGGGCGACCATAAAAAGGTCTGTTTCCAGGAGTGAAGAGCGAATGGCATAGTGAGGCTTAGAACTGAGCGACCTACTCACGCTCCGGTGTTCCTACCGCATCTGCTTCATATCATTAGCTACGATACAAGATCCCGGAAATAGACGAACTCGTACCAACATGACAAGACATTGACGACAGCCTTGCCTTACGCAACCCGACAGAGACCTGGCCTCGTGGTGGAGCGAGCCAGAGAGATTCTGCGCACATCGCATTCAGTGCAATGCATGATCGATGGGAGGACTGCTGGGGGTACTGCGTAGTATAACGCGTGCGACCGGTGCTCGAGATTGCGGACGCATTCATACCATCCGATCAGGCAAGGATATCGCGTATGAGATGAAGGTACAGAAGGAGGCCAGAAGAGATTTTGAAGAAGCGCGACTAAGAAGACGACGGGGAAGAAACTGTGCGAAGCTAGTCAGTAGGGAACAAATCGACATATCCAGACACCGATCTGCACCGTGCACGCAGTGATGGGGCGTCGATTTCCTCTGGATGTGTGTGAACCACGAAGGACGATCCATCCGTTATCTACGTTGTTGTAACATATACATACATAACTCGGTTTCCTTAAGAGACGACGCCGCCGGGCCGCGATGTGGTTGGTGGAAGGTTCGACTGGAGGCGCGATCCCGGAAATGAAAAGGGCGTGCTGGCAAGGAATGTCACCGGATTGGAGACTGACTGCGTTCTCGTAGCCGATTTTAATGACTTGTATGCAGATGTCGGACGGCAGCCAGCGGGCAAGCACCGAACGCCTCGGGACAATAGTGGGGGCTGGGGGTAAGTTGTTCCGGCTGCTGATGTTCTGTCAGTCAGATGTAATCCGCAATGTCCTGTATAGCCAACGTGTCAGTTAATGGGCGGCCGAAGTGGCAAGCCGAGATGGATATACGACAAGGGATTCTCCGTATGAAGAGCTCAGCTGACCTCAACCACGAGGATTAGAATTTCTGCGTTGGATGCATCACCTGGAAGCATCTGACTACCGTTCCGGATGCCTGAGAGATGATCTGTGAAAGGCGAAGCGAGCCATGAAGTGCAGCGTCTAGGTCGGAAGTACTGGCAGGCATTATACAGCGACCGAGATCCTCGTTCATGCTCGAGGAGGAGAAACCCTGACAATGAGGGGGTCGTGTTCGGAACGAGGGACTCACGGATTTGACATCGCAGCACATCGAGGAGTGCATTGGGGTCATTTAAAGTCGAGTAACTACTTAACCTCTGACATTGGTCCTAGTCGTCGGTCCCAGCCGTTTTCCACACCGGGCTGCCTAATGTGGCACCCCACGGTCCCCCACTGTGACCGACAATTGTCACACGTTACGGCTTGGAATGTGACGTCAGTGCGTTACATGTGACGTGTGACGCTGCGGGGTGGCGAAGAACGAGGAACGTGCCTGCCCAGGTCTTCGTCCCACCCAGCGACGACCACGTCCCGCCCACCGTTCTTTGCAGCCAACATTGGCCCTTCGTCACTCTCCTTGAAGACGGTTTCCTCCTGTAAACTATACAACGTCAAGGCCTCGCTCACTTACCTTCCTGGCGTCAAGGCTTGCGCCGTCTTCAAGAAAAAGTAACGAATCGCTTCCCAAGGCCTTACCCGGTTGATCCTGCAAACGATCATTAACGATGTGGTTAGTTCATTACCTGCAGCTTGAGCAAAGCGTTGGCTGAAGGGCGTCTACGCTGTGATACAAACCCAGGTGTGACAATTGCCTTCTCTTGCTCCCTCTGGTGAGCCAGTCCACAGGTCTATGGTATTGTAATGTCTGATACCAACCTTGAACGCAGAGGGGTGGTGCTATCGCGTGGGGCGTAGTCATGTTCGTGAGTGGGTTCGCTAGGCTGTGAAATGCTTGATCGGGACTCATGAGCTTCAAAATAGCTGTACAGTCTCGCGGGAGGCATTTTCCTGCTTATTCGGGGACAATACCTGTTCTTCGTTTTCCCTGAATGGTGCGCACGCCCCTTCGTGCTATGCGCATGGCTGACCCTGCCATCTCACCTTAGGCAAATCTACGGAGGTATTGGAATCGCTGTTGGAGTAGCAGCAGCGCTCTCCATTCTAGCGCTTTCGAACGTGAGTTATCCATCAGCAATGTTCGCGCCTCGGGGCATCCGTTCCTGTACTCCGACTGCCTCGCTCGTCCTAAAGACATTAAGATTATGTATACTGACACTGTTCGTCTAGCGATCGTATATCTGGATACGTGTCTGCAAGTTTGTCTGGCCATTTGTCATCGTCATTGCCGCCGTACGGGCCATCATCATGATCGTCGAGCTCCAACGCGGGTAAGTGCTACTCCGCTACTCTCGTCCGCCTACGTTCTTCCATTGTTCCGTCACGTCTTCGGCTCCAGTCCTTCACTTTCATGCGCGCTTTTATCGGTAGTCATTGTCACTGTTCCAACAATGGAATGGCTCTTCGTTTTGCCCCCCGTCAGCTGTTTGATCATATCTTCTGCGCGTATGGCAGTTGCTTCGCATGTGTGCAGGGCCAAGGGGGCTCAGGTGCCACGTTCGGACCGTATTACGCTCCGCCCACGCTCTGCTCTGATAATCCGGCAACTAACATAACCTTGCAGGAAGGACAAGATCCAGTGGGAGTGCGACAACGGTGGCCAGCTCTGGTCCGCATCAGCTGCCGCAGGCTACGGTACAAGCTCCGAGACGTTCCCAAGTGGCTTCTGTGCAGCGGGATTCTCCAGTTTAAACGTGGCGTTCATCGTTGGACTCCTCGTGGACCTTGTCTTCCAGGTGCGCATGCCTGGTCACGTTTTCATTGTTGTACCGCTCGAGCTCACTGTATCATCACTGGTGATGCGTGTAGATGTACATGTTCTTCATGGTATGGCGGTTCCAGAAGAGGCTCGAGCACTATTCGGGAATGAAGGGACCATTTTATGGCGGTAAGTATTGACGTTGCGCGTGTCTTCATTCATGTGTCGTTGTTTGCCTCCGTGTCTCCCTGCATGTTGCAGTCCGGCCTCAAGGCTACGCCGTGCATGGCCGGTTCACGAGCGCGTCGGATCATGCCGCCAGTATGTCAGGTGCTAATCATAACTTTGCTTCTTGCTGCAGGGTACTACAACGCCTAAGCGTAGCCTGACCGTTGAGCAGCGATCGGACGCTGTAGCGGTTACCCTCGGTCCATTCCATTCTCTTTGCCCGAGCCTACTGGACAGTTCCGTGTCATACCTTCTGCGCTACCCCTCGTACGATCTGCTAATGCTCCCACCTCCCCGCTGTTCCCGTGTTACGTGATTGACAGTGCTGTCGCTATTCTCGATCGCGCACAGCTGCTTCTCATTGCCCCGCGTCTCATGAATGATTCGCATTATCTCTCGGTTATCCTCTCTTGTCTCCTCTGATGTTGTCTCAGTATCTCGCCTTCTGGCACTCACGACCCTTATGACATGACTAACGACCCCGGATCGTACTTACGTAGTACTCGCCTGGTTACGACTGACTTATTCCTATACCTTGATGATCACCCTTCGAACCTGAATGAACCCTATTACAGCACTTTCTGGATTGTGGGTGCACGCGTCTGTGGACGTCTGCGAGCGCCCCGGCAGACTGCTGTACTATGAACTTCGAGTCTTGTGCCGATGGGAGGAACATCGGTACAGACTTGCGCAGTGAGCGCTAGACATGAAGCGCTGAAGAACAAGGTGCAGCGCGCGGTTTTGCAAAGTTGGTTTTCCCGTAAGCCCGATGAATGGTGGACGAGTTGTGGGAAGGAAGGGGCTACGGAAGACGTCAAGTGACGCGGAGTTAGGGAAGGGCGCGTAGTGCGGGAGATGGTCCGTGCCGGTGTGAGAACTGGTGCCCGAAGGACGCCTCGACACTAGGCGGCGGGCTCTACGTCGAGACAGGAACAAGAGGGTGCTAGTCAGTGATAGCGCACAGCGTCGACGATAGTCGGAGAACAAGCGCAAACGCGCGACTCAAGCGACGGTCGGTTGGTTGTAGAAGGAGGGCCCGGAGAGAAGGACGGAACAAATGGAACCGCGATGTCGGGCGAAACACAACTGACGGAGAGAAGGGTGGCATCATGAATATGATCGGAGAGGTGTGACAGGCGGGCGACAGCTGGTGCTAGGTGGGGGACGGACATCTGAGAAGAAGGCTCGAATTTCGCCGGTGGGGGGGCGAGGGTAAGCGGATAAGCCTGTGGCACTGGCAAGGCACGCTGGGACGGAGGCTGGGGTGAGAATGAATGCGACGCGCGGGGGTTGGCCGAGAAGGGATGTGGATGTGGACTCGGAGACTGGGATGAAGGGGTGGCCCATATTTGGAGCGGAAGGAGAGGAAATGAAAACAACGTTGCGGGCGCTGGGTTTATTCGCGGGCATGAGGCGGCCGGTAGAGGGGCTGGGCGAGGAGGGACTTGGATGGGAGCGATGGAGCAGAAAGGGGAGGGGAGATGCCCGAGATGGATAGGTTTGGGAAGGGGTACGGCTCGGAAGTCCGGGAGCTGATGCGGGTGATAAGGTCATGGAGAAGTTTAATGGAAATGGCAGACCGTGGGCAGGAAGCCGAAAATCGCTCGAAAAGGCGACGGAGAGCGAAAGCGGGTGATGGAGGGCTGGGGGCTCCTTCTGCGAGTCTCAGACTGGGTCTTGGGGGAGGGTCGCTGCTGGGCGGGCTGTGCGGTCTCGCAAGGAGGGCAGAGCTGATGGCGAGGCTGGGGACGGGTTACGGTCGTCGTGGAGGGAGAGTACTGGCCGTGTGCTCGCGCCGGGGGGACGGATGCTGAGCTGGGAGATCTGGCGGGCGTCTTGGGTGGACGCCGCGGAAGTAATTTGAACAAGGTTTGCGTGACCGAGGTGACGGGGCACGGGCACGAGGTGATGAGGGCTTTGGCGCTGGCGGTCGCTCGCGCAGGCGAAGCTCAGCTGGCTCTGGCTCTGGCTCTGGCTCTGACTCTGACTCTGGCTCGCTCTCTCCCCCGGGCTGCTATATAGCCCTCCCCTTCTCCCTTCCTCTCCCCATCCCTCCTCCGCTATCGTCCTCCGCCTCCGCCGGGTGTTTTCTCCTCCCTCCCCGTTCCCGCTCCGTTGTCAGCGTACGTGGTTCTCTTGTTTCGCTTTCTTGTCCTCGCCTACTTACATTGACAACCCTTGCAGTCTCTGCCTCCTTCTGTCTCTTAAGAACTCACGCTTCTAACGACCTGTCCACTTTTGTGATCCTCTTCCACATCTTTTTGCTCTCGCTGCTGCTCTCCTCTCCGTCCGCCGCAATGGAGACCGCCCACATGGAGAATGTCCTCGACCACACCAAGAACGCCGACTTCATGGATACCGCCGCGTATTACAACGATCCCCTCTCTGGGCTCGATTACCTCCAGTACCCGCCTCATTCCCCGTTTGGCGTTTCTTCTATGGGCCGTAAGTAGCGCTGATTTTCCCATGTGCGTCATGGATCTGACCGCCTCTCGCAGTCCCTCCCACGTCCTCTCCTCGCAGCTTCAGCTCGCTCCCGCTCTCCGGTGGCCTCAACGAGTACACCTACACCTCTCCGAGTGGCAACTACAGCACGGGCTCTCCAGCTCGTCCTTACACGCCCACTACCATCTACCCTAACGCGCTCTCCAACTTGAGCGCTGGTGATTTGTCCTCGGATAGTGTCGGTTCGACCCGCAGCCGTCGTGGCAGCGGTTCCCACTCTCCTGGCCCCTCTGTCCCCCCTGGTTCGCTTGCGGCAATCCCCAGGTCGCACCGCTTTAACCCTCTTGGCGCCGCTGCCACCATCCGTGCTTCCGCGCGCCAGCAGCAGCAGAAGAAGCGTTCCAAGGCCTCTGACGAGTTCGCAAGCGACGACGACGACGACTTCAACCCGGCTCCCTCCGCCGCCAACAACGACATGCGCCGCGAGGAGATCCGTCGCCAGCGGATCGAGTCCGAGCAGCGGAGGCGGGATGAGCTCCGTGACGGCTATCGCCGTCTCAAGGACGCTCTCCCTGTGTCCAACCAGAAGTCCAGCAAAGTTTCCTTGCTCGATCGGGGTATGTAGATCCATTCGATCACGTTTGATCGTTACTGATCGTAAACAAACGCCAACAGCCACCACCCACATTCGTTACCTCGAGATGACCCAACAGCAGTTGCAGACGAGACTACAGCAGGCTGAGGCCGAAACCGCGCACCTCCGTCACGTCAACGAGGCCCTCATGCTCGGCACCGCAGAGCAGCGCCATGCCGCCGCCGCCTCTGCTGTCGCTGCCGCTCAGGTGCAACAGCAGAATGTCGCCGTCGCGGCCGCCGCTGTCGCCTCCGTCAACAAGTACTAAACGGCCACGTGCGCTCGTCCCCAAAAGCTCGACATGCGCGTCCGGACGCGCCGAGCATGCCCGCTGTATTATCTATCACGATTGTATCAAGACCCCTCAAGAGACTATTCCCTGCCTGGATGCAGAGGACGCTGACGACCACACGGACTATCACACATATTCTCCTTTTACGCATTTTTATTCACTTTATTACACCCGGCATCACTTTGTCTCCCTGTCGCATTTTTCTCGCATTGTCGCATCATTCCAATCCACTCTCCCCCAGTCCATACATATCTCTCCTCTCCTCCCTTCAGCGGTTCCACCCGGTTTCCGCGACGTCACCTACCCCGAGCACCCTGGACTGTCTCGCTGCTGTGCTGCGCGGTCGCGTCGTCGTCTCGACAACGCGTTCCGGAGAGCAGTAGACGGGTGCGCCCTCGAGCTTGGCGGCCACGGATCGGCTTGTAGCCGGAGGGTTTCGACACGACACGACGCAAGACCGCAGAGTGTGGCTAGAGGCAGCTGCGTTCACAGCGACGTGCGCAGCCTCGCCCCCTGCGAGTGCTTTCTTGTTTCTTTACACCCACACGGTATTCGTCGTTTTCACTCCCTTCCCAGCTCGCCCTTCCAAGTCCCGCCTGGCGCACGCGGCCGCTTGAGGTGACGACCACTTAACTGTGGTTCCGTGCTTCGCGGTTGCATATGTGCGCGCCGAAACATCGGCATCGAAGACCCTCGTCTCGCTCTCGACTCTCCTACCCCGACGCTTGGATGTATTCATCCCCGACATCGCCCAACCTCCGCTATCCCCACATCATGCCACATGCCTCCGTTTCCCGCGTTTGTGCGTCTCGAATGGCGCCTGATCTCCGCCGTCAAGATGCCGTTCGCCTTCTCCGCCCCCGTCTCATCCTTCCCCTACGACCCCTGGCTATCCGCGTCCGACAGCTCACGAGCTCCGGTTCAAGTTCGTGATGCATGCGCGCCAGCGAAGTAGCGCGAGCACAACGACATGCGCTTACGCACGGCGCGTCTAGCCAGGGCCGGAAGACATGGCGAGGCGCGGGTTACACTCGACGCCGACCTCACGGTCATTTCCGGACCTTCCCGTTCGTCGACCCCGGACTCAGTTAGACCCTCGACGCTTCTTCGCGGCCTCCGCCCGCCCACTACTTGCTACTCCTCCCTCACTCGCTTGCTCCGTCCAGTCTGCCCCAGCTGTTCTGGCTGTGCGCGTGCTAGTTCACGCCCACCCGTTGCCGGTGTGCGCACTGTGACGTCGAGCGATGCAGGTCTGGTGAGTTGCAGCGGTGAGTGGTGGTGTAGCGCGGTGAGCGCAGCGTGCGCCTGCTTGCAGGCGCCGCTAGCCTGCCTGCGCAGTCGCGCTTGATGGCGGTCTCGTCCACGGTACATTGTCGTCAAACGCTCCGGACGCACCTGCGTCGCGTCTTCCATGCCCCCCCGCCTATGCCCAGGATATGTCACCCCAAGCTTGTTCGCGCGTCCGTCGCGCTCGCGGAGGATCGGCGTGCGCTTGCGCGCGCCGCGCGTGGCTTTGCGGTGGCCCCAGCGCCCTGCTCTCCCCTCAGCCGCCTCTGCTTGAGCCCCCGCGTCGCTGTCGCATCGTTCCCCTTCGCGCCTCGCTGCTTCCTGTCGTCGTTGCATGGTTGCGCATGTCGGCTTCCTGCCTATCCATTCGCACCGTTGTCTGACCCTGCTTTGCGCGTAGTAGTTAGTAGTTGATGGCTCGCATATCACGCTATTCACGTCCTATTCATGACTGGAAACGATTCGGTGTGCGTTCGCGTGAGATGACGACGTGAGTCGCCGGAAGAATGTGCTCCTTCATGCTTTGGAATGTTGAACCAAATCGTATAAAGTCGGAGTCGCCCGGGACGTTGGAAGGTTCCGACGTCGGTTCCGAAAACGCCCAGAAAGGTAAAACAAGCGCCAGAATGGTCGAATAAGCCCGACGTTCAAATTGACAGGCAGAATGCACGCGTTATCCCAGATGGTTAGCATGCGGTTTGCTAGTACTACGCCTACACAACGTATTCTTTGTGGCTCGTGAGGACAGAGAATCTGCAGTGTAGATAAGGCGGTGACGTAGGGTGGTGAAAAGGGATTGAGCGCGAAGAGGTTCGGGAGCGCAAATGACATAGTGAGGCCAGCCTGAGTCACTAGATATATCCGTGCTTGTACCGAAACCACCACCACCTCTTGCAGTGCCATCATGTCCGACAACGCAGTCCTTCTCAAACAACTCAAGATCAAGTCTGGATCGACGTTACGGTACGGGGACATAGCGGAAGTAGCATAAACGGTCCAAGGTCCGCTGACTGGGCAAGGTAGTCTATTCAAGGAGCACAAGCTCTACCAGGACGAGGAAGTGGACCTGAGGCGCAAGCTCGATAAGCTCATCGCGGACAACGCGAATAATGCGGAGGAATGGGACATCAGGAACACGGTGAGGACACCCTCGATCTCCCTCTGCCGTTCGTGCGAGCGGTGCCTAACCTCGTCGTGCGGCGATCCAGCGGCGCATGCTCGAAGAGTCGCAGAAGATGATCGCCGATTCTGCGAGCCGGCTGGGGCAGGCCGCCCAGGAGCTGCGCGAGCTCTTGGTGAGTTCCGATCGCGATCGATGACGTCGGAGGGAGGTCAGGCTGGCTGGCTGACCTGTCGAGCAGCTCAGCGCGGAACAGGATGCGGCCCTCGCCCAGGACCCGGAGCTCCTCAAGGCCCAGGAAGCTCTCGAGATAGTCAGCGTCTAGGAGACGGCGACGGCGATGGCGACGGCGACGGCTGGGACATCCTGGGCAAAGATACGTAGGAGCTAAAGCGCAACCGTACCTGTGTGCCGTAGGGGCATCTGATTGAATATACCCGCCGCACCCTCGAAGCCTCGTCCCTCATGACTCCATAGCGTCTGCCTTCTCCTTATCTCTCGCCTCCTTGATCCGGGCGAGTGCGTTGAGTATGCCCTTCCAGGCATCGCGTTCCATGCGCTCTTCCTGGAGCCCGCGGGTCCCTCTTGCGACCCCGTCGGCATCGGCGGAAGGCAGCCCCACGCCAAGTGAGGGAGGGATGAATCCCGGCGGAGGCGCATTGATAGTAGACGGCGCGATGCGGGACTGCCTGATATGCGCGAGAGAGGACCGGATGCCGATGTGTATGCCCTGCAAACGGCCGTGTAAGCGAGACGCACATGATGAGCAGTACACGCGTCGTACGTCCAGACGTTCGAAGTACTCGTTCGCGACGTCGACGAACTTCTCAGAACGCTCTGCGCCGTTTGGCAAGTCTGCGTCCTCCGGTCCGTCGGTCTGGGGTAGGGACAGAAGCGCGATCGAAGAGGCCGCCAGGGAGAGCAGTCGAGTGATGTCCTGCGTCCAGATCGGGGAGTCTCTGTGGTTGTTCTTCTGTGCACAGGATGCAGAATGCCATACCTTCTCCACCTCCCCAAGAGCGTATATTTGGCGCGCTGTGCGACTGGACATCCAGATAGGGTCGATGTCTTCTGGCGGACCCTGGTCCATGGCTTCCACGTTCACATTCGACCCACTCGTCTCCATCCTTTGATTAGATATGGTGTAGCAGATTTCAGGTGAATTCAGATGAGAAGCGCAAAACGAGCATCGAGGACGGTTGTTGTAAAGCGGTAGCAAGCCGGCAACGCGGCGGGTTGTGGTTGAGCGAGTGTGAGTGGCGCTGGAAGGGTCACCGCGGCTCTCCGGCCCGGGCTCGAGGCACTCGACCGACGAGCGGCTCGTAATATATCAATCACATCGGTATAGACCTACACTCCGACTACAACCTATACAGTTGAGCATTCAAAGAAGGGAACGTTGGTTTCAGCATCATCGACAGACTTCGGGCACATACGAAAATTGACGGTCCAGTTTACTAGTACAAGAGAACATCAAGTACTGCCACCATAAGAAGACATTCGACCTGTGTTATTTCGCGGTGCTCACAAACATATACGACTTAGTTCTGCTCCAGGAGAGGATTGGAAGTAAGACAGAAAGTGCCGTCTGCCGAAACCTCGTAGCCGGGAGCGCAGCGTTTCACAGCGCAAGCACCCGCCTGGCAAGCGACGTCCGCGACGCCCGGGATCGCCGTGCAGTCCACGCCACGCGGGGAGAAGGCATCGAGAGGAGTAGCGCAACCGCCACCTGCCGAGTGCCATCGTCAGTCGACGTGTAATGAAGATCTGGCGAGCAGACTCACAGCTCTCTAGGTCAGTTGCGGTATCGAGACACTCCCAGGCGTTGCCCAGGACGTTCGTGTGTCCGTATATGCCACAAGCAGTCATGCCCGGCTCGCAAGCAGCGCGCTTGCGCAGATTCTCGCGGCGCCAAGGCTTGCCGCTGGGGCACGCCTTGTAGAGCCCACAGATGCCGTTACAGACTTGGAATGGCCACTCGCAGACGCACTCGATAGGCCAGAGCGGGGGTTGAGGGAAGAACCCGTCCTTGCACTTGAAGTTGCACGGAGCTCCCGGGGTGCAAATGGGCTCAGCATGGTCTGGATAGTAACAGGTCTTGTGGTCCGCAGATAGATTCAGCTGATGGTGGTAAAAAGTGTTAGTTGAACAGAGACTGATCTGACTGCGGCATACAAACCAGATCCGAAAGGCCTTTAGTCGTCGTTGCTTCGCCGGCAATGTTGACCGCCTACACATACGTGAGCATTGACAAACAGTACGATACTGGAACGCACCGAGCTGGCGACAGGGTCCGTTGTCAACAGCTGAGAAATGCCTGACTTGCAGTAACACTTGTCTAAGGTGACACGAGCCTGATCAGTCGATACACCACAGTGAATAGGGACGTGTAGTTACCAATCGGCCCAACGGGGACGGGCTTTCCATCGGCTCCAGTGACGGTGAGCTGGGCGTTCACATTTCCGCAGACGTCTGTAGCACTCGAGCGCGAATGCAGGCCGGACATCGCACGAGCTGTGACAGAAACGCCAGCCACGGCGACAAGAGCAAGGAATTGGAACGAAAGACGCATATTGCTGTGGCTTATGCTCGAGTCCTTGAAACCAGGGCACAAGGAGATGGTGGACAGGAGCCGCCTCCCTTTTATCCATAATGCCCAAAAGAGACCCCGGCCTCCAAGAGCCCAGAGCCGGCACAAGACCTAGAGTTCGATAGCGGACAGATTGACACCGAATCGCCCGTTGAGCGGTGGAAGGAAGCAGCAGGCGGGGGCAGGTATAGAATTGCAAGGCGCTGGATCATATGGCAAGTCGACGCATGGGCAGCCAGCGCCATCATCAGGGCATGCAAGGAGTCTCAAATAGGCTTCTTTCGGGGCAAGCGACAATTAGAGCTACCGAAGACGCGGTATTGTGGTTACGAAATGGGCTGGCAGATAGATGGAAGCGATGGTGGTGGTGAGTCTGGCAGTAAAGCGCGACAGCTTCGCTACGCCATAGTGGAGACAGACATGGGCACGCCCACATGTGCGACTAAGCCGGCACGCGGTCTCGGCGGGGCGAACGTGAAGGTCGACAGGCGGGAGGGGAAGGGGCGAGCCGTACATCTGGGTGCGACGACCGCAGGGAACTGTCAGTGGAGGGCGTTGGCTTGCTGGTATAATGCGTCGATATCATCACAGGCCGCTAATGCCCTCGGCGAGACGATGTGGCACCAGGCACAGGAAGTCCACGCCGCTCTGGAAGTGTAAAGAGCGTCCCGGTCTCAAGGGATGTGTATCTTAACATCTAACCAAAGCCTATGAACGTGTATGGCTCGCTGTCAGCCCGAATCGAACGTGGATGAGCAGGTTCGTTACAAACCAATCCTCGCTGAACGTGGCCACAGGAACCCAAGCAAGACTCCGATGCGGCATCTCGATCGGTTCCAGCAGTACAAGAGAGGATCGACAAAGAAGGAACCGCAACCAAAGAAGACGTTAGTACTTGGTGGAAGAAGTCAAGATGAGCGCATGGGCGCTTCGAATAAGACTGGGATGATCGCACCGATCCTCATGCGCTGAGAGTCCGCCGTCCCCCCGACAGAGACATCCATAGCCAAAAGACTGCTCCATTCAACTATGCTCATACTAGTTCCATTTCATTCATCATCGTGACGGCGGTGGTGTTTGTGGTGGCCATGGTGATGACCTCCTTCTCTGAGGGAAAGGTTCTCGACACCGAAGGCTTCACCAGCCTCGCCATAACCGCCCTCCTGACGGCCTCCATAGCCGCCCAGACCACCATACTCGCTACGCTCAGAGCTCCCGTATCCGCCGCCGTAAGCAGGCACGTAGCCCTCCTGACCGTACCTTTCGCCGCTGTAGTCCGACCTTTCCTCCCGGCGTTCCCGACGACTATCCTCGAGAGGAGCCTCATACGCACTCGGGCGATACCCGCCGTACTCCTCGCGGCGCTCCTCATCATATCCACTACCTGACTCTCGTTCACCGTAGCCACCGCCATAGGACTGTTGTGCCCGCTCCCGCTCCTGTTCGCGTTTTTGCTCACGCTTGCGTTCACGTTCAAGTTCGACTTCACGCTCCCCTTCCTGTTGACGGTATCCACCACCGTAGGACTCCTTGCCATAGCCTTGGTCCTCGCGGCGTCCGTACGACTGTTGATAACCGCCGCTCCCATACCCGGTCTCGCGGCCATACGAGGGCTCTTCTTCGCGACGGTTCCCATAACCGCCGTAACCGGATTCTTCCTGACGTCTTCCATGTACCTCGGAGTCACCGTAGCCCCCGTAACCACCTAGAACTGCTGGATAAGCTTCCAATTCACCGATTCACACGATGCCACGTACTGCCGTAGTTCCCTGTGGAGCCATAGGCTTCTCCGGAGTTTCCGTACCCGCGGGATTCCGTTCGACTGTAGCTTTCGCCTTGGGAGTCACCGTATCTTTGTGACTCAGTGACGGGCTCCTGCCGGCCGTATTCCTGCGATCCGCCATAGGTCTCTTGACGGTAGTGGTCTTGCGTACCACCAAAGACCTGGGAGGCGCCATAGCCTGCAGAGACAGGGGCACCGTATCCGCTACCTCCGGAGGCTTGATTGACGTGGCCACCATAGATCTGAGTCGAACTAGTTATGTCGTCATCGGCACCTTGGCGTTTGTTCTTGCCAGCTCTGACGCTCTCCTGTCGTTCTCGTTCTATCAGGGAAAGTGTCTGAGATGCCAGGTTATCCGCTTACTTTGCTCAGCGCCTGGATGGTCTCCTCCGCGTTCTCGAGGTTGTTCACCCAGTTTTGCAGAGTCTGGAACATCTCTTCTTGGATACGCGAACGGCCAGTAGCGTACCATGGGTGGTGGAACGCTTCAAGAACCTGTGAGGAGGGGGCGGATTGAGCATCATAGTGTAAGGCAGATAACGGACAGAGTCACCTCGTCGATCACGCGGTCCGGGTCACTATTGTCAAACCAGGCCTGTTTGCAAGCCTGAGTAACGTGTCCGCCAATGCAGAAAACAGCTAATACGAGCCTGTACGAGTAGCTTGACAGAATTCTGGACCACAACCTTAGCGATCTTCCCAGCGGGCTCGTTCAATATGAGCGCAAAGTGGTCCTGTAGTCAAGATATGCGCCTGTCAACGGCATCCTGTCCAATGACCGATTTCCTCCTCACCTTTGACAGGAGACTGTGGGATGGATCGGACGCATTGGGGTCATCGAAGACCTATCCAAAGTGTTACAGTGTCAACGATGCCACGTACGAGTTCTATACTCGGATACGAACAAGGTACTGGTCTTCTGTGTCAATGACAGCCTTGCTACCTTCCATGAGAACCTCTGTCACTTGTTTGAGAATAGGCTACCGGTAGCGCATAATGGGATCAGTGAGAGACGACTAGAGCCTTGACGAAGGCGTACCGCGACGTAGGGAGCCAGGACTGTGTACACGACTGTTAACGGTCGAAACTGATAAGCCAGTTTGTCATAGCGGTTACATAAATCAGGCGTACATGCGTTGAGAGCGTTCGTGAGGTTGTCGATGAGGTCAGAGAGACCCGGGACCATCTCAATCTTCTTGATGATACCCCTGTAGACGTTATCGCGCCAAGTCAGGAGATTCCAGAGCTGCTCTCTGACTTCCGGAGGAGCGACGTTATTCGGGTCGAAGCGGTAGGCCTTCGCTTGGGCTTGCATAGTATTGGCCTCGCCCATCTTGTCATCTGCGTCAGAACCGCCAATTGGCAATTTCCTGAGCAGGGCCTGCAGAGCTCCAAATGTGTTATTGTCTTGCGAAGCCTGTAATGCCTTGAGTTTGTTGCAGAAATTGACACGAGTTGCTGAGACGTACTTCGTCCATCTTCTTGGTGAGATCAACAACACTGGCTTGGCTCAGGTGGCTGTACGGGGACCTGTCAGTGGCCGATATATCATGGAGAGTGAAGTGACGCACTCGGTTGCTTCTCCCATGAGGGAATGCAGGAAATCTGAGAGCCCAGTGAGCTCGTGTGGCCGAATGCAGTTGCACATCACCCACCAGCGCTTCCAAATGTCCCAGTGATCAAAGGATGAGTCTCGCCCGTGGGCGTGTTGATGACGACTGCCAACCATTGCCAATCAATGTAGGAAAAATCGAAGCTGTGTAATTGGAACCGACCGTTGTCACCGACATGACAGAAAACATCATTATAACCCAACTTCCGAAGCCCGAGCTCGCACCAGTTACTATGAGCCAATAGATCTTCCATGGTATGGAGACCGGTCCCCATCAGGCGATATGCTTCCCATAGATCGTCCCCCTCTCGGCCGCGTGCGCGTCGGCCGTACTCAATGCAAGCGCGGAACACGCGGCGGATGAGAGCAGTAGACGTGTCCCAACCCCTATTCTCCGAAGCCATATAATTCTGTTGCGAATCAGACAAGTCAACGCGAGCACTTGAAGTAATAGGCAAGAAGGGATTTGCCTTCATGCCAGTCCTCTCATCAATCTCTAGCTCTTCGGGATTGACTGGCGGACGAAGCTTGGGGTGAAATTGCCGTGCGTCGCCTTCCTTCTCAGCGTAGCCTCTGATTTAGAGGACGGTGAGTATCATTGTAAGAACACCAAGAGGAAAGCTCACTTTGGATTGTCGATGTGTTCGACAGGGAGGTACACGCCAAGACGATCAGGGGTGACTTGGAATTCTTCGGTAGCAAAACCAAATGTCTGGAGCAGCTGAAATCAGAGGAACGCAGTGACTGACAATCGAGTCTTCGTCTACCAGGAAGCCCAGAACCGAAACGATGAGCACGAGGGTGTCCGCTGATAGCTTGCTCAATCCCGCGATATCCATGGCCTTTTACTACGACGTGAAACACTGAATTGTCAAATAGCCCTTGAGGTACGTACCTGGGAGTAGTCCCTGAGCCAGTTTCCCTATGGAAGAGAGTAAGGATCATGTGCCGTTGCTCTTCATGCGATGCCCAAGGCCCACTCACAAAATATACCCGTTTGACATCCTCTTTCGTGAACTTGGATCCATTACCACCGCTTGCGGCGGCACTCAAGACTGACTGGGCGAAGTCTAGCAATCCTCCGCCACCGCCACCGGCGTGTCCGACTGTCTTCGCAAGCTCGGCAAGGATGTTCTCGATATCGCCATGCCGGAAGGCCTTGCCTGAATGATGTCGCGGTGGCCAGTGGGGAACCCGTTTATAGTCTAGCTATGGTAGATCGGTGAATCTAGCACTGCACTGCTTACCGTTCAGGTACGCGAAATCCGGTATGTCTCCGGCTCCAAACGCGTAAGTCTCGGAGGGGAGGAGAATGAGGACGACCGTGAAAATGAGAAGGGTAGCAGTAAAGGAATTCATCGATGTGGTCGTTGAAAGAGATGAGGACGAGCCTAGCGTATATGAAGCTTTTGCTTGGGTGTGGCGTTGAGCGATGCCAAGACAACATCGTGCACAAATCGCAAATCAGGATCCAGATGAACGGCCGATAATGACATCACTCTCCTCTGTCGACCACACAACTAGTACTGATGTTCGCTAAACTAATATTACAGAGACGATGGTATGTATTATACGTTGTACAGGCCGAGGTGCATACATCGACAAGCAGATGCTGACAGCAAAGCATTCCGAAAGACATAGTCCACATATGATCATAGCAGCATTTCAAACCTCCTGTTCTTCATCCCAGCTTCGCCTTCTTCGTCGGTGGTGGTTTGCCAGCGTCCACTCCCTTCCGCTTCGCTTGTCCGTTTGCTTGACCACCCCTAATGGGTGCGAGCAGCTCACGATACCTGTTCTGCAACTTGACCGCCATGTCGCCAACTTCCGAATCCTCGCCATTGAAGAGGATAGCGTTCTTGATCATAAGGTCTAGATCTGCTTCCAACGCGTCGATGGATTCGAATTTCTCCTGGTTGAGCTTCGAGAGGATCGTCCGCAAGTCTCGAGCGTCCTTGCGCGGTATGACGTCGAAATAGGTAGGGATTCCCAGAGCTACAGGATCCACAGGATCTCGGAACACCCATGAGCTGAGCAGATTCAACCGGATCAGTAATCACAGGAGGAGGGATGTAGGGATGCACGTACATAGGCTCGTCAATGAGTCGCTTCATCATGGCTACTAACTGCTTCCTCTCGCCGGGCGGTAGCTTCTTCTCCGCCGGCTTGGCCCACTCCTTCTTGAAGAGCTTCTCTAATGCATCGGCGCAGTTGACGGGATACGTCGTCGGAGGGTTGAATGTGCGGCAATTGTTGAAGACGAGTCCGACATCCTTCGCGAAATCCTCCATAGTTGCGTATTTTCCCTCGGCCAGCTTGGTATGCATAGTGCCGAAATCCATCGGTTCCTTGATCTCGTCGTAATACCTGTACCAAAGGTATCAGCTCCAGCCAAGTCGACGGACTACAGACGACATACGTAGGACACCCGTCTGCCACAGGGTCGACGGGGCGCATGAAGATCGGCGCTTCCGGTTGCTTCGCTAAGAGGCGCAGAATGTCCCTGCATTTCTTCTCGTTCAGCGGGGTCGCCTGGGTAGGTGCCTTCTTCGGCTTGCCATTGGCAGGCGTTACTGGGCGCGAGTGCTCCTTCTCCTTGCCTTTGGTAGACACGCGTGAAGGCGTTGGTACGTGGTCCGTCGTGGGTGGCGAAGGCTTTGATAGCTTCTCCTTCGACTTGTGAGCTGCGACCCCATTCCTGGCTGGGGCTGGAGATTCGACGCGCTTCGGAGTCGAGACAGACAGCGTAGGAGCAGATGAACTGCCAGCGGCAGGAACACTCGGTCGCTCCTTCTTAGCTGGTGTCGCAAGCGCGAGAATCTCGTCCTCGGTGGTGTCCACCTCCTCCTTCTTCCGCTTCCCGATGACTAGCTTAGGAATAGAGCGTTCTTTGCTCTTGTCCGTAGGTGGAGGTGGTGCGGGCTTCTCACGTTCTTTCTCCTTGTGAGGAGCAGGAGGTGTTCGTCGACGTTCGTGACCCTTCCCTTTCTCCTTCTGCTGTCGCTCAATAGCAATCACTTCCTCTAGCAGGTCTGCAGAACCGTCGTCGATGTCATCGAAAGGTGGAGCCAGCGCAGTATCAGGAGCAGAGACGGGAGGAGGAGGGGGCACCTCTGACAACTTCGGCTCCTTGGGCTTCTTACCCTTTGCTTTAGGAGCAGGCTTGGACGCAGCAGGGGAGGATATAGTGCCGTTGGGTGCTGAGGGGCCGCCGCCGCCACCGCCTAACTTGAGCTTGAGGATAGGGACAGGAGGCGTCGCCGCGGAAGTGGCCGTAGGTGTCGACGCCTTTGGCACCTTGGGAGGAGGGGCAGGAGTCTGGATAGGGGGCGCAGGTGAAGGCGGAGCTGGCTGCGCCTGCTCCTTCTTGCTAGCAGCTTCTAACGTCTTGTTGATGCGTACCCATGCTGCAATACAACGTAAGGCCATCGTCGCCAAATCAGGGGGACGGATACGTACTCGTGTCGAAGAAAGACTCTAAAGCAACCGCCTCCGCATGAACGAAGCTTCCGGCTACGTTGTACGTCTTCGCATTGTTGATCATTAGCCTGAAATCGGCCTCGAAAGCGAACCGGTCCTTGTACTGTCCCTGCTCCAGCTTGGCGCCCATGGTACTCAGGTCCATTGGAGACTTGATGATGTCGAAATAACTAGTACGAGTACAGCACCCATCAGCTGTGACGAAGCGGTAGATCTATAGAGACATACTTGGGTGCACGGTCTCTGACGGGATCCACCGGCTGCAGGAACACGGCTGCTTTCTTGTGGGTCTGCAGTTTCTTGAGAGCGGTCCTGCACGCCCGCAGGTCGTTCAAAGGCATGCCGCCTGACTGCGCCTTCGGGACAGCCTTCGGGATCTTCTTCTCCTTCTGCGCTGTAGCCGCCACCTTAGCAGGTACCTTTGGAACAGAGAACTCGCCGCCGCCACGTCTGCCCGACGCTGTAGGGGGCGCGGGAGTGCTCGGAGTCGGTGCGGCAGAAGTGTCGACCTGGGTGTTGCTAGGCATGATCTTGAGCTTGGTAGGGAAGGTGAAAGAGGGGAGCGGGCTCTTGGGGGTGGGTGCGCCTGACTTCAGCGAACGCTGAGACTTGCTAGAGAGCTTGACAGTAGGTAGAGGTGGAGGAGCTTCCGCAACCGGCGTAGGAGGAAGGTGTATGGTGACTTTGGGGGCTGTCTCCTCTTGACCACGGATGAGGAGGTCTGCGAGCTTCAGCAGACACCATCGGACTTCGCAATCCGTATCCGGTGCTCTGTTGCATAACACATCAATGATCAGCCACAGCAGCAGACTAACAGAGACTGCACGTACAAAGCGATAGGCATCAAGAATTCCCGAATCGCCTCGTTCTTCCCGACCTCTCGGTCCTTCCGCAAAGCCTTGATCATGAGCTCCGTTTCGGATTTCTTGTTCTCCTTGACCCTTTCCCCACCATTACCGTCTTCTTCGATCATGAGAGAGTCGGCTTCCTTTGGCGTCTTCATCTCTCCCATCGACACGAGGAGTGCTAGGCTCTGACAAGCGCTCCGAGCGACGTGACGACGGATAATGCGCGATGAGTCACTAGCCATAACGGCCAGGATGTATCGCATTATCTTCGGCGTGTACCACCTCCCCAGGAAGAGATAGTCGAAGGCCGCAATGCGCACTTGAATATAGTTGCCCTCGCTGTATACAAGTAAGCAATGCTGTCAGTATCAGATATACGTTCTCACTCACCGAGTCAGTGGGAAGAAAGGTCGAGGATCGTGCGGAACAAGGCCAGCTAGGCTGAGCAGCATTTGGAACTACAGTGATGTCAGCTTCAACGACTCACAAGTCTGTGCGGAACACACCTCAATCACAGCGACAGTCACAACATTATGATACGTAGGAATGAGACGATCCATGCTGCGATACCTATCAACTTCAGACAACGCAGCCTGCAACAACGCAGCATCCTGAGGGTCCTGGGCGGGCGCTGCATCGTTCGAGATGAACTCTCCTCGCTCCGGAGGGTGCGAGGATACGGTTGCGCAACCTAGAGCAGAGATGATGTTGCAGATGTAGAATGCATCGGCGTACTAAGGTCAAGTCTGTTAGGAACTAACCAACGCCGACATGTCGGTTCGGTCGGATGTACTTACCGGGTTGGTAGTGTTGTCGTTGTACCGCAGTTGATCAACCAGAAACTGCCGGATAACCGGTGGTGACTTGCCATTCTCGAAACGGACCCGGGAGATCGCACTCAAGATGCTCTATGCTGACGTCAGGCACTTTGACATGCCGTATAACCATCTGGATGTACGCACTTTCCGCACAAAATACTCCGCAAAGTCACTGAAGTCATTGGGACGTGGCACGTAAGTATGGCTGAACAGGTCGGCCTTTGGGTCCTCGGGCTCGTAGCAATACCGTAAGAAGAGCTTGAACAGATGAAAGAGCCCTAGCCACTCTAGTCGCTGATTGGCACACTGCAGGCACTCATGAGACTCACGCCCGGATCAATTGAAGACATTGTAAGCTCACCGTGACAAGGGCGGCCGCAGCCTCGCAACGTATCCGGAAGTAGTAGTTCGAGACCAGGACTGTCTTCGTGAAAGTACTCGAGATGATCGGATTGGGGGTCTTCGACAGAACCAGGATAGCCTACAACGAAATCAACCATTTGCCCGACACATTGTACACAACGCACACGCACCTCATACTGCGCTACGACATCCCGGTCGCGCTGAAGCTGAGAGACCCACATGTAGTCCTTCTGATCGAATGCGATGGCCGCGATCCACTCGAAATCGGCGTCGATGCGGATCCATTCGTAGGTTTGACCAGCCATATTTTGCTCGTCCTCTTCGGTCCAGTCCGCAACTTTCCAATTCTCGCGTTCCTGTTCCTTCTCCCAAATGTCCAGCCCGAAACCCATGTCTACCATATCCATCGCCGCTGCAGCATCCGCGTCGCCTTCGGCCGCTGCCTGAGCTGCGGCTTGTCGAGCGAGATAGCGCTTGGTGTTCCGCCGGACACGCTTGTACTTGGTATTAAACGGGACCTCGTATCGCTTGAACGGACTCCGGATGTCTAGGACATGTTCATAAGGAGTACCGTCGGCCTCATGAATGCGGATAGTCATTTGGCCCTATTATACGACGATATCAGAGACGCGCGCCCGGGGCTACCATCGCACTAACCTCGAAGAATGGGACAGGCTTCAGCATCATCTTCGTGATCTCGTTGTTCTCGAGGTGCTTGTATGCGGGCGCGTCCTGTCGCATCGTGATCTCGACCGCCATCTTCTTCCGATTGAACGACGCCGAGAACCCGAAGGTAGGACAACCACTCCCGTAGATCCATTGCTCGGCAAAAGAACGAGGATCGATGCCACTGACCTTCCGGCACATTCGCAGGAACGAGTGCGTAGAGATCAGATTGTTCGCCATCTCTCCACTGATCGCCGAGAGGAACAACTTGGGAAGTACACGGGAGAGGCCAAGGGACGTGCCCGACTTTCCCAGTCGACGATCCAGGATGTGCAGAACGAGCGGCGACTTCAAATTGATGAAGGATATGTTGGTGCCGTCGGGTGGATCAAGAGACTGTGGCTGGCATATTGGTGGCATGGATCCACCGTCAAGCTCGATTACTCGTTCCATGTCTTTCTTCAGCCGGTACCTATATTCATTGGTGCCGAAAAGCTTGCGCATGAATAGACCGGTGATGTAGAGGCCTAGACCGTTGACCAGCCAAGTATCCGACCACATCTTCTGCTGGATGTTGATACCGATCCACTGACAAGCGAGGGCGTGACACAGGCTATGTCGTGTTTCGTATACCTGGTCGATCACGTCGTCACCATACAGCAGGTCTACAGTGACGAGAGATAGCGTGGTTGCGTCGAAACGCTGGGTAGGCAGCTCTTCGACGAACACAAGCTTATGGGAGCCGAAAGGGTATGACCCGAACTCGTTCACGTAGAAGCTCATGGCGGACCGCATGAAGGACACTGTCGTCGTGAGGAACGACTCGTGGCCCGGCAAGCAGAAGGCGTACATGAGGGGTTGGGTGGTACCAGAGGCGTCCTCGGCAGCGCTGAGATCTGCAGGTATAGCATGGGTGTGGAAAGGCCCCGCCGCCCAGGCGATGTGTTGGACAGACGTCAGCGTGGGCTGAGAGAAGACGAAGATAGTCTTGCTCGAGTTGTAGGGATGCGACACCTGCGACAAGAATGGACGTTAGTAGGTTACAAGGCGGTGGAGCGAAGAGGCACAGAACGCACCTGTTCAACCAATTCTCCACTACAGATCACAACAGTCGGATATTCGCTATCAGCCGTGTCGTCCTCATCCTCTGACAAGACATCCTGTTGCTCCAGCGAACGAGGAACGATGAACTCGAAGTCCCATGTGCACTTCTCCCATAGGTTATCGACACAGGGAACCCAGCAGCGCGCTGCATCCGGTGAAGATGGAGTCGTGTAGACGTGGGGTACACGCTACTAGAGTTTCAGCAGACGAACTCGCGCCGCTACAGCACACTCACCGTTTGGTACGATTCTGAGGGCAGCACGAACTGAATACCATCCGCAGGGTTCTTGATGCTATACCCAATATTCACGAGTATTGGCGTGAACTCTGGGACCGGGAACAGTGGCTGGGACGGATGGCCAGGCGTTTGGGGCTCTGGGGTGGCGGCTACGCGAGCACAGGAGTCGATATGCACTGCAGCAACTGGGCCACACCAGACTCACCTTCGCTGATCAGACCATTAGCTGCTCGATGACCAGACTGCCTCAAGGAGACCTCCTTCGGAATCGCTATCGACAATTCGCCCTCGTCACCCTCTTGGAGAGCGGAGTAAACCTTGCGCTTGAGTTCAGGGTGATGATGAACATCTGTTGCGTCCGACACGCTCAGAGTTGCCAGAGGGTCCGAGTGAACGAAATCTGCGGGGTGAGAGGCCACAGTGACACTGTGGATATCTGTACGCGTGTGAGCTACACGCCAGGTTGGACGTGACAACAGCCTCCAAATATGCAACTCACCACATTGACGAGCATGTAGGTGTATCGTCTTCAGATCTTTGCTTGTGGGAACCACAGTGATCTCGGTATAACCCTATGGGAAAGACGATTACAAAGGGCGGGAGAAGGGTTGGACGTCGACGTACCCAGAGCTTCCCGGTGAAGTCGACCTCGAGAACGACCTTTTGGTGGCTAGTATATACATCACGCCAAGTCAGGTCCACCTGTTCAGACAATCAAAGGAGAGAAGGACACGTATATAGAGAAGCCTCTGCGGATGTGCTCCCTCTGCATGGTCTAGTACTCTTGACGAGCAATCCCGTCGCTGCAGCGCGTTTCCCAGTCCAGAGTCAGATCCTGGCAGAAAGAAAAGGCTGGAAAAGATGTCAACGAAGAGAAATGTGGGTGCAATAAAGCAGACAGAGGGAATGCAGGCCGTGGTTAGAGGCGACGACGACGGAGAGACCATCGACTCGTCCAACCCAGGAGAGAGAAGCGCGATTACGTAAGACCAAGACTGAACTCATCGTGCACTAGGGTTCCCAAACCGGAACTGCTTCACCTAGGGTTATAGATCGATCCGCCGATCGACAGTAGCATCCACCACCAGAAAATCTTCAGGCTTGACTCTCGTACTCCAGTCCACACCATTCACTACACATGCCTCCAAAGTCGATTTTTCGTCAGCCGGGAGCCCAGCACTTTCAGGTTGTACACCGTTCCCAGCGTGACCCACTCATCCACGACCCAGAGGCGAGCAAACATGTTTTGAAGCCGGTGCAGAGAGGGAACCTAGTCAAGGTATGACACCGACAGCCCTTGGACTTACATATGTCAAATATTCACCTTTTACTGCGTTACAGGGAAAGTCGCGGGCAGAGCTTGAGCAGCTCATCGCCCCTTCTGATCTGGCTCACGACAAATCTCGCGCCAATATAGGAGAAGCCACACTTTATGGCATCTACTTCGACGATACCAATTATGACTACATGCAACATCTAAAGCCCGTGGGATTGCAGGAGGATGGCGTTGACAGCATCTGGGTGGAGGCACCGTCGAGGTCGACGGGTAAAGCCAAGGCGAAGGATCCTATTACCCTCCTCGACCTTCCTGCAGGGACACTCGCATCTAAAGCCGAGCTCCCCAGAAATTACGAGGCGCAACAAGACATTCCCTCGTCCATCGCGGGTTTTCAGCCGGACATGGACCCTCACCTCCGCCAGGTGTTGGACGCACTAGAAGACGACGCGTTTGTGGATGGGGATCTGGAAGACGACTTCTTCGGGGAGCTAGTCGCGGACGGAGAGCGTGATGTGCATGAGGATGTCTACTTCGAATACCATGAGGAGGGCTTACCCGACCGAGAGGAAGATGCACGGGCTCAGACCGGAACAATGGATGCGGGCGAGGAGGACGAGTCCTGGGAGGCCAGGTTTGCACGCTTCAAGCAGGAGCAGAAGTCAGCTTCTCGAGAGGAGAGTCCATCTGATCTCGACGCCTATTCGGAAGGTGGAGACACCATTGGTGCGCTACCCCAGGCGTCCGTCATCGGAGGGAAGAAGCGGAGGAGCAAAGGCGCGTCGGACGCCTCGGGGTATAGTATGAGCAGCTCTTCGATGTGGCGGAATGAGCATCTTACCGTCCTTGATGAGCGTTTCGATCAGGTTCGTCTGTGTTGTTCACTTCTCCAGCCGAGTATCGCTGATTTCCATGCAGATCCAGCGCGAGTACGAATCTTCTGATGAGGAGGAAGAGGAGACCTCACTTGACGACTTGGACGAAGCCCCCGACCTCATCGCGTCTCGCGAAGATTTCGAGTCCATGATGGACGAATTCCTGGAGAAGTACGAGGTGATCGCGGGCAAGATGCGTCCGACGCTTCCCGGGACCGCCACCGATAAGCTCGACACAGTCCGAAAGGCTTTCGGAGGAGCCAAAATACGAGACGCCGATGACAGTGATTCCGAAGCTGACGATATTCTCATGCCACTGGAAGTGGACGAGAAGAAGGATAGATGGGATTGCGAGACGATACTCAGTGAGCTTGCTGTCAGGTCATCCATACCATCACGGCAATTGACTCGACCTTCTGTCAGCCACGTACAGTAGTCTCGAGAACCACCCACGGCTCATCCGGGCTAGGGGTGAAAGGCTCGTTCCTAAGATTCGTTTGGACCCCAAAACTGGGCTTCCGTCCATTGTAGAGGCTTCCAAGCAGCCACATCCTCCGACAGATACTTCCGCGATGGATGAGGAACAGGATCCCCGGCGTAAGCATCGCTTTCTGAAAATGTAGATATAGCGACTAAGTCCCCATTTAGCTGTCCGAGCTACCATCACTCGTTCCAAAACCGAAACGGCAGACGAAAAGAAGGCTCGCAAGCATGCCGTGAAGGCAGAGCGCCAGGCTCGCCGGCTAGACAAGAAGGCAACCAAAGAGAAGTTCTCGAAGGAGGTCAAGCAGCAAGCGCAATCTCTTGCGCAGAAGGAACAGTCAAAGATGCGGAAGCTATAGTGGCCCAGATCGGCTATGTCGTAGGCTAGGAGGCGTTAGATCATGACGTATCATTGCAGGGTATCTTAGTAAATGATGCGTGGGAGCCTGTTAACTACCAGGGCGTCATAGGTGTGCAAGAATGAACCAAGATGCTACAGGAAATGACAATTACAACTACAGGTAGTGTTCCAAATTACCAGTCAGGCCACAATTCAAGGAGATTGTTGCCTTCTTCCTCGGGGGCGTCGTGCTGTTTCATCCACCTGTCCGGAACCTGTGTTCCGGCTCATCAACGGCAACTTTGAGTGATTGAGCACAAAATTACTCACTAAGGGGAAGTACCGCTCCATCGCACTAAGGAAACGGTGTCTGTATTGCTTAGGGCCGATGATGGTCGGCTCTCCCTTGTTGGCGCCACCAAGGAATGTCGAATCCTTGACCCAGCTTTCTAACTTCTTGTCCCATGTATACGTTCTGATGTAGTCTGCATCGGGGAAGAATCAGCAGCCACCGATCTATGAAAGGAAGAAACCTCACGCACCGACTATCCCAACTACCAGTTCATTCTTCGCGCTATCCACTCCGACCACAAGAGAATAGTCCATGACGTTGATGTCAGCCAAGAACTTGCTGTCGTTGAACAAAGCGCCGCGCAGGATACGTTTAGAGTGCTCGCGGAGATAGAATGGCGTCAGATGAGCGGCTAGAGGTTGGTGGTTCAATCGTAGGTACCCCGTGCACTGTTTGGCCTATGTGGCTTACTTTGCACCAGGTTCTCGTCAAGTAGAACCTCATTCTCCCGGCCAGTTGATTGAACATGTCTGTTGCGAGTGGACCCCTTCAAATCGTATATCTGCAATGCGGAAACGTGAGTTTGGAGGACGTCTCAATGGAAGGCACCAACCTTGGAGAAGTGTCTATCATAGAATAGATTCTCCATGACGAGTAGGTTCATTTGAGTCGACTTCGATTTGTTGCTACTATTTTGGTGCTTCTGCGTTTTCCTGAACGTGATCTTGTAGCAACCGAAGATCTTCGCAAGAAGCGTAGGACGCTGTAGCATGTTTAGTGAATAAGCTCTATCCCATAAAATAGCACGTCCCTTACATTAGCGACAACAGCGGAAGACATGTAGTCGAAGTATGCAGGTGCAAACGTCTCCATTGCTTGAAGCTCTGTACGAGAAAGTTCCTTGGCGATGAAACGATCGTCTTACCAGTACATCAGCATTGGGTGAGACCGGCTGGAAACCCGTCTACGTACCAAGTGTCTTCAAGAAGGCGGATCCAGACTTGCCGCCGCTGGCATCAAATTTCACACATCGGGCTAAAGACTCGATCATGCTCCGCTCGCAATCGTACGTCCGGCGCAGTGCGTCGAACTGCTCGGGATACAGTACGGTACAGCTGATGGTCAATCCCCCGCTTTCGAAAGCTGCCGAAGACATCAGACAGCGACTACACCGGCATTGAAAAGGCACTCACAGATTGCCCATGGGAGCTTCGAAGAGGGTACCCGCAACTCCTCGGTTGGATCCGCGCCATCAGTGCTGTCGACATTGACCACCCCCCAGGTTGACGTCGACTCCGCGATAGACCAGTCGTCGGGCATGAACGCTTCTCCCCCAGACTCTCGCGCCAGCCGCTTTTCCGCTCGAGACTTCGCCAGCATCTCGCGGTATTGAGGTGAGCTAAGGAGGGACGTTCAAACCAGATACAAATGGCAAAGATGATGCACCTACTTCAATGCAAGCGCGATGATGGACGTTGGCTCGTCAGTGCGCACCACCATGGACGAGTCGCGGAATATGTGTTCCGGATCAGCCATGGGATCATCCGCGTCGGCTTCGGATCGACCCCGGTTGGGAGCTTGTTGCTGCCAAAGACCAGAGATAGCTTTAAGGATGGAAGACCGTCCTGATGGGCCGATATCGACATCGGTTGGCGGCGGAGTCATCGGGGCCATACCACCAGCGTTGGTCGGTGAAAGCATTGGAGAACTCATGACTGACGGAGGTATCTCTGACTCCTGAGGAGCAGAGGGACCTACCATGAGCGTGTTCTCCGTAAGCTGATCTGGCACAGTATTGCTGCTCGAAGCGGTGGGAGGCTCTTCTAAGGTGGACTTGACCTGGTCATTCGGAGCTGGAGCCGGAGCCTCGTGGATCTTCTGAGGACTTTTCCGAGGGCTTTTCTGGTCAAGATTGTCATCGTCCTCTCCCCCGCCTTCATCGTCCGCCTCGCTCGAGTCAGAGCTCTCCGATTCGTCTTTGATCGCATCTTTGATGCTCTCCAAGACCTCCACCTTCGCACGTGCGGACGCCACAGGACGCGCACGTTTGCCGCGAATGACAGCGTACCGACGACTCGCGCGCTCGGTCTCCCTGTTGATGCGCTCAAAGTGCTTCGCGATGTTCGAAACCTTAGAGCCCGCAGTTGGTGGCCGCCTAAAGGTCGACTTCGAGCCTGCGATGCTAGCTGGACGCGGAGGCGGGGCCTTGTCCTTGAGCCCGAGGCGCATGGCTGGCTTCGGCCTGTTCTTGGAGGTAGTGGAAGGTGTGATGTTTCTAGTAACGGGTGGCGGCGAAGACCTTCCGGGCCGCATAGTGGAGTCCGTATTCGTGCGAGAGAGTAACGGCCGTTTGTCAGGAGACGTCCGCCGCGATGCACTACGGGAGTCGGGATAGTTAACCACAGGGATCCGACTTCCCAGAGCTGGCGGTCCTGGCACTCGCTTCGTCAGGTACTTGGGAGCGATGTTCGCGGCATAGCTAGACTCGAAGTCAGATACAGAGGAGCGTTTACTGAGGAACGGCTGTTGACGGGTTTTATGGCGGGTGCGCGGACGAACAGCTGGACTGCTCTCCTGCTCACTCTCGGAGACAGGCACGCCAGGAGCGAGGGCGGTCTTGGTCAAGTCCTCTACACCTTGCGGAGGGAGGTAATCCTGATATTTCCTTACGAGTTCGGCGACGCTGGGGTACACGGCCACCCTCCGAGGCAGCCGTGATGCGACAGCTTGAGACGGTTTAGGACCATCGTCGGTCGACTCCACAATATCCGCCTGCATGTGATAGTTAGTACGGTAGTTCACTACATGTATGTGGACTGACCTGCTGCGGCGATGTGGCATCATCTGAGAACACGCTATCTTGCCGACCTCGGCCAATTGTGGAGTCGCTTTCGGGGTCAGACTTATTCGACTCCTGAGTGTCCCCAGAGATCTCAGCCGCAGGAAGCAACGTGCTTCCGGTCTCCTCTGGCGTGGTCGTGGTCACTGTTGTCTCTGACGGGGTCGTCGTCTTGTCTTCCACCTGCGGAAGCAGAGTGTCTGACTCCTTATGCTGTTCCGAAGAACCGCCGACAGACTCGGACTCGGATGCCTCGGACGCAGAAGACATCGACACGAAGGAATCACCCGTGACTCGGCGCATGGTTGGTATAGTAGGCATACTCTCCTCGACCTCGGATACGCTCGCCGGGGCGCCGCGGTCGAAATCTAGGATGTAGAAATCCCCTCTCTTAGGCAACATAGCCCTCACCGAGTTGAACGCCGTCGACCGTCGCCCAGCTATCTTCTCAGACTGCGAGATGCGCGGCTTCGGGAGACGATCGAAATCCTGCTGCCACGCGACAATCCTATCTTGCCGGTTCGCGCGAACCGCGTTGAGCGCGAGCGTGTCCGTGGGCGACGAGTCCTTGTAGATCCGATCGATGAGGTTGGCTACGTCCTCCTTCTCCCACTCTGCCTTGTTGATGAGAGCGTTGATGTGTGAGTTGAGGAGGGCGTCCGCCTCCTCGTCTCCCGTCGCCGCGTCGATTGTGATTAGACGGAGGTCGTCGATCAGCGCGGAGTACCAGGCGTTGTTACGTTGGTGAAGCCGATGATAGTCTGCGTTCTTGATCTCGAGCTGCGTCTCCGAGCGGACACGGATGCGCATTGGGGGATAAACGACCTCGTGCAGGACGATCGGGTCCGCGACAAAGCGAACGGTCATGCCTTTGATCGCGAAGTAGCGTACGTGGTGTTGGTAGATGTTGTGCTGGCACCCTGCGCCCTGGACGAGCTGGACGTCCGCGGGATAGAAGTGCAATTCCAGGAACTTGGCGAACGAATACCGCTGCATTTCCTGAGACACGGGGATGAACGGCGTCGCGGAGCCGCAGACCCGACACGCACTCCAGGTGATGATGGTCTCAGGCGAAGGAGCCCAATTCGCGCGATTAATGATCTGGCCATCCCATTGCTCTACCGCAACGCAGATGCGTGTCTCGTTGTGCACGAAGAACTTGCAATGTCGCGCCAGCGGTTGGTTGCAGCTCTTGTTCTCGCAGATCGCCTTCGGGTCCAGAAACTGCCTAAGGGTGTCCATGACGGCCTTCTCGATAAACTGACCTAGGGTGCAGTCATTCTCCCCATAGAATGTGATGTACTCCAGTTTGGGCGGGAAGCAAGCGCGGTGAAGGCCGACTTCGTCGATCGGTAGTGTGAGCTCCCAAAGACTGATGCACTGGTACTTCTCTACTTGGAAGTCGTCCCGGTTCTTCCGTAGGTACCATTCCCATATGCGACGCTGCTCCGAGTGCTGCAGCTTGACATGCTGGTAACGGCTCTCGAGGGCGATGTCTTGCGCGGTCTTCAGCTGCAGCGGCGGCCGATCGAGAGGCGTGCGAGGAAGGGGTGAGGCGCTGAAGTTCTGCGTGAAGAGGCCGGGGGAGATAGTAGGAACGAGGTCGAAGTAGCCAGGGCGATCGTCAAGTCGGCTACCGGTGCCTTCGTCGACAGTGGGAGTCCTCGGGATATCTGGGAGCGGGAGAGACTCGATTTGTGCAGCAACGTCGTCGGGGTCCGGCGTGGACGCAGTGACCTGGACAATGGTCGCGGAAGACTCCTCCGGCTTGTGTCCGGAGCTACCCCGTTCCTCGCGGCGAATGACTTCGTCCTCCCATTCGCGCTTGACACGTATGAGTTCGTCGTCTAGCTCTTTCATCCGCCGAATGGGGTATGGCGGGGGGAACCGCAGTGTGGCAGATACGGATATGAACGTCTTCCTGTACGGTTCGAGGGAGTCTTGAATCCGCCGCGAAAGTCGAATCTGCTCCGCATCCTCATCCGGAAGATCTTCGATGGGGTGATCCTTGTTGATCTCCAAAGCGTCCTGGTTGAAGGCTGTCGCGTGAACCGTAGGGTAGCCGTTGCCGGCGATCGGGGTAGTGGCATCAGAGCTGTATTGTGGGGGTGTGGCCTCGGCTGTCAAAGGGGGCAGTGTAATGACGGAGTCTTTCCAGAGGTGAGTCTCGAGCTTCAAGTTCCGGACGATGAAAGCCAGGAATCGAGTGACTTTCTTGACACGGCGAAGGACTTCGATGTCTCCGCCGCGCAGCAAGATAGTACACCCCATCTCGCTGTTGCAACCCTCAAAACGCATGTACGTCTTACGTCGTCCCGGAATCAGTGGATGGTCGAACGTCTGCAGGCGGAAGCGAGCACAGTGCCCTAAGTGTGGTTCCAACGCGAGCTTATCCATGGACGAGAATACATCGCCTTGAGTCATCCGTGCCACGAACTGCACTGCGGATGGCTTCACCGCACGCGCAACCGCGATCTGACGCTTCGCGAGGGCATCCAAAGCCAGCCTGGAGACAGACTTCTCGGCAAGGACGACATGCGGTCGCAGTGCTGCAATCCGGCTCGCCAAGTTCCCAAGGTACTCTTTCTCCTGACGGAAAATCTGTCCGAAGTGCATGTACTGGCCTTCTACACGATGGAATTCCAGCGGGAACGTCACAAGCATGATGCGCGGATTTCGCAAGGTCCGCGTCATTTGCTTATGGGCGACGTTCTTCGTGATGACTGCACCATCTACATACTCGGAGTCTTGAGGAGCGCCCCCCGGAATCTTCTTGATTTTCACGTACCGCCGTACGTCCATATCAGCACCTTGGCGATGAGGATGAGCGGTGAAAGTCAGCTCGCGAGCTACTCGGAGGGCAAGCTTGAGCAGCGTCTCCTCCCACTCCCTGAGGTTGGGGATGTCCTCGGACATCAGCATCTGCCGGAGCATGACCCGAAGATGGAACATGGAGATAAGATTGAGTTCCTGTGCATAGCTACAGATGTGCGTTAAATTAGGCTACAACATCGAGAAGCATGAAGTCCACTTACGCTGTGCTCTCTCTTCTCGTGCGCCATCCGGGTTCGCCAATTGCTGAGGTGCTGAAGCTATCTCCCAGTCGGCTCTGCACGCGACTGCGGATGAACGGTGGGGATGCGTCGAACTCGACGGACGAGTTGAAACGTGAACGTAACACCCCAGGACTCTCGATGGCAAGGGGCTGGTCGGGGGAACTCAATGGAAACTGAACGGTACTCGTCCCACCTTCCACGGTGACGGGGACAGTGACGGGGAAGTCGATAGGTGTCTTCGAACCTGCTGCCGTTGGAGAATCGCGCTGGAATTGGTCTGCCACAGATATCGGATCCTTGTCCTCTTCGGTGAGGGCTCTTCGAAATGGTACAGGATTCTCGCGGAGGAATTTTGAAGAACCAAATCCGTCAAGCGGGGTCATGGGACGGGATCCGAACCCACTGTCTTCAGAACCCGAGCGGGTTCGCTTGGTCTCCGCTATTGAGAACAAGCTGAAGGGTTCGTCCGTACGACCAAAGAGATGAGATGCTGCGAAGGGTGATTGTGGGTGAACAGACAGGTTGAACGACCGCGATTCGCTACCGAACTGATGTGCGGCGAAAGGTGAGGACAGGGAGGTCATGACGGAACGACGGTCGTCCTCGTCCTCGTCTTCATCCCCTTTGGCCAGCTTGTCAAGACAAAGATTGCAAACCCGAACCATCCCTTCGTGGCCGAACCGAGTACCCTTGATGATATTCGACGCGCAACGAGAGCAGAATATTTGACCTGTAGGCTATCAGGACCGAGGGAATTGTCTTCAACGAGAAGACATACCGCATATCCGGCAATGGTGCTTTCTTCTCCACGTCGTGAATACACTCTTGCAGTCGTAACACTCCTTGCATAGTTCGTCGTCCATCCAATAGTCGCGTGACAGCCCTACGACGTCATGAAGCTGGATGTATGCACGAGAATATAAATACTTACCTTCACCCCGTATCCTCCGTATAACTTTAGACACAGACGCGGACCTCCGCAAGCTGACGTTGGTACGAATGCTGCGCGCATCGCTGTCCTGTATAGGAAAGCCAGGGATGGAGTATCCGCCTCCATCTGGGGTGTCTGGGCGATAGATACCTGCACGAGAAGGCGGGCGATCATCTGCAGCGTAGGATGGAGTCTCCGAGACAACAGGAGTCAAGGAGACGAGCGGGGGCGCAGGATTGGAGGAATTAATATTGAACGGGTTCGCCCTGTCCGACCCTGACTTATGAGACTGGTTGGAGTTGGAATACTGGAGGGACGGTCGGCGCTGATCTGGAGTAGCTTTCTCGGGAGCAGTACTTGGATATGCAGGCGCGGCGGAGGGGCCGGCTGACGAGAGGGGTGCAGAGAGAGTATTCTTGACCTTGGAAAACAGGGAAGAGACAAGAGCGTATGAAGACTGGTCATGTTCATCCTCCTCGGAGAACGGATTGAATGATGTCAGGCTGGTCACATCGTCTACTATCTTCGTGCTGCTTCGGGACCTAGACGAAGGGGCGCTGTGGGCGGGATTAGTCGAAAGGGATTCTATCGAGGAGTCCATGCCGTTCATGAATAGCCAGCGATGGACATCGTAGGTCGTGTACTAGGAGAGAGCGGAGTGTACGGGAGAGGCAGTCCCAGAGACTGCTAAGCGACGACCAGAAACGGATTGAACTATGTCACCTCGATAGGTGCAGTCGGCCATATCGGCCCGGGTGCGACCTCCCTACAGCCAATCAGTGATCACGCACTGGGCGCTATGTGCGCTTGCGCAAGTGCGTTGTGTACAGTGCTGAGAGAGTGTACTGAGCCTTTGCGCCACAATCACCTCTACTTTCTTTCTTTGACTTCGTCTTCTCGCTGCCTGGCATTTCCTTCCTGGTCTCGCCAAACTATCTGTAGCATAGCCTTCAAGTCATGGATGACGATGATGCCGATTACATGCAAGGCTCCGAGGATGAGGTCGGTGTACGACCCAAATACAGCCCTTCCTATAGCTCATCGTCTGCGATCGCAGGACTACGGCTTCGACTACTCCGACGACCCCGGTGACGAGACTGGCAGCGCAGATGTTGAGAACTTGTACTACACCGCCAAGTGTGAGTCCCATTTTCCGCCGCCGTAGCTGTAACATCCCTGTAAGTCTGTCACAGCCAAAAAGGAGGACAATCCCGAACAAGCTTTGAAGGAGTTCCGTGCTATCGTTGATCAAGAACAGGAGAAAGGAGACTGGTGAGCACACGTACGTTCATCTGAGACTTGCGTTCGGACTGACCCATGTGGGGTAGGGGCTTCAAGGCGTTGAAGCAGTCCACAAAGCTGCTCTTTCTAGTACTACACAGGCCAGCCGAGGCCATCAAGACCTATACTGAGCTGTTGGGCTATACAAAGTCTGCTGTGACTCGCAACTATGCCGAGAAGACCATAAACAGCATCTTGGATTACGTCGGCGGTGGTAAGAGTGGTCCCGTGGAAGTCAATGTCCTTGAGCGTTTCTACGAGGCAACTAAGGCTGCTCTTGCGGAAGCCAAGAACGACGTCAGCGCATCCCAACTCTGCTTGACATGTGATGGCTCGCTGAATTGTATATCTAGAGGTTGTCCGCGAAGACCAATCTGAAACTTGCGAAGCTGTGGCTCGACCGCAAGGAATATAACCGACTGTCGAAGGTTCGGTAAATGGTCGGTCTTGCTGGAGTATCCCTCATGCATTCTGTGCATCAGATCCTCAAGGAGTTGTACACATCCACCATTGGTGAGAGCGGTGAAGACCAAGCGCAGAAAGGTACCCAGCTGCTTGAGATCTACGCGCTTGAAATTCAAATGCACAATGAGCGCAAGAACTATAAGAAATTGAAGGTGTCTACGGCTCCCCTCTTCCCTCTGGCACACGATTTGAACCTATCATACACGCAGGAAATATACAACGCATCCAATGCCGTGCGGTCCGCAATTCCCCATCCACGCATCCTGGGCGTGATCAAGGAGTGTGGCGGCAAGATGTGGATGGGCGAACGTGGGTCTCTTCGAGCGATGATGTGTCTCGCGTGGTCTAATGAGACACACAATTCAGGGCAATGGAATCGTGCAAGCGAAGACTTCTTCGATTCATTCAAGAACTACGACGAAGCCGGGTCTCCTCAACGGATACAGGTCCTCAAGTACCTCGTACTTGCAAACATGTTGACGGGAAGCGAGGTCAATCCGTTCGACAGTCAGGAGACCAAGCCGTCAGTCACATATAACTTCCATTTCCGCTCATTCCAATACCCTTCCCTACAGGTACAAGAACGACCCACAGATCAAGGCCATGACCGACCTCGTCGATGCATACCAGCGACGTGAGGTCCATGCCGCAGAGAAGATCCTCCGAGGTATGTAAGCATACCGTGAGTTTGCTTCGCCCTTCTACAACATTTTACTGCAGACAACAAGGCGACAATCATGGACGATTCGTTCATCAAGTCGTACATCGGCGAGCTGCTCCGAAGTCTACGAACACAGTATCTCATCGACCTGATCAAGCCGTACACTCGTCTCGAGCTAGCGTTCCTGTCCAAGGTACGCTTCGGGAATTCTACACAGTTTGGGCATTACCTCTGAGCGTCAACACGCAGCAACTGAATGTAGACACTGACGAAGTCGAAGAACTTCTGATTGGCCTAATACTCGAAGGCAAAATAGAGGGTCGGATCGACCAAGTCGCAATGCGCCTCGAGCTCGAGTCACAGTGCGTGTTTCGTCGCGTACACCGTTTGTTTCATGCTCAGCAATGTGACCGTCTACAGGCACAGCCTGCAAAGGAAGCGCTACAGCGCGTTGGACAAGTGGACAGCAGCGCTCGAATCTATACACACCACCGTCATCGGCAAGAACCACAGCGGCGCTCGAGGAGATTATGGATTTGGTATGGGCGATGGATTCGGTTCAGGATCGGACCGGTGGTAGGAGAATATGCGCGTTGTCGCGGCCAGCATGGCCCTGTGTTTTCGATTGTAGCCCATCTGTATCGTCATAACCTTCCGTTCCCTTGTACCGTATTCGTCACTTCAGCGCTTCTGGGAATGCATTCGGTAACTGTCCTTGCTGTTCTGTGCGTTTGAAACGCCGCGACAACTCGTCGAATGTTTTAGGTTCAGTTGAAATCCGATTAGTCCGAGGTGTGTACATTAGTCAAAGACAGCGAGGTGACCGCGAGCGGACAGCGTTAAGACTCCACCCGACATGTCTAGCCACCACCGCGTCAGTCTCGTCGTCGCGGGCCACAGAATGAAGACCGGTGGAAACATACCGCAGCTATGAAGGACGCACAATGGGAGTAAAATCGTAAGTCCACCCGTTCCTGGGTGGCGTATCTGTCGGCGTGCGCAACTCCCTGGGGAACAAACCCCGTATTCTCGCCTCCACCGCCTTCTTCTCCGGGCCTTTGAGTTTCTTCAGCAGATCGGTCTCCGCTGGGCTCCGCGCTCGGGGATCCTCCTCCTTGTTTGCCTCCACATACAGATCGGGGGCGACAAACCGTAGCGTCTCCATCGCGTTGCGCACGGACTCAAATTTCCGCTGGAGCTCGGACGCGCGCGCACGACGGACGTGCCGCTGGTGGAGGAACCACGCGCGCTCGATCGTCTCGTGGGCCTGCACGGAGGGGATGGCACGCTGCAGCCGCCGGCCGACATCTGGTCTCCAGGAGCCCACGGGGGAGGGCCGGTTGCGGATGTTGGAGGGATAGAGGGCGCGGCGGATGATATCATTCTTGGGGTCGCCGCCAGACTCCTGGCGACCGATGTACCGCACGGAGGTCTGGGAGACACGGAGCGCGAGCTTCTGTTTGCTGACCGCGAGGAGCGACGAGGACATGATGACAGCAGGACGAGCCTTGAGGACGGCTAGGAGGTGGACGCTCGTCGGTGCGGACGTCGAGAACAAGTTTTGAAACTCCGCTGGAGCGTTCTGCACGTCGGGCGCCTTGGCATTTGACGCGCCCGACCATGGACGTTACGGACATGCTATCTTATTCTCCTCGCCCGCTGTTGAACTCCCTGATCTACCTATGGAGGAAGACGGGCGATTCCGCAAGCTTGCCTTGCTATTCTGACGCTCCATTGTCTGCGCGCTATCAGATTATTTAAGTAGGCTGTGCCTCCGGCACTAAGTACTGCAAGGCAGACAAGTACCGTTGAACACTTGTTGAACACATGCGAGCGTCACAGTCTTGCAGCTCTGTTTCATGGTGTTTCAACGATGCTTATCACCATGACCGGCCCCCTCACCGTGGTACGCGCCGTCCTTGCGACGGCTTCTCGGGTGAGGCGACCTAAGTGGGTTACCTGAACCACGCCACGACGATGGAGAGAGTCATGCCTGACCGCGTGGAATATCCTCGCACCATACAGAGGCGGTATGCCTCTCATGGAGAGGTTCTAACCGTTAAGTCTTAGGAAAATCAGGAAGCAATAATACGGTTATCCTACCATCACGAACGCCGTGACCCCCTTAGGAAACTTCCTTCAAACACGTTGCTCAGGTGAGTAAGTCTGGATAAAGTTACGATTCCGGCGAAGCTCACATTGAGCCCACGGCCCATGAGAAGCAACCTTCCGCGTCAGCAGCCGGCCTCCTGGGATTGGCCGTCCGCCGACCCACACGCACCACCAGCTTTCGATCGTTCATAGGCCACTTCACAGACACTCCTTGTCGCAGGTATCATTATGTACTACCCGCCATTCATGAATCGATCACGAAGCGATCTCTCTCGCGGGCGGGGAGCGAGGCATCCAAATATCCTCCGGTTCGTTCGACATGTCCTGGAATAGGGGTTGGACCCTTGATACATGGACAACCAGATGTGCCTATCGACGTGACAACGGCTATCGAGGCTTGTAGTGAAGCGATGCGCTCGACTTCCTTCGACTTGCCCCTCGGCGGCTTTTGTGGTCATCAGACTTCCAGAGGTGATATCCATTCCATTTATCCTACGGTGCATTCGTATAATAAAGTCCCGACTGCATTGTGGAAAATTTGACCATGCGATCACAAGGACCACCCTATAGACCTTTTTTGAAAGCGAAGGGCTTGCGACTCAGTGCTCAAAACGAGCCGCTCTGCCGCGCATGTTGGAGTGTTGGCAGCCGTGCTGCAGAGCTCAAGGCATACCAGTGGTCCGGTGCATTGGCAAGGCTACACTCAGCTGTCTGATGTGCGCGCGATCTGGTTCCAACATTTGGCGGGCGTTGACCGCATAAATCAACGTGTTAGGGAAGAATCGTAGCAAGTTCACAAAGCATCCCGTTGTCGCCGCCGCCCGTCTTTGCGAAATAGGCGGATGACACCGTCAGTCGCACCGACTCAGGGGAATGGAGTTGGAATGACAGCATGAACACGTCCCAATCACTATTTTCGTCGAACAGCCTGTCACATCAACGGCATTGTCCACTGAAAAGGCCGACGAACAGGGGAGCCCAAGTCATCTGGGGTCAAAAGGTTCGGTATCTATGTACCCTTGGGCAGACACTCGCCGGATCATTGGTTGATCCCAACTGAGGTGTCCTGCTCAAAATGGTATGCACAGCATACAAACGCTTTAATCCCGCCACCTCGAGAGATACTGTCCCATGAGTTAAACGGTTCACCTTTCCCCTGTTTTCGACCTGACTACCTGTGATATTCAAGCGGTCAAGGCTGTTTCTCGCTTTCTATAGAGTCACTAAGCACATGAGGGACATTGACTCGACTGCTCAGACGGCATAAACGTGGCTCCTGTTTAATAAAGGTCAAGCCGTGCATGACAGTTTGAGAAAGCAGGGTGCCGATAACACGCGGACAACCACCATCAACCTGGTTCTTGGACGTTTGTGCGACTCCGAACTTGGTCAAAAATCCAGAGATCGCCACAGGGCGGCTCCGAATTGCCTCTTTGGGAAAATAATCGTGGACGGCCACTTGTCCGAGTCCGCTCATCATATTCGTCCTGCACCATTGCCCCGATGTCGCTCGCCGCCCTGCAGCTCGCAGCTCGTTGCCGACAATGTAGTGGAACTATGCGACTGCTGGTACGTCCCGCACTTCCACTCTGCGCGACATCGCTCAGCCACGTATATAGAGGCAGACACCTCAGAGACCATTCCACCACAGCGCCGCGGTTCTCGCTCGGCGGGAGAAGAAACCACCTGCCCTGTCGAAGAAGCAACTAGCTGCAAAGGAGAGGAAGCGGGCCAAAAAGGCACCCAAGAACATCTACGATAGCGAGAAGATGACTTTGACGGATGCGGTGGAGGTCTTGAGGGTACGTTGCGTCTATGTTCCGTCTATGTCATCCACCACGCGTGTCTTGACTTGGACCGTCAGGCCGTCGAAGTTGCGTCGCCGAATGCTACATACGAACTCGTTGTCAAGACTGAGATGGGCAAAGGCTCCACCATACCAAAGGGTCGTTTCGATTTGCCCAGGCAGACGAAGGAGCAGACGAAGGATCGCATTTTGGTTTTTGCTGAGGGTAGACAGGCGGAGGAAGCGAAGAGGGCCGGGGCAGATATCGTCGGCGGTCTCGAGTTAGTCGAAGGTGTAAGTTGTTATTCTCTGTCCAGTATGTTGCCTCTCCCGACTCCCGGGACAGATCATCAGTGGCCGCCACCAGGCCACCATGTTCCTCTGCAGTCGCGCCCTCATTCGCCCTATTACGCCCAGGCTTGGACGTGTGCTTGGACCTCGTGGTTTGATGCCTTCCGAACGTAGGGGCACCGTTACGGACGATATCGCTGGCTATATTCGGAGGTTGAAGGGTACGAGCGAATGGAAGGGCGACAAGGAGGGCACCATCAGGCAGCCTATAGCGAAGGTGAGGCTCCTTTCACACGTTTCGAGGCGGTATTCTAACTCTATGTGTAGATGTACTTCCCTGTCACCGATGTAGTCAAGAACATCCGGTACTTCTTGGGTGTCGTGAAGCGTGCTACAGGTAATGTTCGCGATCCCCAAGTGGACTCCAACAAGAAGGAGACCAGCCAGAAGCCTGGTGAGTTAGCGTCTCAACTACAGATCGACCTTCACTCATGATGTTTCAAGTCAATGCGATCACTCGCGTCTTGCTCAGTACCCAGCAAGGACCGAGCATCCAGATAGCGGATGCGTAGTATCGCGGAGCTTTTGATTACTGTCTTATTGAACTGTATAACCCGTAATGGCAATCAGGTTTCCCTAGTGGTAAACTCGATCCCTGCTCTTGAACCGCCGACCCTTTCCCTTGAACTCGTAGTCAGTCGTTGTACTTACGGCCTATCATGAGGCTCGGCCTCGCAGGGCAATAAGCGGGATCTAGGAAGAAAGAAAGAACTCGACCCCACCGTGGCAGTATGATCTCACCATGTCGACGCGCAATGAAAGGAGTGTGTCATTAACAAGTCCTGCGTCGTAGTAGGGTGTAACGCGGGAGCCTAAGTCCCATAGTAAACATGATGGCAAATGGACTACGTGTCATAGCTTTCCGCTATCCGTCTCGCCCTCCTCTGGTCACGTCTGCGCTCTTTGATATCTTCAGCGAGCTTTGCGTAACTTGCCTTCTTGAAATCTGCTTTGTGGTGCCTCCGTTTACCAATATCCTGACCCTGAGAGGGCGTGTCACCTGGATGAGCAGGCTGACGGCGCAGTTGGGGAGGATTCTTCGGCTCGTGAGGGAAGATGTCTCCCCAGCTAGACTTCCGAGCATCATAGTATGGTTGCTTCCCTTGCGACTTTGGTATTGTCATACGCATGATTTGACCTGCAATGTATATGTTAGAGCCGCTAGAGATAGAGTTTACGGCAGGGTATATACCCTGTGGATGGCACACGTCGAGAATGACATGTCCGCTACGCTTGATAGGAGGGAAAATTAGACGAGGCCAACTGTACGCCTCCTGTCTCAGCGCAGAGGTGACCTCGGCGGACACCTCGGCGGACGCGAGCTCATGGCTCTCATTTGACGCCTCGGATGATTCCAATATCCTTGAAGACTCCTCTTTGTGTGAGAGCTCGGTCTCATCATGGAGATCGCTCGCTAGGGACAAACGGTTCATAGGCACAGAGTCTGCGGCACGTTTTGCGAGTTCTCGCAGGCCTATGTCTCCGGCTCGACCGGCTTTGGCAGAGGTCTGAGCCGGTCGAGGCCCACGCCGGATGACGACGTAGGAATAGTCCATGTTCTCATGGCCAGTTCCGGAGTGTTTCGTCTTGCGGACAAACTCAGGGCGTTGCATCCGCTGCGAAAAAGTGCATTGCAATTTCCCATAACCAGGGTGGTATAGGGGGCAGGCACCGTCGTGAGGACACTAAGAAACAATTCAGCGCATTGGTACTTGACGAGACGTAAGCCATACCGGAGCAACGACATGGGCGCCCCTAGGGGATGATCCCGCAACCGTGGGATCCTCGACCTCTTTCTTCCCGAGTTTCAGAAATTGCTCCCTTGCTTCTGCGATGTTCTCAAAACTATGGTCAATAAGAACCTGATGACGAACGATGATCGGATTCAGCATAGAGAGGTATGCCAAACCCAGAAGCACATACAATGACTTCAGCTCCACTCTCCCACATCTCCTTAATCATAATCTTCCTATCGACAGGAGTGGGAAGGGAGGATAATAAGAAAGCTGACAATGCCACAGCGCTGGAACTTTCTACTGGGTCAACAGCATCGTCGTCGTGGAACGACTTCTGCCAAGCCGCATGAAGGCTGCCCATGTCCAGATCTAAGGGAGTCCTGTAAGGTTAGCGGCTCTATTTGCGGCAAGCGACGACGTACCTCGGATAATGCGCTTCCCAATACGGACAAGGCCTTCCCGCTTGTCAATCCCAAGGTAGCTGCTAAGGCTCGTCTGAGATATCCGGATATCTTCCACGTCTTGCGCATTCCTTCCGTCTGCGTCGGGTCGCCTTTGGAACACATGTCCTGATGCCCTGCGTTCAAGGAACGGGTTATGACACCACCATGCTTCCAGAGAGAGTTTCACACAAACCACAAACCACTCCCCGTTGCAGCGCCCCAGTCTATCACGCGGTCTACTTGCCAATCTGCGCCCATGCGGCGTTTGATGTGGTCGAGGACTGCGTAAATCACGGAGTAATGGGAGGGCAATGCGACCGTAGCGAAAGCAGTCGCGTCTCTGAGCGCATGTCGACCGGCCTCCTTCGCCGAATTGTAGCGCATGTCGAAGGTTGAGTTCCACTCTTCACCAGTCACGGTCTCGTTCAAAAACAGCCGCTTGGCGTCCTGACGAAGTGTGGGCTTGTCCGAGTCTAGCACCACATCAGCCGCGCGAAGTAGAACAGGTAAGAAGCGCAGGTAACTCACCTGCAACGAGCCGCGAAATGGCCGATTGCATCTCGAACGGAAGCACTACCGCACCAATACGTTGACTTCCAAATGCAGCTGCAGGAGATTTCCTTCCTTCCCCTCGGTTGGAGCTTTCGTCTTGAGCATCGAGTTCCGCGGACGTCAGATAATCGACCGTTGTATGGGGATCACGGGGGAAAAGCTCAAGTTCTCGAGGCCCGTGAGACCCGGATGTGTCATGCGGAGCCTTGCTGCGTAACGACATCTCGACGTCTCTGAGGAGAGCCTGGAAGGCGGGATCTAGTTCGAGAGGCGCGTTGGGTTGGTGCGAGGGAGAGGAGCCTGAAGCGTAGCGCACTAGCTCAGCTTGTCGCCGCCAACCTGTGTTGATCGCTCTACGACATCCTAGACGTAGCATAGTCACAGGTTGCAGCGGCCAAAGTGGTCGTGACAAAACAGTGTAAGGCGGCGAGACGATGGAAAGCGCTAACAGCGAAAACGAGAGAGGAGTCGGCTACCGTTCAGTGCGGAGTACAAGTGTAGCGCTCTGAGGGGCGTCAGTGGGTCTGGGAGGGTCGTTGCAAGCACTCGGGCCTAGTCTCCCGCTCGCATCCCTTCATCATGTCCACTGCTTCTAAACACGCCGATGGATTAGTACAGTCAGAACGCCCTGCAAAGAGGGTTCGTGTATCTGGGGAGGCCGAAGACGAGGACGAGTTGGAGGACGGAGGTACGCCTCCCAATGCTCAAGAGGAACCTCAAAAGGCTTCAGATTTGTATCTTGACACCGTAGGTCTTGTCTGTCATACCTATACGCGTGGTCAACTTAGTGTGCCTGCAGATCAATAGAGCTGTATTGGACTTTGACTTCGAGAAGGTCTGTTCCGTGTCATCATCGAACATCAACATCTACGGCTGCCTCGTTTGTGGCAAGTACTTCCAAGGGCGAGGGCGCAATTCCTACGCATTCGCCCACGCGATTCACGACGACCATCACGTTTTCATAAACCTCGAGACAACTAAGGTGAGCCTGCACTGTGGGCCTTATATGAGCGCGCCATAGAAGGTAACTTCCTTTGCGCTTCAGGTGTATGTTCTCCCCGACGGTTACCTTGTCTCAGACCCGTCTCTAGACGATATCTCGTTTGTGCTAGCCCCGAAGTTCACACTAGCGTCGGTCTCCACCCTCTCCACCCCCGAGCATCTGCGAAAACCCTCCTACGATCTGTCGAATAAGCCTTACATTCCTGGTTATATCGGTCTGAATAACATCAAGAGGAACGACTACATGAACGTTGTAATCCACTCTCTCCTCCATGTGACCACTCTACGAGATCATCTACTCCTTTCAAACTTTCGCGGCAAGGAGCCAGAATTGTTGAAACGTTTCGCTGGTCTTGCGAAGAAGATGTGGAATCCTCGCCTGTTTAAGAGCCAGGTCAGCCCGCACGAGTTCTTGCAAGAGGTCAACCGAGCCAGTGCTGGAAAGTTCAGCCTTGAGAAGCAAGGAGATCCCATCGACTTTCTCGGCTGGTTACTGAACCATTTGCACAAAGATATGGGCGGAACCAAGAAGAAGAACTCGAGTTGGTCTTCCGGTCGACGCTACTGTGGACCACCTAATGACCTGCTTTTGATAGGCGTGATCTTTTCCACGTTCCAAGGGGAAGTTCGGATGGAGACTCAGCAAGTGCTCGTACGACCCGATACCGGAGGTAATGAGAAGCCCCGCTTCGACATCGATCGAGGTGAGCTATTGGTGCAGGTGTGCAGACTCACGATGCTAACTTACGTCAATCGTTAGAGATTAAGTCAAACGTATCGCCGTTCCTGTTCTTGGCCGTCGATTTACCCCCTCCGCCCTTGTTCCAAGACGCGGTTGAGAAAAACATCATCCCGCAAGTGAGCATCCAATCGGTCCTCGACAAATACGATGGTCAGAAGACGCAGGTATAGCTACATACTCTATGGTCATACTCGTCACAACTGACATTCTGCCCAGGAATCTTCGGGTCAATTGAGACGTTTCAAGTGCCAGCGGTTACCGCCCTACATCATTCTCCACTTCAAACGCTTCACAAAAAACATGTTCGTCGAGGAGAAGAACCCAACTATTGTGAACTTTCCGCTCCGGGGTCTCGACTTTAAAGATTGTACGTTCTCACTGTCAAATGGCATCTTCAAGCTACTTATCACGATATGGTGGAACGTTCGCCATCGGACGTCGCAGACCTTGATGCATCAGCTGTACACCCTTCTACCGTTTATGACTTGATAGCGAATGTGACGCACGAGTCCGCCGCAGGGACCACCCGGGATAAGGAAAGCACAATCTGGAAGGTTCAGCTGCGAGCCGGTGCGGGTGGCGGGGAGAACGAGCGTTGGTACCAGATCCAAGATCTCATCGTCGAGGAGATCAGAAAGGAGATGATAGTCCTTGGAGAGACAGTTCTTCAGGTACGTTGACGTTTTTTCGGCGAACTGCGGTGCAGCCCTCATGTTGTCCGGCGCAGATTTGGGAGCGGAGACCAAGCATCTCTCCGAGCAACGGAATGGAGGCTGACAAGTAGTGATGTATGAGGCGTTCAGTCATAGGCTTGTGTAGCGCTACTCGCTCGCGTCTGTGGTCTTATGGGTTACGATCGGCAGAAATGTACGGCGTCATACAGTCGCGCCTAGCTGCGCCCCGACTACCATACATCACGTTTAGGTGTGTTTAATGGAAACGTCTGCCTTCGCCGTACCACCGGAATCTGCTGCGTCGGTGCTTGTATTGCCTTTAGTCGTGACGACATTCACGGGGCGCCCCGTGTCCATGGCTGGTACTGCGCCAGCTGGCCTGTCGCGGCCGGTGTCTTGCAAGCTGACATTGTCCCACATATCGAGCGTTAATGAATTGGACTGTGACAGTATCAAGTATAGAAAATTCGTGCCTGTTGTTGTGTTGATCAAATAAGGGCTTGAATATGTAAACACCGGAGAGGACACCTGGAGTAGATGGATAGATCAGCTCGGGAATATCCTGAATGCGCTGAGTGACATCATTCTACCTGTGATGCCTGCCACCAAGAAAGGCACCGCTCGACGTGACATCCTTAAATGATCTGTGTGGTTGTAGTCTATCTCGTCATGCAGCCTGAGCCAGTGTTTCAAAATTTCAACCGTGCCTGCTGTGTTACGTAATCTCAATTTATAGTCGATCGCCCAGACGCCAACGCTTAATTTGCGTTCGAAGTTGCCTCGGTCTCATGGAGAGTGTGCAAGCATATGAATACAGTCAAGGCTGACAAGAAAACGTATACGAATGTGCTAAGTACAGAGAAGGTAGATAACCGGTGACAAAGGGATGAATGTCCTCATTGCCATCAAGATGGTAGAAGCTCTCTACCCGATAGTGAGACCAAGGTTGGCCATAGCCTCCTTCGCAGCAAGATCTTTAGCCGCGCCCTTCTGAGCAGAAATTCCAACTCCTTTGACTTCGCCGTTGACTAAAGATACCGGATCATATGTCATGCACCGTGGAGTAGCGGACGTTCACATCACTCACTGTTGCATGTCACCTTCCACTCCTTCTTCCCTGCTGGTCCAATGTGTTCCTCGCCCCAGTGCAGCGCATGCAGTTGGCCTTGCCGTTGCAAATCTAGGATATCACAGAGAAATAAATTAGAAGCCACGATGTCGGGCTAGAATGACTAACAGTTGTTCAGCTCGACGGCGTAACCTGATTTCAGTGACGCGTAGATTAGTTGCGGGAGTACGCCATCGATGGTTGACGAATAGCTCACGAGTCATCTCGACGGAATTTGCAGGTTGTAGCGGTAGGTGAGCTATGAGCAGAGTGGACGAGGCCGTTGCCTTTGAGTGGGCTAAAAACGCACCGACGTTTTATACGGACGTTTTGTGCGCCCGTCAAGGCTGTTCAGGCAGGAACGGTCTGCTTTCGTCGTCTGACGGCCAATGTGCATTCTCACAACGGGGAAAGCGGGATGTTGGAGGACGAAATGTCCGATATGCTGTCATCAGGGTGTCGTCCCGGACAACAATAGCCTCCCATGTTACTTGAAGTTCCGCAAACCCGCCTTCAATGTCGGCCGCCGGCGTCGTGCTCTATGAAAACCATAGAACCCCGTATATCTGTTCCTGTGCAAGACTAGTCAGTCAGCATATCACAAGTCGATTTACGATTTTGAGACCTGCCACTCACAAAAAGGTCTGCCGCTTAAGCTACTTGGTCTGCAGTACCACCCTGTCAGTCTCTCCTCAAGCGGAACGGGCTGAAGCGAACGCTTGAGATTCAGCGGTAGCGACTCAGCAGACTCGTGTCGTGTAGGCGGCGTACTCGCCCATTTTGCTGAAACAGCGCTAGTCGAGTTAAGGTGTTTGGTTCGAGAGCATGATGTCACAGCGAATGACTCCGGGGTACAGCGTTCCGGCATAACTATTATATTTCGGACCATTAGACGACACAGAAGCTTTGACGGCGTGGACCGACCTAGGTGCTGTCTTTGAGGCGCGTGGCATGCACTCCTCCGGGGTCCAGCGCAAAATGGGGCGGGCAGGATCAGATATCTCTAGAAACAGAGCGCTCGCAGTCGATAAGGCGTCTTACACAGCAAGGGTCGGTGCGCCGAAAATGAGATGAAACATTAACCCCCGGACAACCGCACGAAGTTGGCGTGTAGGTAGCATTGACAGCGGACTTCATTCCAAACTTCCTCCGCGAGATAGGTATCATCTAGTCGGATCAAGTCGCCTGCTTCTCGGCTTCCGAGGGCTACACAAAGGCAGGTTAACCTACGCGATGAGTAGCGCAGCAGCACCGTGAAGAGCCAAACGCTTTAGCAAGAATGCATGCTGGATGACATGCGCTTCTCTTCTCCGGCTCACAGTGTCACGTGGCCATACGAACACTGCGCATCTGTTTCGACCGGACAGATGGCTATTTCTCACAAGAAAAGTTGCGGTCAGTCCGAGGAAGTATACGATAGAACCGCAAGATAGATGGAGCTCACAACTAGCAGACAGGCCCTATCATCACTCCCCAACGCCGTAACAATAAGGATTCTCTCTGAGAACGACGACTTGGCGATGGCGATGTCGTTGGACAAACCCCGAGTTTCCACTGCGTATTCGACCTGGTAGATTTTCAGATACTAGAGAGATCCTTCAGTTCTAGTTGGTCTCTTTTCTTCGCAGAAGGAGACTGTTCAGCGAACTAAGAGTGGAGTGATCAGTACTCCGTCATGCGGCAGTGTGCGATGGATAATCTGATGATAGCGCCGTGGCCGGCTATCTGAGCAGCAGCAATGAAGGCCATGCATTGAGGGCGTGCGGGTGCCATAAGCCGTCGCAGCCCCTCGGAGCAGGTTTTGACTCCGGTGTCGTACCTGCCCGTGGACGACTACAAGAAAGAAGTTGCGGCCCCTGAAACGGTCGCCACCGCAAGCTGAGGTACGTGCGCTTAGACTATTCCGGCGTTAAAAGTGCAGCCGCCACCACCCACACAAGATTCCAGGGGCAAAATGAGATACGCTGCAGATCTAGGAACCAATGGAGCCACCAAATGTGCGTAAAAGATGTGGGTTTAGTGGATATAAGCGACATGACTGGAGATACAACATGGGACACAGGATCGGAATCTAACGAAGCGGCGAGCCGGAGGGCAATCCTGAGCGATGGTGAGGTTGACCTGTCCTCAGACAGAAGTGGTTCACTCCGCCACAGTCTCCGCTTCAGTAGCATCTTGTGCCATCAGGATGGGTAGAGCCTCTCTAGCAGCGGCATCCCTCGCGGCATTCTTCTGGGTGCCGGTGCCGGTCGCGATTACTTCGCCATTGACTGCGATATCCAGGTGCAGGTGAGCGGTGATCATAGGCGAAGATGACGATGTGGGCGCACGTACTCTTGCAGTAAGAAGTCCACTGACCGTCGTGGCGCGGTCCTGTGAACGTATCTTCCCAATGTAAGGCGGCTGCTCTGCCTTTGTTCTGCAGGTCTGTGGATAGCACGTTCAAGAACGTTCCGTGGGAGAGGGAGAGGGGGAGGCTCACAGTTGTTGAGGGCGACGGTGCCGTCTGGACGGTTTGATCAGCCAGGTGCATTGTTGTTGCAAGTCGTCTAGGACGTACCGTTGCTCGACATTATGCTCTACGCTCTATGCTCTTGCTGGGCACCATCGAGGTGGGTCGTATGTCCTATATACACTGTGCTTTGCTACCCTCGGGCCCTACGGTGCTCCTGACGTCTGCAGTGGATAGCATTGCAGTGACCAGGAGGGCAAAGAACAGTAGGGCGAAGGAGTTCTAGAGATTCATATCGACGCTGAATACCTTGCGCATCACAGGCCGCTCGATCAATGACCTCGTAACAAAGAGGAATCAGGGGACCACATACGGGGAAATCCCACCCCAGGCTCGAAGTGCCGAAGAGAAGAGGGGCGGAAATCTCGCGTCTCGTTGCCTGATAAGGCGAGTTGACCCTGTGAGACTTGCAGGCATACGCAGGACGCGGGAGGGCATCGCAACAGGGAGAGGAGTAGAAGACGATGTATTGCGCCGTCTAAAGCGGAGAGCGGTACAGAGACCACAAAAGTGAGATGCGGAGTTGGTCTGCGGACTCAATGAGGTTCGGACATACGGAGGGGGCTGGCCGAGGTTTCGCGGGATGTTGACCTGTGCTAAATAGCCTGCTTCGATCTTGCCGCTTGTCGTCTGTTTCCTCGTGGCAGGCAAGGGGATCCAGACCAGAAGGGAGGCACGCGAGGCGTCCCAGCCGCAACAAGAATCCCCGCTCCAACATCATGTACGTCCTCGACGTCTTCGCATGTCGAGCGTGGAAACGTCCTGCAGTTCTATATCGGTATTCGAGAGGGGAAATGTATGATCCGTATATGTCCAGAAAGGGACTCCAGCGAAGTCCCTTGGTGGGCTGGGGGGGTACGCGCCGTCACTCATCCACGGTAAATTGCGCCGCGCATCGGAGATTAGCGCTCCCGCCTGGGCAAAGCTCGGAGAGTGTTCAACTCATAGCACTCGTTCTATAGCTTCCGTAGAGAGGCCCTAAGCTTCTTCCTAGCCATAGCACCTCCGAGACCAGCACGAGGTACAACGAGCTTCACAAGTGAGACTTCTAGCATCGCATTCGAAAGCACGAGAGTAGCTGCAGGATACAGAGCGTAGAGACTAGCAAAGACCAGCGCAGATCACAACCGAATACTAGCCATAGTATGCAGATCCAGTCAGCCACCGATGGTCCTATTAATACATGACGGAGAGATGGGGAGAGCTGTTACGATTAGTGTAATGTAGAAGAGGTCCGTGAGAGGAATCGCTGCAGGAGGTACATCATTTAGGGCAGTAGGTGGACACGGCGAAGGCGTGACTCACATCATAATCCTCGCTGACTCCAAAGGGCCTTCAGGCAAAGTTCGGCGGCAATTTCTTTCGCAGAGTCTAGCCTGGTGGAGGAGCCACGTCCATACTCGGTCCCATTGACTGAAAAGGAGACGGCGGAGTCAGCACGATGAAATACGATGACAGAATTCAGGGAGTGACGCACAGAATACTGCGATTGTCCACGTGGGTGCATTCCTGGGACCTGATGGCACCGGCTGCGTCCAAGAAACGAAATTCTGGAGCCCGTTGCGTTGCACATAGTTGTTAAGTTGCATCCGCCAATCTGGGCAACATGTCAGCATGATAGTCAAGGAGAACGATGGTGCACTACTACGATCAGTCGACATTGTGATGTTATCTTCGTAGGGACGAGAAAGTAAGATGTTTTGAGGTTCTGAGAAAGGTGAATGTCCAGCAGAGAATGGGGACTCTGCTCCCAACTCCTCTGACATATATACTGACCCAGTGACCGGAGAACAGCCGTTGAAACCGAGCATCTGCGATACTTGGGAGAGCTATGCGCTGACGAGATGCCCGGAACGTCATGATGTCAGTGTACACAGAGAAAAGGAGAGAGGGGGAGTAACTGAACAAGCAGTGCCCAAAACGCCTATCCGGAAACTTGTGACGGTATGTGGTCTCCCTGATTGGAATGCGAGGATGCGGTTGCTGCGCAGCGGGATATGCTAGACCAGAGTCAAAAAGACTCGAAGGCGGCGCGAGAGGAGCATCGTCCACGGGATGTGAGTCAGGGAGGCGCGTCGGTCGCGGGACAGGTGTGGTACATCGCTGGTTTCTTCAAGTTGAGGCCGCATCGAAGCTGTTGGACGCGCATCTGTTGTATTCACTCGGGTTGTCGGTGTCCTAGGATCTACACGTGCAGATACTTGATTCCGTACCTTTCATCACAAGCCGTGGTGAGCTATGTGGTTTGCAATTTGCTATACCGGGACGGGGTCCGTTCCCGTTGACAATACGGGAATCAATATATGGTAATCTGCTATGCCAAATTTTTAGCGGCGTTTGGCGAACCCTTGAGCGGAAAGACTCACCACAGCTGATTAGAGTACGGGCGCCGGAGGCCAACATCTTGTCGAGTGTGGGCTCAGCTCTTGGGCGGTCCGATACTGGAGAGAACGTCAGAGTGTCTGAGTTATCTGGATACTCGCACAAGTGATCCGGCCTCAAGCTTGTTCACGATCGGGCCAACGACCACCGGAAAGTCTGCATGGCTACAAACCGCAACCTCCCGATGTCTAGTGTGGTCGCAATGGTTGTCGCCCGTTCGATATGGAGGATCCAGTTGCCTGGTCTACAGCTCTTGATCTCGTGATGCGGAGGTGCATTAGGCAGATCGATCCAGGACCCTTTTGTGGAAGGTATGTAAGAAGAAAGTGTCGGAGAGCATCGCGTTCAATGAATTGTAGCTCGAGGGTCAATAGCGCCGGCTATCATCGGGTTGCCGTAACGTCGGGTTGTGCGTTCATCTATGAATGCATGAGCTGACGCCGCTGGCCCTGTGACCACCACTGGTCTCTGCGACCTCCTTTGCCTCGGATCGGCACACATAACTTGCCCTCCGATACCGCGGCAGTACAGGTAAAATACCAAGAAATGGAGGCCAGTTCTCATCGCAAGCGTCTCGGTATCACGTGCAGAGATATTAGGGTTCCAAGGACAGCTTTCCGGTGAACATCTTTCGTGCTTGTTGTCTGAGGAATTCGTGGCGGGAACAGAGGTAACCATAAGGGAAGCAAGTGGATGAGCATCGAGGCGACAGCATCATACAGATGTGCAAGGAACAGGCCTACGACTAGATCCCAATGACAAAACAACCGGGCCCTCCATGCAAATGCACCCCGCGCTCCGATCAACGGACATTAAAGTACATGTCACCCAAACTCGTTGTCCAGTTCTCCGACCAACACTGAACGCTGGATGCTAGACGGATAAAGTACGCGCCCCCGTACGGATGTGGTTGTGCCCTCGAGGACGCGCAACGATGCCCGCAACCAGATACAACCTGCTAGACATCGGTGCGCGGTCGAGTCAACAGCCTTGATCTATACGATCAGCCGCCCCAGCCTTAAACGGAATATCGTCCAGTATCATCCATACCCACAGCAATCGATTGAGACTCGGAGCTTAATCGAAGAGAGAAGTCACAGGCGTACCGAACCGACTCTTAGAGCTCGCTGCGCCAGAGTCCTTGGGTCTCAACGCACAGTAGGATAAAGGTTCGGTTGTAGACGTGGCGCACATACATGAGTCATAGAGATACTTGTAGGCAGGCGTGCTCTCACCGCTGCAGACTGCGCACGAGCCCAGCGAAGTGGAATCGGCGGAGGATGATGTGAGACCCAGTTTTATGTGTTCGGGGGCTTCCTTAGGTTGCACCGGTACGAGCGAGCATCGCTAGGCTGTCCGAGTCTGGACCACACAAGACGCAGTGAAGCAGAGGGGGAATCAGACTTGGAAGATGGCGGCATGCAATGCAGGCGACGCAGATGTTCATAAGCTATAGCGTCCGAGGCGTCGAGTAGAGGAATGGTAGGACGGCTGGTTTGGGACTGTGCCGGCCGGGATCGGAGGGATGTGGTGGCAGTCAACGGCCCTCCGTCGACTGGCCCCGTCCGCTAACGCCGCTCCCATCACCGAGAGCCGAGGCATCCAGCCATCGCCTCCCTCGCTCTCTCCCCTGCTCCTCCATCTCACCCTTCCCCTGCCCGTCTTTCAGGTCTCGTTGGCGCTCCCAGAGCCTCACGCCGTCCACACCGACTGTACCAAGCTCGCGCTAGCATTCGTCCGGTTCCCACGAAATTGTCGTCGTCTCTTCCCTCAGCTGCCAGCTTCTTCACTCGCACGGTCTGTTATCCCTCTACGTGCTAGCTGGTGTCGACTTAGCACTCATCCGTACACCCACAGAACACACATCGTGCCCCCACCGCGTCTAACTACTCTATCCTTGTTGAAGCATCCAAACCATGTCCCAGTCACCCCAAGGTGATATTCAAGAGCGTATCGCCGCTGCGCGGCGTGAGGCAGAGAGCCTCAAGGAGAAAATCCGCGCCAAGAGGGAGTCTTCCGCCGACACTTCATGTGAGTAACATCGTCTGTCCTTTCATGTATTTCTAAGAGAGCCAACGCGCCATGCAGTGAAGGCAATGGCTGCCAATGAGGTTGACCAACTCCCCCGCGTCGTCATGCGCCCGCGTCGCGCCCTCCGTGGTCACCTTGCTAAGATTTACGCCATGCATTGGGCCACCGACAGGCGACACCTCGTTTCGGCGTCACAAGACGGAAAGCTCATTGTCTGGGATGCTTACACCACCAACAAGGTCCATGCTATCCCCCTCCGTTCTAGTTGGGTCATGACTTGCGCCTACTCTCCCTCCGGCAGCTACGTCGCCTGCGGTGGTCTTGACAACATCTGCTCCATCTACAACCTCCACTCGAAGGAGGGCAACAATGTGAAGGGCGCTCGTGAGCTCAGCGCTCACTCTGGTTACCTGAGCTGCTGCCGTTTCCTCAACGACCGTCAAATCGTCACTTCATCCGGTGACATGACTTGTATGTTGTGGGACATTGAGGCCGGTGTTCGTGTTGTCGAGTTTAGTGATCACACTGGCGACGTGATGAGGTGAGTGTTCAGAATATGGCCTAGAAACGTCTAGCCCGATCTAAGACGCCATCTGCGCCAGCCTGTCTCTCGGTCCCAGCCAGAATGTCTTCGTGTCCGGTGCCTGCGATGCTACCGCGAAGCTGTGGGATATCCGCAGCGGCAAGGCTACGCAAACTTTTACTGGTCACGAATCCGACATCAACGCAGTTAGGTCAGCAATGAACGGCCGTTATTGACGTGTTCGTCGCTGACATACCAGCAGTTTCTTCCCTAACGGAGATGCCTTTGCCACCGGTTCTGATGACGCGTCGTGCCGCCTCTTCGACATTCGTGCCGACCGTGAGCTGAACGCCTTCACTCACGACAACATTCTCTGCGGTATCACGTCCGTCGCGTTCTCGATCTCTGGCCGCATCCTCTTTGGTGGCTATGATGACTGGACGTGCAATGTCTGGGACACCCTCAAGGGCGAGCGCGTTGGTGTTTTGACAGGGCACGAGAACCGCGTCAGCTGCCTCGGAGTCAGCTCCGACGGCATGGCCCTGTGCACGGGCAGTTGGGACAGCACGCTTAGGGTTCGTATACTCACTTTTGCCGTAGTATTCACAATGATGCTAAACGGCTGCGTTGTAGGTTTGGGCATAAATCGTCCGCGACCGATGGAGGTTCGGACTCGTCACATACCCTCCCTTTTGCCGGAATGTAAACTCGGAATGGGTTCATTATCAATTTCTTTATCGAGGTCTTGGCCTTCTTCATATATGGTAGCCCTTTTCTACCCTTACTCGCGCCGAATTGGCTGCCGTCGAGTCTGTCTTTACGCGTTACCCTCGAACACTCGTTACACATCAGACCCCAGGTGGCATACCTCTCGTGAATATTCCATCTTGCCCTCGTCTTCCTCCACCTCGTCTCCGTTCCATATGTTCCTGTTGCTCTTTCTCAGTTGTGCGTTACTTCTATGTCCCTGCGTTCATTCTGGTTTACATAACTGGCAGTACACTACCTATGCCGTTCATTCAGCCTTCCTTGTCTACTGGAGCTGTCCGCATGCTCCGCCATACTTCACGAATTGAAGGTAACGCCGTAAGGATTCAGACAGGTGTCTGTTATCATTGAGATCTCTACGGTACAACTTGATGTGTGTGGCGGTATTGGAATATATTGATATTAGACGTGTGCGTCTCCGCAGCGCCCGCGTCATCCTGTGGCTGCCACCGCGACCTACTTGTAGTCCTTCCGTCGCTCGAGTAGCGTTCAACGCTCCCTCTTGACGAGGCATTTCCACCCCGTGTCAGACACGCACAGGTCACCATGTCAGAAGACGATCGCGCCGCGAAAGCAGCCCGTGCGAAGGCCCTGGTCTGTCCGCGGCATGTATTATGCGATGATAGCAAGTGCTCACCGCTCGTTTGCCCTCTAGCTCAAGAAGAGGCAGGCACAGAAGGCTGCCGAGGGAGGCGGAGGCCCTCCCACTCCTCGTGTCGCGTCACCCGCACCACGCACTGCGTCCCCGGCGCCGTCGAGGACATTCTCTCCCGCGCCTGTCGAAGCTCCTGCAGCCCCTACGCTTGCGTCCGTACCAGCAAGGGATCCCGTACCGCCACCTGTGAAGAAACAGGATATCGACATGGCAGACTTGTGAGTCGCTTTGGCTTCTGGCCGTGTAGCGTGCCTCTCACAGTACGCGACGAACTATGGCCGCGTGGTAGGTTCTCGACTGTGCCCTCTACGAATGGTGTGGACTCGTCATGGCTCTCTGGACTTCCGCGTGTCGACTCGGACTCACCTCCGGCACCCTCTGCTGCATCATCTCTTCGGCATGCTGTGCAACCTCCCCCCTCTGCTGCCTCTCCTGCTGCTGCGTCTGGAGACAGGGACGACCTGAAGGCGCTCGTGCGGGACCAGAAGCGAGCTATCGAAGCACTGGAGGCGGAGAAAGCATCGTTGAGCGTGTCATTGGATCGCCTTTCGCAAGTTGAGAGCAGTAAGTGCCCTTCTGGTGGCTGTATGCGGTGGCTGAATAGGTCCGATGCTGGCAGAGGCGCGTCAGACGCAAGAATTGCTGGACGCTGAACGGACGAAAGCTGCAGAGCTTCAGAGGGCCGTTGAACAGATAAGGGCGAATTCGGAGCAGCTCTCACATCAGCTCCAACAAGCGCAAGATGCTGCCTCTTCCCTGAAGGCCGAACGGGACACTCACGCTGCATCAGCGAATGAGCTCAATGCGACCTTGGCCAGTACGCTGTACCACACCCCTGCTGTCTGACGATTGTGCGCTGACGCTTGCTGTGTAGGGGCTACACAGGAGAACGCGAAAGCGTTGCAGACTGAACGCCAGAACTCGACCAGGCTACAGGAGCAAGTTCAAAATCTGCACCAATCTATTCACGAATACACCGAACGAGTAGATCAGCAACAACAGACGATATCTCTCCTTGTTTCCGAGAAAGCATCTTTGTCGTTAGCAGTGGAGAGGTTGGAACATGCAGAAGCTAGTATGTGCTCTCCCAAATGTCGCGTCTGACCTTTAATTGATCGGAATGTACTACAGCCCTCAAAGATACCGAGAAGAGGCTGGAGGACGAGCTGTCACGGAGCGCTAAGCTCCAAGTACGCGTCTCCCAACTCGAGTCCGAGGCTGCAGCAACCGTCACCAAGATCGCCACCCTAACGGAGCGCGAGAAGGAGCTTACGGATAAGTCGCGAGATCAGGTGTGTTACTGATGTCCATATATGCTGTAAAGACGTTGACCTTCCGTCCAGGAACGTGAGATTCAGCTATTGAACGGCAACCTTCACGACCTGCGCGTGCAGACTGAGCACTATCAGCGGCGGGTGCGCGAGCTGGAGGAGCAGATCGAGAGCGACGACCGTGCCGAGAGATTGGAAGAAACTCTCAAGAACACCCAAGATCGCGCCGATGAGTTGGAGTTCCAGCTGTCCAAGCTACGTCAGGTTAGTTCTTTATTCGTCAGTAGCTATGCGTTGTCCTCAATCATATATTTGCATAGGCCCATGCGGCACTCCAGGCTGAACGCAACCAGATTCAAGACCAACTACAACAGAAAGCTGCGGCTGAAGCTGACTGGCAGGCTCGGCATGCAGAAGTCGAGCGGCAGCATTCCGCCACGCAGGAGCAGTTATCATCCGTTATTGTGGAGCGCGATAGTCTCCTCGGGGAACGCACAGCCCTCCAGACCGAGATGGAAGGCAATAAGAACATTGTCTCTGAGCTCCAACAGAAGCACGCTGCGCTCGGCTCCGAGTTGGCGGCTAACGCCCGTCAGCTGAAGCAGGTCCAAGCTGAGCTCAAGGCTGCCAAGGCGCGGGCTGAAGATGCCGAGAAGACGCAGAAGGAGCTGCAAGCGGAGGGCATCGGACTGATGCGTTCGCTGGACGAGATGCGGCCGAAGATTGTCGAGCTCACCGACGAGAAGCTTATGCTCAGCGAGAAGGTCGAGAGCCTGGAGAAGACCGTCCACGCCCGTGACAACGTCATTGCTCAGCTGGAGACAAGTCTTGAGGAGCTGCGGGACGAGAAAGTGTCCATCGAGCGGGACCGAGATGGCCTTCGGAGCGCCTTGGAAAGCGAACGCTCCGCTTTGCAAAAGGACTCCACGGAACTGCAGCAGGCATACTCGGAACTGCAAGCGGAACTTACGACTGCGCGCAAGAGCGTATTAGACCTCGAGGACGAGCGCGACAAGCTGCGCCAAGTCGCCAACTCCAATGTTGAAGAGGTCCGCAGGCTTATGGATAGCCTCCAGTCCCGAACGGCGCAGATCAACGCGCTACGCACCGAGTTGGCCGAACGCACACAAGCCCAGAACGAAGCGTCCGAGTTCCTTGGGCGGGCTCAGGCGGAGATGGAGACCCTGCGCGCAGAACTTGCGCAGAAGGATGAGGAGCTCGAGCGGCTCCGTGAGGCCGCCTCTGCCTCCACCCCTCCTTCGCATGCAGATGAGTCGCAGTCGCAGTCCCTAGACGCCGAGATGCTCAGTGCGCTGAAACAACAACACGCCCTGGAGTTGTCCGCAGCGCACCAGCAGGTGCGTTCGCTGGAGAGCTCGGTCTTCAATGCCGAGGCGCAGGTGCACGCGTTGCAGCGCCAGCTCGCACTGCTAGAGGACGAACTCGCGCAACTACGGCCGCTGCGGCAGTCTTCACGCACATCGTCGACCCAAGCTCTCCCCAAGCGCACCGTGGGCCGACCAGCTGGGCACTCCGACGACCTTCGGAGGGCGTCGTTCCAGTCGCACCGCCCTGCGGAGATCTCTCCGCCCGCGACGATATCGGCGTTTGAGGGCCTGTCGCCCGAGACGCGGCACAAACGCAAGGTCTCCCTCAGCATGCTCAAGGCGCGTATCGACAGCGAGGTCGCCGCGTCGAGCCATACGCCAAGACCCGTGTCGAGAAGCTCGCGGAGCTTCGCTTCCTCCCCAGGCAGCAAGCCGGGCGGGCTCCCCGTCGTCGTCGAGCCGCCGTCAGAGTCCTCCAGGCCCCCATCTCGTGTCCACGCCCACCCCGCCAAGCGGCCGGTCTTCATGGACGAGTCGCACATCTTCTGGTGCCACTCATGTCAGGGCGACCTCGTCGTTCTCTGAGCTCGCTCATTCGCTGGGACGGACATTTCCACTCTTAGCTACTACACACCCACATCGTCCTGTATCGTTCATGTCGCAGCGCACTCTGAACGATCACATTCTCTCCTTGCTTGCAAATTCACACAAGGCAGCGGCAGTCAGCTGGTATCGTGAGTTTGAGGCAACGTCAATCACTATAATGTACAGGATAATATAATTAGGAATGCATGGGATGGTGGTGATATAGGCGGCGTGCGAGCGCACTGCACTGGACACGACGACGCCTGGGCCAGCCACCGAACATTACAGAAACGGTGTACTCTATGTGTATATGTAGCGTGGCGTGGGGGGGACGGATAATGTCGTATACAAGAACGTGCCAAAGAAGCACAAGGGGGTAGTCCCATGAGAGTCGTGGTCGTAACAAGACGGCGTCGCAGTAGAGATGTACAGATATGCCAAATGGAAAAGAAGAGGCCGCCGAGCCGCTCAATGGGCGAGACTGATCCGCCTCGTCTTCAATGTCACCAGTTTCTGTTGCAGGTCCTGCAGGGAAGACGAGAAGCGCGCTCAGCATCGTCGTGCGGTGCGAGAAGAAACAAAGAAAGGCTAGGCCGGGCAGGGAACGCACCTTAACCTCGTCCGGCCTCAGGGTGCCCTTGCCGCGCTCCTCCTCGAGCCCCTTCTCGATGCTCTCCAGGACCTCGTTCATGAGGTCGCGATAGTCGACGCCGAAGAAGTGCGTGAGCTTCGCCGCGCGTCGGCGGCGCTGCTGGAACGACGCCTCGGTCGGCGTCGGGGCGATGAGCGCGCTGATCTCGGACGAGAACGAGGCGACGGAGACGCGGGAGGGGAGCGAGCGGCGCCGCTCCGCCTTGGACGGGGACGCGACCGGGGCGTCGTCGCCGAACATTGGCGTCGCGGGCGCGGGCGACGGTACGTTGTTGTTGGCGTTGGACGAGCCCGCGGCGTCGAACTGGTAGTCGTACTGCTCGCCCGTAGAATAGAGCTCTCCGTTCCCGGTCAGGTAGTCGTGCAGCTCCGCAAGAGATTCCTTGTCGTCCTAGGGATCAAAGTACAGCAGGTGAGCGGGTGGGATTCGTACGACATGCGAAGGGGACGACGACGACGTACCCTGTCTATAATGTCGCTTAGGGAGTTCAGCGAATGACGGTAGTGGATGTACACCGAGGAAGAGCCCGCCTCAAGGAGCCCGTCGTGAGCGATGAGCGGCCTCGCCGAGCTCGCCGAGTCGCCCGTGCCCGGACGCTTGCTCTTCTTCGTCTTCGGCGCGTTGCTAGTGGCGAAGCGGAAGGGGGGTGAGGCGGGTGTCTTCGGGGCCGGCTTCGGCGACGGCTGCCGGTGGAGGTCCCTGACGATGTTGGGGGTAGAGACGGTGGGGGCGCGTGTGTGGTAGAGCGTCTGCGGTGGCGCGACGCCGAACATCTGCGGGCGGGTGCGAAAATCCACGATCAGCACGCTAGCCGGTGTCGGTAGGGGGAGAGAGGGAGCTAGCGCACTCACTTTTTCCATCTTGATTGCGCGACGGACGTTGATCGCCTTCTCGCGCTCGTTGAGGCCCTGCTTGAGCCGGTCGATATCGTCGGACCACGTGCGGGAGAACTCGGCGGCGGAGCTGCTTCTGCGCCTCCTCATCTTCACCTTGCGGACGTCTGCGTCCTCGGTCGCGTCGAAGGAGGCCAGCGGGGACGGCGCAGGGGGCGGGAGCGGGGTGCCGTCGAGGGGTCCGAGGACGAGGTCTGGGGGGACGCGGGAGCCAAGGAAGCGATGGAGCTTCGCGAGCTTTTCACGCTTGCGACGGCGCTCTTCCTCGGCGAGCTCGTCGGACGTCAGGCTTTCCGCGAGCGAGGCCGTGGACGGCGAGAAGGGCTGTCCGCGTCCCCGGCCCACCTTCGGCGTCTCCGCCACCGCGCCTTCCTCGTCTGACAGGTCTATGAACGATGTCGGCGACCCTGGCGCGGGCCGGGCGAGGGACTGCCGGGAGCTGGCGGTGCTCGCCCGCTCCGATGCATGGTCGTGCTGGGCGGAGCCGATGTGGATGACGGACGAGCCGGCGGACGTCGTCGACCGGTCGGTGTCGCTCGACAGACGCGTCACGAACGAGAACTCGTCCGGGCTGAGCGGGGCAGAATGGCGGCGGTGCGCGGCGAGGGAGACGTACCGGGTACCGTCCGGCGGGGGCCAGACGATGGCGCCGAAGGCGTCGTGCACGGGCGTGTTGGCGACATCTTCTGACAGCGAATTGACAGGTCTGTGATGCCTGCGCTTCGCATTCAAATTCAGCGCCAACGGCACTGGGACGGGCAAGCACCCGTTGGGCACCTCGACCTCCTGGCCCGGCTCGAGCGCGACGGGCGAGACCCCGGGGGGCTGGCCGAACACCTGGGCGAGCTTGCGGGTGGTCCGGATGCGCTCGGCGCGCTCCTTGGGGGTTAGAGCGTTGGAGGAGGAGAAAACTGGGTCGGCGAGATCGACGTGGTCTGCGGGATAGGCCGACATGGGGCTCGACTTCTTTGTGCGAACGGGGGAGGACCTGTGTGAGGAGCGCGAGCGATGGCTGAAATCAGGCTTCGGAGCTGTGGGAATGGGCGGTTTGTCGTATCCAGTCGAAGGAGGGATGATAGGTGCCAAACGGGGTTTCGTCGATCCGGACTGCGAAGAGGGTGTTGATGACGCACGGACGGGGGACTTGACATGGCTGATCTCGCCGCTGCGGCGAGATGTAGAACTAGGCTGATCTGTGAGCGAACGCTGGGTTGTGGAGGGTATACCAATGTACTGAGAGTCGAGGGCGCGGGGAGAGAGCGTGGGAGATGCGAGGTCGATGAAGGATTCGCGATCGGGAGTCATGGAGGAGGACCTGCCGTGCGGTGGAGACGAAGGATATGAAGGAATGTCGAAGGAGTGGTTATTAGAGGAGGAGGGATATATGGTAGAGGAGATGCTGATGCGGGGCTCGGTGGAGAGAGAAGAAGGTGGCTCGTGCGAGGATTCGGAGGGAGGAGAGAGGCTCGGCCAAGAACGAGAACCAGAAGCAGCCATGGCGGACTGATGGCGCGCGTGGGAAAGCTGGCTGCTAGGTGATGGGCCTCCGTGCGCTGCAACGGGATTGGCCCAACCGCGCATGCCTGTATCCGAACTGGGCCCCGTCCGCGGCCGCGGGGTTCGCATCGACTGCCGCCGTGTCCGTCCATCCTGCGCGGTCCGCTCAGACGTGTACACTCCCTTGCGCCCTGTTGATGAGCTGGATGGCGACGCCGCCGTCGTTGCAGACTGCATCACCCCCGCACCGCCCAGAACGCTGCTGAAACCCGCACGACCCGTTTGAGCTGCCATCAGCCCAGATCCGCCGCGTCCCACTCCGCCATCGCCATCTCCAGGTCCGTCGCCTTCGGGTCCGTCTGCAACAGCAAGCCCAAGCGGCGATCAGTCAGTCCTCTGCTACCCGCACGGAAACGAACGCATCTATGGAAACCACCTACTCTTCACGGCCGCCGAGATTGGCGAGCTGGGCACGCTCGCGCTCCCCGACGCCTTCATCAGCTCCCCGGCCGTCCGCACCCCCCTGTCCAGCATCCGTCTGTACCGCGACGACAGGTCCTCGCTCCCCCCGCCCCCCTTCTTCAAGTTCGTGCTGCTCCCGCTGCTCCGCATGTCGATGTCCGCGTCGCTCATCCGCCGCGAGCTGCGCACGCTCGCGTCCGCGACCGCGACCGAGAACCTACTGCCCGCCGACGACCCCTTCGCCTTCCCGAGCTTCGTGATCTTCTGCAGCCCCGACAGGTACCGGTTCTGTCGCGACGACCGCGGCCCGGACACGTCCGCCGGCGCCGTGGGCAACATCTCAGGCGAAGACGGCAACGACGCCAGAGGAGAAGCGGGGGAGCCCGAGTCGGCCTGGTCAGCGTCGCGGGGCGACCACGGCGCGGTCAGTCCCACCGCTTCCTTAAATTTAATGTCATACTCGTCGCCCTGCCCCTCCAGCGACGCCCGCCGTGTCAAGGTGGACAGAAGCGTGTCTCCCCGCAGGAAGTTGGACAGGCGCGGCGACCTGACCGCTGGGGCGCCCAGGGAGTTCCGGTATGGCGACGACAGCGGTGTGTTCGGGAACGACGCAAGATTGGGGTATTCCCCGCTCGTCGCAGGTGAGGAGGGGGTCGACCGCGGCGGCCTGCCCTTCCGGCTGCTCGGCCGCGGTGGAGGATGGAGGCCTCCGGGCGCGGCGTCGGACTGGTACGTCGGGGACGATACTGGGAAGAATACGCAGCTGTCAGTCTGGACTGGTACATACGCACATGCGTGCGTGTGCCGAGATCTCATAATGTGACATTCAGGATGGCATCCAGACGCACCTGAAGTCCGTCCCACATCAGAATCCAGTGCGGCATTTAACACTTGAGGCTCGACAATAAATCTCGTCTTCGTTGACTCCGGAGACAGAGGTGAGGAGGCTATGTGCAATACATCATCGACAGGTCCCGCGTTCAGCCCGCTTCTCCCGATGGATTCTCCTTCCACGGTCATTATCGTGTGCGTCACAGGTCGTGATAGAAACGTAGGAAGCAAGCAAGAAGCACCAAGTGAGACGAGGAGGTACCGTGAAGATCACAGCGTGTGCGTGAGGGAAGAAAGGCGTCAGTTGCGCCCTCGGGGAACTGGAGGTAGATTATCGGTCAGGTTGTGCGACGCCGCCCAGGCACCCCACTAGAAGAGGTTCACGAGAAGGCTTGTGTGTATGTATGTGTGCACCGCCCCGAAGCCCAAGGACGGCTGACCAAATGAGACGTCGCGAACGCGTTGAGGGTGGAACCGAGACAGGTTCTTGCGAGCTGACACCTATCAGGAGCTGCGTACGCCCGTGGGATGAGCACAAGACCGACTGAGACAATATGCGGGGCTGTGGCTGAAACGCCGCGTCTGAGCTGAGTCGCGGCGACCCGGGGAGTCGAAGGCAAGAGGGGCAAACGGGAAACGGCCGTGGCCCGTTTCACGGAGAGTATAAATCGATGAGCCCTCGCCCAGAGTCTGCGAGTACTTAGCAGGAAGCAGAGCCCCGGTGCGTAATGGGTGGCAGGATGGCTCAATGTCGGCGGCGGGCCCGGCGCGCCGCTGGATCCGCGCCTCTCGGACTCGGAACGGGGCTGTCGTTGTGACAACCGCGGGCGGCCGTGGGAGCCGCCCCCGACCTCGAGGCAGCTTCTGTCCGATCCCGGTTATCGATCCTCCCGTGAACATATTGGATCTCTGCGCGATCCCGTCAGATGGCCAAAACCCTAATAATTTCTATTCCATCTTCCCCACTGCTCCCGATCAGCCATCTCCAATGTACCTTCTTGCGCTGCACGCTCGTCTTCTAAGTGCTCCTTCATCGCTGTTCTCGCTTTCCTCACCGGGTGCAGTGGCACGCCAAGAAGAGAATGCGCCTGAGCGAGTCGCCGGACTCTGATCCCGCACGTCAATCAACACGCCACTCTAGCGGGGCAGGAGAAATAACACGATGCCGTAGATAGCTTGACAGCTCGACAAGCGCCCTCACTTCAGATCAGTCGCTGAGCTTAACATGTTATCAAACCAACTCCTCCCACCACATGTGCCTGACAAACCTTGATTGTGGCGCCGGGTCCGCTCCGAGTAAGTACATAGGAGGTACGCTTACCAGTGACAGAACATAGCAGGGACCTACATGCCAATAATGTCTCGCGACTCCTTTGCTGCAGCTTAGGTCTCGACAGCGTCCGACGCCTTCAAGCTTCTATCCCACGCTGTTTACACCACGACTCCCGCATGCATCCCTGCACGCATTTTTGTACGTGTCGGCTGTTCTCATCACGTCAGAGAGGGGGACACGAGGCTAGAAAGAACCCGCTGCGGTCACCGGAGAAAACCAATTGCAGCATCGGTATACGACACCCGACTCACCACACGAGACCCGTGCGGAACAACACGGCAAGACATCCTTCAAAAGCACCTCATTTGATTCTGATGAAGTCGGTGCAATTGCCAAGAGAACCGAGTAAACGTACAATACGACAGCAGGATAGAGTATATGCAATACAAGATGCCGAAGGGACAGACTGAGACGGGGGATGACGGTTGTGACAGACTCGACAAGCAAAGACGGGGAGGATGCGGATAAGCGAACCCAATTGTCCATGGAGATATACGGGCTATGTACTACGCCGCCGCCCGCAGTCGACGCGGCGGGAGGGCAGGCGGTGGTCCGCGGCCGCTAGGAGGAGGACTTGACGGATGCGATGGCGTGGGTGTGACTAATGCAGACGACGGCGGCGGCGAAGAAAGATCCTGCTCGCTGCGATCAAGTGAGCCGGACTCTTCTGGAGATGGTGTCGATGGATCTGCGCCAGATAAGTCACCGCTGGCACTTCCGTCCCGGTCCTGGGCGGTCGATGGCGGGGTGAGCGAAGCGCGTTTCTCCCTGTCCTTCGAGGCGATCGATTGCAAGGCGGCAGATGCCCGCGACATCGAATTCAAAGACGGAGATGCGTCTAAATCAGGTGAACGCGCGACTTCAGGCTTGCTATGTACGGTCGTCGAGGCGGCACGGGGAGGAAGGGGAGGAGGTACCGGTCGCGGCGGCTGCGGTGATGCCAATGGCGCACCCTCATCTCCCTCCGATATCGATGGCGGCGCAGAGTCCTGATCACGACCCGTAAAGCCTGTTTGAGATACAGGTGCTGGCTCGCTCCGTGTGGATGTTGTGGAATCAGATGCGGGATTCTTCCACAAACGGTATACGCTTTGCAACGGCGCCTTCTTCGGCTCCTGCGGGACCGGTGGTGGCGGCGGCGCGTAGCCCATCGACATAACCTCCCCGCGATGGCTCGCGTGTATGCCCGGGATGGACATTGTCTTGGGGGGAGGAGGTTGTGTGTGTATCGTCGATGGCGGTCGTTGGTCCTCCACAGGAGGAACGCCAAATACTTGACTGGCGCTATGGTGAGATGAAGCCGAGACCTGAGAATCTGTTCTCTCCAGCGCAGTGAGAGCCTCATCATGTGCGCTCACACCCAGTTTCGACGCGCCTGTGGACGCAGGAGAGATGTCACCAGGTGCATTGTCGGACGAGGCGCTCTCCGCTCTATGCTTGCCCTTCGCGCTGGGCGGCACAGGGATGGGGTCTGCAGCACCGTTGCTTCTTGAGGCGTGCTCCTGGACGGGTGCGCGCTCTCTCTCCCGCCTTGTCTCCACCGCAGCGCGGACTTCAGCGTAGCTCGGCCTGACCGTCGAGGTTCGGCTATCCGGACGGCGCTGGTCTCCGTGGCCCGCGTCGGGGACCTCGTCCGCCGAAGCCGCCGATTGCCCGGAGCCATTGCTTCCCATGGTGTCCCGTCGGAAGTTTCCCCAGCTGACACCCCATTTGCGCATCGTCTCCTTGGCCGTGTTGCTGAGCGCTTGCTTGTCACCAGCACGAGACTTGAGCGTCTGCAGGAACGTGGTAGCTGGGCCAGTAGACTGCTGGCGAGGAGAGCTTCCACTGGCAGGGCTCTTCGGTCGGTAGTTGGAAGTCTGTGAGTCTGACGCATCGTCTGAAATGTCGCCTGCATGTGAGGAGGAGAGTGAAGCAGCACGAGACGACGCAGACCGAGAATGCTGTGAAGGGGAACGACGTTCACGAGGTGTAGGGGACAGGAATTGCGCTTCGTCGGCGTCATCGGGCTGCAATTGAGTGTCATCATGAGGCTCCGACGTCTTGTCAAAGTTCGGCAAGCTTGAGCGGCGCGGCGCGACAACATCTGATCCGAGGGTCCTTCCTCTCGAGACGTATTCCTCTGGGAGAGGCGCACTGGTCAAGGCCACCGTAGGCGTATCTGTCCCGTCTTGCCCGTTCGAAAGCCGTGGGCGCCGCCTTGCATCGGGAGAGGTACCGGGGATAGCGGTGGGTGCAATGTCTACAGTGGTGGCCCGGGCCATGGGGGATGCATCTGGCGGAGATGTGCTCGTAGCCGTATGCTCGACTTCCTCCGCTGAGTGTGAACGGTGAACAGGCGGTCGCTGGGTCTCTGCCGCATCTAGTTTAGACGTTTCAGATGATGGTGCAGATGTCGCACTTGTCCCGTCTGTCGACGTAGGTTGCTCGTTGCTGAGGGTTGAGGCCTGCTCTGAACGGGATGCATCTGCCCAAATGCCACCACGGTGCTGATACTGGGAACTCTCAAAGAAGGAGATGTCGTCCATGTTGGGCAGCACGACGGACTCGTTAATCTGCATGATACTTCCGATCAGCAATCCATGCCTAGTGGGGCAACTGGCAGACAACGATGGAACTCACTACTTCTCTGACCTTCGACTCAATTGTACTCAGGATCATGCTCCATGTGATTTGACGGTCGCTCACGACAGGCTCCACGTCCATGACGATCTTAGGCATCTGGGTGAAGGCGTACCAGATACGGCTACTTGGCGGTCGCTTGACCTTGACGAGCAGGTTCCCTTCAATCTCCCGTACGACCAGAGCCAGAACGAGCTTGACGACGTAGGTCTTGAATCGCGCACCCAGATTGATCGTCGCCGTGGCCTCCACGGTAATCCGTACCTCGCCTTTGTACGCCACATGTACTTCTAACGAGGCGTCTCCCTCCTTCGTGAGCTCCTTGAGCATAGGCTTGCTGAGCGTCGGTGCCCTGTTACCGACACTGACCTCCCGGACCTTGATGTCAGTGAGGAATGTAGGCCGCTTCACCTTCGAGATCTTCTTCATGAGCCTCCCGATGATGTACGACTCCAGAGTCTGCGTCCGGTAGTAGCTGAAGAATATCCGACCGAGAAGCGCGTTCAGCCACCGCATAGGGATGACATCCGGCTGCTCGTCCAGCGTCGCGACTAGGTGGGACATATCCTCGGGTTGGTAGACGGGCTTCAGCGGCTCCAGCGTCGAGCTGTTCGCGGGGTTGTCCGACGCGTGCACCAGCGCGAGGTACCAATCCTCCATCTCCACCGCCGACCGGACGAACACGAACCACGGCGTCGACGCGTCCAACGCCTGCTCCCTCGCCTCGTCCCGGGCCTTCTCCGCCTCCGCCAGCTTCTCCCGCACCCGCTGCTTCTGCCGCGGGCCCCCGCCCTTCTCCTCCACGACCTCCTCGACGTCCTCCCCGCCCAGCTGCATCTCCCGTGTCACGCTCGGCATCCCCCTCCCCACGACCGCCTCAGTCTTCGGCTTGAGGCAGATCGCGTTCCGCTTCGCGAACAGCTCGCCGTCCGGCAGGCCCTCGGGGAAGACGACGACGTCGTGGCCGCTCAGCTCGATCGCCGCCTCGCACTCGGTCATGCTCTCGTCCTCGTACAGGTAGAGCACCTTGCCCTTGAGCGCGACGTACCAGGTGTCCTTCGGCCGAGACCGCTTCGGGTCCTTCGAGCGCGCGTCCAGGAAGCCCCTCACCATGTCCACGTACGAAGCGTCCGTAGGCGACTCTTCGAAGGTCCGGCGCACGGTGAGCCAGCCTTTGCGGACTCTGGGGGTGTCATTGAGCTCGGTCGGGGACGGGGCAGAGGTGGTGGATGGGTCATCGGCGTTCTCGTCCGCCTGCGATTGCTCGAGCTCGCGTTTCTTGAGCTTGTCAGGATCAGGGTCTCCAACGGGAACCGAGGTGTAGATGGTGTAAAAGATAGCACCGAATATGACGAGCGGGAGGAATGTAATGCCGCCTAGCACATACGCATAGAGGAGGGCTTTCAGGGACATCTGGTTGTGGGACTGCCTGGCGCGCCGGTAAGATGAGGAGACGACCGAGACAGGATTCAAACGCACGTTTATGTAGGATCAGCGAGCTCTGTGCCGAGCCCGATGGTGAGCGTAGAGCATGGAATACGTGGTCGTGGCGCCGGGGCTCGTGTTAGGTAGCCACACGCGGTGAGGTCACCGCATACAGCCATCAACCAGGCACGTGCGTACTGCCCGGTTGGGAGGGCGAACGGGCGCATCCCGCTCAGCCTGCGCGCGCGACTTCGCATCGGACGCAATTCTGATATGTCGCGTGCTCACAGATAGCATTGCCAGATACCCGAATACATATGTGCGCAGGTGGTAGAATGAGAGACAGCGAGGGTCATGTACATGAAGCAGACGGAATAAGGATGCGTCGAATGCGAAATATGCAAGTAGATGATGCAGGGGTGGGAATGCGGCGTATCGCCATATGTAATGCTCGCGACGACGGGGATGTACCAACGTTTCAGCCTTCTCTATGGCTGCTTCGTGGGTAACAATTCCGTCCGCGGGAGGGGTGCATGCGCTCGACGGCCCTCTGCCGTCTCGTCGACAGGGGCCTTGAGAACATGCCTTTTGACATCTGCTCCTGCACTGGCGGCAGCTGTGCATACCAGTGTCCGTCTTCGTACCTCCAGCGTTCCACAAGTGGGAATGGCTTGGCCAGAAGGGGCGGGAAGACGTCGTTGAGGGCAGGATGCGTCGGGACGGGCAGCCGGTTGCCGAATGCAGCATCCTGGTACGGGATCAGACACGTATCCTGCCGCGGTAATGAGGGACAAGGTGTAATGACAATGGTCGGTATGGAGGGGTCGTCATTAGTCGTCACCAATGGGATGTCATGTACCTGAAGTAGAATGTTCATTCAATGTTTCTACAAGACGGACGACAACACCTGAAACATACCCTAGCACAGATTCGCCGCCTGCCCCGCGGCCGCGGCGACGGCATTGAGGGCAGGGCTGTTAAATCTACCGTGCTCTGGCAGCGTTTCAAGCTTGTGGGTAGCACGTCCCGCTCCGCAGGCTTGTACGCGCGTCGGTATAAGCTCACAGCCGCCGGCAGATGACGTTCAAGCGCACATACTTACCTCAAAATATGCTGTCTCCCGTTCAGAGGCCAGCGCGACCTCCATGTCCACAAAGAGCTGCGCGAGATGTTCCACATCATCTTGCAAGGTAGAAGAGAATATCTTGTATACGGGCACGACGGTACGCGTGCAGATGTCGGACACCCTATTCCATGCAAGCTGGGGGATGGGCGACACGAGTTGATAGAGTTCCTCGACGTTCAAGTTCTGTGTGGAAGCAATTAATGAACATCCTCAATCTCCTCTATTGTAAGATGCACTCACCAGAACCTCTCTGTCGTTGTCCGCCTGTGAGCACCGCACTCCAACCTCAATTGTCGACGTCAACGTTCTCGAAGCCGCTTGAGACAAGCGCGACAGCATACTAGTCGCACAAATTAACAATGGGGTGTGGGCAGGGGATTGTTGCTAGCTGTGAAGGGACGCAAGATGACCAGTCATCCGCAGGTCAGGCAGTACGTACATGAGGACGGCGCGGAAGGGCAAGTAGGAAAGGGCAAGCCTGAACAAAGCCTAAGTACAGTGTGTGGGGTGATTCCCCACCTGATCATTGGTCCGCTTGTCCTGAATTCCCGGTGCCGGGTCCAGGCGCCTCAGGGTCTCTTGCCCGAATCGGTCACCTGAGACGCCCCCAGATTACGATCTGCGCTCCTCCCCTGTGTCCGCTTCCTGCCCCTGACTCAGACCGGTCCAGAGTCTACCCTCGCTGTCCGCGACACACTCTAAAGTTCACCGGACACGTCCCAAAATGACCCATGATATAATATGAATACGAACATAAACGTGAGATCTATGCGGGGCGAACGAATGCGGTAGTGCTACAGTGGACCGAACGACCGGATATACAGTGCGAGCAATATGTATGTAGAGGCTACAGCGTGCAGTGAGTGATGCGATGATATCAATGCGAAAGAGCGTGTGCTATGCGAGAAAGAGCCTAGGATTCCCAGTCCGATTAATACGCGTTCCAGTTCACCGTCCCAAAATTTGTACTAGGCGAGACAGCAGTGGGGGACATGGCACCGGCTCCGAAGTCAAAGCTGGCCGGCAGAGCCAGCTGCATCTCAGCCGAGACTGATTGAAGCCAAGACCAGTCCGAATCCATCAGCGTGTCGCCCAGCTGCATGCCCGCCAAGGAACCATCGTCTCCGAATAGGTTAGCAGGTTGTTCGTCGCAACCATCCTCGGAGATGTCCTCCAACGAGCTGGCATCCTCCACCTCCATTGAGCCGTCCTCGTCGTCTTCGGGCACAACGTCAAGGAAGACGTGGCTTGCGACGTCCAGCTCAGGTAAGGGGAGGATAGGTTCCGATCGCCGCCTGACGAAGTCTTTGGGGTCGTATTGATGCCCCGACAGTAGGATCTGCGGCTTGAAGGCACGGACCGGTCGCGGATGTTGGATCTCTACTGGGCGCGGCAGCTGGATTTGATGAGGGGCGATCGATGAAATAACAGCGGAATGAGAACCCGAAGCCGGGCTCGACGAAGGAAGATTATCTGCGATCGAGTGCGTCATTGGGTCAGCGGGGGCGGGCACGATTGGCGGGATGGCCTCGTGGCTAGGAACGAAAAATGATGGGAAGTGGCAGGCAGCTAGGCTTGCAGGTTCACTATGCCGCCTGATCGCTGAGGCAGCAGCAGCGTTGCTGACAGGAGGGAAGGTGATCGCTTGGGGAGCGGAGAAGTCGAACGAGAAGTTGAAAGGAGAATGGGGCGCAGATCCTGGGACGTAAGCGATCTCGTGCTCCCCCTTCTTCGCTTCCATGCCGAAGGAGAAGTCCAGTCCTATTAGAACTTGAGGGTGCTCGGAAGGCGAGCCGAAACATGCTTCACTGGGCGCAGGCGTCGTAACAGCTGTCGTGTCGGACGCTGGCGTTGGGAAGTCTTCGGCATAGGGTGAATATGCTTCCGCATACGGATTCGAGCCGAAGCTCGACCGTGACATAGAGCGCGAGAAGAATGAGGGGGACTGGGGTTGCGACATGTCGGAGCTGTAGTCATCCAGCGACAAAGGGTCGACAGCTTCAAACAAGCTAGACGTCAGAAGTAGGTCCTGAGGGAATTCTGGCAGGTGAACAGTCAGACAACACCGTATATTGCAACGTCTGATGACTACCCACCAATGCCATCAAACCCATTCCAAAGGAACTCCGGGAAGCCGGTGCCGCATGTGGGTACCTCCGGTCGAAGTGCAACGCCCTTGTCGCAGGGAGCGGCGCATACATCGCTAGATGATAGGGGGTCTGCGTCCGGCCCGAAGTTGAAAATCATTTGAATAGCTGGTCGGGAGAGCGAAGGGGAAGAAGGATTGGAGAACGACGAGGCCAAGGCCTCGTCTGGAGGTATATAATCCTCTGCTTCGGTGGCGCTGGGGCTTGGACGAGCGATGGCATTGCCAAAGGAACTGGCATAATCGAGAGCCCCGTGCGGCAGACGACGATCGAGAGGGTGCGCAAGCATGCTTTGGAAGTTACTGGGCGCCTGTACGCATCGGGAATGATCAGCCCATCGTTCTGGCGTATGAATTACTTGGAACAAAAGACGTTTAGACACAAAGCACTTGGGTGATGCACGAGGCGGAGTGGCGAGGCATACAAGCCATATTGTCGCGATGAAGCCTTCGCGCTGATTGTGCGGTTGCGGCGTTGGGTGAAGAGGGTGCTCACTTGGGTCATCTGAGGCTCAGCAGCCTCGTTAAGGTTCGGCGCCCAGTTGGTCAAAGGGTGCGGGCTCCGATCACCATTTGGCGGAGGAGCGACTGCGGCACACCTGCGCTTGTCGCCGCGAAGTTGGTGGTCGCGTGGATGGCTCATCTTCATTCGCTTGTAGGGTGGCTCACAGACATCGGGGCGATAGGCATCGTGGGACGGAGCAACACGTTTGGGAGAAGGGAATGTCATGGGGAGGACGGAGTGGGGGGCGGGGGGGAGGGGGAGACAGGCGGGTATTTGTATGATTGGGAGACGGCATGGCGCAGGGACGATGGACGAGGTTGTGAACGGAAGCTGTGAAATCGGTGAGAGACCGTAAGCGAGAAGCGTTCCAAGAGAGCTCCAAGTCACCCCGAAAAGGAAGCACGACCACAATCATCCTCCGGCCGCGGACACCTATTTTCGCCGCTTCTCCGAGTATCAACCCATCTCAAGACCCAGCCTGATACCCATCATCTTCCGAACCCGCCCCTCATGAGAACTTTCCGAGTCTCCCAACGCCATTTGCCCCTTTACAACTCCCGGCCTTCCTCATACTACACCCAGTCCACGCTTGTCAGTGTCACCAATAGACTGCTCGCTGTCCGCCTCTGTCGTAATGATGACTGCACGCACATATCCGCACTTCCATACCCACTGCGCCCATCATAGACACGTCCCTGTCCAGTCCTCGTATCTCAATTGCCCGCTCGTAGATCACACCATAGCACAACACGATCACTGATGCCCCAGCTGCACAGTTAGAACCTACTTACAGAGGCACTGCCGTCGCCGTGCTCCCTCTGATACGCCCGTCGCCGCACATCGCCCGCAGCGCCGCTGGATGGCGTTCTGCGGTTATGCGATTCCCGCCCTTCCTCGGCTGCGGCGTGCGCTATTGCCTCCTCGCCTGCGTAAGTAGCCTAGGCAGAAGCTAGTGTTCCATATGTTATGTAGGGCACTGTCCCTGGACGTTCCTAAGTGATCCCACCAAGCAAACTCTTGTTGGCATGACGTGCGGGCGTGTGTACGATTCTCCTCGTTCCTCCGTCATCGCACCCCCCAGCGCCCGATCTCGCCGGTTGCGGTATGAGTCCATACGATCAGGGCAGTGCCTTTCCCTCGCTCCGCCGCTTGCGCCCGGATCGCATTGAGTCAAACAACACGTGCTTGTCTTTGGGAAGATTGTTATGCTCCTTGAGCATGATAGAGCGGAATGCGGGCGAATGAAGATGCGAAGCCGTCGACTCATATCGAAAAGAAGAGCCAATATGACACAACCACCGCCACTAGCTTGTACCCTGGCGGAAGTGGACGCACCAGAGGCAGCGACGTTCGCACCGATGTATTCCACATCATATCCACCAGCACGGTGGCGTCCGGAAGTGCCGCTCAACTCATTCCTTCCGCACCCCCCGGGAGTAACGCGGCTGCGGCTGCCCAACTGTGTCGTAAAGATATCACTCGCTGGTTGTTTTTATCACACCGGTGTCGCGATTCAGCGTAAAAGACGCGGATGGCAGATACGTCTCATAGGCCCCGCTCGCTCCTGGTCCCACAGTCGTGCCCTGCTTCTGCCAAACCTCGCCAGGCGGTGGGGCGGCCACGGCCATCTGCGAGCTCAGTTGCATGGAACAGCATAAACTTCAGAGTTCTGTCCGGAAGGCGGAATTATATCGCCGCCAAGCGAGCTGTCATTCCTTCATGGAGGGGAGGTCCCGCCGGCGATCCCGCCTACAATTTGATTGGACTCAGACCGATGACATCTCCTGCACCAATGCCAAAGCGCGCTCGCTTCAGCGGCGGGAAGACCTAGGGTGGATGAGAGGCGGCTTCTAGCCACTATTCACTTCCACTGTGGCGAGTAGCGGATGCATTAGTCCTCGTCTCGTCCCTTGCAGGAACAGCCGACATAACCGCGCGTCAGCAGAATCCAAGATGCGAAACTCAGGAACTCCATGCCCGCAGGATTGGGAAATGTAAGAATAGGAGAGCTTGTACCATCGATATTCTTTGACATTCTCGATCACTACCAGATATCCAGATATTTGGACAACCATCGGACGACTAGGATTGTGGCACATGCACGATGTGACATCGTCAGTAGACAGGCTTCGCAGACACATGGATGCCAACGTACCTGCCACAGGTGAGCTTTCATGATCTAGCTCCCTACGTGTGTAAAAGCGAGAATGCGCACGGATATCGTAGGCCAGAGGAAGCGCTGACTGAGAGAACAGGAAGTTTCAACCAATCATGATTGAATATCAAACCTAGAACATGATCAGAAGATGCCCTAAACATTGCGACCGCAGCATCATGGATGGTGCCAACAAATGTCCTGACAAGTATATGTACATCCTACTGCAACATCTTCCGCTGACGTTAGTTCATTAGAATGTCGGACTGCAGGCACAGTTGCGTCAGCCTTGATTATAACCTGATTGGATGGAAGGCTCACCGACGGCGTGTTCATCGTGTACTTCTCTTCCAGAAGACCCGTATATGCCCGCGTTTCGAACTCGTCCAGCTGGTGGATATGCGGCTGCAGCTTGTCCGCAGGATTGAACTCCCAGATCTTGGCCACCGCAGGCAACGCCTTGCGAATCCGGTCGCACAAGAGCAAGGTCTCCGAGAGCGGACGTCCACGGTGCCAATCCGCCTCAAACGCTATCTTGAGGAAGACTGCAGCACGAAATAAGGTGAGCGTTCTCGCGCGTAACTCCACCGCGTAGCGAGCGATACGTACAGGGGAAGTTCTCGTCGTCTGGCGGATACATTTCCGCAGCTTTCTTGTAGAACTTCGCTGCTGCAGCGAGCATGCTCTCGGCTTCCTCGGCATCCCCCTCCTGCTTTGCGCTAAGCCCTTGCTGCATGAAGATCGCACCCAGTGTGCTGCGGGTCGATGCCCTGGTCACCATGCACTGGTTCGCGAAAACGACTCAAAGAGACATACGCATGGGCATCCGCGATCGGGAAGACATGGAAGGAGTACCAAGCGCCCTTGTCCAAAGGCGTGCCGTCTCCTGCCTTTGGAGGGTTGCTCGTCGTTTCCTCAACCATGCTGTTGGCCATTTCGATCAGCTCCTCAACGCTGAACTCAGGTTTCTCGTTCTCGGGACCTGCTTCGTACTCCACCAGTGCCTGGCAGAGCTGTTGTTCACACAATCGTCTAGGGATTGAGCGTTGCTGGAACTCACCGTGAGATACGCCTCCATCCGGATACGCTTAATTGCGCGGATGAACGTTTTCAAGAAGATTACGCCACGATCAGAAGTCGGCACGTCATGCCAGGTGCTTGCTCCCCACTCCAGCACGTCGACGATGCTGTTGTAATATTGCATGGCTACGGGTTTGCTCTGCCCGCTGCGATCCGCAAAGTATGCCCTTAGGAACCATGCTCTGAGCGTAACGTAGATCAACCAGTGTGTTCACACAACGGCCAGGGAGCTGTTAGTTGCGTACCGGATAGTAGCAGCCAATGCATTGCGTGTCGCCTTCCAACCCTTTTCCTTCAGGAGCTTGACAGCCTCCTCCTTGATCGTCTCTGGTCCACCTTCTGGCCAACCGTCAAATGCGGCAAGTTCGAATTCCACTGCGCAGAGCAAATCATAAGTAGCCGATCGTTCGGGCCCGTGGTTGACCGGCAACGAAGCACAACGCGAGCATGGTCAAGGGCATGGCGGACCTTGCAGTTGGAGATTCTCGATCCAATCGGGAGAGTCCATATGAAAAACGCGTTGGTCGCGCAGCAATCCGTTGACAATTAAATTCAGAGCCTGAAGAGACCGTTGTCACTCATATGTCGCCAGCCGAGGGCAGTGGCAGGAAGGCATTACGTTCAAGTTGCCCTCGGCACCTGTATCGGTCCTCTTGAGCTGCTTCATGTACTTCACGCCGTCCGAGAAGTCCTGCGCGAACGTTGTCAACCAGGGTTCTGCACCCGAAATCCCCGCGGGTCGATATCCTCACCTTGTATGCGTTCATCAGCGGCCATGCCTACATCGTATGGACCGTTAGACGGATGGGACAGATCTTCGACCGCATAGGCTACTGACACAAGTGTTCAGAACGTTGTTGGCTGTGAGGACGCCTTCCATCGACAACGCTCTCATCCAGGGAAGTTTCTCTGAGAGGTTAGGGACTGAGAACAACCGGTCGTCTGGCATGGACCGATCTTTGACTGCGGCTAGGCCCTGTTCAGCGAGTCTCAATCCTTCCTCGAAGTGCTGCTTGAGCTGATCCTCCTGTGGGGAGAGCCCTTCAGCCGGCAGGGTACCGAGAGCCTTCTTCCACGCGTCGATGCTGAGCTCGTGGAGACGTAATTCCTGCAGTCACTCTGGGGTCGGTCTCACATCTTGCAGGGGCGACAATGTGCGACCCACATACGCAGCCTTCCCAAGCCGTGCCCATGCCTTTCCGTTCTTGGGGTCCAAAGTGACGGCCTGCAGTGCCCCGATGAGACGCATACAGCCAGCTGTCAAGCGTTGACCATCCGCACCTTTCGAGCATCTTTGGCAGCATCAAGATATCTGCATACGATGAGCAAGCACCGCCAGCCGATACATTGTGTCCGCTCACTGTTTGAGAGCAATGTAGGTGGCTGCACGATTCGCGTACAAGACAGCGTTGTCGCCATCTAAATTGATAGCTTGCGTGTACTTGGATCGTGCGGCGAGGTGGTCGCCTCTGATGTACAAGGCGTTTCCATCGGCTTTGAGCTGCTCAGCCCGTGGTTTGTCATCGTCTGATGCCATGTCGATCCTTCCTTGATAGACAGGTTGGCGACATATACGAGTGTGGGACAGAGCAGATGTCTTAAGCTCATAAGACTCCTTCCAGGCTCTTCCGAAGATCACTTCCGAAAGAGGAAAGTATTTACGTATTGGTGGAAACTTCGGCTACCCGCCAACTCCTGTCCCTTGCTCAGTGCAAAGAAACTTCGCCAGACAGCAACAAAGTAGAGAAAACCTGCGATGTATTGTTGAGAGGCAGGAACGGAAGTGAACTAACTGGTAGGACAATACTACAAAGGTATGCGCATCACGGCGACTCACGGCGACGACCATGAATGTGCTCAAGCGAACCATCACTGCTACGCGAGCATTCGGAAGATGCAAGAGCGTGGCACAGAAAAGACAGAGCGATCAACACCGAGATGCTGCGCAGTTACAGGCTAAGAGAACATCATGAACAGAATGCTGGGAACATAACCTCCACCCCTGACTGAGTGCACGCCGATTCCGATTCCAGACCACCTTCCGCGACTGTTTCATCCAGCCTCCGCCTATACTACAACATCATTTCAAACAAACAGCGCTCACTCGCTGACCACCAGCCCTGCCATCGCTCGCTGCACCTCCGGAACTCCGTTGCCAGCACCGCCGACAACGCGAGGAGGAAGACCTGGGTGCCTGACTCCAAGTGCCGCGCCGAGCATCCTCTTGCCCGGATCGCCGATACGCGGGGCGCCGTGTTCAGGTTGCGCGGCAAGAACGGCAGGGTCTGAGGTCGTCGGATCGACGGGGGAGACGTCCGGCCCGAGAGAGGAGGAGATGAGTGCGTTGAGCGTAGGGTGGGACGGGATGTTAGGAAGTGTAGGCGACGGCTCACGGTCGCGGTCGCGACCAGCTTGGTCTAGCAAGCTGCCGTTCGCTTGGGCGCTGCCATTGGAAGTGTTGTTGTTACGGTAGGAGTGGCTGATGGAGACGCCCCGCGCGTGCGAGACAGAGTTACGGACATTGTGGCCGCGCCCGGAGTTGTTGTGCGTCCTAGAATTAACGGACAGGATAACGTCCTGGGCGTCGGGGCCATCGTACGGCTTGATGGTAGCGGTGCCCGACGAGTTTGGGGAGGTGAAGATGGAAGGAGGGAATGCAAGAGCGTGCAGGTAGGCTCGCTTCGCTGTCAGGTGGCCGCCATGTGCATGTTAGCAACCGAAGAACCAGGAAGAACACTCCAACTGTGGTATTCAGCAGCATATACACGGACTCACCTACGGTAGCATCATTGAAAACAATCAGAAGGCTAGTATCGTTAATCCACTTGATCTTGAAGCCACCGTTAACATTCTCCCATTCGGAGAAAGCGGCTTGGATGTCCCTGGTTTTGAGCTCCTTCGGGAAGCCGGTGAGAGACAGGATGCGAGTGACGCAGGCGGAGAGCTGGGATAGGGCTGCTGCCATCGTAGCACGCGAGATTGTGGTGTGATGAGGATGGGGGGACTGGGCAACGGACGTGCAGTTGTTGCTGTGCGAGCGGCGGGTGGATGATATTGAAAACGAGTTAAAGGATGATAGAGCTATACGTTAAGCGGGACAAGACGGTGTACGAGGAGGAAAGAGCGAGGAGATGGTATACAGAATCGAGCAGAGCCAAGAAGCGCACCAGCCTCTGAGGCGCCGGTGCGCATCAGGCGCGGCCCCGCCTATTGCCACGCCCACGGAATCTTCCATCATCGTTCTGACGGTCAGCGCTCCAAAGCACTGTAACCATCCGCAGTAGCCGGGACAACCGTCGTACTCGTGGACGACATCCAACCCTCAGACCGTCCAAGAGCACGTAAACTACGCCCTCGCTGTCCAGGAAACTGCACTTATATTGCGGGCAAGCGGACGCTAGCAACATACAGGCGATACGAACAGCGAAGACCGACAGCAGCCAGCTCGGCTGCGCTGATTTGATAGGGCACCTCTTTCCAGGTAGAAGGTATCAAACGCAGTCAGCTTCAAGGAACATCCAAAGGAAAGGTGTAGATATTCCAAGTCATGGTCAGAGTGCCAACGACGAGCGCTGGCATGACGATTATGTACAAGGCGTCTGAGCGAAAGCAAGAATACCTCGGCTACCAAATATGCACGCAGGACATACCTAGACATGGCATAGGTAACACAACTATCTCCTGAAGCCACGGAGGTATTTGAAGCACGTATACGCACTCTCGAAATGTCGACTACCAGGAAGGTGTCTGATTCAATGAACCAACCCAACAGAGCCTGGAAGCGTCTTCTTGCAACAGGGTACAGACATCATGAGCGTACTACAACCTCTGTCATTGCTGTGAACAATTGATAAGCCACAGGCAAAGAATTTTCTTAGACTGATATTATGGGATGGCACGCAAACTTAGACAGACGGATGAAGCTGGATACAAGCAGCTTTGTCCAGCCGCGAGTCAAGACGAACTCGCCTTCGGCTTGGATGGAAGAAATAGTGTGACGCGTCACGCAGGGACCCCGAACATCCCGCGCCCAAAATAAGCCGCCAGGCAGAACGGCCGCGAGCACCGAGACCTCATCTCACCAGGCGCGTCGAGACCGCGATGGCCGACCTCACCAACTTGTATCCCTCTTCAACACCTCTGGACTTGCCTGCTCCGTACGCTATGTACCATGACCTAGATGGAGACCTCATACGCGCATGGCAAATACTCCACGAGCTATCTGAACAAAATGCGCTCAACCAGAAGATGGCCGCGACTCTTGCGTCGCAGGCACATGCTCTCAAAGTATGCACCCATTGCGATTTCGTTGTTCCAGAGCGTTCATGCATGTAGAGTGTTGTAGGATGAAGCAGCGAACGTTGCGAGTGCCTGCTCACTTAGGCGCGTAAATCTCGACATTTCGAAAGGTGCGTGTATTTCTCGTACTGCGTGCTGCAAGACACAGAACAATGTAATGTTTGCATTCCTCGTATCAGAGGTGTTCGAGTCGGAACTTGAACGCCAAAATGCACAAGTCATCATTGAGAATCATACGCTGCTTCAGGAGAACAAGCAGCTCTCTGCCCTCTTGAAAGAGTATGAGGAGACAATGGAGAACGTCATGACAAAGTTCCGCAACCATGCAGTACGTCAGACCATTCTCATACACGCTTCTCCATTCCCAAACTCACAAGCTATGAAGATCGCCGCACAGCAGCACGAGCTCACCCTGACCCGACATTACGAGACCCTCATCCAGAACCTCGACAACTCCCTCGCCCACAACGACCTCTCCACCAACACGTCCGCGACCCTCTCCCTCCACCGCCTCGCCCAGTCCCTCCGCGCCCTCCTCTACTCCATAAGCGGCGAGCACCCCGCAGACTCCCCGTCCCAAGACGACCCCCACGGCCAGCACGGCCAGCACCACGCCCTCCCCTCCTCCGTCCCCACCCCCGAAGAGCTCGACGCGCTCCTCCAGTCGCGCGACGACTGGGCCATCGAGCGCGAGGCCGAGATCGCGCGCCTCGAGCGCGAGAACGAGCAGCTCCGCCGCACGCTCGGCATCGACCGCGCCTCCGCCGAGGCGAACGGCTGGCTCGAGGACGAGGCCCGCGAGCTCACCTTCCGCCGGCACGTCGCCGCGCCCGCGCCCTACCGCTCCGGGAGCCCTGGCCAGGCGGGCGTCGTGCGGGGGAACATACCCTTGTTCGACGGCCCGGGCCAGATAGGCATGGGCATGGGTCCTGCTCCGGGACAGGGCTCGGGGCCTGCGCCGGGGCCGAGCATGGGACCACCGGGGCAGGGGCCCGGGGCGGGGCCTGGGGGACCAGTGGGGATGCCTGGAGGGAGCGTGATCCAGCCTGGGATGAGGGGCGTGCAGGGACGCAGGCCAGCTATGTTCGGCCGCGGGCGGGGCGGTCCTCCTTTCTGGGACGGGATGAACCAGCCCGCTCAGGAGCGTCCGTGGCAGATCCAAGGAGGGTTCGACATGAATCGGTGATGTTGTCATAGGTTCGCTCTGTCGCACTCGTTCGCTTTCGTGGATTAGATATTATTGGCCACATTCCATTCCGACGTGTGCACCTGCCCTTCATCCGTAGACTCGAACTCCACGATCGTTATGAAAAGGCGTAAGTCATGATCATTGTAAAGGTTCGTGTAGGATGCGAGTAAGTACAGCGTGAAGGGCGTGATATCACCGAGACCGGGTATGGTATGGATGAGCTACTGGTACAACAACGCACACAGCGCACTGTGTATGCGCGTCTACTCCTGCGCGAGGCATGCATATGTACAGCGAGTGAGATGCAAAGATGGTACAGTGCGAAGAGGACAGGCAAATAAACACTAACGGCGCATTATAGGGGAAAAGGTCCTAGACATATACGAGAGGCGAGGCGAGGCGCGCCGCAGCAGAGGCTCTACCCTCCAAAGGACAGCCACAAATACACTGCCCCACTGCGACGACGCCCTCCACGCGAGTTGTAAGAGAGGAAACGGGGAGATAGCAAGGAGGGCGTGTGGTATTAGTGGGAGTCATGACGTGTCCGAACAGCCGAGAGACATGGAGCGCAGAAAGCAAGCGGAAAGCGATTTGCGGACGCACAGCTCGTTGACAAGCGAGAGAGACCGAGGTCGAGGCGGACAGGTATCGCACGAAGGGAGGTCGACACACCGGCAGCTAGTAGACGGTGCCGGTCCCTACCTCCCAACTGAGGCTGCTCCGCCCGATACCCTCCCAGGCGATGCCGACCATCTTCTCCTTGCCCGCTGCGAGGGTGCCGTCGCGCGCGCGCTGCCATGCGATGGCGTGCGCCTGGCAGATATTGTGCAGGGCTTGCAGGCGGAGAAGGATGGGGTTCGCAACCGGACGCATGCGAGAGATGCGCGCGTTCGGCTGGTAGGGAGGGCGGAACGGGGAGCGGGGAAGCGGGGGAGGGATGGGAAAGACGCGCTCGTGCGCAGGGGCCGAGTCGGAGGAGGGGGCGAATAGAGGGATGAGGGTACGCTGGTATTGGGGGGCCGAGTCGTCCCGGTACATGTCGAGGTCGGCGAAGAGCTGGACATCTAATGAGGAGGCGCGGTAGCCCTCTGGCTTGAGGCCGCTCTCCAGGCGACGAGACGAAGAGGCATAGCGCACCCGACCCACAGGAGACCGCGAGCGTGATCCAGAAGTAGATCGGGAGCGCTCGCCGTAGAGGTCGACGCCCGCGGAGAACATCGTCGCCCTGACATATGCGCGTTGGAATTGCGCTGCGAGATCTATGATGGTGTAGACAGAGCGACTGACGTGGTGCACTAGCATCGTCGTCGGGCTCGGCGGCGGCGACTGCTCGTCTACTTGACCAGACAAGCTCACGCGCCTGGTGAGAGGCCGACCGCGGCCGACTGCGAGAGGCTCCTTACGCTTGGGTCGAGGCGGAGGAGGAAGCGCAAGCGGGTGCTCAGAAGCCGGAACAGTCGGCGCACTCGGCGGTGGTTTGGAAGACCGCCTACGGGTGTGGATGGGAGAGTCGGACGGCGGCGACGTCGACAGAGGCGAGGAGAGAATGGTGAGTTTGCTCGAAGTGAGGGGCGAAGAAGAGGGTGTGGTAAGGGTGGTGGATGTGGAACGGAAGGAGCTCTTGCTGCCGAACGAGAACCAAGAACCAGAGCGGGTGACGGTGGAGATAGAAGACGAACCGGCGGACGACGTACTCGAGATCGAGTCGGCCGTCGACGCCCGCAAGGCTCTGGCGGTTACGGACTTCTTCGCTTGCATCACCGGCTCTGGAATGGTATCCTGGCCTGTTTTGCCCTTCTCGGCCAGCTTGACTGGCTCTAGGAGAATGGCAAGCAGCTCTGCCTGCTGCTTATCGCGTCGTACATACATCCGGTTATCTTCCTCCTCGCCGAACAGGGGGCCATGCATGGCGGTGAGAACGTCGGAGAAGGCGACAGACCGCGAGACACTCTTTGCATGCTTGAGAGCAAGCTCCCGCTGAGCTCGCGGGAGGGTCAGCGAGTCCTTGTCCGTGGGCGAGCGGCTGGTGGGAGGAGAGAGCGACATGGGGCGAGACGGTGGGGACGGCATGATGTCGTACAGGAACTTGCCGCTATCGTCCGCCCTCCTCTCCACGCGCGTGGCCTTGGGAAAGCGCGAGTCGGCGTTCCGGAGGGAGTCGTAGCAGACGAGTTGCCGAGGCTGGGCACTCGCTATCCTTAGCTGCGAACCCCGTGCGGCCCGGGATGCCTCGGCCTTGCGCTGGCGTTCGCGCTCACGCTCCTTCGCGAGGCGCTCGGCCTCCCGCCGCTCGCGCTGCGCCTCCTCCTTCTTGCGCGCGATGCGGGCCTTCTCACCTCTGAACCGCTGCATGCTGCGCTCCCAGACCTGTTCGCACCGCCGCAGCCGCTCCTCGCGCAACCGCCTCTGCCGTGCTTCGCGTGCACGTCGCTCGGCCTCCTGCACACGCGCTTCTGCATCGGCGTCGAGGCGGAGACCGCCTTCGGGAACGAAGGAACTCGAAAAGTCTTCGTCGCGCACGGCTGCGATGCGCGGGTCGTCGTCGCCACTGACGTCGATACCGCGGAGTTTGAGCAGAAGGATCTTGGCGAGGTGCATGTTGTCCAACGCGTAAGCGACATGCATCTGGTCCTGGAGCGACCGCGGCGGAGACGGAGGGGAGTCATAGTAGTCAAGGGGGCGGTCGAGGCCGTAGTCCTGGAACTCGTCCGGAGGTGTCAACGGACCGAGGGGCGTTGCTTCGGAGGCGTCGGACAAGACGCTGCTCGACGAACCGGTGCGCGGAATGGTGTCCGACGGTGACGAGGACAGGGAAGAAGTATGGTGTAGTGGTGAGGGGGGTGGAGGAAGGCGTGACGAGGACGCGACGGGTTGGACGGCCGGGCGCGCGCTGTCGCGTGAGTTGAGGTAGGTGGTTCTGGATGACGATGAGGAGAGCGGGCGGGTCAGTATGTGAGCTGGGGCTTACCTGGGTGGAGAGCTGTGGTAGGACTGCGAGCGCAAGGCCAAGGCCTGCTGCTGGGCCTTGCGCGCGAAGGCAATGGGGGACACGTCTCGCGAGCGACCTCTGTCCATGGGGGAGACCGCTGGGGAGCGTGACTAGGAGGGATGTGGGAAGGAGATCAGACAAGTGACGACAAGAAAGGGCTTATACGTACGCACGACCGGTGGCCTGGCGGATGGGAAAGTGAGAGCACAGTGCGACCACGCCGGCAGATATGCGATGCCTCGAGGCGGCGTCTTCCAATGCAACGAGTTCACCGTGATATCAGAGATCTATGTAGCCCAGCGTCAGATCCACACCGACCAGATCTGTCTCCTCTTCTCGACAATAATGCACAACTGCTCCCCACAGAATGCTGCAGCCACACAATGCAGCCAGCAGTTCTTCAGCCGGTCCGTGCAGCTTAGGGGCTCGTCGCGACCGTCGGCGGACAATGTTGTGGACGAAACCAGGGGCCGGGCGTCTAAGATACCGCTTCGCCTTATGAAACAATCAATCATCCCGCATTGGCCCAAGCCCAACCGCTTTTATGCACTTCGCTGTCCACCACTCTCTTCTTGCATTGTACTGGGCAGACATCCGGAAACGCATTGTCCATTAGACAACCCAAGCCAACGTACGACGTCTGCCCAAAGTGCATTCACGCGATCAACACCATCAAGAACATTATCCTGCCCGCTCGCGGCGTGTTTGCAGAGGATGCTAGTCTCCTCCTAGCTCTCCTTGGGAGTGCTCGCTGAGCCACTTGTCTCCAATAACACACTAACGTTCTAGTCGAGCTGCCGCTCCTGCTGGCAAGTGCTGCTCAACGAGCGCCGCTGACTTCCAATCGTGTCCAAAGACACAACTGCAGCTGCACATATCCCTTCTCAGTTCGTGGGAACTTCGCCCTCCAAAGGAGCAGCGTCGGTCAATACTTGGAATGTCACTGCGTAGATGATGGCAAAGGCTCGCGCAGATTCCCGTTGCCGCCGTCTACCGCGCCACCGGTTTGGTAGCATGTGCTTCCATAGGGTGCGTGTCTCGCTCATCAGGCATTCACCGACTTGTTCCCGCCATCTGCCTCCAGGGACGTCGGCATCCCAGCAACGTCCCAGGATCGTCTGCGCTGTTTGCGGACAACGACCTACGGTTCAGGACCGGTCACTATCCTTGGCCCTCTGCCCAGCTCAAACAGGCTCCCGCCTCCTTCTAGGCCGCTCCGAACGCCACCACTTCCCCATGCTATATACTTTGAATACAGGGTTAAGCTTTTATCCTGGATTTCCCATAACACTGCGCGCATCCTCTGAATGCGTCGCCTGCTCCCAGCACGACATACCGCATATAGCGCGTTCGCTCTGCACGCTGCAAGAAGCCACAGCGTTCCCCGTCCCGCACAGGCCGATATGGGTGTTCGACAAGCTCTCCCGCTCGACCGCGACTCCGCGACGTCCGGACGCGCCTTCTCGCTCGCCTGCGAGCCCGCACCGGGACCGCCTTCCGGGAAGCTCACGTACGGATGTCGTCGCACGTACGTACGATACGCGGAATCCAAGCCGTTCTCGCACCACGCTTTCGAGAATAGCGTATTCAAACTTAAGCCGCGGAAGTGAGCATGGTTTGTTCCCGAGCTCTCGATGTTCGCGCGCTCGTTATCTAGTAAGTCATATCTCGTGCAAGCTCCGAAAGCCTATCCATATCTCGCGCTTGAAGCCCGCCCTCTCTACCGCAGGAGCCAGTTGCCAGTTGCCACCCGAGTTCAGCGGCCAGAGTGGTTTCGCGGCGGCTGTGTGCTGCACCGTGTTGCCCGGATGGTGCCGAACGCACTGCGGCGCCCAAACCATATGCGGACAGAGACAGGGCGGCAACTGGCATCCTTCCCCAATTTGTCAGACAGGAATAATTGCCTCCGGTGTCAAGCCATGGGTCTCGAACGGTGGGTAGGGCCTGGCCGCTAGCAGCAGCCTCGCAGCGGGGGACGACCTTCCTTTGCCGCGGGGCTCAGGACGACTGCCCGCCGCGGCAAGGCGTCGCACGCGCACGTGTTCTGCGGGGTGACGTCTTGCTGGGAATCCGGCAAGGGCTGCAGCGCGCGTGCGCTCCACAACGCCTGGGCTAGTGCCCCTCGTCTGCACTTCGCTGCCCGCATAGAAAGGCCGTCTCTCCTGCCACGCCGCAAATCCATCACGCCCGGCCACGCTGCTCGCTGTGTGCCACAAACATGAGGCTGCTCGTCGCTCGCCCATCGAGATCGCCTCCAGCACCCCACTCTCCCAGGCCGCTTCTTCCGCCTTGCCCCAAGGGAATCTTGATGGCTGCGCCCTGACGTGCTCTTCTCGAAGGGGGAATGCGAGCCGGCGACATATCCAGCTAGGACACACGCTAGCGCCTCGTACCGCTAGGCGTAGGGGACGCGTAAGCGAGTCACTGCAGTGCGTTGTCCCGAGGTGTACGATATAGGCTGACGTATCTGGATAGACAGCAAATGCATCTGTCATTGTGGGTACTTAGCAGCGTAGATCGGACCCAACCGGCGGCAGTATCGCGGCCATTATGCTGGCGCTTCGTTGCTGTAATGTCCGGCGTTGAGTCGACGAACAGCGACAAGCCACTCCTTGAAACTGATCCGAGGCGCAGATTACCTTGCAAGCCCCGCCGCAGTCGTTCAGCATGTGGGTGCCCCTTCCGCACTTGTCAGCGTTGACCCCAACACATTATGCCGTCACACAGTCTTCTGGACGTCGTCTGTTTGTCATAGAGGAGCCACATTCCGACCGACGGCGCTTATGCACGTGCAACAACGACGTGTATTTCCAGATATGCCACAACAGGGTACCCCTTCGCGTCCTCGCCAAGCTCTCGAGAAGCCACCTCATTTCGTGTGGGGACGACGTGAGTAACATATAGTCGCCTTCTCGCGCGTTCTCGTCTTGTGACTTATTCTTGAGTCTCGAACAATTTTTCGCGCTCTGTGAAAGTTGACATATGCGCCGTGTCGAGCTACTCCGCACAGGGAAACGTCCAGACGTACTCGGAGCGCGCACGACAGAGTCGACTCGTCGTCGGCCGAACCTGATATATGCTGGGAAAGAAGGGGCCTCGGCACGTCCTTCAAGCAGCGTCTTGTGACACCACGGAAAGTCCCCCATCGCGCTGCCAAGTGCACGAAGGGCGTGTTCCTTGAGTAAGTACGTGTATGGTTGCTTCTCGAGGTACGCGCATCAGCCTGCCGCTTCGCGACGTCGAACTAGGCCTTGGTCAACTACGATGCGCGAATGATCAGATGAACTTGTGGGGTACATTTCCTCGCAGTGGGCGTTGGAGGAAGATCTCGGGATGTTGTTCTCGTACGCCCACTGTGTCATGACCGTCCGCTGTCACGCGTAAGGTTGCGCTCGTGATCTTACTTGAACGTGCACGAAGGTAGAGACTACCATGCTCGTTGAAGCGCCTGGTGGGTAACTTTCTCTTCCCCTAAGCGTAGCAGAGAAGTGCGTCAAATGACACCTGTGCTGCGCTCAGGGTTAGCGAGGGAAATTGGCCACTCGTCAGTATTGCCGTCGATGACGGAGCCCGACTTGTCGTAAGCGCGACAGTCGCGTTGCCTGCATGCGCGGTAGTGCATTCGTTCCCCGGTCGTCTTCACAAGTACAACTTAACAACTTCCATAGCTCTGCCCACGAGGACTGGACTGTGCGAGCCGACGTGAGCAGTCATATGACCTCTTCATAGACTCCTGCATGCCTTTTCGTCTTGAGAAAATTCTCCAATGGAAGCGCACGAGGTATTCTCTGTCCTGCGTGCTTTACCAGGGCCCCCTATTCCCCGAAGCCTAGTGTTTCGTTCCGTCTCCGACGTCCGTCCCGTGGTACGTTGCTCAATTCCAGGGCTTCTCTGAGAGGACGCGAATAGAATCGTTTGACTTCCATCGCTAATGCCGTACATCCATCTAGTCTCGCACATGCGAAGGTCCCCTGTTATGTTGCTACTCATCGCCGCGGGAGTCAAGAAGAGCTCCTGTGACTATTGTTGTACCAGCCGCGTTCTTGCCAGCATCAGGGGGCACTCATTTCTCCAGCCTGGCCTTCGATCACCGATCTTGGGCGTCGAGGATGGCACCATGATATACTCTGTGTACTCAGCCACCTTTCTCGGAAGGTCACGCTACTGGGCACCATGGGCCGCTCCATGAGCTGCAGCCCCAGAAACTTTATGACCACTCATGTGCCAACCTCCTACCATGGTTGTGGGTTTCTGTGGTTGACAGCTACTGAATGCCATCCACAGAGACCGCTCTCGATCGACTCCGCGACTGCTTCCAAGCATTTGTACCGCACTTTTTGGGTGGCGAAGTCGTCTATTAACAGCACCAGCACTAGCACCTTCTTGCCGCAGCCCCCGTGACCACCATTGCATTTCTACTGGCGCGCACGCAGCATTGATGCTGGTCGGAGGAGATGGATCGTGCTTTCGCTTGAGATGAGCACCGCACGATCGTATGTGAATGTGTCTCGCTTAGATCACTGATCAATCTCCTTGTCCCTCATTAGAACGAGAGATGCCGTGCCGACGCTTCTTCCGTGAAGCTACTCCAGTTCAATTTGAAGGCAGCTGCAGCGTGTAGGATGCGTAGCACTACCTCTCGTCGATCATCGATCGATACGAGCTGCGTGCTGCCTTGTGGGGTCGACATTGCCATCGCTCGCAAGCTCCGGCGACGACGCCTATGGCGTCGTGTGGCACTCGAGCGACTGGGTATGTCCTTCTCTTTGGAGTCAACTGGAATCTCACCCGCTCTTTCCAGCAACCCTTCATCTCCATACAATCGATCGTATGCTGGACACGCAAGAGGGACCCACCGTATTGGCGTGCAAGGAACGCTGGAGCACCACGGAGCTCGAACGTCGCTCATGTGCCCTTGCATGTGCATCCGTGCATCTCTCGTGCCTCCTCCGAACCATCGAGAGCCTCAGTGTCTGAATGCGAGCCAATCCACATCTTCTCGCCGAGCGAGGATCCGGAGTGGCATGATGCACTGCGGCACGCAAAGCTCTGCGCGATCGTCCCTCGCTCCCGCTGAGCACTCCTCATGCCGTTAGGTCGTGTGCTCATGCATTGCATCATTCTGCACTCTATGTATACGTAGCTCGCCCCCGTCCGCCTTCGCAACTATTCTCTTCTCGTCTACGATGCTGCTTGCCTGGGACTTTTGCGCTAGGCGCTCTTGGGGCCAATACAGTCCCCTGCAGTCGCCGGCGTCCCGAGTTCCCACCGCGCCTACAACCGCACCCGTACATCAGGCCCTTCTCCCTCTCCTCGCCGATCCGCCGTTCCAGCAAGTCCGCATTCGCTATTCATATCGATATAATGCCGCCAGCGCGCGCAGGCCCAGACCCTGCCGAAGTCCCAGGGAGCAATTGCTCGTTTCCCACTTCTCCCCGACGTTATCTCAGCTCAGCCTCCTGTCATGCAGGCCATAGCCCGGGACCTCGGACGACGCTGAATGAACGCGTTGCACATCCCACCAAACCGCGACCGTCATGACGTCGCCGATGGCTCATAGACAGCCCAGCCGACTGTCAGGAGAATTGACTGCGTGCTTGCCATCAGGAATCTCGCTGCCGTTTGAGGACGCGAATATACTCCTCCATCGTAGAGTGGCCGGATCAGTGACTGCGAGAACCCCTTGCTCAGGGTTTCACCGATATTGCGGTCGCGACGTCGACATGCGCTCGTAGCTGATGTAGCTCCATCTCAACACGCGCTGACGAACCCAGCAATGGCAGTCTTATCTGTTCAAATCATGCCTCGTGCAGCCCGGATCCGCCAGACCGTGGACTAGGCAGTGGCACAGCCAGAGGGTGAAAGCCTGTGGAAGCCGTTCTGACTGCGACAGGCGGTGTGCGTTGAAGAATAGATTCTTGACATGCGACATTGATGTAAACGTCGGAAGTACTAGTGGAAGGACTCAACATATCATTGACAACATAACAATATTCAACAGCCTTTCCAAAAGGAATGCTAGCATCCATGAGGCCTCGAGGTACCGCGAGGACGTCAGAAGATAAGATAGCTAGCGGGACCGGTAGGGGTAGAACCTGAGAACTTCGGGGGACAGCCTCCGCACATCCGGAGGGAAGTGCCTGGGGGGAATAAAGTGTCTTAATGACGGGGGATGAATGGCGCAGGTGTGGTCGGGACGTGGAGGGTATCGCGAAGAGGCGAATGACAATGAGACATATGGAAAACGACAGGTGGCACGATGGGACAGGGGAAGCTTGAATGGCACGTCCACAGTGAGGAGTAGCCTAACCGTAACACCACACGGGAATGTCGATGACGGCGGGCGTTTTGTGCAGGCCTAACGACTGTTATCAGACTAGGACACATGACGGAAGATTTTTGCTACAACACACACTCACAAAAGATAGAGAGGGTATGTTCGAAGAAGAAGGCGGGAAGGACCAACTGGCGCACTGGTACGCTGCTTGACGAGAGGTTGAATGATATCCTGTACAGTGAAACCCGGGGCAGGCGGACGTGTTGCGAAGACTGTTAGATCCCTCCTCCGCCAGAGTATGCTCGAGCCCGGCCCATGCGCGGTCGAACCCAGTCCTTACTTTTCCTTTTCGTTTCTTGCACGAACCCAGAAGAAAGTGGGAGCTCGTCGAGAGCGCCAGCAAGAGAACTCGAAGAGCTGTTGAAGATGGGACCAGTGAACTGCGAAAACGAGCATGTGGGAAAGAAGATGTCCGAGTTGTTGTTGAGCGCGAAAGAAACCGCCTTCGAACGTGGCTGCTGGATGGAAGGCTGGATAGAGGGCTGGTCCTGCACTGTCTCAGTACTCGAGAACTCGCAGAAGTCCGGGAATGCATCAGATATTAGTGTAGCCAGATCCTCAGGTCGCCAAGTCCCGTAGTCGTCAGTGGAACAAGCTGCCAGGTCCGAAGAGCTCCCACGAGAAGCAGAGGCGCTAACCAGATCGTCAGATGATTGACTGAGCTCCGAAACGGACGTGAAACCGCCGCTAGAGTCTGTGAGCTGAGGACATGTGTCGACGTTGGTAGCTGTTCCCGGCTGGTAGCATTCTGTAGACGTGGACAAGCTGTAGCAAGGGAAGACGCGTTCATAATAGATGGCCATCTGTCGTTCCATGTGTGCCTTGTAAGACCCTACCTCCTCTTGAATGCCATCGGCGGGTCCCAGGATACGAGACAGGGTGTTGTAGTAAGCCTCGCGTTGTTTCCGGTCGAGGACGGTATGGTCAAAGATAGGACGAATGTTGTCAATCTGAGAGTCTCCATAGGTCCGAGAGGTTCCCGGCGGAGGACGAGGAGGCAAGTCGAGCGTTGAATTAACCAGTCTGATGACGTGATTGGCAGGTGCAGATATCCAAGGACGAGGAGACTCGGGTTTGGGCTCGGTGGAGGCAGGGGTTGTCGCAGAGAGCGCGGCGGTAGAAGGCAAGTCGGGATTTGACTGAGCCTTGTTGATGGTAGCCGTGTTGGGGGGAGAACCGGATGTTTGAAGCACGGGTGCGATGCTCCGACGGATGCGACGCTAGGCAAACAAAAACAGTCAGCTATATACGCATATAGTTACGTTTTGGAAGAGCTCACATGCATGCGCATCGCATCCGTCTTTTGCTCGACAGTGGCACGCTTGTCCTCTTTGGTGACGCGGAGACCCTTGCTATGGAACCAGTCGTATATGTGCCTGCGGTCGACGTTGAAGCGCATCTGAATCTCTTGCCGGATGGCAAAGGAGGGCATCTCGACGGCGCCTGGCTCCACGTAGCGTTCGAGTTCGGCCACGAGCTCCGGTCCAAGGCGAATTGCAAGGCTTTCAGGATTGACTCGTCGCCTTGTCGATGCTTGCATCGCAGGAGGTGATAAGTTGTCCAAAAGTAGATGTTTGTTAGTCGGGTGGTCTGCAGTCATGCTCCTGCTGAGGCGGTAAGGTTCGGTATCCGGCGGTGCTGGACGCTTGGCAGGAATCATGCTATCGCAGCGCGACATTGCGTGAGCCATGACAGCGGAGGTCTCAATGATGAAGGCGACTGAGTATGTGGTAGTGAGTAAGAGACCCAACGCTCGGAACTCATGAACCTCGGGGTTTTGAGAGGGTCGGACTTCGGACACCGCGTTACCATATGGGTATGTCACGCCACAGAGGAAGGGAGAGTTCAGATCATGCATGTCTGCGGATGAAGAGTGTCCCAAGCAAGTGGCACATCGTCTATGGTGCATGTGATTACTATGATATATGTAGAGTTGGGTGCATCAGTGGGTCCGCTTCACCACCCTCTCTGTCAACGCCTCTAGCGCGCCCTTCGCATCGCTGTCGGGCAGCGGAGCCAGCACCTCCCGAGCCTTATCCGCATGCGCACGCGCAAGCTCACGCGTCCGCTCTACGCCAGATGACCTGCGAACAAGATCTCTTGCCTGGAAGACGGCGGAGAAGGGAGGCGTAGGCGTGTGAGGGCTTGGTGCGCAATCATGTATAGAACTCCACGTACCAAGTCAACGTCACCAGGCTGTCCGAACTTGCGCATGATGAGAGGGCCCATCTCTGGATGCTCTTCCCAAGCGAACAAGGCAGGTCCTGTGGCGAGACCCAGCTGCAAATCGGCGCCCCCAGGCTTACCCAGCGTGGCGTCTCCGGCCTCGTAATCGAGGATATCGTCGACGAGCTGCAAGAAGAGTATATAACAAATGCAGACATGCATGGGACACAGAAAGCACGCACCTGGAATGCAATACCCAGATTGCGACCGTAGGCGTACGCTACCTCCTTCCACACCTCGCCTTCCTTGCACCCACCCAGGACGACCGCTGCCCGAGCACCCTTCGCCATCAGACTCGCCGTCTTCAGGTAGGTCTTCTGGAGATAGATGTTCCAGTTCTCCTGTCCTACCGTGGGCGACAGTCCCGCCACGCCAAGTTCGTCCGCATGGACCGCCTTCAGCTGGAGGATCTCCCCCTCCACGAGGTTGGCGATGACGCTCGCAATAAGCTCGACGACCTCGTTCTCACCTAACCGTGAGAGCGCGGCGCTCGTCCGGCCGAGGAGGAAGTCGCCCGCCAGCACGGACAGCTTGTTCCCAAAGGCTGCAGGCGCGGACGCTACCCCCCTCCTTAGCGGCGACTTGTCAATCACGTCGTCATGCAGGAGCGACGCGACGTGTATCATCTCCACAATTTGCGCTAGCCGTACCTGCGTCGGAAGCAGGGCAAGCGGCTCGGCCACCGTAGGCACGAACATCGCAGGTGTGAACGGCGGGGGAGTTGGCGGCTGGTGAGGCAGGCGTGGAGGACGAACGGAGAACGACGTCTGGAACGATGCGGTATGGTCTGGCATGCTCGGATTCCAGTCGTTGAGCACGTCCGGACGCGTCAGTGGACGGTCGAGTTCCTCCGCGCGTCCGCCCGCGCCTTCGCACTCCGCCGCCCATTTCTTCAGATGCCAGCCAGAGCCCAAACCATTCGTTGCCTGCGAAAAGAGGAGGACGAGGAGAGGCCGGAGCTGCTTTGACGGATGCAAGAAATAATATTGGGCGATCTCGGTCAGAGAGGGGTGTGACGAGCCAAGCAGGTTGAGCAGAGTTTCGCGTAGCTGCTGGAGTTGAGGCGCAACCAGCTTGTACGGGTCCGGACGCGTTGGCAATTTTGGGGGGTTCGGGGCGTGAAGGAGTGGATCATTGGGCGGTAGCGTCTGTGGTTGTGCGGAATGGGTCGTCTTTTTCTGTTGCTGTGCGTGAATGCTGTAATTTCTGCGTGTCCTTGGCCGCGTGACCAACGCGTAGGACGAAGGCAGGTGGGGAAGGCGCACTCCGGCGACAGCACATCGTCGCATGACCAGCAAGGACGCTACCGGAGGCGTCGAGAGGTAGAAAGAATAGGGTGATGAGGAGACCGGGTCGGGAGAGTCGGGAAGGAGGGGCAGGCCAACAGTTCAACCTAGACGCGCTCCCGCCTCGGCGTTCGCTCTCACCGCGCGGGCATGACGTCCTCACGCCTTTCGCTGCCAATCACGATTGCCAATTTCCCCTCCACTGTGTGCATGACGCTTGTGACCGGTCCAGCAGATATCCGTCCGTCTAGCACCTATATTCTCATCCCGCTACGCATTAATACAAAAAGGCAACCAACTACTGCAAACAGCACCAAGGAGGGCCAGGTACGACAGAACGCGCGAAAGAAGTCCGCCGTTGCTGGCGCGTGTGAGCGCGTCAGGATGCGCAGCTACGTTGCCAGAAGTCCATTTTGCCACTCACACGCCACAGAGCAAGGCGGCCGCAGGACCGGACGTCCAGGAGCAAACTGTGCCCGAAAGGGGAGGGCATAAGATTCACGATAGCATCCGAGTCGTCACTTGCGGGGGCCCAGCGGACAGGTCACAGTTTCAGCAGTTGATGATGTCCAGAGATGTCCAGAGATGCTATACATACATGAGCATAGTTAACGTGCTCCTCTATCACCGCGTTGAGGACTGGTAGGAGGCGCGAGTGCTGGAGCGGATGCCCCATTAAGCTGAGCGGCTGGCTTCTCGAGATATTCTGCCAGCTTCCGCCCCTATAGGGCGAGACATACTCAAAATCTGTGATCTGTGATGTGTAGAGAACTAGGTACTAACCTTGACCTCAAGCTCTTCCCATGGTACGCTCGTCTCAGAGTTCAGCGTCAGGAGCAAGGGAGGATCATCGTCGTCGTCCTTCTTTTGCGCTTCTACTGGCAGCACTAGGAGATGTCCAAGCTATTCTCCCCACTCAGCAATGGTCCGATACAGTGAGTCATTGAGACACACCTGTGAATCGACCCTACCGACACCCTGCTCTCGCGTCTCCTGCCATATCTCTGTGCTGAGGCCTACTATCACGCGCACGCGATCCTTCGGCCTATCAGGTATAGAAACGTAGGATACCAGTTCGCCTTCTGGTGTAAACAGGACAACAGTGTGCAGCTTCGGGAGGTCAAGAACGCGGGACAGAAGGGTGCGCAAGTTGGGCAAGTTGAGCATGCTGAGAGCGGACCGTTAAGCTAGTCTTCGGGTTGTAGACGCCCAGTAGCAGCAGCGTGGACCCCGGTCACCGAAATCAAGGGCAGTTGAGCCGGTGGATGTATTCGAACGGAACGCAAGGATCTACAGCGAAACAACTAGCAATAAGATAGGAGCCAGGATGCACGAAACATATCATAGTCCCGTATGCACAAAGACGGGCACTCATTAATTCATAAATCACAGCTACTGACGAACTACTCAACGCTTCTGAGCCTAATGAGTCTCAGTTAGGTCGAAATCCTCGCGATGTAAGGATGAGCACGTACTAGATAGGCCATCAATTGCTGATACCCAGGCTGATTCGTATTGACAGGGGGCACGCCAGGCATGGAACCGTGCGAGTGCGCTCCAATCATCGCCGAAGCAGGAGGCATACTGTACGGTGGCATCGGCGGTGCAGCGGATTGTGGTGGCTGGCCCTGCCCTCCCTGCTGTAACAAAGCAAGAATGTTAGCGGGCAGCCCTTGCATCTGAGGGGTAGCTCCTGGTGGAGGCGGAGGTGCTGGGGTCGAGGGCTGAGAAGACATAGAGTACGGATTTGAAGGAGGCGCGGAGGGGGTTGCAGTGGCGTATGAAGGGGCATGTGGGGGTGGCATCGGCGGCTGGTGGTTGTAGTATGCATTTGCAGCAGGCGCAGGGGGCATTGGTGGCATAGTCGGTGGGGGTGGTGGAGGAGCACTTGCGGAGGGCGCTGGAGGCGGCGGAGGGCCACCTCCGCCTCCCGGTTGCTTGAGTGCTGCGAGAAGCTGCTGAACCTTCTTGGCCTGCTCAAGACGCTCGCGCTCGTCTGCAGCCTGCTTAGGGAGGTCAGATACCATCCTGTGACCTCCTGTAGATGAAACTCACTTCTGCAGGGGCCGGCGCAGGCTGAGGTGGGGGTCGGTTGTATGCACCACCCGGAGGGGCACCATAACCCGGACCAGCAGGACCTCCATACCCGCCCTGGCTAGCTCTGTTGAAGTCGTCCAGACGCTGTTCACGCCCAAACTCGTCCTCAATCTGACGATTGTTTTGGTTATTACGATCGCGATATTCTCGGCGGTCCTCCCAGTCACTGTTGTTGTGGAAACCTCGTCCTCTCCCGCGACCGCCTCGACCGCCTCGACCTCCACGTCTTCCGCCGTGATGACCACCTTCATCCCAGTCTCGCTGTGGACGTTCAAGTCCGTCGCCTCCGTGCTCTCTGTAAGTCTTGGGTTAGTATCAATTCTGTTTCGCAAACATCATGTGACAGACCGAGACTCAGCGACACGGGGATCATCGCTGGGAGAAGCATAGACGATCTCCATTACTCCATCCTGAAGGCCCTGATGACGGAGACGGTCGTGGGCCTCCTCGCACGCCTAAAGCCCGCTGTCAGTAGGTATGATTAACCTACGAATGCAAATTCACTGACCCGTGTATCATAAAACTCTACGTATCGTTGGCTAAGTTGCGTGGTCGGCGCACCGTTCTGAGCATGTGTGATAGGCGACAGGAAAAGTAGTACGTACTCCGGACGTTCGCCGTAAGGCCTGACCGACTTAACGTCGCCAAATTGCTGGAATTTGCGGCGGACCTCATTATCGTCAATGGGTTGATTGGTGGGGGAGTTCCGGAGCGTGACTATCAGATTCCCTTGCAGCTCCTGCGGAGTCACATCGTTCAATATCGGGAATGGCCGATCATCAAAATCGTGACTGACCTGGTCCTTTTGCCTGTCCGCGCCCCGTTGGTCATCGCGAGGTAACGAGTAGTGCACATCGATCTATCGGAATTGAGCATCCTTCGAAATGTTTTGTATCAGATGACGCACAGGACGGCCACTGATCTCAGACCCTTGTAGCCTATCCCTTGCTCTTTCCGCGGCACGGAGATCGTACTGGAACCCGAATCATGATCAGATTTATATGCTGCGCCACCCTGCGATGAAAGCACTCACGTATGTGACGAAGACCATCCCACGATTGGCGATAAGGTCGAAGAATGTTTTGATCTCGCCATGTTCCTCGAAAAGCTGTCTTACGTCTTCACTGCTCGTCTCATACTGGAAATACATCGGAGCTCAAGTCAGTACGGCAATTGGGCCGGGTACGTTCCCCACTTATGAGGTTTGAACTCGCCTTGATGTTACGTATGAAAAGAGTACGACAGGGTCGCTCTCGCTGAATGCGTTCCTCAATGATAGAGTCATGCACCTTGTCGTCTCGTTCGCGGCGTTGAGGGCGTTTCTGCTGGAAGCGATTGTTATAACCTCCCCTGCCCCCCTGATTGTAGTTTTGTCCAGAGCCATCTACCGAACCGATGAATCAACGTGAGAACGATGTGTGATTGAGATTGTAGTCATCAACATGGAGAACGGCGGCGAAAGCATGTTAAGAAGACGCCGTTCTCGAACACGACTTCTCAATTCAAGCAAAACTGGAGCTGTTCCTGCCATGGGGCTCAAATGGCTAATTGGGGACCCAGAGAACCTTGAAACTTATACGCTTCGGAATCCAGATGTCCTTGGCTGCGCACTCGCCACCAACTCTCACCAAGACGGGCCCATAAACACGATCACAGTAATGAACAGCCTCAAGACTGACTTCCACGACGCCTCGCGATCACTAAGGCCCTTTGTTTCGATCTCAAAAAGCTCAAATGTGATTCTCAAGCGTACCTTCGTAACCGTAGCCCTGATCGTAACCACCAGAGGCATCTGATTGGTACTGTCCTGGACCTGGCGCAGTGTACGTGTTGCCGTTCTGGTAGTACTGCCCTTGAGGTGGGCCGGAATCGTAGTAATTGTAACCTCCCACGTCGCCTTGCGGAGGACCTTGATCATATGGGGCTGCATTGCCATAGCCGCCGTAATGGCCGCCGCCTTGTTGGCCACCCCCACCTCCACGGCCACGACCACGACCGAATCCTCTTCCTCTAGGAGCACCGCCCCTATCAAAGTGGTGGGATCTGTCAGGCCCGGGCCCATAGTTTCCGGAAGGGCCGCCTCCTCTACGTGGCCCATCATAGGGCCCGCCATACGGATGGTGTCGGTTCATGTCTCAACGTTCTTCGAATGCGTATAGGACTCTTCCAACTCTCGCGATGCGTTGCAAACCGAGGCGCGCTTAGTGACGTGTCGAGTTGGTGAGGCAGATGGCTTAGTAGATTCACGGAGGAGAAACGTTGCGGCGCGTTCGAGTTCAGAGTGCGTCGGAAGCAAACGAGATGCAACTCAGGTGTCCAGGAGTAGGAGAAACGAAACGACGATTGAGCTGGAGGTGGTGGTCGGGGAGTACAAGAGAAGAATCAATTTTTCAGGGCATTGTGGATACCAGCCCGTGGGAAAACCAGCCCAGTTGGGCGAGCGCCTGGAGGCACCCTGCAACGCCGGCGTCGGGGTACCTGCTGCGCGATAGCACTCTCCCCTTCTCCCGCCACATCCCCGCTCTCCCGACGTCATGTCCAAACAATTCCAGTTTAAACTTGTTCTTCTGGGTGCGTCTCCTGGCGTGGCTCATGCTTGTCGGTACTAATATATACTTTTCTCAGGCGAATCCGCGGTGGGGAAGTCCAGGTAGACATTGCCGCTTTCGCCCGTCTTCAATGCATGTGCTGAGTGGCTTACTCTCCCAGTCTGGTATTGCGTTTCGTGAAGGACCAGTTTGATGATTACCGAGAGAGTACTATTGGAGGTATGTGATTTGCATCTCGCCAGGTTTGCGGTCCCTGAACTACGTCAAGCCGCCTTCCTGACACAGACTGTGACACTCGAGGACCAGACGACCGTCAAGTTCGAGATATGGTGAGTACGCCGATTGTCAGGCCCCAATCCATGGTTATACATAGCTATGCAGGGATACGGCAGGACAGGAACGCTACAAGGTATGTTCCCCGCTTCGTTCCGTAGATGCCATGCTGACTGGGCCCGCCAGTCCCTTGTATGTGAAGTTTCTCGTCGGCATACACTTCAGTTCTCACAGCAGGCACACGCAAGGCTCCCATGTACTACCGCAACGCCAACTGCGCTGTCGTAGTGTATGATATCACGCAGTCCACGTCATTAGAGAAGGCCAAGTCCTGGATCCGGGAACTCCAGCGGCAGGCCGATCCTAACATTGTCATCGCTCTCTGCGGCAACAAGCTCGACCTTTCGGCCCGACGCCAAGTGTCTCAGGAAGAGGCCAAGAAGTACGCCGAAGAGGAGGGCCTCATGTGGGGCGAGACGAGTGCTAAGACTGGCGAGGGCGTATCAGACATTTTCACCTCTATCGGTGCGTTCCATTCACATACCCATTTGTACTCGTCTAACAATCAACGACACGCAGCCAAGAAGCTCCCGCTTACTGCACCACCTTCCGCACGGGGAGGCACACGCCCCGGTGTACCGGGCGGCAGAACAGGGGTCGATTTGAACAAGCAGGCGAACGCTGGCCAGGGCCAAGGCGACCAGTGCAATTGCTGAACATATTGTCGTCTGTCATCACTACCGTTTCCGTCGCCTAGTGTTCATCTGTACATTGGCTCCCTCCTGGATTCTCGGTCCCATATGGTCTGTTTCTACTTCGCTCCCGCTCTTCATTGTAGTCTACCTGCCATTAGCTCGCTTTTATATATGGACTTGCCCATGCGGATCCTTGGACATGAACGCTCAAAACACTCGATTATCAAACTGAAGAATGACAGGCGAGAGACCGACGACCATTACAAGATGTAGTACCGAAGGACCGTGGGATCCGCTGTCCGCAGGAATTACGTGAGTAAAGCATACAAGGATTAACCAACGATAACAAGTGGAAGCCTGTAATGAATGAGGAGTTGTACAATGAGTGACGCAGGGCACCAGCCCGTTAGCAGCAGTAGCATATACGACGAAGCAATAACGATAACGGCAAAAAGCGAATACCAATAAATAGATCCCAAGAACGAACGACGAAACCCTACCCAGCACGCATCGAGCGTGCTCAAAACCCTGCAAGCTCGAGCCCCTTGCGGATGTCCGCGTGTTGCATTTCAGCCTGCTGAATCTCCTGGCTCTTCACCCAGAACGAGCTCTGATCCTTCTCCCCGGCGAGCGTCGCGTTCGCGTCGATGAACATCATCGTCGCCGCGTCCTCCGCGAACGCGTACGGCTTGTGCTGATGGCGGAGCATCGCGTCGATCGCCTCCCACCACTTCTCGCGCTTCGCGAAGTGGATGAGCGACGCCGTCGTCCCCAGCGGCGACGACGCGGGCGAGACGAGGACGGTGTCCTGGTACTGCTCGTTCGCGAGCTGCATGTCCGTGAGGTACATGCCGATATAAGGGATGCAGGGACCCTCGACGGACCGCTGGAAGAGGCGGTACGCGGAGAAGTTGCCCGCCGCCTCGTGGTACTTGGCGAGCTGCTCGAGCTGCGCCCGCTTGTTGACGTGCGCCCAGGTGAGATGCAGGCGGTTCACGACTGGGCTTGACAGCGCGGTCACGATGGCGTGCATAGACGCGTAGTTGTGGAGAGATTTGCATTTCTGTTACATGAGACGGAGACGGAGATAGTTAGCACGATTTTGAGAGACGCGCCGGGTGGCTGTATCATGCTCACCTCCGCCACCTTGATCCACAAGTCGATCGTCTCCGCCCGCTTGCCCAGTCCCTCCATATTCAGGATGCTCATCTTGACCCAGGAGCCGAGCTTGTCGTGGAACGCATTGAAGGCCACGAGGTTCTTCACGCCGTTCCCGGTCTGCGACTTTACCCAGCTCATGCACTCTTGCGGCCGGACTTTTGAGTACTGCCGCTGCTCATACATGCACAGGTGCTCCGCGAAGAAGAGCGGGTCCATGCGCAACAGCTCTCCCTTGGCATCCTTTCCTTTCTTAGACCGCTTGGCGGCAGCTGAAACAGGCGTCGGAGGAATGACAGATATCTGGCAGGACGTGAGACACTACGCGTATATGCGACATAAGTCGACACTCACATATCGTTCAAGCGACTTGAGAACGTCGCGCGCGATGGCAGCAAGTGGAGGAGGGGACGTGATGGAGGAAACGAAATCGACGACACGGCGGGCGAGGTGGGGGTCGTCGACAAGCAGTCCAAACTGCTCGCTCCAGACTTGGAGGACGGTCAGGACACGGCGACGCGTAGGCTTCAGCTTCTTCTCCTTCCACTGCTCAAGCTCCTTGAAAGTGAGTGTACTGGGATGAGTGACGCTGAACTGCGCGATTAGGAGGTCGAGGACCTCCTCGGCGCTAGCGAAGGACTTGTAGGTCGTCAAAAAGGCTTGGCGATACCTCGTCTCTTGGATTGGTTCTAACCAGAAGTTGAGGTTTTCGATGCGGAAGATATAGAGGATAGATTGCTTACTGGGGAAATCTACGGTCAACCGCTCCACCAGTGCCCGCAGCGTTCCCGCCGATACACTTCCGTCAGATAGGATCTGGATCTCGTGCTCGCCACTGTACATTGGCCGCAAGTACCAGATACCCTCGGAGAGTTTGGCATCATGGAAAGCCTGGGCCTCGTCGTCGCCGGTGATCTGGCGAATCTTATCTGTACGGGGGACGGGCATCTTGTTCGTGCGCGTGAAAGCATCGAAGCTCTCGGCAACGACGGGACTCGCGATAAGATGGTCAAGCTCCTCGACATTCTGCGCTTCGAAAAGAGTCGTCAGACGGGTCAACGACGACTGGTCGTCGATCAACAGAGGCCTGCGGCGCAGATGTCGCATGGCCACAGGTTTCGCGGACTCAGAGCGGGTACGCTGATGTTCGGATGATGGCGTCTCTACATTGGGGAGGGACATGCTGCGCCTGCGTGATGGAGTCCTAGGAGTGTTAGGGAGCGACTTATCTCCTGGCGCCGCGGGCGGAACAGTGAGGACTTGGTCTGTTGCAGATGTGGGTCCCTCCATGGCTGAGGGGGACTGGACCTGCATAGGGAATGAGGGGAGCACGGGAGACAAGAGGGGCGGCGGACGTGAACGAGAACCCTTGCGCGACAGAAGAGCCTCTGTCGGAGAGAGCTCTGACTCTACATCGAGGAAATTGGCATCGATCCCTTCATGGGGTGGAACAAGAGGGCTGAATATGTTAGCCACGCCAGGAGGGCTAGGTTCCGCTCCTAGCTGCATGATAGGAACCTAGCATACGGTTGGTTTCATCGGTCGTCATAGAATAATTAGACGTACCTTGTCCCCATTGACCAATGGCATCCAGTCATACCCGCGGTGTTCTGCTTCAGTACCGACCACGAAGGGGTCCGTGAGCGGCTCTGGGGACCCATAGAGTCTGTCAGCATCGTCGTGATAGACGGCGACATTGTTTCCAGCCTTCTTCAGCTTTTCAGCATAGGCGTCAGAGATAGGGCGGACAAATGCGCTTGGGATCCAGCCGACTCTGTTGTCGTCTAAACGGATGGCAGCCCACCAGCCCTGGAAGACATCAGCCCACGTCCAGCCATGCATATTCATCTAGTATAGGCGCCTCACCGTATCCTCTCTCTTGACGACGTCCAATATGTCATTTCTTCGGAAGGACAGCTGGTCGCTGTCTTCCGCGTCGTAGTCAAACAAGCATAATACGTAGAAGAGCTCCGTGGAAGACGTCGGAGTTGCGGTGTCAGGAGCCGCCAGACTTGCTTCCAGGTCAGCAGATGCAGAAGAAGTAGGTGTTGGGAGGGATTTCTCTGCGGCAGATGGATTTGGGTCTATCCAGAGTTGAGGACGATGACCTCCACGCCTCGACGGCTTGTGGTGCAAGACGGCCATGCGGGAAGATGCAGCTGTCACCGCATATAACGAGGCGTTGGCGGCCTTCCAATGCGGAAGGATGTGAAGGGCAAGGAAGATGTCCCTAGGCAACGAGCGGAACAGAGGCTCTATACGTTCAAGGCACACTGCGCATACCCCACGGCCCGTATCTACATCGCGCTCAGCCCCGGGCGTTGCCCTCCCCGGGGTAACCCGATGCACACGGGCTCGAGCTCGACGTTCATTGACAGCGACCATCACCATCGTGATTGCACACAAGTGCCATCTCCTGCCCAGCAACCCAATACAGCATTCGCTCAGAGCTGCGGACCGGTGCCATGTCCTCCATGCTCGCTGTAGGCTCTCTGGCAGAAACACTGTTGCAGGGCTACTCGGCTGTCTACGCGGCGTACAGTAGCATTTGACCCCACTAAGTAAGCGACAGCGGACAGGCACGAGGCGAGCTCAGATTAGCCGACCGCCCAAATTGACGAGGACCTATCTTGGGATCCAGGGCCTTCCCGGGCCCGCCGGTCCAACGTGCGAACAAGCTTCTATCAATGTGATGCATCTAAGCGAGGGCCCAGATATGACGTGCTGTATTTGAGACCAGCCTCCGGAGATAATCGACCACGATGGTCAGTTCGCCGGTGCAGCTGCAACAGACTACCAGAATTTCGAGCAATGTCTATACGCCTGGTCATCTCCTGATTCTGGTGCATCGTTTCGACTAGTCAAGGGTTAGAGAGTTTGCTGAGGATGGCGGGCCCGGTGCAGTGTACATGCCGTACTCGTGGGACTGGCTAGTAGTAGCCAGCACGCCCGTCTCGGTCGGTGAGGCGATGGTAACGGTCAATCACTCACTCGCCGTGCGTGAAGACTTGCTGGGGTCTCGGGTGCTGTTACTTACTCGCATAGAAACGTGTTCCAGACAAGTGCAATCGACCCTCCTGCGGAATTCTCATGCCGTTGCTGACCATTTCAGAGGCTGTGTTCAACGTGTACCACAGGGGTTCACGGACAGCAACGTCCTCCTGGAAGGTGTCCCATACTTGTAGCTCAACTAACGCAGGAATGCAAAGCTGGACAGACATGAGTGATTGTTACCAGCACGTTCGTGGTCGATCGCTTGAGAAATGGTTGACGCAGGTTGCGATGCCGAGAGAGCCAGAGGCTGTCAAGAGATACTTCATTTCGCAGCTTCAGCTCCGGCATACTTCCAAAGGTTGCCAAGTGATCGTGTATTGTAACAGAGGGTGCAACGTTAACGTCCAAAGCAGCTGGGAAGGGAGTGGACGCGGGAGCAATACAGCGGGCCGCAAGGCCGCGATCAGATCTGTCCTTGGATGCGGGCGCCCATCCCCCGCCCTACCCGTACTCGGCCACAGATTCCTTCAAGCTTTCGAGATGGTCCCTTGGAATTCAGCCAAAGCAAAGGTGGGATTAGCACTTACTTAGCATTCCTTGCTGGTACTGAACTGCCCTGCTCCAGGTTCAACTTCGGTATCCCCGTTCGCCGTTCGGCTCTAGGCTCATTCTTATCCTCCCACTCCCAGGTTAGGCGTCCAGAGGCTTCGCACCCTCCAGGAGAAGAAGAATGCGCAGGCCAAGGCTGCACGACGTGACATCGCCTTTTTGCTGGAGAAGGGGAGGATTGAGACCGCCCGAATAAAGACTGAGAACAGTGCGTGCATCCTATATTCCCGCCGTCTGGAACAACACCGCGAACACGCCGCAGTCATCAACGAGGACATCTACGTCGAGCTACTCGAGCTGTTAGAGCTCTACTGCGAGCTTCTCATCGCACGTTTCGGCCTTTTGGACCAGAAGTGAGTGAGTATCCCACATCTCCGCGTCCCCGTTTACACAGCCCTCCTTCTGCGCTCCCTCGCAGCGCGCGCGAGCCGGATCCCGGAGTTAGCGAGGGCGTCTGTGCAATTATCTACGCTGCTCCGCGGACGGAAGTGAAGGGTAAGCTGACGTTCGCGCATGGCACGGATTGCCATACTAAGCAATGATCGCAGAGCTGCACGTCCTCCGGGACATCCTCATGCACAAATACGGGCGTGAGTTTGCCGTAGCAGTCATGGAGAACCGGGACGGCTGCGTTAGCGAGCGGGTATGCGAAACCTTCTACGCCCGTGCAACCTACGCTGACGTGCCACGAGGTCACCCGGAAAGTGGAGGTTGCGACTCCTCCCTCCACCCTCGTCGATGCGTATCTTGCGGAGATCGCAAAGGGGTACGGCGTACCGTGGTCCCCCCCTAAACCGGCCGACGCCGCGGACGATGTCAATGATGACGGTGCAGAAGGAGGCGTAAAAGTTTGTCTTCCAAGTATGCGTTCATACGTCATGTACACGTCTGACGGCATCCTGTACCTCTCGGGACGCGCGCTCTACCTCAGGCGGCAGCAGGTGGGAAGGAGAAGGTCGCGGCCGAGGTTCCCGCGTCGCCTCGCCTGCTTAACGCAGCAGCGATATCGGCGGAAGCAAGGAGCGCGGGAGTGCGGACGCCCAAGCTTCCGGAAATTCCGGCGGACGAAGACGCGCCACCTTATAGCGAAGAGAACGCACAGAAGGAGCAGAGGGAGGGCACTCTGAAGGCCTCGCCCGTGGATCCCCCGAAGAAGAAGGACGCGGAAGAAGACGAGTTTGAGGCTCTCGCTAAACGATTTGAGGCGCTCAAGAACAGGTAGTGCGGAGGCTGCGGCGTCTGGAATTTGATTGCCACGAGAAGTCGTGCTGTACGTACAAGTACAAATGTAGGATACCACGTACACTTCGAATCCTTGCGCCCGCGCTGCAGCTCCTCACGCTATATAGACATAACTATCCCCAAGTTAAGCTTCAAGAAGAGCACCGTGGTTTCGGCCGACCACGCTAACCGACCTCAGCTTGGGAAGCCCTTCTCTATAGCCGTGCTTCGCACGAATATGTCCGTCGGTCCACACCGAAGTGGTGTAGCGATGGTCAACTTTAAGAACAACGTATAAAGTCCACATCCGGAAAAGATGGTCAGAAGTCGTACATTCTCGATCCAAACCATGCCTCTGACGTCCAAGTTTCGCTCGAGAATTAGTTAATCGAGGACAATACCTTCATTTCCTCACGTACGTATCTGGAGCATGTCGCCGAATGTGACCCTGTCTGTTTTGGGAGCGGCCCGGCTTCGTGGTTCCGCCAGAAGTCTCCCACACGTGAGCGAATTCACGGGCGGGAAGCAGCAGATACGCGACGCCGAAGAGGACAGATCACGCGTAGGATCAAGATCGTATAGGACCCCTGAATAGTCTCAGGATTGTTTCAGCACATGCTGCACCGAACTCCACATGGAAGCACGGACAGTACTTAAGAAGAATTACCGCAGGTGCGCATATGCGGATGCGGGCGAGAAACTCGACCTGACACCGTTAAATTAGCAGACAGGTTCATGAAACGCCTGAACACTAAGTATGCACATACTGCAGGCTCGCAGGAGGCGTGAATCTCCGCGGGCTGGGTGCGGTGGCACTTGACAACCGTGGTAAGAACAGGAACAGGTCCCTGAAGCACGTCATATGTCCGCCGGAGCAATGGCGAAGCAAGTTTTGAACGGGCAAATTATCGCATTGAGAACCTGGGGGCGGACATGCGCATAGTGCTGTGGGCACGCTCGGTACCGTTCAATATAAGGTCCGCACGGGTCTTGTCTAGCCCGAACAGAAGGAGCTGCCAACCTTACGAAGTGCTAGCCGGAAGGGCAGTCAGATGCCCTGCCGGATGTTGTGCGGATGCGCGTAAGCAATATGCGGCCCCGTTAGAGCTGAGCTCGCTCTCCCGGGTTGACAGCGCCATCAACAGAAGCCGAGCACTCACCATGAGAAAAAGCAAGGATGGGACTGTGATCAAGTGCATGCATTGACAGCGCATGGCTGAAGTACGGCTGAATAGGGAAGCTTCCCTGCAGATGACGCGCATGATGGGATGTGCATACCGAGACGCCCTCGCAGAAGGAATATATGGATGACAGGGTGAACGCTGAGCCCATGAGCGACGATGGGGCTGTGTTCTTGGAGGGAGCCTGATGTACGTCGGCCTTGTTAAGTTGTCTTGTTTATTCACATAACGCATCAAACCACACTCACCATGGTCTCCCCAGGCGGCAGAGCAAGATTCTCCAGCGTCGTCCTCAGATCCGTACCAGCGGTATTCACATACCGGATCGGCAGAGGAGAGGGCGAGGCGACCGGACGGATGTTGGGAAAGAACGTCAGGAACATTGCTCTCAATCCGTGGGCGGCATGTCGGACAGAGACAGACGCTCCGCGCTCAGTTGATAACGTGAGCGGGGGTGCCGCCCGGAGCCTGTACGTTGAGCATCAATATCCGCCGACGTCCCAGCGCGTGTCGTCACAACAAACCTAGTCAGCGGGCAGTCCTGTAACCTTGCTGGATTACCTCCGACTGGCGGAAGTGGGGGTCCTCGAATCGTATTGCAAGGGGCCATTAGAGCGCAAGCAGTTCGAATGCACAAGCTAAGACAAGTGAACCACGCGTGATTCTGCGTAGAATGGCGGGAAGTGAGCGGCGCTGACACGACTTCCAATCCTGTCTCCGTGCCGGGCTGGAACACCACGGCGCGCGAATATTCCTCAGCATGAATGGATTTGGCGTACCGTACTCATCTGTATATTACCCCAGACGAAGCAATCGATGGTGTCGAGCCACAGAAGATCCAGCGGAAGAGGACGCGTGGCGACTCGCGACGACCGCAGGTCAGCTGTTATCAGCCCAGATCAATATGGAAGAGACATTGCAAGTTCAATCGTGCGACAGAAAGTGAGGTGAGAGGATGCTCGGCATGAATTGGCACGCGATGGAGGGAAAATGAAGACAGCATATGTGCTGGTACACGCCGCTGACGACCATACATATATTTCCGCCTCACGAATTGGAGGCATGGGTGCACAATGAAAACCTCCGACCACGAGGCAGCTGAAGCTCCGGGCCCCGCCGAAGACTCTGACGCGAGGGATACCTATGGCTCGGTTGGTGAAAGACTAACAAAGTGAAGATAACAATCGCCGAACCGCTATAATAAAATGGTGAAAGGGCCGTTGCATCCAAGCTGGGATCAGCGGATGGCATGCGGCCCATCATGACATTCGAAGAGCTCTCGCCAAGAAACCTCTCGAGGAAATGCTGTAAGCGGGCAACTGGGAACAAGGAATGGCGTCCGACGGTGGTGAGTCGGATGTTTCCCTGTTTTACATCGGAATGGAGATCGAGCAGGATTGATCGGGCGAGGGCCGCATGCGAGCGAAGAAATGATGGGTGAACGGGCAGGAGGACTGCCGGGGTAAGCAGGGCGTGGCTCGGCCAGGCTGTCGGAAGGACTGGGGACCCGCCATAGATGGCAATCGGTGCAGACTGTCACACTAGCCGTCACACGTCGGGGAACGGAGATGGTCGATGGCACCAATGGGAAAGCGGCACGTGAGAGTCCGATTGGTGCGGGATTTCGGTCTTCGCTCATGTCCTCCGCCGTTGAACAGCGTCGCTCGGTGGCCGTTATATATACCATCTTTCGCTCCGTCCGCTCACAGCCTTTCATGCTCCCCCCTCGTTGTGCCGCCCATGTCTCGTCTTGACCCCGTCCAGTACGCCATGCACCAACCATACGAGCACACGCAAGACAACGATATGGACGACGATGTCTACTCGGTTGTCTCCGCCGACTCGACTGGAAGCATGCGCTTCTCTAGCTCCTCTTCATCTGCAACCTCACACGACTGGGAGATGCGGTCCGCTTCTCCGGCGCCCTCAACATACTCGATGACAAGTTCATTGCGTGCAGCATCATACGTTCACGAATTTGGGCGCGGAATCAACAATTATTCCGAAGTATATCGCCTCCCGGCCGATGAGGAAGAGTTTGACCGCTTGGGTGCGCGCCTCTCTAGCTTTCTCACTTCGCAGTGTTCATATTCCCCACAGACCAGCAACATATCATGTTCATGGAGGTCATGGGCAGATATGCACCACCAATACCAGAAATCCTTGCAGATGACACACCGGGTGTCACGAAGACGTGCGTTGATCTCGGATGTGGAAGCGGCAGCTGGTACGTGTGCTCTATGCCCACATGGGGTCGTACCTAATCTCCCTGTCTCCAGGATACTGGATGTCGCGCGAGATTTCCCACATTGCAGCGCGGTCGCAGTCGATCTAGTTCCCATGCAAGACGTGTGAGTACTTCGCGCGTATCGATTGAAAGCGCTTATTGACGCGTATTCCCAGACATATGCCTCCAAATTGCAGGTACGCATAGTGCACGATTTTCAGTCGATGACAATCTCTCATATAACGGTGCAGGAGCGAAGTGGACGACATCAACCTGGGGTTGCAACACTTCTATGGGGCGTTCAACGTTGCGCATGCACGCCTTGTCTCGTCTGGGGTACGTGTTTGCTTCGCTTGTGTTCCCGGGTCCCACCCACCGTCGGCTCCGGAGACGCTCTCAGATCTGATGGAATCTGACTTGCAATCTCCGTTGTTCTTGTTTTCCATGTTTGGCATGCGCTGACCTGGATCTTAGATTCGCGATTACAGGGGCCTGATCGACGAGATGGCGCAGACACTGCGTCCCCGGGGTCTCCTCGAAGTCATGGAGTTCGACTTCCGTGTATATGACGAGCATCGACAGCCCATTATGCCCACGCGCTTGGATGAGGAGATGCCTGCCATCGCTCGCTGGATGAATCTTGTTCATATCGCTGTTGAGCAGCGCGGGGGCGAGCCTGATGCCGCCAACCAACTCAACCGATGGGCATCAGCACATCCAGACCTCGAGGACGTCGTTTATCGGGAATTCTGGTTCCAGACGTGTCCCTGGAAGCCGGGTAGCGATCCCGAATCCGGGTTTGACAACCACGTAGGCGCAATGATGCGAGACGATATCCTGGTAGGTACCGCTGCTAGACCAGAGAATGTTCCCTCTGATTCCCGTCACAGGCATTCATCAAATCAGGGCGTCCCCTTTTACTCGGCAGCGATCTCGACGTCTCTATCGTCGATGAACTCGAACTAAATGCCGAACGCGAGCTTCTGGAAGCTAAAACACGTTCGTACATACGAGTACAAGACGTGTATGCTCGCCGGAAAGATTCATAACACGGACTCCCTACCGCCCGCTGATTATCAAGGCGGTAGCTATCTCTATTGTATTTTAATAGTGTGTAATCATTCATTCGCATCGTAGTCTAGCATCACGTACTTCGTCGCTGTCGTTGCATAGCTTTGGGAATTGCCGTCGCGTACAATGTTCATTGTTCCTCACTCTGCGAAGGATACGATGCCGAAACACTCTGACATTGCGCCTGGGACAAAGAATTCATTGTTAGCACCCGTGTACTTATATCCACCGATACACACGACGCATCAAAACAAAGTTTTAGAACACCATGGACCAGAACGGGCGAACGAAAGTGGCACTGGGACAATACCGAGCACTGCCCATGGCGAACACGCGTGGTGTCAACTAGCTAAACGTTAAGACAATTGAAATACAACCTCTCTTCAATCACGATAGGCGGCTACTGACAGGTTGTCGGACCTTGTAGGTTAACTGCCGAGCTGACTTAGCACGTAGCCGCACTCATCCTGTGTCTGTTTGAGGCGATGCCGAGCTCAGCCTGGACTCGGAGTTCGGTTCGGGCCGCCGACTTCGAGGTCCGGCCGTGTGTAAAAAACTTGCCCAGGGGTATATCGTTATGAGAACGTCTGAAAAACGCACATTGCGGCGAAAGTGCCCGGTAATTGCACTCAAATGGAATACTTCATCATGAATGTGCAAACGTAGCGGAGGGAGACATTCGAATTGACTACCTAATCACGCGCTACACACGGGACGCGAGTGATCTGGTCGGATTTCCGCCGGGCTGTGATCAGACCGATGCGCGGACCCTCGGCCTACGAAGAATTCTATCCACGATCATTTGAATCAGCTGGTCCCTCGCCGCCTCAGAGCCCGGCTCGCTCGACGTTGTCAGTGAGACATTTGCAACAGGTGTACTCGTGATGAGGGCGTTGGGCCCAATGACGCTGACCGAGTATCCGCTGAACGACGTCTGGAGTTGCATGCTACTACCGGACGTGACAGAGCTCTCGCCTGCGGGAGCCGGGGCATGTTCCTAAAGATGTGATTCAATGGGGTGAGGGTTCATGCGCGTTGCTGCGGCGATCTGTTCCGTCGCGAGCTTCGAGGGCAGTGGTGACAACGGAGAAGCGTCAACGCTGACGTTACCAGGGTGTGTGGTGGATGCTCTCACGGAGGTCGGGACGGCTGTGGCCTCGAGTCGGCGAACCTGGAAGGGGCTATGGGCGGCTCGCGCGCGGCGGCCGCAGCGCGTTCCCTACAAAGGTAGCAGACGAACGCGCCTGCGATAATTGTCAAGCCGGCGATTGCACAGACGACCCCGGCGACCATCTTGCCCGTGTAGGATTGATGCGCCGGGGAGCCTATTTCCAACCCAGGCCCGCTGGCAACGCGCGAGCTAGTGAAGCGAAATGAGTAGAAAGATGGCCTGGGATTGTTGGGTTAGGGTGGAGCAGTTAGACTGAATGCGGAAGTACCTGCCTGATGGCACACTGGAACTTGTATTCGTACTGGCGACATTGGGATTAGCGAAGACCGTGGTAGAGTTGAGGCAGAATTTGAGTCCACCGACATTGGGATCATTGGCACTGATGTTGACCGTGTACGAGGTGGTAGCCACGAGACCATCCTGATTGTATAGCAAGGCGTCGCAGACTAACCACATCGTGCTCGCCTTGTACAGTGTAGTGTCCCCACTAACAGTCCATCGTTGTCCTTCAAGGTTGACAGCACCGTAGAACATCCTGGGAGACTTACGACTTAGTAGGTATACGCCCTCTAGCTCCTCGACCCAATTACGGCAGCTTGAGAGCCTTGAAGAGGAATGCTGGTGAGCGCTGGGTGATATTTGCTCGGAATATGGCCATTTCAATATGTCTGCTGTGTCCAATTTCCGATGTATTTAAGAAAGTTTGTGTTTGTATTAGGGATGACTTGAGAAAATGGAATGCTTGTCCTCAACCACTTGTCAGCAAGGAGGAGTGGCGCGAGCAGACAGGAAACATACTTTCATACCGGCCGGGTAACGCTAGTCCCATCAAAAGATAATCTTAACCCATTAGAAGTGTGGGCGATGAGGGTTACGTTATACATCTTCTCGTCCACATTGGCAGTGTGGAACAGTTGACCGTTTCCCGCCTGGAACGAGTCCAGAGCCCCGTCGACCAGAACGTTGTATGCGCAGTTGGCATCACCATACAGTGCGACTTCAGTGCCTACACTTTGTTCTATGTCGAGAACGAATTAGCGAGCGAACTCACCATAGAACACGAAGTCAAGGCTCGCGTTGATGAAACCTGTGTTGTGCGACGTTTCGCCTGTGCCAAGCTCACCGCCGGTTTTACTGAACCATTCGCATGGCTGCCATCCAGTACCCGTCCAATCAACTGTGCCGCCGCCTGTTTTCGACTAGGGAGAATTTGGTGCAAAGGGCACGCAGTAGGCAGCCACCTGCCATCTTTCAATGACTTTTGTCCAGTGAGGGCACGTTTCCACAAAGAGTGTATCTTGTGCGTCCCCTCTTCATCGACTTTTCGTCGATCGAACACGTCCGATTGCCTGCCGTGCAATATGTCGGTCCGTCTCTCCAGGGCGGCATCAAGCTCGGTCCGAGATTCTGGGCGATTGTAGCGTGTCAATGGAAGCTATGTCCGCTCTAACAGAGGCCTATTTCCTCTGAAGTTTTCTCGGGCGCTATCATGAGTGGGACAGGTTAGGTCAGGAAAGTTAATAAGAAGATGATAGGATTTAGCTTCGGCCCTGGGGCGCATCACCAATTCGTCCACGGCGCTTAGTATTCCCTTTTTGGCCTCCCAATAGACGCCTTTCGTAACTCCGCTCCGCCGCAAGTGGGCCGAAGCCGCCATTCTACTTCCGTCGTCGTCCCAATCTCCTGCCGGCCAAGTATATGGGCACTCATCCGCCGCACAATGTCTACACAACATGAAGACCTGATGAGCCAGATCTTGAACCGTGAACCTGGAAATGCTGATATAATTCTTGCCAATCTGGGCCTTGCTAGTTTGCCATCGAGAGACGAGGTCCATACACAAATCGAACAGAACCTCCTTCTTCCAAAGTCAAGTCTCCCAGATCATTGGCTGCCCGCATATCAGCTGTGAGACTGCTACCATTCTGACGCATGATCATCCAGGCACTGACGATTTCTTGTAGGCATTGGGAAACAAAATTCTCCGTCCCATCTCTGCTCAATCTCGAGCCATCTCCACCTCCTACAAGCCTAGCGTTCACTCGTACAGGTCTAAAAGGACGCGTATCAGGATATACGGAAGTATGTGAAAAGTGGACTGCTGATCAAGCCATAGTTCATAGCTATCTCTAGGTGTCTAATCCTCGTCTGGCGACGGGATTATCTTCTACTGCTATTGATCGAGCTCCTGGTCCGAGTCGTAACTTCGTTAGAGGAAAATCTGGTTACGTGCCTTTCTGGCCTGGGGGACTGGATAACCTCAAGACGTCAAAGGACGTTGCTGAATTCGAAGAAGGGTCGTCAAAGCTCAGGACTATTGCTCCCGGATTGTCGCGCGGCTTCAGGCTTCCCGGGGATACCGCTAACGATGTCGATGCCGATGTCGTCGGTTTGACCACTCCCGATAATACCAGAGGCAATCCTGATGACTCGGTATATGCATCACTTTGATACGTGAATCGCGCTGTGAGCTCATTTTCGTGACTAGGACGGACATGCATATGGTCGTTCGGACGAAGAAACCGACGGCAGAATGCCACTAGTGAATGACATGACAGATATCGACGAGCTTCTACCCACTAGCGTGAGGTTTGATCCGAGCGCATAACTTTTGCGGAGATTAACGACCTAACGGCAGAGGAGCCACCTGAACCCAGTCCCCACTGCCCGACGACAGCTACGACGCGCGAATGTGCAGAAACGCGATTGGGCTCATGAGGTGGATGTCAATAAGCCAATGACTAACTTCCACGAATTAGTGCCGGAAATGGCGCACAAGGTCAGTATAGCGTGAAGAGAGAAGATAATATTTCGAGTCCTGATGATCATGTCTCAGTATCCATTCGAGCTCGATACTTTCCAGAAGGAAGCGGTATATCATCTTGAGATGGGCGATTCTGTCTTCGTCGCAGCGCACACATCGGCGGGGAAGACGGTCGTGGCTGAGTACGCCATCGCGCTTGCGGCAAAGCATATGACCAGGTTACCGCGTCTGCTCGTCTTCTACCCATTCATGCCCGCTCACGACTTTTCAGAGCCATCTACACGTCCCCAATCAAGGCGCTTTCCAATCAGAAGTACCGCGATTTCAAGCAAACGTTTGGCGCAGCATCGGTCGGTATCCTGACAGGCGATGTGCAAATAAACCCGGAGGCCAACTGCTTGATCATGACGACGGAAATCTTGCGTAGTATGCTTTACAAGGGCGCCGATCTGATCCGAGACGTCGAGTTCGTCATCTTCGATGAGGTGCATTATGTCAATGACGCAGAGGTGAGTGTTTCGCTGTTGGGCTCCTTGATCGTCTGCTAACATTCTACAGCGCGGAGTAGTATGGGAAGAAGTCATTATCATGTTACCGGATCATGTGAACATCATTCTCCTATCTGCTACGGTACCAAACACCAAAGAATTCGCCGACTGGGTAGGGTACGTCCGTGAATGCCCTTCATCAGTCAATCCAGTCTTGATTGCGCATGTAGGAGGACAAAGAAGAAGGACATCTACGTTATTTCCACCGCTAAGCGACCTGTCCCGCTTGAGCACTATCTCTACGCTGGCAGAGACTTGCACAAGATAGTTGACGCTGACCGGAACTTCATTTCCGCAGGGTATGAGTCCTCGTGCGCTCGCGCCATTATCTCCCTTTGTCTTATGACATGTCTCGCAGGTACAAAGACGCTCAGGATGCCTTGCGTCGGAAGCAGGATAAGGAACGCGAGGCTCAAGGCTTGCCGCCGGTCCAGAGGATGGGGGCCCGTGCTGCGGCCCCACAGCGTGGTCAGCGGGGCGGGCCCCAGGCTCGTGGAGGTGGACAAAGGGGCGGTCCACCTCTTAGAGGAGCACCTGCCCGCGGCGCCACCCCCTCACGAGGTGGAGGTTCCGGAAGGACGTTCCATCAGCCGGACAAGAATCTCTATGTGCACCTGCTTGGCAATCTGAAGAAACGAGCACTGCTCCCTGTCGTCGTGTTCACATTTTCCAAGAAGCGTTGTGAAGAGAACGCTGGAACGCTGACGAATCTGGACCTTTCCACATCGGTGGAGAAGAGCGAAATCCATGTCGCTGTTGAGAAGGCCCTTTCGCGGCTGAAAGGTTCGTGTCATACACTTCGCGTGCTTTAATTGGACCCGTGGCGTCCTCATGTATGCTTCGTGTCGGGTGCAGGGTCAGACAGACAGCTGCCGCAGATTCGCCGGATGCGCGAGCTTCTTTCTCGCGGCATTGGCGTCCATCACGGCGGCCTGCTGCCTATTGTAAAGGAGGTGAGTGGCAGAAGTATCACGGTGGGATCTTACCATGCTGAGTTGAACCTGCAGGTGGTCGAGATCCTCTTCGCGCGCGGCCTCGTTAAAGTCCTCTTTGCAACAGAGACCTTCGCCATGGTGCGCGTCATTTCCCAATCGTTGATTATGCCCACTCATACGTGATCAGGGTGTCAACATGCCCGCCAAATGTGTGGTGTTCTCCCACATCAGGAAGCACGATGGGCGCAGCTTCAGAGATATTCTCCCTGGTGAATACACGCAGATGGCCGGACGAGCGGGCCGCCGTGGATTGGATGCGACTGGGACAGTCATCATTGTCGCGAATGACGAGTGTCCTGAAGTGGGCGAAAACACGTTTTGCACTATTCGTTTCATTTACTGACGGCCGCGCACGGTAGCAAACAACTTTGTCCCATATGATCCTCGGAACGCCTTCCAAGCTACAGTCACAGTTCCGGCTAACATACAACATGATTTTGAACCTGCTCAGAGTGGAGGCTCTGCGCGTCGAAGAAATGATCAAGCGAAGCTTCTCGGAGAACGCCTCCCAACGGCTTCTACCCGAGAACCAGAAGAAGGTAGTCCAGGTGCGGCATGCCATGATTTCCGTCCAGTGTACTCTATCTGACAGCAAGGTCCTCATGTGTAGGTCGAGCTGGAGCTGGCGCAGATGCCCCAGCTGGAGTGCGAAGTGTGCGCTCCTGACATTGAACGGTTCTATGACATTACATACGATATCGTCGAGTCGAACCAGAACTTGCTGAAGCTGGCCGGCTCCTCTGGCGGGCGATACCTGGAACCTGGAAGAGTGGTAGTGCTACGAGACGGGGTAGGCTCTCGATGCTCTTCAGCTACTCGCCAAGTGAAGTCTCCATCTGATGGCCTCATAGCACTTCAAATCAAATATCGGCGTACTCCTCAGGAAGGTTTCTCTTGCTAATACCGAGGACAATACTAAGCCCTACTACGCCCTTGTAATGGTCTCTGAGGACACAAAGAGCAAGAAGCACGGTGCGTTAGGCGACTACGATTGCGTGGCTATTGTACTGACGTACATTCCATCAGACACCCGATCAGTCCCACCGCGCTGGCCACTCAAACCCGAGTCCTTGCTAGTCGACGAGCCGGTGTATGAGTTGACAGCTATCAAGTATGAAAGCATCGCACTTGTCACATCAGACGTCATCAAGGTCTGTTCGCGACCCAGTTTTGTTGTCGTTTGGTACCTAAGAGCCTCGCGGCTAGGTGGACGTCGGGAAGATATTAGAGAAACTCAGGATCTCAGCGATGAACGCTACGATCCAGCAGCTCCAAGGCGTCCTCAACGGCTGGCTGCAGAAGAATTTCATTCCTGAGCCGGTATGGGCAAGGAGAAGATTCCTGGAATTCCAAGAGCTTTTGAGGCATAGGGATGCCCTTGCAGCTAAGCTCGGAGAGTTCACTTGCACGTCGTGTCCAGATTTCGATGATCATGTGAGCCGACCTGTGTGATGTCGATCTGGGATACTCGTAACCGGAGCTGACTCTTTCTACTTGTCTGCAGTACAACTTCATCCACGCAAGGAAGGTTCTTGAGGCAAACATCGCCAAGTTGAAGCTCTCTATCTCAGAACAGAACCTCGAACTCATTCCTGATTACGAACAACGGATCGAGGTCCTCAAAGAGCTCAAGTTCATTGATGACAATTCGACTGTATTACTCAAGGGTCGTGTAGCGTGCGAGGTCAGCTTACTAGCTTCCTTGCGTTCTCGGCAATCTGACTGACCTGCCTAAAGATTAATTCCGCGAACGAACTTGTCCTCACGGAGCTCATCCTCGAGAATACGCTCGCAGCCTACGAGCCCGAGGAAGTCGTCGCGCTCCTCTCTTGCTTTGTCTTCCAGGAGAAGACCGACGTTGAGCCTGTAATCCCGCCGAAGCTCCAGGAAGGGCTTGCAGCCATCGTGGCGATCGCCGACCGGGTCGAACGGGTACAAGATCGGCACAAGGTCCCCGGCGAGGAGTTCCGTACCTTGAAGCCCGGTCTTGTTGAGGTTGTCTATGAATGGGCGAAGGGGATGGTAAGCGGTGCTTGCTCGACTTACTTTCCCTGAATGCGCGTCCTGAAGGCCTCGTGCAGCCGTTCGAGCAGATCACAGATCTTACAGATGTCGCGGAAGGTACCATCGTGCGCGTCATCACACGATTGGATGAGACATGTCGAGAGGTCAGGGATGCAGCGCGGGTCATTGGCGATGCCGAGTTGTTCAAGAAGATGGAGGAAGCGCAGATCAAGATCAAGAGAGACAGTACGTCGTTGAAGTTGATTGTCATCATTACCGGACGTTACTGACCAGTTCCATTCAGTTGTATTCGCTGCCAGTCTGTATTTCTAGATACGATTGCACCACTGTAGCCGCAACACGCATACATCACACTGAACGATCTGAGAAATGAAGAAAATCATGATGATATCTCGTATGCACGCACGTCACATAATGACGCATAAGAATTTCCTCATAAGCCCAATATATTAAAGTATGCATTGACTTTCCAAACAGCATGCAACAATGTGATAAACGACGCGAAAAAGCGACGAAAGGACCGGGTATCCCATATCCCTTTTACTTCCGCTTCTTGACAGTCGTCTCCTGCTTCTCGCCACCAGCGGGCGCAACAGGTGCCGTCTCCGTCTTCTTGTCGTCGGGCGTGGGTACGTCCGTCTTCTTGGCGGACTTGGGAGACTGTGGGAACGCTGTGAACAACTGCACGACGTGCAGAAGACGATAACAGATTACATACCTTGGTGATGGGCTTCTGCTGCGCGCCAACGAAGCCGAAGAGGACGCCGAGCATACCAAAGAGAGTGACAACCGAAAGCGCAAGACCTGCACCAGTCTCGGGGTGGGTCTTGAACGCAAGGATGGGGTCGATCTTCGCGAGGTCGATGAACTTGAAGACCTTGCTGCGGATGAACTCGACGGGGTCAGCAGCGAAGTCGACAGGGGTTTCCTCGTCCTCCTCGTCGAGCTTGCTCGAGGCCTTCTCGACAGCTTCCTCGACGGACTTCTTAACAAAGTAGGTCTCCTCGGCGAATTTATGAGCATCCTCGATGGAGTGACCGACGTAGATGTTGTCGAAAAGGATGTCCTCGGTCATAGACCAGAGCTCAATGCCAACACCGCCAATGGGGATGAGGGACTTGACCGGGGTGAGGTCCTCGAAGTAGTCGGGGTTGGCGATCTTGCGAGGAGCCCACTCGCCCTTGTACTCGGGGTTGTCGATCATCGGAGCGTACCACTTGCCCTTGTAGGCGGGGTTGGCCTTGAATGGGCGCTTCCACTCGCCGCAGCCAGGAGCCTCGTCGCACTTGGGGTTCCGGACGGTGGGCGCAATCCAGTCACCGTCCTCCTCATCATCCCACTCTTCAGGCTTCTCAGCATCTGCAACACAGCGTCAAAAACCGCACAGGAGATTGCGTCGAAGAGTGAAGACATACCAGGGTCGGGAACGAATTCAGGTTCGTCGTCCAACCAGCCCTCAGGCTTCACAGCGTCCTCGTCAGGGATCTCGTAAGGAGCGTCCTCGTCCCAGTCCTCAGGCTATAGAACGAGGGTAAGGAAGTAGCTCATATACAGGCATCAAGGTCACGAACCTTCTTCGCATCAGGATCAGGGATTCTCTTAGTGTCAACCCAGTCCTCAGGCTTCTTGTCATCGGGATCGTCAATCTCCTTTTCGGGGTTGACGGGAGGGTTGAAGTCCTCGAGGAGGCTGCCAAGGTTTTGGCTCTCGCCGTTGAACAACACATCGTATGTGTTGTTCGGGAACACATGGAGTGTGTAGAGGTTCGTGGACTTGCCAAAGGTAGGTTTGGGAGGCGTCTTGAGGTGCTTCTCCTCAAATTCGCCAGTGATGGGGTTCTTGTGGCGGAAGATGAAGTGAATCTATTGCAACAAGCGAGCGGGCACCCGCATGCCACGTGAGTACGCGTCTCACACACGCAGTCCGAATCCGATACTACGCACTTTGGTGCCGGGGCAAGTCAAGTCCGGGCCAAACATGATGGTCCAAGGAGTCTTGTCGTCGAACTCCTTACCCGCAGTTTGGAAGCCGTTCTCGAGGAGCTTGAGGTATCCACCACCGCAGTTGCCGCCCTTCTGGTACTTGACCTCATACTGGACAACCAGGGGCTTGTCGGCGAACTCGATGGGCTTGGGGAAAGGAGCGGAAATGGCATGGTGGGCAGCCTTGGTCTTGGCGACGAGGCCCTTGTCGCCCAGGATGACAGGCTCAGTGGGTTCCTCGACCTCCCACTTGCCAACGTAGCTGAACGTCTCGGTACCAACGGGAGTCTTCTTGGTCGCCTCGGAGGGCGTCCACCGCTCCGACCAGTCGTCAGTAAACTGCTCGAGGAAGGGGGCCTTGAGAGTCGTAGGCTGGCGGGCGCATCCATGTCAATACACTGGGTGTATGCAGGAGAAGTACGAGCATGCGGGGTAAATAAACGAACCTGGAAACTGGGCTTGGATACATCATCCGCTGCCGACACGGACGAGACCGCGACGGCGAGCAGGGCAGAAAGCGCTACACTTCGCATTGTGTACGAAGGACCGAGACGGAAGGAAAGCAAATGCTTGGGCGGAGGAAAAGAAGGAGGGAGACAGTAAGAGTGAGTGTTAGCTGGCATTAAACAAGCGCCCTCTAATATCCACGCGTCGGCTATTCCCCGGCCACGTCTGCCACGTAGACCGTCCCAGCCATCGCGCGCCTCCTGCATTCCAGCGCGTTCCATGGTCTCACGCTGCGTTCCATTCCCTCCCCTACAGGCACCGCCGTAGCGCACGCTGAGACAGATCTGAGCAGCTTCATAGCACTCTACATACATACATGCGAAACGTACACTACCCGAGCAGGTCTGCGTGCCCCGACGCCGATAGCGCAAGCTGGAACGATACCGCGGTTGGTAAGCGCGCTTTCTATTTCAAGCATGGCGGAACAAGTGACACGTACGATGAATTCGTCGTCCAAGTACTTCGAAACTGAGATCTGGTCTCCCAGGCCCTTCCGTCGCCTCGTCTTCAACACAAGGTCCCGTGCGAGTGCCTGTCCGGACGCCGGCTCCAGTGGGCGGAGCTTGATACTCGTGTCAGTAGGATCACCTGCGTCCCGTCATCATGCTCAGCCACCGAATATTCCGCGATGGTAAGAGTCGCACTCACCCGGCACTATAGACCAGTGGTCGAACACCTGCAGGCAGAACGCCTGACCCTGTGTTGCTGTGCGCAGGTCTGTCTCAAAGCCGTTCGCGTCGATGACGGGGATGAGGGCCTTGACGGTGTAGAGAGGCGACCCAGCCTTGGGGATATCCTGAGTAACGTGACCGCGGCGTCGCGCAAGCACAGTGTACACCGCAGATATACAGTCAGCGGGAGCCTGCACCTCCACATAGTATATAGGCTCCATCAACCGGGGAGTTGCCTAACAAGGCAAGATCAGAACAAGATCGTTCAATCTACGGCATGCAACGTGATCCCTCACCATCAAGAATGAAGAGTAGCAGACGCGACGGGCAGTCGGGACGATCTGACCTCCACCACGGTAAATTGGCTCCTGCGCTAAGCTAGCATCGAGTATTCGGAACTTGACATTGCGCATCGCTACATTCCTCTGAGTTTGCGTCATGGAGAGGTGCGCATAGCGAGACTCACGTTCATCGCACAGAGGCCCTTCACGGGTACCCCACTGGAAGCCCTGCTTGATGTGCTCCTTGACAGTGCCGAGAAGCTTCTTGTCCACCTGCGATGGAAGCGTGTCGTCGAGCAAGATGTTTGGCCCGCTGTCGTCTGGGCCGAACGCCCATATTGACCGTGAAGCGAGCAGGTCCCACTGGTACTTCTCCTCGAAGAACTTGCCGCGCTCCTTCGCCGTCATGCGCATGTTCACTCGCCCAGTCTCGATGTCCTCCGCAATTCCACGCTCCAGCGGCTCCGCAATCATTGTGAGACGGTTCCTGTAAAGGCGACCATCAGTCGGTGTCGCACGACCTCGCACTTTCAGATGTGGACCCACTTTTTGTTGGGCGTATCGGCATAACACTTGAGTGCACTTGTCTCGAGCACTGTCTCCGCAAACTTCGTAACCGGATCCGACACTTTGATCTCGATCTCGGAGAAGAGTCTCCTCAGATCATGCATGACGCAGTCGAGATACAATTCGCCCGTGCCAATCACGACGTGCTCGCCACTCTCCTCGACTTTGGTCGTAACGAGAGGATACGATTTATTGATACTTCGGAGACCAGAGAGCATCTTCGGCAGCTCAGAGGGAGCGATGGGTTCAATAGCAATCTTGAGCACCGACTGCGTCATGTGCTTGACCGGACGGAAGATGTGCAGGTCGTCTTCAATGTCGACGCCAGCTATCGTTGCCGTCTTGAAGATGGACGCGTCAACGCCACCGAGCAAAACCAGGTTCCCTGCTGGTGCTTCCTCTGCGGGAATGAAATACCTACGCGAGGGTAAGAACACAATAGCAGCCGAGCCAACGACGGAGCTTACCGGGCTTCGCTGATCCAGATGTCCTCAACGACAGCCTTGGCCATGTCTTCCTCGTCCTCTGGTGAGTAGCCCTCTCCGAGCACCTTGACGTCCATGCCCTTCCTAACAGTCCCGCTGATGACACGACCAAAGGCGCGGAAGGTCTGCGCGTCAGTGGTGTGGTGTAGCTTGGCGATCTGTACCATGACGGGTCCCTCCGGATTGCACTCCTGCATGGTCTGCGCGAGCTCCGACGACATGGGTCCTAGATACGTCCTCTCGACCTTGGTACGAGTCGCCTCCAATGGTGATGGGATGTGCTCAGATATCACATCTACCAGCCCAACGGATGGGCCGAAGAACTGGTCGAGGATAACCTTCAGCAGAGGCCGCACGTCCATCTTATACATGATCGGCTTAAGCTGGATGCCCAGGCTCGCCAGAGTCTCCTTGAGGGGTTCAGTTTCCTCGCTGAGCACTTGGCTGTAGAGCTTGTATAGCGGCTCGAGGATGAAATGCACGAAGGAGCGATTGGTCTCTGGATCTGCGGGTTTCCGCGTGAATTTCCGGTTCTCGCGATTGTAGTAGATATCGCCCCATAGTCGGTCAGCGAAAGCATTGACGTCCACAGAGCCTAGGGAAGCGGTGCTGCGTCAGTACGTATAATTTCTCAGGCGCATGGTGGATGTCTGCGCACCGTAAGTATCCGCATACATTTGCGCGAAGGAACGCAGGGTGAAGCACCAATGCATATCAGTGCTCGCGAACGCGACGTTACCATTTTCTGGGCTGAGTCTCAAATCTGGATCGGGGTTGATGCCACTGCGTGCCCATTTATGAGACAAATCCTTTTAGAAGACAGCAGGTCACATACCTGATGAATGTGTTGACCTCCTCAATAGTATGCTTGATTTTATAGTAGGCGTCAGCCGGCTTGATGCGCAGCTCAAGAATCAGTCGGTCAATCTTGTTTACAACAAGAGTGATTTTGACACCTTCTTGGAGCGCGTGGCGGATGATCGCCTCTGTGTTGCACATCACCTAGGGTCACTGTTTAGCCGGCGAGACTTCTAAGCATATATGTGCAATTCTCACCCCCTCCACGACGTCGACCACAAGGAGGATACCATCTACCAACCGAATGGCGCTGGCTACCTCATCAACAAAGTTGACGTGGCCAGGAGTGTCGATCAGATGGACGAGGTGCGATTTTCCATAGCTGTTCTGGAGAATTAGGGACATGGGACAAGACTTTATGGAGATCGCGCGGTCGCGGGACAGGATGTGGGTGTCAGTGTAACGGGTCTATCACAACTATTTCAGCCCGATCCGGTGATAACACACTGACTGATTGCGTACCGGGTGGTCAGAATCCCATGTCAGCTTGTGAGTTTCGAAGACGAGCATGTCCATGAGGGCTGTTTTGCCGTGATGAAGGTGCCCGACGACCGCGACGTTTCGTACGAACTCAGGAAGTGCCATCATGTTCAACAAGAAGCTGACGCAGCCTATTCAGCACATTAGTATGCCGCTCGAAGAGGAGACACTCACCCCTTGTCGAACCGCGTCTCCGGCATGTCCTTTTCCTCCACAGTCCATTTCCGCACCTTCACTGGAGCAACAATGGGTTCCGTAAGGGGTTGCGCGTCCTCCTCCTGAACTAGCGTCTCGACCTCCTCTCCGTACACTTGGGACGCAGACGGATAGTACTGCTTGTCTTCATGCAATACAACTGCGTTATGTACGGGCTCTATGGCAGTTTACCATCAGCCATAGCTACGGAGAATAGGATTCAATAACTCACCGTCTACTTCCATGAGGGCCATCTCATCATTCGCAGCGGGCTCCTCTTCGAAACCCTCCAAAGGCTGAACCTGTGGCTGGGGCACGAACTGGTTCTGCTCCTCTTCTTCCTCGTCTGACTCAAGATCAGCACCAATGTAGTTTCCAAATTCATCGTAATCTTCGAAGGAGGCCATTTTGGAGGGTCAAGGACAAGGAGTGATTTGACGAGCACGCGGGGGTCTTAGTCACAGCAAGCAGAAGTACTAGGCCAGCAAGAGCGAATACGTTGAGCTGATGTAGCCCACAGAAAGCGTTGCGCGTTTTTCTTACAGACGTAGGCAGGACGAGAGGATAGGAAGAGTCGAAGACGCGAAGGATGGATTTTGAAGAGTAGCCACCGTCGCGGTCGAAGGGAACGCGTCGAACTTGGCGCCTACAGATTACAGGGCCTTGATCTCATCCTCCTTGACCTGCCGTCCGGTAGCCCCAAGCCATGGCCACCCTCTCGGATGACACTCTCCGCAAGGTACGTTGCACAGCGAGTACCTTTACATGCTGATACTCATTTGTTGCTGCAGATCCTAGTACAGATCCAGCAGACTGCTGTGCAGTCGCAGCGGGCTTTGAACGTCTCGAAGCAGCAGATCGCGGCTAAGGAGCGCGAGCGCAGGATTCTACAGCTGACTATCGAGGAGATCACGTCACTACAGGGTGATGTGAACTTGTACAAGGGTGTCGGGAAAATGTAAGTCTTCTGACAGTGTTAATCTTTGTCAAGTCTAACTCGCTCTCCGGCCAGGTTCATGAACGTACCACGCCCGACGATGGAAAAGGAACTTAAGGCTGAGGAAAAGGAGCTCACGGACGACATCAAGAACCTCGAGAAGAAGGTGTGTGGACCCGTCTCATCGAGGCTGTTTTGTAGTTTCATGGACATTCGGCACTGTAGAGTAAGTACCTCGAGAAACAGTTCAACGATGCTCAAGCACAGTTGCGAGACATTGTGAGTAATTCCACTTCACCATCACGCGCTTCGGTTTTCTGATCGCCTTGAAGTTCCAAAGTGCGCCAAACCAGTGATGACCACAAGCTCAAACCATGTACCGTTCGGACACTGCTATCGTCCATGTATTTTTAAGCAGTCTTTCCTTTGGCCCCATACCTACCCCAAGGAGCAAATCTTACGCCGGTCGCAAAGTGTTAGCGTGATGATATTCTATTACTTCGGAGCTTCGACAGCTGATAAGCTACAAGCTACATGGGGTCCCAGACAAAACATGTGCACGGAATACAAACCAAAGGATGATTACGATGTTGTCTAGGTCATGACTAGTACGTGGAAAAGGAGTATTGCGTGAAGTCTAACGTGAATGCGAGGAGTCCGTAGGAAGAGTAGACTGAGATCAGTTCTCAACGCTTAGCATAACGGAGGTAGCGAGATGCGATGATAGTAGCAGCGACGTTGAAAACTACAGCGCATCAACGAGTGAGTCGATACTCAACAAGCAACGAGCAGAAGAGACGTACCTGAGAAAGCAAACAGGATCCAAGCATCGCGCCACCTGTTCGAGTACTTGATGTTGAGAGGCTCGAAGAAGTCGTCTCCAACCGAGTACTGGCAGTATTGGCACGTATCGGTGGCGTTGGGATTCTGGAGGTACCCGCGGAAGGCGGTCACGAACTCGCCGGCCCACTGCTGGCACGTCTGACCAGCAGGCGGAGTGAAACTAACCAACTCATCAGCTTTGCACCGAATGACCAGACCACTGTGCAGAGATTATAGTCAGAACAACTTGTTCGGGTACTCTGAACGATACAACTTACTGAAGTTCGGTGGATAGCATGGCGCTGAGGGTACGAGTAAACGGACTAAGCTGGTACAGCCAGCGCCAGTACCCAGCCAAAGACGGATAAGGTATAGTCACACCGCAGAAAGTGCCCAACACGAGCGAGATGGGCGGATTGAAGAGCGGGGCAATCTGCATGCTAGGCGACAAGGCACCTATGAGCTGACCAAGGCTGACGCCGAAGAACTCCACGAAGATGATGAGGAGCAGCTGGAAGAATTCACCACCGACACCAGCGGAGCCTTGACCGAAGCCCATAGGGAAGACCTGTTAGAAACGATGTAAGCTGTAGCTCGAGTCAGAGTCATAAAATATCGCATACCATGAGAACCCAGTAAACAATGCCGCACAGGACAGAATATGGAATCTCGCCCAAGAGCTGGCCGATGGCGAAAACATACGGCGAGTAGATTCGACTTGACGCCTCTGCACAATAATAGGCTGTTGAACAAAGTAACATGTACCGCGCTAATGTCTTACTTACCTCGGATAAAGACACGCCTGTTAAGAATCCACATAGGCTCGAGCTGACTCATAACGATGGCAGGAAGAATCGTAGTCCAGAAGCTACCAGCAGACATCAGAGATGGTCGAGGTTCAGTATGGCAGAAGCCGACTCACATGCCGAACACACGGTACTGCAAGTCGCGCGTGCCTTTGCCTAGCTGCAAAAACGAGAGCGACACCCATAGCGAGATGAACGCATGGACGAACAGCCGGGTGAAGACGTAGTCGGGCGACCGCCAGAGCTTCGCGTTGTTGCGCTGGAGGACGTAGCGCAGCTGCTGCCAGAAGGGAGTGGCATCTGATGGCCGAAGACGTTCAGCGGAATATTGTACAGTGGGCAATTGATGACACTCACACATCGTAACCTTCTTCGGCTTGCCGTCGTCCTTGGAGTCCGTATCGCGCTTGATCTTTTCAATCTCCACCAGGACGTCCTGATACTCAGGTGAATCGAGCCAGTGGTCCTTCCAGTCACGGTCACCAATGCGAGGCGCAAGACCAGCACCGATGGCGTCAAGCATGAACTCGGCCGGGTTGACGTTGGGCGGGCAGTGGGCGCCGTGCCGAGCGAAGTACTCGCGCAGAATGTGACAATCTGGACCAACGTCGCCGAAGTAGACCGTTTCACCGCCACGCTCGAGCAGCAAGAGCTTGTCGAAGGTTTGGATGAGGAGCGAGGAGGGCTGGTGAATCGTGCACAGGATGGCCTGCCCGTTATCGGCGAGTTTGCGAAGGAAACGGACCAGGTTCCACGCGCTCTGACCGTCTAAACCAGACGTGGGCTCGTCGAGGAACAGAAGCGAAGGACGACTAGCTAGCTCGACGCCAATGGTGAGGCGCTTGCGAGCCTCGACGCCGAGGGTGAAGACGAGAGCATCGGCGAGATCCTGCAGCTCGAGCACCTCGATCATCTCCTCGACGTACTGGTCCTTCTCCTCCTTCGAGACCTCGACGGGCTGACGGAGATAAGCGGAGAAACGCATGGCCTCGCGAACGGTGGCAGTACCCTCGTGGACGTCCATCTGCTCAGCGTAAGCTGTATTGCGAGCGAAGTCCAAGTCGAGAGGCTCGCCGTCAAGAAGGAGCGTGCCGGAAACGACGCCGATGTTCTTACGCTGAGCAAGAACGTCGAGACAAGTGGTCTTGCCGGCGCCAGACGCACCCATCAGGGCAGTCATTGTACCAGGTTTGACATAACCGAAGACATCATGAAGGAGGCGACGAGTACCACCGGGGACCGGGACATAGTAGTTGATGTTCTCCCAGGTGAAAGGTTTGCCGTAGAACTTCGTCGTGTTGCTGATTCTCGAGGTCAGCAGGGATCGCGCAAGATGGTCTGGTTCGACACATACCCTCCGTTGAGATCCTCGTCGACCTGCTCGCTCAGGCCCTTCCTCTTACGAGCGGCCCTGGCCTCCTTCCGCTCCCGCAAGACAGCGTTCCGCTTCTTGGTGTCAGAGTCCTCAGGGGCGAAGATGGTCACCGCAGAGCCTCCACCAAAGGTTGGGAACCACTCGATCAAAAATACTTGAGTGAGCTGGAAGACGATCACAAAGCCGCAAAGAACGAGGAAGTTGCGTCGCCATAGGTCAGATACGTTGAGTCCATAGCCGACGTTGAGGTAGTTCCTGCCTTGCACGATCTGCTGGCCAGGGATTGCACCGAAGAGAGTACAGATTTGATTGGGACCTATATCCGTCGGGTACTTGTTCAAGCCGGGAGGGTTACGTGGCACGACAGAACTACCGTCACAAGTAAACTAGGGAACGCCGATTAGCTCATGCACAACGACTGGCGATCTGTTGAAACACTCACGCCGACGCGCATGAACTCGTTCTCCAAACATCCGCCGAAAGCTGCGGAGAAAATCAATGTATGGCAGACAAGCGAGATTCCGCAGACCATACGTACCATAGGCCACGGGGTTGATGTAGTAGATCCAGAACAGCCATCGCTTCATTTGCGGGACAGGAATCATGTAGCCACCGTATTGGACCATGTTCGGGATGAAGAACGTCGCAAGGCGGAATGCTGAGTCGAAGTTTGTACAGATGATACCCAACGTCCGGAAGAAACCTTGCATCGTCAAGAACGCGATGTAAATCTACAGCGGAGTTAGACAAGCACTCGGTGTGCGTAACAAACGGAGAACGTACGAAGAGGTGGTACGTGAAGAACCCGCCTGCGTTTCGCGCGAGATCCGACATGAAGTAGATAATCAAGTTGTAGACGAAGACGCGGACTGCAGAGAAGGGTATGTCCGAAAGCGTATTGGCGATCACCACGGCGGCTGGCCTATAGAGAGCGTAATTCGTCTGCTTTTTGAGGATGGGACGGCCGAGCATTTGAACGGGCATCTGCGCGAGGGAGCAATGTAAGCTGAAAGGGACAATAACGCATAAACGGCCTACTCACTTCACCGAACGTATCCAGAGTACACGTAAGAAGACCAGCGAAGACGACAGAGCCGCGAGTGAACGCGCCCTGAGAGGTCAACTGGAGGTTGTAGTACGCTGCGCCGATAACCAAAGCCAAAGCCTACATGCCACCACAGTCACCCACTACCCCAGTTGTCCGATACCAAGTGCAACCCACTCACCCATGACAAGGTGAAGCTCGTGATCAGCTGGAACCGGTCCTGAAGCCTCATCCTGAACTGCCGAATGAACAGCGACCTGACCTGGCCGGTGAAGCCAAGCGTGTACGGGCTCTTCTTTGACACGCCCTTCTTCTTATCCGCGATGACAGCCGTGCGGAACGCCTCCTGGTCGGACTTGTCGTGCTCCATCTTGAGCTTGTACTTCTGGAGGTCGTCAAGCATGTCGCCAGCGAAGCGGGACCGAAGGAACGCCTCCTCCATCTGCTCTGGGGTCGTAGGCACATCGTTTTCGGAGCGGCCAGGAGCGAATTGCCGCTCGTTGGGGTCCGTACAACCGGTGAGGTAGTCAGCAGTGCTCTGGCGAGGGAGGGACTTGAAGCCGAGGCTTTCGAAGTACGCACGCGCCTGGGAGGAAGGACCACAGTAAACTTGACGGCCCTTGTTCAAGACGATGACCTTGTCGAAAAGCTCGTAGATACCTTCGCCGGCTTGGTAGCTGAGGTCCCACGCGAGCTCGTTAGGCTACCGCTCATCTCATGAAAATCCACCGGCTACTCACAGTGTCGCGAAAGTCGTCTGACCTAGGATGTCCGTCATAACTCTCATGGCCTTGACAAAGTCCAGCGCGGTACTCGCATCGAGCCCACGGGTAGAGTTGTCGAAGCACAATACGTGCGCACGGGTGGCCATCATCTCCGCAATGGAGACACGCTTCCGCTCACCACCGGAAACACCACGGACGAACTCGTCGCCGACATAGGTGTTCGCCGTGTGCGAGATGTTGAGCATGCGGAGAAGAGTATTCCGGACTTCGTCGTTGAACTGTGCTCGGGTCATGCCTGGCAGGCGACCCTTCGGCCCTGGAGCCTTTAGCGACAGTGCGAAGTCCAGCGTCTGGGCGACGGTCAAAGTAGCAATATGCCGGTCGTCTATCAGTGATCGGAACGGAGAGATTAGCGGGCGAACTACAATCTGCGAGGTCAGTGACGCTTACCCTCTTCATTGTATACAACTTCACCCTTGTAATGCTTGGCCATCGTCTCCGCATCAATGCCAGCGTAACGGACGTCGCCATGGATCGCTGCGTACTCCGACCGCTGGTTGGCGATAGCCTTCAGAAAAGTGGTGCAGCCTGATCCAGGGCAGCCAAGAACCAGACACATCTCCCCGGGCTTCAAGACACCTGATTGTCTGCGAAAGAAGTGTATTCAGCCTATCGTCAGGGGGCAGGAAGTGGACTTGGCGTACGGGTGGAGGATCGTCGAGAGTGGCATCTTTGGACGGACAGCGGGGATGAATGTCTCAACAAGCCGCCGCGCAATGTTGAACGGCGTGAGCCAAAAGCTGAGGACATCCTCTAGAAGTGACACAATCAGTCTGCGGATTCTCCACCAGTAACTGTCTCGACATACGCCCGAAGGTCCTTATATAGATCTGCGCAGTGTACGGTTAACTAGTGGCACAGCAGGCGAGCGCCTAACCGCCTCACCTTGTGACCGATGCCACCAAACCCCTCCACTTCGAGGTTTTCCCAGGTGACGCCCACATGTTTGTGCGCGAGGCCCGCCGCCTGGCTTTGTTCGTTGGAAGAAGTGAGATACGCGCGGAGGTCGAACACCTCTCCATCATGCTCGCGTCCGCCTTTCTCTGGATCTTTTTCGTTCGCGGATCGCGTGCTTTCTGAGTTGGCGCGCTGAGACCGGATTGACAGTGTACGCTGGAGCTCATTGAACTGGGCGGTCGCCTGTGCAATGTCGACGTGATGAGCGTCGGGGAGGGGCGTCGCATCGCCGCGCAAAGTACGATCGTCTCCTGGCGTGTCCGCCATGACCTAGAGCGGCTACAAAGGAGCAGACAAAGGGTACCCGGGAGGATGGGAAGGAGCAGCCGAGGCTTGGTCACACCGAAGACTCTAGTTTTATATACTGCGATTCCCGGAGATGGTCAGCGTCTTTACAAGCCATGGCGCGCGCTTGTGCATGTCGTATCTTAGCAAGCAAAGCGGCGCTCCGGGGATCTCACGTACATAGAACCCCCTTGCGCCATCGACATTACCTACGTGTGTATTTCATGAGCGAGGAAGAACACGACTTGCCTCGCGATTCGCTACGAACCAGCTCGAACTGTCCACATCCCGCACGTTCATGTCACCGATCATTACGACGATCTGCTGGCCGTTCTTCCGAACGTCAGACATACTTATCATGTAGAAGCACATATTCCGGCTCGCCTGACAGCCCAATAGCAACCTGCTGCCGGTCGGCATGGATGTTATCAGAGCCTGCGGAGATGAGGCCGCCGAATCACATTGGAGAACGGGACCGAATATTTCTTCGCGAGTCGAGCGTTGGCGGGACCGATAGCGGTTGAGTCGGATTTGCAATACCCCGATCGGCTTTCACGTCGCGGTCGTTCCACGACGAGAGCTGTCACATAGAGGGCATTCAATCGCCTTGTACAGCACATTTCCCTCTGGCCATATGACCCGACAAGCTTTAGTGGGAAACATAGTAACCGAGGATGCAGATGAGCGACTGCGGGCAGCGAGGACGACTGGATCGGGACGCAACTGCTATGTATCGCCTGTCACACATTGAGCGTCTGAACGTTGTACACAACGCCAAGCGAGTCGTCCAAGAATTGGAAGCGCTCAACCAGGCCTAGGTCGGAGTACGATGGACGCATTGTCGCTGCCACCACACAACAGGACTGTGCCGGCGTATCGTTCACACAGGACGTCCAAGAGGGGTATTCGTCGGCATCGCTCTCCCATTGCACGAACGATCTATTTTGATAACTCATCACATACTGGTTGGTTCCATTAAATATCAATGCTTCACGTAGAAGCTCGTAGAACCGATGCCGTCGCAACGCCGTACGCATGAACACCACGGGGTAGATTAGGAGCTTCTGTGTGTAGCTGCTCGACCGCAATGAGGCTCGTTCGAGGGGTACGGAGGTGAGGTGGGTCGTAGAAGCACGAAGGGGGTTATTGGAGGCCTCGACTCGTGGGAGCGGGCAGGGATCTCAGATGAGCCCTCGAGGAAGCGCGGGAGCAAGCTGCCATACCGGGCCGCAACGTCAACTATCAGTAGCCCCGGAGACATCAGCGTCTATTACTCTGGATTGTGTTGTTGGCCATCCGTCTCTGAACACATACGCCTCCCTCTCCATCAGTCACTTGTGGCATGTACCTGCTAGCCGGCCTCGCCTTCTTTGCCTACCTGCGTGCCACTGCTGCTCACAGTGGACACGAGCATGATGGCCCCCAGCCAGGAGAAACGGTTGCCCAGTACGCGGCAAGACACGTAAGTCTTGTACTGTCGGTCTCACCCCATCACGCCCCCTAATACTGGCATGCGCCCTCCAGATGGCCTCGGAACACCACATGTATGGCTCACATATGCCGAAGGCTGAATAGGGCAACTCATCTTCCTACGCAGCGACTCGTTCGATGTACCCAGCTTCTTCCAGCTTCATGACTTGAACCGGTGCGTCTCACCCACCCCGAACCTTTCACATCCTTGCCGACTCGACGCTTGCTCTAGCGACAACCGCTGGGACAAGGAGGAGATCGAGGCTGTCTACGGTGTTCACCACGTGTACTCCCAAAAGAAGTCCAAGGTGCGATCCGAACATGCCCGTACTTACCCCTACGAGTCGTGTGCTCAGCCCGAGACATTCCCGCAGGATGATGTGGAGCACCAGAAGAAGGCCGAATACATTGTTAGCACAGTCCTCAAGCGCCTGGATAAGAACGGAGACGAGACCATCACGCTTGACGAGCTCGAAGCCGTTGGCCTCGATGGGTTGCCCAGTTTCGACGAGCTCGGTGCCGAGGGCCACCATTACGACGTCGAAAGTGGTGCGTCTTATCCATCTGTGCTTCCCCGTCTAGTCCCTTAACCCTGCACTTTGCAGAGTTCTTCTTGCACCACGAAGGTAGAGCATTCCTCGTCCCTAGGCGCGCCACCTTATGTTAATGCGGGCCTTTCCAAATCATCCAGAACAGTTCCACTCTACCCCCGAGACGCAAACGGACGAGGCGTATACCCACCCGGAGGACATCGAGCACTTTGCGCACCACGAGCAGATCGAGCAGGTCGAGGCGGAGCGCGAGGCCAAGTTCCAGGGCATCTCTGTTGAAGAGGTCATCGCGCAGCACGAACCCCACGACCACCCCGAGCCACAACAACACGGCGACGAGCCGCAACTCGTGGTTCAGGACCCCCACAACGACCAGCTCCAAACCCCGGAACTGAGAGAGCCCTCGGTGAAGAAGCCGCAGCGTCCCATTCCGCCCGAGCAACAAGATCCAGTGGTGCGCTTTGCGAGTGCAAAGGCCGAGGCTGAGAGCCACGGCGAGTGGGGACAGGGTCAGGGGGGCTACAAGCCGCCCAAGTCCCCAGGGGAGAAGATGAGGAAGAACGTCCCGTACAAGGTGCGTCCTGACTCACTTCCTCCCTGTTACGTACCCTTCCAACCTGGATACTGATGGTAGGAAAAAATACAGTACAAGTTCCGCAGGACCTGGGGCGACTTCTGAACATGACTCGACATGTTTTGTATTGGATTATGGTTGACGCGAGTCAAGGAGTGGAAAAAGCGGTGGCCGGTGTCTCGTAAGAGGTGATCGTCCGGTCCCGGATACCGCGCCCGTGGACCTGGGCGCATCTCAGATACCGATCGTCCAGCATGGCCCCTGGTGTTGTTGTATTTATCATCTCATCCATACTACTGGATCTATCGCCTTGCTCCATCGTGGCTGGATCTCGGCCTGCTGTCTGTATGTCAGCTGTCCCAAGACCAAATACACCGATTGCTCGGCTGCTCGATGTACTGACTAAGAGCCCGGTGTTCGCGTCGACGTTCCGCTCCGTCGTCGCTGGCTTACACAATTACACGCTGACATGTGCCCCCGGAATCCCGAAGTCGCACAAGTCTTGTACCTGTGCGTCTGAGAACTGCTAGCGAGCATCAGGCAAGTTTCGTCCCGCGTCGTTCGCCGCGGTACATACTACATTCGTTAAGTCCGAGTTTCTACGTCACCTTCCACTATACTGATATCGGGCGAGTCCATGGGGGTTTTGAGGTCGGGCATAGTCTTGTCTCAACCCCTTGAAGAATGAGGCTGAGACTCGCCTCCATCATCACCGTTGCGCCAGCTGGACCAGACTGACTTGAAGGTTAAAGCAGCCGCAGCTTCGGGAACCGGGGAAACAACAGGGGCAGACGCAATGGTTCTCACGACAACGGCAATGGCAATGCAGACGTATCGTATTAGCAGTGGTATCAGGGCTACAACAGCGGGGTCCGAGCGTAGGGACGCATTACAGCATGACAGTAAGCAAATGTGAAGGGGGGGATTATGACTGTTCAGAATACCCATGCCATGAGTGGGAGAGGAAGCGGGGGGAGGGGCACAGTTGCAGGATTCCAGACGTGATCATCAGTACTGTCGTCACCTGCCCTCAAAGAGGTCTTCGAGCAGGCCGCGTTCTACCGCAGGCCAGTCGACCACCCCTCCACTGTTGTATACGCTCTCGTACGAGGATATGCTCGCCGCAGAGAAGAACGGTACCAGGTCACGGACACTATCAATTTGCCGAAGGGACTGGAGAAGTGGTCGGCGCATCTGTGCCGCGGTCGCGGAAGGCGTCGGCAGGTGCGATACGGGTGGTCGAGCGTCGCTCTGTACGATGATTGAGTAGTGAAGTCTTGACGGAATGCCCATTAGTCCCTACCTCTGGAATCGGAAGAGCCCCCACAACTTCAGCCAGCTGGTCTAGCAAGGCTTCCGGTGACCAGTCTTCAGGGCGGTAGACGGCGTCCACAGTGTCTGTGATGAAAATCCATTGATGTCTAAGGTGAATGTTAGTTCAAGGTCGAAGATTGTGTGCGTCCTGGCATGCTTACACCTGGAACTCCTCGGTTTGAAGCACGAGCAGTACGTCCAGCAGCTTGCTTGCGGAAAGTATGAGGCCGAGTTCTTCGGAGCCGTCGCTTGGTGGGCTGACGAGTATGCCGTCGAAAATACGGTACTGAAGATAGGCGGTCACGATATTGCCCTATAATCGAACTGGTTTCCGCTTACCAGCTCCGTCAAGATGACCGGCCAGAAGCTCGACAGATTGTGCGGGGAGAGCCGACATAGCAGCACGCGTACACAGAGGAACACTTCGCTCTGGACGATCGGCGCGGTAACATTGCGGAGGGTGTCTACCAGCTTCTCCTGGATGCTAGGCAGCGAAGTCAGGAAGTGATTCTTCTCTGCCGACAGAATCACGTAGGATAGCCGCCGCAGGTTCAACGAACGCAACAGCATCTCGTATTCACGGTTTGTGAAGATGTTTGCCGACGCCGCTGTGGTAATTTTGCCTTGAAGAGCTGTCAGGACGCATCACATGTGCATTGGACGAGAGAAATTGTCATACCAAGCAGTTCGGCTAAGGCAGTCCTGTCGGTGTCAAAGAGTGCCTTAATCATCGGCATCCACTTCTCTCCTGCATCCGCTGTCGAATTGAAGCATCTGTTGTCGTTGAGACAGTCCGTGACTGGTGCGCGCCATGCTTTCACCGCAACGTTGATCTTTGTCATCTCCCGAATGATAGCGACAAGGTCTTCCTCAACATCCAGTGGCCTCCGGGTAATGGTCATCATCAAGAAACTCACAATCATGAACCACCATACCTTGCTTTACCCTTAAGAGCGGGGGTTATGATGTTGTAAATGATCTGATTGCAGGCCGCCAGAATCTTGTCCGGATCGATCAGGAATTTGCGCAAACTAGGGAGTGCGTCTGAAGCAATGTACGAGTTGACCTTGAATATGTCAGCACTTAATGAGGGACAGGGAGACCTCGACTAAATGACATACTTGCTGAACGACATCTGTGCTGTACGTGGGCCTGACAGAATCGGGTAGCGGTAGCGAAGTTGAGCTTGCGCTTTTCTCGTCCAGTCCCGTTCCCGTGACTGTGAGATGATATGAGGTTCCGACACCAGTTGCATATTGATTGACAACCTACCGCGAAGGGTAGGCGTAGGCGAATCTCTGCCATTAGCGACGAGGTTGTCACGCTGTGTCCTTCGAATCCACGATCCGGACTCGACGGCACGACCAGACAAAACGCAGATATCGAGAAGCTTGCCGTATGTCTCCTGCATATCCTTGCGTACGCGCTTGTCATCCAATGCTGTTGTCTGGGAAACTTTGTCCGCCAGAACGGTGAAGCATCTGAGGTCGTTTGGTTAAACCTGCAAAAGGCTGGCACGGATGAGGGATAACATACTTCAGTGCAGCGAAGGCTTGTGGTCGGAAGTCGCGCATAGAGACGAGCAGATCCTTCGCCAGCTGTAGGAACCGATTCCATACTTGCAAGGCCAACGGTCCTTCCAAGCGCTTCATGTACTGCTCAAGGAAATCGAACAACGTTATCTCGAGCCTGCGATCATCGTGACGATTAGTGATATGGGTAACCGGTCGTGTACATCACTTACAAATCCGCGAATGCCACAGTTTTCTTAGTTCTTTCTGACAGCCCCGGTGTACGACATGAAATGCTCTCGCATAACATGTGCACTGCATTCTGCGCACTGGAAGTGAGCACGTCGACGAGATCGTAAGCCGCTGACGTCTCAGCTGTCTCCGGCCGGGCCTTACGAAAGGTCAGACAAAGCGCAGTCAAGTCATGGACCACACGCACCGCAACCTGCTCCTGCCAGCAATCAATCACAGCCTCCAAGACCTCGGTAGAGTGAGCGCGGAACAGATGCTCCAGAACACGCCTACTCCGGTTCCGTGCGCGGGTGTAGATGAGAGCCAGTGATTCCTCTCTCGAAGCCCATTGATTATCCTGAGGAATCACAAGCCTATCCCACATAGCATATAGCACCCGCACGGCATTATGGAGACACCGGTTATCAGAAGACCTTGCCTATAAGAGAATTTGTCAGAGAGCAGATTCATTCCCCCATACAAACGAACTGACCAAGGAGGCATCGTCGGTCGCGGGAGAAGCGCCATCGGAGCTAAAGACATTAGAGACATAGCCCAGCAAGCCACTGGACTCCTGTGCAACCTTATCTGCTCCCTGTTGATCGTCTTCAACGAGCTGCTCTCCGGCCGTACGCGTCATACTGAGTAGCGATAGCCGCTCCAACGCAGTCAGAAGCATCATGAAGTCAGCGTCCGTAGTGTATGAAAAGATGTCGTCATCTCGAGGACCATCAGCTGAAGCATCCAGTATCTCCGTAAGCGCTAACCGCAGTTGCCTGCATACGCAGTCTGTCAAGGGTGAGACGACAGCTTTCAACGTCTCCTTGAAGTGCGGTACAGTCATTAGGATGAAGTCTAGCCAATGCTGCAGAAGCGACCTGTTGGAGGGGATAGATATGCCATCGACCAGCGTCTGGACCAGTAGCGGATGCACGGCATGCGCCTGTTTGCTGTACGCAGTGGGCGCATCTTGAAGGCTGATGGTGTCGGCCGCTCGCTCAATTTGCGCCGCCGAGTTACGGCCCTCGGAACCCGCGATGGAAGCGACGATGACGGAATGCAGGAGGTGAAGCAATTTGTTCTGCAGGTCTAACCTCCCGGTGTGGACGCAGAAGAATAGCTTCTGCACTACCGCGGACTCCAAAGACTGGAGCGTCACGAGATCGACCTCGCCGCGGGCTACAAGCGCTTGCAAGAGTTCCACTGCGAGATTTTGCGCAACCATGTGATACGGTTGCATGGTGGGTACTAGGGACGCCTTTGGCTCCGATTGCAAGATCCTGTGACGCCGATGAGTGGCAACGGTCAAAGAAAACGTCGTAAAACATACCTGATCAGCAGTTGAGACACGATGATATCCATATAGGTCGCATCGGGAAAGGTCGCGCTGACTTGAATCGCATGGGGTTTAGGCACGTCAACTATGAATTGAACCCGTGTTGAACGTACCAGTCTGCAGTCGTTGGAGCAGTGCGCCGTGTAACGAGCGGCTGATCGGTGTAGTACGGGCAACTCTGCTGAAACCGAGGCCGCCGAATTTGACGACGGAAAGGAGCGTCTCGAGGACGTAGTTCACATAATGCTGGTCGAACGGTCGCTCGTAGGTGTATCCCTGCAATTGCTTGCCCTTCAGCTCTGTAGTCGATGGTGCGTACCGGACATTAGGGTCAAACAGGTCGAACAACATTGGGTCTAGCACGCTGTGAGAAAATGAGAGATCACGTTCACACTTGCGCACAAGAGCGTACCGTAGGTAGGACTTCAGGCTGCAACGCATCCACGTCTCGCCTATCCGTCTCAGCTTGGGATCCTCACTTCGAAGTGTCTCCAACACGCTCATCATTGGCACCTTTAGGTGAACACCGGGCAGCATATTGTCGTCTAGATTGACATTTCAGTGACAGAGTACACGGTAAGGACAGCAGAGTTGTACCCGTTAGCCTCCACAGGACTCCGAACGCTTCGCAAGCATCCTGAAGCTCGTCGGCTGGACGGGCGGACAGGCTCTGAGCAATCGCAGACTCCACGTGGGGTTGACTGCTCAATCGCTCTAGCGACCAAATGAGATTGACGACACGGGCGTGGTAGGCCGTATATGAGGGGCGCAGGTACCGGAGGAGCTGAGACCCAGTCAGTGAAAATACAGAGCGACCACGGGACTCCTAGAGACATACCACATTGACTACCGTCTCGATATGAGATCGCCTACTCAGGGAGAACGCGGGCTCTAATCGCTCCGTCTGGTGGATCTTGATCGCCGCCGTAAGAAAGCGATCCACGATGGTGAAACTGACATTCTATCGCTCAAATATTAGAGACCATGCGTGTGAAACATGGCAAGACAAGCGAACCTTTTCTTGGAGACTTTGAAGCAAAATCGACAGCCAAGAAGTGGGTTCCCATTTTGTAACGAAGACTGTATCCGTCTCCTGGTCAAGCCGACCCACGAGCATGTCGAGAACAGATAGAGAGGAGAGTAAGATGTCGCGCAACGGTCGGTCCTTGTCACCAGTCAGGAGAACCTTTGCAGGGACGGTGCTCAGAGAGATGATGTCCTCGAAAGCGGTGACAAATGGAATAGCTGAGCGCTTCGATGCTTCTGGCAGAGCACTATCGTCCAGGTTGATATCATAGAAACCGCAAGCAAATGAGACCGCATCCGAGTCTGTCACTGAAGATCGTTTTTGACGCAATGATGGACGCGACTTAAGTGCGGCTGGAGGGATACGAGTCAGAATCTCGAGCTCCAAAGCCAAGGCATCCAAGACGACCGGCAGCTTTGCAGTGTTGCCCTGGATGCGCGCCTTAAACAAATCTCAGTCACACAAACTCCATACGAAACATAATTGCTTACAACAAGAAGGCCGAGGATGGCGGTGAACACAACAGGAAGGTGGATGGTCTCGATTTCCTCGTCATGTACGTGGAATGTTGCCAGTATGTACTTGACCATCCCGCAGCCCTATGAATAGTATACTTGAAGCGTTGTCGAACAAGTGGTCCGCAAATAAATTCACCTGACTCGACCCTTGGCCGGAATTGAGGTCTGCCATAACTGCGACAAGCAGTCGATTCCAGAGCGCATGCTGCTCAACAGCCTCGTATAGGGTGCTTCCTGTCATCTTAAGCTGAATCGACGTCAATACTGGAATCACGAGATAGGATATGATGAAGCCAAAGACATACATCGTCACCAGCATCAGGACCCGACTCTAAGGCTTTCCGAAGCGCCTTGAAGGCGTCGTAGACCAGGACCTCGGTGAGGGGCAGCCCAACTTCCCATTTATCCAAGAGTGAGATAAAGATCTTAAATGGTCGTGATTGAGAATACTCCGGTGAGGGATTGAACATCTCTTCCTATACAAAGTCAGTAAACGCGCGTCGTGCTTCGGAGGAGTAGCCATCACCCTCAGCGTCGATCGTAGGAGCTCCAAGGAATGTTGCTTGTAGTATTCGATCTGTGCCTGACTGCCTTCCACCGGACCTAGAAGCCATGCGAACAACCTTCTGTTCAGGGCCAGGTCTCTGCGCAGAACTACGCTTGTAGCTGCGCGCATGAGGATAGCGCGATCGTCTGCCTGCGCCTTCCTCACTGCGACACCGTCAATGCGCAACGACTGCAGCAGAATGTCCAAAGCGCCACGGCGGACGAGTAGGTCGTCATCTTCCAGTGCAGCGGCAAAAGCCCTGATCATCAATCCTATGTCGTTGCCCACAATCGGTGTGATGTCTATGTTAGAGAGACGCGTGATGAGCGACTGTGGCATCTAAGGAGGACCTGCGTGGGATTACCTTCGTCTGCTTTGAACGGCGGCAGTCTCCTTGACAGGTAGCATAACGAAGTTCCTCGTGCGCGTGTAGTCGTGAGCATTACAAGCCAGATGTTCTGGAAGAAGAAAGACTGGGATATTGTGCCGGCCAAACGATCTAACAGCGCAAGAACCTGTGTGGAGTCCGTCAGACTCTGATGATGGGTAAGGGACCATTTATGGCGTGCCTTCTCGAAGTATTCCCCTGTCTCCTCCTCCAATCCCGGCAGTAACGCGAGGATGAAGGATTTCATGACCGGCCGAAGACCAGCTTGTAGCGGGAGGTAATGTGTGTCGAAGAGATTGAGGACAGTGGGCTTGACGGCGGTCGCGGCGTACTCAAAGAAAGGGAATAGCCCAGACGACCATAGTGCCAGATCGCGTTGCAAGCCTTCGGACTGCGTGACCGTTTGTTAACAATCGTTGAAGACAAGAATGGTTAATACGCACCCCTAGGACCGCAAGGATATGAGAATACACGTCCAGGGCCCTCTGATGCACTCCGTTCGGCAACGCGGGGTTGAGACATTGCGCCAGTCGTTTGGCCACGACTAGTTTGCGCGGTATCTCCTTGAACTGCTGATATGATTGAAATGTCTAGACAACCAAATGCTCAGTCGCATGAGACAGAGGCAATAAGTCTGCATGCGCACCTTGAGCAGCTGTTTCAGAAACGAGATGAAGTCCGCCCACTCCTGCACGTTATCGAATGAGGCCAGGCATTTCTCCACCTGCTGCGTGTATTTCTTGTACTTCGGATCCGCAGCGTATCCAGGAGGCGTCGAAGCTGATCAACAGACGTTGAGCGAGAGCTTGTCTAAGCTGCCGCGCGCGGCTCATGTATATATTTCAATAATGCACGGAACTCACTGCCATCTATACCTCTCAACGCGTACCACGGAGATCGTTTTGAGGCCTCACCGACGCCAACCCTAGGCGAACTTGCAGCAGACATAGCTGGCAAGTCGTTCGCGAGCCACAAGGATGGAGAGAGAGGAGAGGACGAGGGATGAACAGACGATTGCTGCCGTGAAGCTGCCAATGCGAGCGGGCGCAGTGACACCGCGCGCGTGTCCCTTACAGCACCCGTCGGCGGCTACTTTCGCGTGGCGATGACGAGCACCAACATGTGGCTTGGCGATCACAGTACAACTACTGCGGATCGAACCTCGAATATTGTACACGACATCGTCTGCAAGGCAAACGATGTCAAGCTGGCATTACACGATGATACAGGTACAACTGGGCACTATCTGACGGTCTACAGTCCAAGCGAGAGGATTGCCCGAGTACGTCTAGGGAGCAGCAGGTAGAGGAACCACAGGGACCGAAACAACTGGAATATCCAACGAGGGGGTGCTAGGCCCGCTGCCGCGCTTTTTGGAGAGCTGCGCAGAGATACTGTCTGGAAGTGCAGAGCCCGCGCGAGAGGACGCAACCGTAGACGCGTGGTCCGCCACATTGTGTCTTGCACCTCGTCCCCGACCGCGACCCGTTCCAGAAATGGAGACAGAGGAGAGCTTAGGTAGCGAGAGACCGGCAGCAGAGAGGCCGTCAGCGGCGGCGCTCTGCGCGGCGGCTTGGGAGGCAGCAACTGCAGCCGCGAATTCGGACTCCTTCTCACCCACCCATGACCTAACGAACCAACGGCCTCCTGCTATGCCACGGACTTCGCGGTTGACTTGTCGCCACTTCCGTACATGCTTTCCGCTTTTGTCGAGGGGGATCACCGGGGCGAAACCTGTCCCAATCTTCGGTGGGGGTTGGACGGGGAACGGCTTGGATGGAAGGGGGTAGACGGGAAGCGGTACGCCGTCCAATGGGGCGTCATCGATGATAGGGTGCGGGTGTGGGATGATGGAAGAGAGAGGAATGTCAGGCTCGGGAGAGCCGTCGTGTGGGGCTGGAGATGAAGCAGCTGTCCCAGCATACGCTACAAAAGGCGGATTCATTAGCGACCGGATGAAGTTGCCCAAGAACCACACCTACCTTCACTCACGCTCTCTGCATCTGCGTCCTTGAGTATGTTGACTGTGCCCTTCACACTGGGCCTGGTAGAGGGTCAATGCGTGACCGTGAAACAGTATGCACTGACGTACTTTGATGCCTTCTTGCGAGCACCACGCTGCGTTGAACCTTTGGAAGGGCCCGGCTTCTTTCTTCCAGTAGGCTGAGACAGCGCACTACCACTTGCGGCAACATTGGGATCGAGGACTTCCGCGCGGATTTCTGGGGCCGAGATTACTTCTAGAGACGTAGGTTCAAGCCCAATCATACCGGGCGCAAGAACCGGCGCACCAGCACGTCCGCCGCCTCGTCCTCGTCTACCACCTCCGCGTCCTCTTCCAGCTCGGCGGCCGGGCGAGCCTCTTGGTGGGGCGGTCACTTGGGGCGGTATTGCGCGAGCCGGCCGGGCGACCTCCTCGTCATCATCGTCAATGAGTTGGTCCTCCTCTTCGTCGTCTTCTTCGTCTTCGTCTTCGTCATCGCTGTCTCCGCGACCGTGCTTACTAGATACAGAGCTGGCTTTCGAGCCCTCGCCCTTGTCTCCGACAAGCAGTTTGACCCTGAATTTCGACCGAGCGGGATTCGGCTCTGGAGTGGTGTCCTCCCTTAGTGTAGAGATTTGAGGGGCGTCCATGTCAACATCTTCGGTCATAGTGGACTGTTAATACAGGACGGGGAACAACGCAGAGATGAGCAAAAGAGTAGACGTGAGAGAGTGTGCACAGCGTTAAGGTTAGGGAAGCAATTGAAAGTGGACCTGTAATACAGTGCACCCGATTCGCAGCGCGTCTGTGGCCAGGAGTTCGTGACGCGCCTCCGCCTACAAGCGCCCCCGGACACCCTCCGCGCACAACGCCGGAGGTAGCGTATTACGTGAGCAGACATCCTATTCCTTCCGTCCAACGTCCCCCTCAACGTAGGCAACGCTACGCCTGGGCTCACACACCCGTTTCTCTTCCTTCCCTGGTGAGTGTATCAGGCCTATATGCTCAAGACATTTGCGTGCTGATATGCTGCTCCATTGTCACCTCATAGGCAACACTCCTCCCTCCGTTACTCCTCAGGATAACTCGGTCGGAATGGCTTCCACCACAGTCAATGTATGTCGCATAGTTATCGTTCTTAACAAGTCATCTCGCAGGGCTGAAGGTTGACTGATCACAGGTTGTGAGGTACACCGCTCTCCTGGGCGGCGTTTTCTACGGCATTGTCCACCGCCGTTCACTACAAAAGGCACACGACGCCGAGGTCAAGCACCACGCCATCCACGAGCGCGAGCATCTGATTGAGGAGGCGAAGGTGGCATGGAAGAAGAAGCAGGAATCCAGCAAAGGCGGTGGTAAGCACCCTCCCTCCATATACTTCCCTCGTACTTGCTACCTGCCCCTACCGTTGCACTTGTGGCCATGACTTTTCTCATTTTCCTTGTTCTTAGTGGTCACCAACCCTGAAGACCCCAACTTTGACTTGGAGAAGCTGATCGCGAAGTGGGAGTCGGATTCAAAGTGACGTGGACGTTGTCTGTACATCTCTTTCACTTAGAATGCAGGTCTATTCCAGATACGGCGTCCCGACACTTAGAGCCTACTGAAGGCTTACTGGGACTCAAGCGGCTGGTCGAGCATCTGTTGCTACGCATCCGTATGTTAGCTCCTGTGCTGGCGGTCGTTATGTCGCCTCGTAATGCATGTCTATGTTCTGCTAGTTGCTAGCTTCACTTGCAAACGCTCCGACACCGTTCGCCGTTGGTACTTGATCCATAGATAAGGTGTGTGCGTGCTCTCATATGACAAGCCACACAGGCTGTCTCTCGCGCATCGCCAGGGGACTGAGAACCTCAGCACGGCGTGATATGTGACGTGTACGTGACGTACCCATGGAACGCGTCTGTGACGCGACGCGAACGCCGAGCAGGGAGGCCTCAGTCGTGCTTCCTTGTTCTCTCCAGCCACCCACCTCCTCCACGTTATTACTCCTCAGAGCATCCCCCTTTCCTAGCTTCCTTGGGACGCCTATAAATTTACTTGCTCTGAGCCAAAACACTGAGGCATCATGAAGCCACCCATGCAGGAGAATTTGGAGGACGATCTCGCTGCAGAAGAGGAGAACAAGCTCATCAACGAGGTATTTTCCCCTATGATTACGATACCCATATCAACATTGACTGCACGTCGGGGTTAAGGAGTACAAAACATGGTAAGCGACCCATGAGCGTATGCTGTGTCGTCTTCATGTTCACGTACCCTGTGCAGGAAGAAGAACGCACCATACCTGTACGATGTTGTTATCACACATGCCCTTGACTGGCCAAGTCTGACGTGCCAGTGGTTCCCCGACAAAGAGTCGTACGTAACGCCTAGCCTATACGATCTTCGTGCGTGTCTTGACGAGTCCCAGACCCGCGAACAAGCCCTATACTGTCCACCGCGTCCTCCTTGGCACGCACACGTCTGGGCAGGCGCAGGACTACCTCCAGATTGCGACTGTTCATCTCCCTAAGCGCGACGACAGCTCCTCCGCCGACCGTCTCGATCGGAGTGAATACGACGATGAGCGTGGCGAGCTCGGTGGTTACACCCTGCCCCAAGCACCCCGTGTCCAGATTATCCAGCGCATCAACCATGAGGGCGAGGTCAACCGCGCGCGTTACATGCCTCAGAATCCCGACCTGATCGCGACTAAAGCCGTCTCCGGAGAAGTGCTCATCTTCGATCGAACGAAGCATTCCAGCGAGCCAGAGCGTGGCGGGGTTTGCAAACCGGACATCCGGCTCGTCGGGCAAACCAAGGAGGGGTGTGTGATTGTCCCGTTGATGTGCTGGTTTCGTGCTGAGCGACTGGCCGCAGCTATGGCTTGGCTTGGAATCCTCTGAAGAGCGGCCACGTTCTTGGCGCCTCAGAGGACACGACAGTGTGCTACTGGTGAGTCGTCTGGCGTTCTCGCGTGAAACGAGGCCTGACAGAAATGGCGCAGGGACATCAATTCCTACTCGAAAGCGAACAGTACTATCGAGCCTACAAGTGTGTTCAAGGGGCACACGTCTGTTGTTGGTGTGAGCTGTGATGTCACCCCGTTCCTGTCGTGCAGTTGTCCTAACCCATGTCTTCAGGACGTCGACTGGCACCCAACAGAAGACTTTACCTTCGCGAGCGTCGGAGATGATAAGAAGCTCATGTTGTACGTTTCAGTCCCAACATACGGAGCATATCGGCTCAAAGTTATACAGCTGGGACACTCGTAAGGGCTCAAAACCTACCGCAGAGCTGCAAGCACACGACCGGGAGATTCTCGCCGTTTCATGGACACCTAACGTCTCGTGGCCGCATCTCGTTCTCACTGGCAGCGCTGACAAGGTACTGCTACGCTTGTTCCGCCGATCTCGGACAGTGCTCATATCGTGCCGCAGACGATCCATATGCACGATACGCGTAAGCTAGGACACCCTGTGCACGTTTTCGAGGCGCATACGGATGAAGTCCTTCATCTGTCATGGTCACCGCACAACCCAACGGTCTTTGCCTCCGCATCTAGCGATAGGCGGATAAACATTTGGGACCTGTCACAGATCGGGGTCGAGCAGACCCCTGACGACCAGGAGGATGGTCCACCGGAACTACTCTTCGTCCATGGAGGTGCGCCCATAAGTTCGGTCGTGCGCGCCCTTCCAGTACTGAATCCCCACAGGTCACACTGCCCGTCCAACAGATTTCTGCTGGGCACCAGGTGTAGATGAGAGCTGGACGGCCAGCAGTACCTCCGAGGATAATATCATCATGATCTGGCAGCCCACAATGCGCATCTGGGCTGGGGACGAGGTTAAGATTGACGAAACGGAGCTGGAAGGCGAGGCCATGGAAGGCATCGAACCTGTTGATGGCGGTACAGATGGAGAGGCAGGTCCCTCGGCTTGAAGACACTAGCATGTCGTAATATCTGGATTGTGATTACTCACCTATCTCCCCGACTTTTGCTGTCGGCAACGTTGTGTAGCTTCAAGGACATCTTTTACCCTCACCCAAGGGACCGCTTGGCATCGGTTTCCCAGAGATACAGAGAGAGAAGAGCAGATATGAATTCCTCACGAACGACTAGGTTGAGCGACATAAGTTACAGCCAGCCTGTTATACAACGAGCTTGTCTCGTGCCAATGCGCGTGCGCCCTCCATGATAGCATGGTCACAGGAAGAATAGACGGAGGAGCTCAAAGATCACTATGAACCAGACCAACGGTCGATCGGCGCGGGACATCAAGGAAAGAAGAAGACTTGGGACGCACCTCCACCCAATACAACGAACAAGATGACACCCAAAGCCCAAAGACTGATCGGGCTTCGTTTTGAGAGCCTCTCCGCGCGGGAGGCCTTGACAGGGTTTTTGCCAGCGCGAGCCTTCTCCGCAAATGCGTTATTCCTCTTACGGAGCTCGAACTCGGTCGGCTGTCACGGAGCAGCACGCGTCAGTGACATCTTGATCGCAGACTCAGGTGCGCATAAACTACGAACCATGTTAAAGTGTGTGCGGCGTAATGCAAGAGTGGGCTAAGGAGCGACTAGGAGATGGGACGGGCAGGAGAACAGAGCGAGGGCCTGGATATTTGAACAGACGTGTCAGATGCCTGCAGCCACGTCGCTGGGCGCGTGGCGGATACTCCGGTGTTTGTCTTTGTGTACCAAAGGCTTCCCTTTCTAACATATGCAAATAACGCCTAGCCAGAGCGCTTAATGCTTTGCACTTGACCTCGATCATGCCGAAGGGCGGCAAGAAGACTTCGCTCAAAGCGGCACTGTCCTCACAGCAATCGCGCCTGAAGAAGAAACAGGAAGCGGCTCGTGCAGCCCAGCACGCTGAACGAGCCAAATCAGGTCCGCAATCTAAGGGGAAGGGCAAAGCTACCGCTCCCTCTCAGGCTCGCCCAACAATCCCCTTCGGTCCTACTGACAGCATTCTGTTGGTTGGCGAGGGCAACTTTTCGTTTGCGCGGGCGCTTGTTATATCCCCTCCCGAGTCCCTGCAGTATCTCCCGCCTTCTAACGTCACTGCCACCGCATATGATACCGAGGAAGAATGCTGCTCAAAATATCCAGACGCCGCTGAGATCATTCGAGCACTCCGTGAAAAGGGCGTCGGGCTCCTCTTTAGCGTCGACGCCACAAAGTTAGACAAATGTCCTCCTTTGCGGGGCCGTAAGTTCGACAGGATAGTCTGGAACTTCCCGCATGCTGGTACGCCAGCGGTCGTCCCTTCGAAGTGACGGTGCTGACCTGTGCTTTTGAAGGGAAAGGAATTACGGACCAGGACAGAAACATCCTCTCAAATCAGGTGCTCCTGCTCGGCTTTTTGCGCTCTGCCGCTCCTTTCCTGGCGTCAGGCCCTATACCAGTAGTTCACAAACCTCGTAAACAGAAGAGGGGATCGGACGACGAAGATTCCGGTGATGACCAAGAGAACGCCGACACATCAAACATAGACACAGCGCGAAAGGCCCGTGGCACTATTCTCGTTACATTGAGAAACGTTGTGCCATATACTCTGTGGTATGCACCTCATGTATTTCGGCTCGGCGGTCGTCTGAAAATAGTGCTCGACAGGGACCTGCCCAGACTGGCCAAAACCCCTCCTCCATCGACATCGACATCGACTGGGCAGAAGTCAAATCCAAAATATATCCAGCTGCGTTCCTTTGTGTTCCATCGGAGCATATGGACGGGCTACGAGCATCGGATGACAAAAGGAGAGAGGGCTCACGGACAAGGGAAGACTGGAGAGGGCGGTGAAGATCGTACATGGGAGTTCTGCTTACAGGACTAAACGCTTGTGTTCCCCCTTGTTGCAATGCTTAACCAGCTGTGCCGATGTAGCATGCGAGTTGTAGGTTTTCAGCTGGGTCTATCCGCGTTCCTTCGTAAATGTCTGAGCCACATGATGAACTTCAGGCGCCTATCCGGTAATTCTTGCAGACGTTATCCGGGGCGCTAAAGTATGGGATTAAGTATTAGCGTCGTTTACCCCGGATTGATCTCCCCGCATTTTCTTCTCGTTTACGAACCTCACGGAGAGTCGAAGCTACTGTGAACATGGCCCCGAGCTCACTACACCCTCCGTCGCACTCAGACGAGATCCAACTCTCGTTCCCGCAGGAGCATGTTCTGTTGTTGACGTTCAATCGGCCCAAGGCTCTGAATGCTGTTACGCCTACTATGACTAGCGACATCAAGAGGGTTTTGGATTGGTTTGACCAGGAACCAAGCCTATGGTGACGTGTTCATAATCTGAGCCGAAGGTCAGTGCAACGGCGTGCTGACAGTATCTCAGGGTTCTCGTCCTTACCGGCGCAGGGCGCATCTTCTGCGCAGGGGCAGACCTCGTTGCGTATGTTGGTCAACTCCTTTCAACCGAAGCCTCATTGACATGGAAATACTGTAGCTGGAACCAGCGACAATCCGGAGGTGGAGCAGATAGCGATCAGTCCGACATAATCAACGAGGCCGATGGCTTCGCGTCACTCTCCAGACGCACCGCTACCTCCAAGCCGATCATCGCTGCCGTACATGGTGGCGCATATGGCGGGGGCATGGAGATCATACTGAACTGCGACATCGTCATTGCCAGCGAGGACGCCAAGCTTGCGCTCCCAGAGGTTAAGCGTGGTGTCACGGCCATCCAAGGAGGTCGGCTCAGCCTTGCTGTACCACTGTAGCCTAACTGACTCGTGATACTAGGTATGCCCAGATTGGCTCGCATCGCCGGTCACCAGGTACAGTTACGCATATTTAAGGCAGTGTTGAACGGGGTTCATTCGTCTCCCATTGCAGCTTGCTAGCGAACTCCTGCTTACTGGCAAGGCAATCTCCGCGACCGAGGCGGCCACCCGGTTTGGCTTGTAAGTCCTGTCCGTCATCCTACAGCCAAAATTTAGTTTCCTGATATTGTTGCCAGTGTGAACCAGGTCGTTCCGAAGGACAAAGTCTTGTCCGCTGCGCTGGCCTGGGCTCACGAGATCAACCAGAACAGTCCGGACTCTGTACAGAGCACAAAGCGCGCATTGCTACTAGCTAACCGACATGGCAGCGTTGAGGATGCTGTGATTGCGCATGTCGGGTCTGCAGAGAGCAAGCGAGCATTTACTAGCGAGAACATCCAGGTACGTTGGGAACCGTTGACAGAGGCATTCGCTGAGTGCCCCAGCTGACCCGCTCTTTTCATGCAGGAAGGCTTGCGTGCCTTCGTGGAGGTAAGCGGTCTTCTCCCCTTTGAAACATGCCTGGCGACTCAAAATGACACGATAGAAACGGAAGCCGGCCTGGAAGAATCCCGCGAAGCTGTAGTGTGGTGTGTGCCTCAAGGTATCGGCACCTGCGTCATGTACCCTATTTTATCCGCTGTAACTTGGCTTTTACTGGATGTGAATATACTACATGAACCTATTTGTGTCTCCGCTGAACAACCATATATCATGATTCGATGGTGGACGGGACAATGAGAGGGGTATGTGAGGCAGGGTTAGGGTTCAGGACAGCTCGAGCGCTTATTTCCGGGCCACTTTTCCGTGACGTCCGGCACCAGCCACTTTGCCAGCTCTTCCCGCCTCTGCTCCAGCATGGACAACCGATCGAGCACCCCTGGACCCAGTCACGCGGATCAGTCGTTATTCGAACGATGGCGAGACAAATTCACGGCAATGACTGTGGGTACGCCGGAGGAGAGAGTGGCAGCCATGCATGAACATCATCACAAGAAATGCGAAAAGTGGAAGGGCGAGCTCATGACATACAGTCAGTATTAGTGGGTCTTCCTCCTACGAAACCTGCGTATATCCTGCTTAGGGCAGCGTGTAACCTTGCGCTCTTGACTTAGGCCCCGCGGTGGTGTTTATGTTGAAGCACTTGAAGCAGACCGGCGCGGACGTGACCTCGGATGACATTGTCTGTGCACCATGCGACTTTGCTAGGGCGGGAGGGTTCAACCCAGCAGGAGTAATTGTGCTGTGTCAAGACAAGCTCATGAGCAAGAGTCATATGGAGGACACCATGGTGCATGAGCTGGTACACATGTACGACCATGTAAAGTTCAAGGTCGACTGGGACAACCTCCGTCACCATGCATGCAGCGAGGTGCGTGTCGTAGTTTGAGCCTTTCACGGTGACAGCGTCAGGAGGCTGACCGCCCTGCTATGGCTGTGGAAGATTCGAGCAAACAGTCTGAGCGGCGACTGCAGGTGGAGTCGGGAATTCCGGCGAGGGTTCCTGTCGTTCTCGAAGCAGCACCAGGCAAGTCTCGCCGAATTACGTCCCATGCGTGCACGGAGCCAAATTCATCCTCTCTCACCAGGAGTGTGTACGGCGCCGCGCCGTGCTGTCCGTTCGTGCCAACCCGGCATGTCCCGACCAAGCAACGGCGGAACGAGCTGTCAATGAAGTATGGGATAGCTGTTTCAACGACACTCGGCCGTTTGACGAGGTAATCGAACACACGCAACGCGCTAATGGACACGGCCGAGCTGACGTCCGCTGACAGATCTACTGAGGCTCCCTGCACACATGAGCTCACTTCTGGCAGCTCGCTCGGTTTGCATGATATGACTGGCGAATTCGGAGCATAGCCTGTGATGCTATTAGTAGCCGGGATCCCATGAGGCGTGCTTCGCCGATGGCGCGCAGTTGTCCCCCGCGGGCAATTGGTGTAGGCCTGGCTTCGTGTGGGAGGATGCCATGCAGTCGGGCACGCTGAGCTCGCTCGCGTGCGATCGTTGGGTCGCAAGATGGGCCGAGTGGACGAGTAATGTAGAGATAGACAGCATGTTCATAATATGGACCCTCACTCAAACGTGGCGTGTCATGGTGGGCTAGAAGGGGCTAGGAGGCAGAAATAACCAGCGGTACTTGTGCTGAGCATGTGTATTCTTGGATGGCAGGAGTAGCGTGCGTGACGGACAGGGGCGGCCAATCGGGAAGCGCACACGAACGTTCTCGGTCCAGCGTGAGAACGTCGCACCATAGAAAAGTGCCAGGCCAGCCGCCCTGCTACCGACGTTCCCCGTTTCCCCCCTCAGCAAGCTCATTTCCCGCTCTCTACGTCCCCTTCCAAAGACCAGAGGCTTCACGATGTTCGCTGCCAAGTTCAGGTGGGAGGCGCACTACTGTTGTGGAGCTGGTGAATCGCATGAAATTGACCTTTCCGTCGGCGCCCCGGTTTTCAGTTGCCTTGCCGCCCTCGCCCTCGCTCCCTGGGCACAGGCTCTCCTCCTCCAGATCCCCGTCGACTGGCAGAGTAGTTCACCAGCAAACGTCTCCTGGACGAATACCCCCACCGACCCGCCGTTCACGCTTGAGCTGGTAAACACGGACGAGTTCCATGACACGTTTGGAATCGCGAACAACGTCAACCCCTCTGCGGACTTCATTTCGTTGACGCTCCCCGTCATTCCCCAAGGGTATGCTATACTACTGGTCTGCCGCGTCAAGTTGCTGACATGGACGATCCACAATCAGCACATATACCCTCCGTGCCATCAACGTGACGTGAGTACCACTACGGACTGACGGCCCCCTCTTGTATTGAAGCCTTGCGCTATTCCAGGAACCAGAATCAAATCTTCGACGAGACCCCCAGCTTCACCATCCAGGGCCCTCCTGACACCTCCAGCCACTCGTCCGCTGCTTCCACCTCGGCCTCTGCGAGCGCTTCCTCTGCGACATCGTGAGTGATTCGTCTCGTGTTGCGGCATATGTTCCGAGTTCTGATATGTCGAGGCAGGGCCAAATCTGCTACACTCACCGTTCCGGTTAGCTCGGGAACCGCCGCCGCCGCGTCGACCAGCGGGTTTGGTGTGACCGTTTCCAACTCCAATACCGGCAGCGCATCTAGTGTCGCTTCTACCGGTGCGGCTGCGGCGTCCTCCTCTGGAGCGGCCTCGTCCAACTTCAACGGGGCGGCTTCTCTACCCAACCTCGCACCCTGGGCGATCGCCGCTCTTGGTGTGGTTGCTGGTGCCGCTGCTGCACTCTAAGCCTGACACCTGTCGACCCACCGTCAACGGCCGGCTGGGTGGACTGGAGTGGACATGTCTTGCGCGAACTTCTGGGCTTCCTATTTGGTTCCGAGTTTTTTTGCTGGGTTTCGGACTTGCATACCCCCACTCATTGGGGCGCGCGGCGAAGAGTACCTTTACGTATCAGAGTAATACCTGTCATTAGCATGAGCTTTTGCGCCACGTCGTTTGGCGTCGAGGGTTCGGCTTGCGCGCCTCTCAGACACTTACGATACGGACATTCGTCAGAACATTGGTTCCCGAGACTGGTCACCGCTACAACGCTACTTCGCATGCCTGTTGTTTCATTACGTACCTCACCCACATTCATTCAGCTCTTGAATTGGAGTCTATATGGCATGACATTGAGACGATCATGGTACAGCGATGACCTGACATCGAAATATTACAATGCGTTACAGTACAACCAAGCATTGTCCGGTAAGGATACAATATATGCGAAACGGCAAGTCCGTGAGACAATCTACGATCTATATCCTGGAAGGCTTTTCGGTCGTCTCAGACAGGACGTCTTGAGGGTGTTCCGTTAGCCCTTGAGCAAGAAGAGAGGGCATTTTCCGCTCAGAGTCCGCGAAGTGCTCAATTGTCACTACAATTTGCACATGCAGTGAGGATGATTGCTGTGTTGATTGAGCACGCGAAGCATTGTCATCTCGCTTTTTGAGCCAGGTGAAGACTTGGTGCTTCCGCCAGCCCTGGGTATGTGAGATGAGCCTTGATGAGCGCCGTCTACGGAAGCGTTGCCAACATACCTGAGGGGCACTTGTAATGGAAGTCCCCAGTGGTACTGTCACGCGCATTGTCAATGGTACTGGAAAGGTGCAGTAGCAAAACGTCAAATACTCACAAAATGCTTCAGCAAACACGGCCACAACACGCAGTCTCGGGAAGTCCAGGTGAGTGCGCAAACCCATCGCTCTATCGAATTTGAAGTCACATCAGTTCAGCTCCGGAAAAGGACTCCGACAATCGCCGTCAGTACTGACATGAGAGGAAGAGCCTGCAGGCAAGTCAGCACGATGATGCGCACTGTCTTGGAGGAGTTGAAGGAGGCGGGTCGACGATCTCCCGACATGTCTCGTCGTCGAAGTTTTAAGACAGTGACGAGGGTATGTACTGCAGGTGTCAAGAACAATTAGCGTTCAGTGTCAGTGGAAATAGGTTTGAATCAAGGCACGCACCCTCAAGGCACAGGGCCATCAGAAGTACGGATACGCTGAGGATTTGCGATGCGATGTTCCTGTTCAAGAAACGAAGAGGTGGTCTACTATGTAACGTAGGAAGGCTGCACAAGGACAGATGGCACCTACAGCGGGACGTTTTCGAGAGCGCAGGCCAAGTCGCCGGGATGACGACTGACTTGAGAAGGATAAATGAGGGAGAGCTGCTAGACATATCAGGACACGGAAGCACGATGAATGACCACCACGTACAACCGCCGCTGTGACAGAAAAGACGATGAAGACGATATACGGGGTTGCCATCAGCTCGATTTGGTGTCAGTAGGGTTCGTACTCGCTGCTCTGAATGTGCTCACGATAGTTTGGTAGTCTTTGGCCGTCGAATTCTTTGGCGACATAAACCGGATTTCGACTGTGATGTCCCAGACCAATGGAATCGACGCCATCGCGGGCCTGCCTGCCACTTCTGGGAGTCAGTCCGGCTAACAACATAGTGTACACATACATCATAGCCGTCCCGATTATCAGAGATGCTTGAATTACGCATAGAGCAGTTGGCGGTTCAGGAACCCAGATAGCACTTCCATAAATCCTAGTTAATTGTCAGCATATAGTGCGAGAAAAATCACAGAGAAATACCGACAGGAGATACGGTGGGATAGTGCTAAATACCGTCACCGCGAGCATGTTCAACCACGACGCATTTTGTTCCCTGGTCTCACTAGAACGAAAGTACATCAGGATGAGAACAAGGAGGGCAATCTGACCAGCGGTGGCTAGGCTGAAGGAGGCATAGGCAATCTCTTTTGCATAGGGTCCAAACCCTACGTCCGCCACAAGAATCTTAGAGATAGTGCTGATGTTGTCGGGAGAGTCGTCCTCTGGATGCATCGGTAGGCAGAGAGAGCGAGGATATGAGGGAGGAGTACTCCAAGTGCAGTCCACTCGGGAGAACAGATGCCGGGTCGACGCTGTTTCAGAGTCGAGTCGAGTCTTTACTGACGAGATGAGGGCCACACATCATTATATGTGGAGAAATTGCTTCATTCCACGGCTACTCGGATGCGAACCCAGACAGCACAAGGGTGTAGTCCGGACATTTATGAGGAGGCCGTCCTCTTCACGATCCATATAAGCACTAATACGTTATTTTAACGGAGCACATACGCCTGAAAAGTGCATCACAGCTGTTGAGAGGTATTCGGCTATGCATCGTTCTGACAGTTGATAGAGCGTGTCAGCCGGGGACCGTCTCGACCAGCTACTCGTGTGAGAAGACAGTGACAACGATCTGTCATTGTGTGGCCTTCGTCAAGCAGCTCCCGTGTTTCGAGAAAGCGGTAAGTGTGCAAAGAGGGGAGATAGGAGAGACAACCAACATCCGGGTATGAGCGCTGTGGCCGAAGCTGTCCAAAGGGAGTTAGCGCTCTTCCCGGACATCGGCCACGTGCGGCTGTGGGAAGGACGAGGTTGGGCGAGACGGGAACAGACAGAACAGAGCAGCCCTGATCACAGCAGAGCTTGTCCCTCTCCCCCTTCCTGCGCGGGCCTCGCCGGACTCTGTTGCTGCTCCTACACGCTCTGCGGCTTTGTTTATTCTCAGTCCAGGACATTGGAAAAGTCGTGTTTGGTCTAGGTGAGTGACCTGGCATCCCGCTCCGGGACGAATGTTTCAATCGTTCAATAAATGGCTGTCCTTGTACTCGGCATCCACAGCATTAGCAGCATCCGGGACAGATGCATTCACAGTGATATTCTCTTTGTATCCCGAAGCCTGAGGCCCTTGCGACTTCTTTCCTGACTACAACATGCCTGGTTCATCTCCCGAGAACGCTGATCAACCCGAGTCAGCCGTCTCTCCCTCTTGGGCTCCGCGCTCGCCGCTGCCTCCTGATCGACTTGCAAAGCTCGCGAACGCTCTTGGAGTATCTACCCCAATCCCTCGCCTTCATGTACTCACCTCACCTTCCTCCACTTACGCTCCTTCCCCGATCGCACCTCCTTCCGCTGTCTCTCCTTCTTTCGACTTTCGACGTTCGCCCACGCCTTCGGTAGGCTCTTCTGCTCACACCTACACCCCGGCCTCTCAGACGTCAAAGTACCTCCTTCACGTCGTTCCGCCATCTCATCTACCCCATGAATCCGACTACACGCATGAGAACGAGTTGCTTCCCCCACCTCCGACCGCTTCTGGTTATCATACGCACTTCCGGCGCGGCGTTCTGATCCCAGTCTATCCGACACTACCAAGCCAATTAAACGCCATCGCGAAGGAGTATGCGCTTCCGAGCACAGTTGGCTTGGTTCTATATCTTGTCAATTCCTCCCCCGCTGCCCATGCCAGTATGCGACTTGGGAACATGTCGGAAGAAGACGGCGGGCCAGGACCGCGAATATCGGAAGACATCTGGAGGCACATCTGGGTACGTGTACTCAAGGCCGAACGCGATGAGCCGTCTCTCTCTGCAACGCGTGCAAACGGCCTCGGGTTCGGAAACGCAGCCGCACAGTCGTCGCCTTCGCTGCTCCAAGACGTAATGTCAAATCCGAGTCCCCTACGACCGCTTCTCTCGCCTATGCGCACGGAAGCTCCCCGACTCGGCACCCCGTCTCCTTCCACCACCGTGTCCCACTCGGCTCTCTCTTCCACTTCGGGTCTGGACTCGCCCGACTCCGCGACCTCCGTATCTGACGGTGGCAACGCGGACGACTTGCTATTGCCCGGGTTGCACTCGCCAGCGCTCATACCCATTCTAGCGAAGGTGGAGTTTAACATCGACAAGCGAAAGGCAACGTGGTATGGCAGATGGAAGAACACGCGGCGCGCACAACACGCGAAGCGTACAGAGAGCCGATTAGGGCTCCGGAGCAGGGCAGCGTCGCGGGCGGGCGACGAATCGGCAGCTGAAGAGGATGATTCGGCGAGGAAGCCGGCGCTCGAGCTTCGCCTCGTCGAGCGGTTGCAGGCTGAGTCGAACATGCCTGCGTTCCTGCGGCCGAAGGACGGAAGATTGCTCGGCCCCGACGCCGACGATGGGTACGCGCAACTGCCGGACTCAGACGAAGAGGACGAGGATGCAACGGCGAGGTTTGGGCAAGGGACCGTGAGTGGAGATCCGTTGGCGGACGTGTTTGGCACCGATGCTGAGACCTGGGCGGACATACGTGCTGAATCGCAACCTTTCCGTCAGAAGAGAACGAAGAATCCGAATGTCGTTGACCTCGCCCTCTCCGGAGAGGCACTGTCGGCATTGCCAGACCCAGTGGAGGGCAGCGAGGAAAGGCAGGAGGGCGACGACGCGCGGGAGGTTGCGGATCTCCTCAAGAGGAGTTCACGCCCACGACTCTCGGTCGCCATCCCTAGCCCGCCGCCACAGGCCGGTCGCGAGCGCAGTGCTTCAGGGGGCTCCTCCTTGTCGAGGAAGCGCATCCCTCCAGCATTGGACCTTGCGCCGTCCCTACCAAACGTGGCGGATTCCGCGGGTCTTGGTACGGACGATTCGAACATGCGTTTGGCGTACCTGACAGAGGAGTCCACCCCCTCTACAGGTATGTTTGCCGAAGGCGATGAGTCCTCCGACGGCGAGACCACACAGCGCCCGCGACGCAGCCCATTGGAAGAGAAACGTGACGGACAGTTCTTTGACGACCTCAACCTTGGCCTGGACGGCTCTGTCGAGGTGCGTGGCATCGAAAGACCGGCAGTTGTGTATAGCCACCGACGATCTGTTCAGTACGATGAGGATGATCCGGACGATCGCCGGAAGAGTCAAGTCCTTATGATGGCTAAGTTGGACGAAATTGAGAAGGTGAGTACCGATGCCGCATTTCTGTTGGTCATTGTGAATGCTTACGACCACTGTCCTGTTCAGCACCTCGCCCAATTCTCGCCTCGCAAGCTAGCTATCGAAGATCTGGCGGCAGAGACGCCGACAGGGATGCCCTCCATTGCGAGCCTCACCCCTCCGCCGAATTGGCAAGGAACTCCTCGCAGTGCTCCCATACCCATGTCCCCACACCAACCAGGGTTTGTGTAAAATAACTACTCTGCAATGGTCACGTACTAAGTAATCTGTGGGCTCAGGCCTCCTGCAGAAGGTGCTTCGTGGCCCGCCGTCCCTTACTCGATGCTCAACAACATGAACTCCGCTCCCGAAACTGAACTGCCCAGTGACGTCCCTTCTCCGCCACGGATAGCCTTCAACGGTATTTCAACAGAATTGCCGAAGTCACCCTTCCAGAAGCGGTTCACCGCTCACGGAGACGCGATGTCCGACGAGTCGCTTGCGCGTAAACGTGAGCTGGAGGAAGAGGGGCTCTATCCACCCCTTGTAGCACCTGCATTGTTACGCACCCCTGGATCCGAATCCCCCGTTATCCCTTTGTCGCCGGATCCGTTCGGGAGATTCCCGTCGGACGTGGATGTCCCGACCCCTCGATATGAGGAGTCGGTCTTCGCAGCGAAGCAGAATTCCTCACTCCGGCAAGCGCATAGCAGCAAGATGAGTAATGCATCTTCTGCGCCTTCAACAAGCCGATTTTCCATCGACTCGCTAGCGTCGGAAGATGGCAAGGCCGCCGCCAAACAGTCATCGCTTATGAGTGTGAAGAGCATCAAGAAGCTCTGGCGGCGAACCAACAAGGCCTCGGTGTCCGGGTCAAGCTCGCCTGCCTTGCCGAACTCGGGTCGCTCGTCCCCGAACTCAGCCCCGCCTTCCAATGGCCCCGCCCCTGGACCAGGACCGAAACGCATATCCCGCACGCTCTCGAGATCACCGCTGCTCCCCGAGCCGCCGAAATCCGCGCCGGGACCCGCGATGCTTATGCCGAAGCGTAACGGCTCAATGCACCAGCTCTCTTGGAATCAAGAGTCCCCTTATCCCCTCCACCCTCCTCCCCGCCAGCCTTCGCCATCGGTGTCACCCATACCAGCTACGACCCCGCCATTGCCTGCGTCTGCCCCTCCGGCACTGGTCCAGGCGGAGAAGGGCGGCATGCGCAAGTCGATCCTGAAATCGTTCAGCAAGTCCCAGTCGGGTACCCTCTCGGCGCACTCCTCACAATCGTCCATTTCCGCACCGCGCTCCAGTCACGAGATGCCTCCAGAACAGCAGCGCCTGAGGAAAGGGAGCGTTGTGGAGCTAGGCCAGGTCATGAAGCGCGCGTCAGGCGTATCATCGACTATGACCCTCGTCGATATCCCGAGAAGTCCTCCGCTTCCCGAGCACCTCTCTGGAAACCAATCTCGTTCTGCTAGTCGGTCGTCGCAGTTATCCAACGCCAGCATAAGGATGAAAAACCGCCCGAGCATCTCTTCAACTGAGTCGTCTTCGTCCCGTGCACCTTCCCGGCTCATGGCCGGCGCTTCACCGCCACGCCCTGGCGCACTGTCGATACCACGCACGTCTGGCGACTCATCGGATAGTCGTCCGAGCTTTGACGAGTCACAGTTCGAGATCGTCTCACCTAAGCTCTTGCCACATCAGCTTTCATACCCTTACAATACTATAGACCAGTCCATGTCATCCTCAGAATGATCGTCTCTGGTTGTTTGCCATATCTGGTCTATAATATCTTGGTTGCTTCGTACGTTGTCAGACGCTTCGTGTCGTGACCGTATGGTTATATCGTATATGTATCCACTGCCTTCTTGCCTTCTACTACCAGGGCCGCAGCTAGCGTGGACCCCGCCTGTGGCGCGCGGTCTCTTTACATCGCTTGGCTCTTCGCAATCTTTCCCATGCTAGTTGTCGCCCCCATGAGTCTGTCCGTCTCGTGCACGCCGTATATATCACTACCTTACTCTTGGAACGCTCCTTGACGATACCGATACGCATTGTCTACTACTTACGCTCGTCTTGATCATGCCTTGGGTCCATTATTCCATCGTACTTCTACACTTTGCTGCATTCCTGATTCCAAGTCCCGCCGATGTGTTATTATCAGTATTTTCACTTCCATTTGATGCCATAGCACAAAACAATATAACAACACGTGTTGCTAGTAGTACTAGACCACTGGCTCCGTATCATCATGAGTATGGCAGCCGTCGACCAGGCGTTGCTAATCAGAATGAGTGCTCTGTCGAGTCCTTGCCAACTGCGGAGGTACTTGACGAACCCGCGGACACGGTGGTGAGGATGCGGTCGATGTAGTTAGCGCCACTCCTAATTTATAGCAAGTACGTTAGCCGAAGTGGGACTAGCGACCATAGCATAGGAGTGCGTACCACTTCTGGTGCGTGAGCACGTCACAGCCGATCTCCTTCTCTTTCTTTTGAATGAGATTAACGTATGCAAGCATACCATCGGTCTTGAAGGCCGCGGCTAGCTCGGCTACACGTGTTGTCAGCGATATGTGTAGGCCGAGGTGGTTTACAAGCATGTACTCACCGGCCGTGACAGCATTCAGGTGCAGGCCAGCCAGGGAAATAAGCTGTAGAACGAATCTACGCACGATGCTCAGCTCGGCATAAGGTCATCTATTGGGGGAACTTACCCTTCTTTACCGAGGTCCCAGACGAAGTTTTTCAAAGCCACGTCTGAGAATCCTTGCGCAGACCAGTTGAAACTGGGGCTGAGGTTGTAGACAAACCACCTGAACGCACGTTGGATCTGTCTACAGACTTTCGCATACATAAGATGAAGCACTTACTTGCCAGGGTACTTCTCGCGAATCTTGCGAGAGAAATACCGAGCCTGCTCAAGGTCAGGCAGCTTTGTCTCGAGCCAGATCATGTCAGCATAGGGCGCGAATGCAAGCTCGCGCTTGATGGCTGCCTCCACCCCGCCGGTGTAGTGGTAGTAACCCTCACGGGTCTTGGGCAAGTCCCAGTCCCAGAAGATGTTCTCCCCGAGGATGTCCTTAGCGATATCGCGTGCGTCCGCGTTAGACTTGCCGTCCGCCGCCTCACGGAACGCCTTCAGCGCACCCTCCTTGTCCTTCACGTCTGATTTCTCAAGCGCCTTCTCGAAGGCTGAATGTCGAAATCTGTCAGCAATGCCTCCATACACGAGCCGCACTCACTCACCCTGGCCGAACGTGCTGAGCGGATTCCTCGCCAACCACTCCGCCTCAATCTTGTCGATCTCGGCACCACTCCGGCCCTCGGCCTCGGCCTTCGCGATGACCTCCGCGAGCGCACGGTCGGGCGCGGTGACGCCCTTGATGAACTCGTGGTCGAGGATATCGACGGTGCTCGAGAGGAGCTTCGCGCTCTCCGCGTCCGTGCGCGCAATCAGCAGCATCGTCGACTTCAGCAGGTCGAGCTGGAAGCGCGCCGCGATGAGGCGCGAGACGTGCGCGGACGCGGGGACGAGCACTTTGCCCGCGAGGTGGCCGCACTTCTTGCCGCCGACAAGCTGGTCCTCGAGATGGATCGCTGACGCACCCTGGAGGTCGCGAGTTAGACAGAAAAGTGGTCCAGGGGACCCTCGAAGAAGGGGCGCACAGATTCGGCGAATAGCTTGACCAGCTTCATGACGGTCGAGAGGCCGCCATGTCTGCGCATGTCGGGTGCCTGCTCAGTCCGTTCGTCCACAATCGCGCGAGGCTCAGCAGGGCAAAGCTCACCCCATGTCCGCGTCGGCGATGATGGGCCGCAAGTAGTCGATGTAAGGCAACTTCGCGCGAGCCTCCGGCGTCACCTGCCACCGCTCGTCATAGTGTTTCTTGTCATGGAGCTGCTGAGCACGGAAGATCCGGTGCACTTGGTTCGGGACGGTCGTGTACGGGTAGTCTCTGTCCGACCCACCCATACCTCAGCCCCAGCACAGTCAGCATTTGACATGCGTACGCACCCCAGGTCCGGTCCAACTTCATTGTTGCCCGTCGTGAGTACGCTCGACGCCGCCCACCCGCTAACGTACACCACTTCCTGGTGCGGTGCCATCTGCGTCATCTGCACCGGGTCGATCGCGCCCATGGTGTGCACAGGACGCCCTTCGCTCGCAGCCTTCTCAAACAGCGCATAGAGCTTGTTCGCGAGGAGCGTCGAGGGCAGCGGGAGGACGGGCAACGAGCCCTGCTTCGACGCGACCTGCGCGGGGGTGTACGGACGCTTGAGCGAGGCGAATCGGGGCTGGGCGAAGAACGCCTCCATGTCCGCGATGCGGGCCTCAAACTGGGCCGCCTCCTCTTCCGGGGTAGGAGGGGTGAGTGGTAGTGCGGGGAAGGAGGACATTGCGCGAGAGCGTGGGGCGAGGATGCGGGTTGCGCCGCGGACGCGGAGGGTCGTCCTAATCATTGCACGAGTCTAACGGCACGAGAAGAGCCTTGGACCAGGAAACGAGACAAGCAGAAAAGCAGAGAGGTGTCCTGAGCACCTCAGGAGGAAGCTGAGAACAGAGCTAGTAGTGGTGCAGGGACAAGCTTGTATACCCCACACTGGGCCGGTAATCCGGCAACTTCGGAACGAGCGCGGATCCCGAGTTTCGCATCCTGACACTTCGTCATCGACTGTCGGCTCAAAATTCAGACTTCGGTAGCACAAGATGAGGGGGTGTAATGATTGTACAATGTTAATTTCGTGTTGTACAGAGATCTCGTTACTACGCTCTGTGTCAAGATTCGCCCTTCATGACTCAAGTTTGCCCAGCAACCAGCAGCTGGCCAGAACTTGACCAAGGAAGAGAGGCGCGTGCACCCAGCGCGTTTCGGTCGTCGGAGCTCTGTTCGAATCACGTCAGCCCCAAGGTCGGACTATCTGTCCGAAGGTGAGCGAGCACTCACGAGCCAAAAGAGAAGTGGGCCTGCGCTCCAATGAGGAAGAGGACGATGCCCCACAGGCGGTTAGGGCTGCGCTTATACCCAGCCTTGGTCGAGGGAGGAGAGAAGGTTGCATAGACCCAGAGGCCGGCCAGGAAGATGGCGATTTCGGTGAAGAAAGTTGCGGTAGGATGGTCAAACAAGCCGGCACCTAGCGCTGTATCATCGCCCGGAGTGATTTTGACGTCTAGAAGTCCATGTCAGAATCCGAGAGTGTTGAGAAGCTCAACTGGTTGTACCTGAACGATGAGAAGGCCATTCCAGAAGGAAATGGCTAGCGGACGCTGCGACAATAGCGGCTTGATCTTTCCAGGTGACGGGGGCGTTGGTAGATCTCTTGTAGAGGACGGCGAGGATGACACCTGTAGCGAAATTGAGTGAGAGCTCCTTGAGAGAGTCGGCCGGCGATACGCACCAGCGACCGTCATTCCGAGCAACGAATGGCTGTAAGGATATTCGTTGGAGTACGGGAAGCATCCACGTCTCTGGAGGCTGGGGTCGAGATTGAAGGTCTCAATGCCGGAGAATTGGAGGATGAAGAAGACGACGTCTGGGAGTGCCCCTGCAAGAGTCAAGACAGAGAGGGGAACTACAGACGCGAACGGCTTTGCAGCCAAGCCTAGCAAAAGTGCATGAGTAGCCTGCTTCAAAATCCATCCCGCACCAATGCTGCTCAAGGCGTACCCGAGGCGTAGTGAGCGATCCACATTGTTGCGTTAGTAGAGGAAGATGACACGGAGGTTAACGTTCAAAAGTGACCCTACTAGCGAGGAGGACTATATATATACTTGCCTCAGTTCAGTCCCACAACCGGCTCAACTATGACGACATAGAGAGACAGCGGGACATAGTGGATGTCATGAGGAATGGAGCAGGCTGGAGAGGCCCGTGGTTATTTGGAGCGCGAGCAAGAAAGTCCGAGACTGGATTTAGCGCAACTCTCTCATATATCGACAGCACTAGTAGTGCTCGGACTCGACCTCATCGAACGAGACTATTCAGTAAGTAGGTTGATTTGAAGGCATTGGTACCACGTCCATATACGGAAGGAGCGCGGTGACCCCGCGACGGCCGGCGCCTCTCTGATCGCGACTCCGGCATCCAGCCTCCTTCGTCCAATTATCCAATCTGCGCTCTGTACGCACCCTGATATACTCATCCTCGGAGATTCTGCGTACATCTTCAACCACTGGTTGGTGAAATTGTCTCCTGGTAGCCGACCCTTTCTTGCGATCCTGCTCACTGTTGTCCCGCTGAGCAGCGGCAAGAGTCAACATGTTCACCTCACCAGCAATCAAAGCCTTGCCGGACCTGTCTCTAGACCTGTCTGACGCGACTGACTGGCAAGCAGGCCTGCTGAGGACCGTCCGGCACCATTTGGACATCACTGCGGTTGCGACTGAACCCCTCTCCGGCCTTTTCGCAGTTGGTACGTGAACCAATCCTCCCGATTAGGGCGCAATCAATTCTCTAAGATCGTAAACCAAGGCACTGCACGCGGGCGCATACATTTGTACGGCTCGCCTGGCGTGGAGTGTACGGTCGACATTTCTGACCCTGCGGGACTTCGCGTCAAGTTCTTGCAATCCGCGTCATCTGTATTTAAGTTACTCTGCATCGGTACGAGCGCAATCCAGAGTCTTGCACATTGCGCGTCGATGCGAGCTCATCTGTGCAGATGAGCACGATCGGCTCTTCGTATGGGACCTCGCAAACCTGGGTCGGCCAAAATTGCAGAAGATAGCTGCCTTTGGTCAACCAGTGCAGTATGAACAACCCCTCGTCTAGAAACTACTTTTGACAGCAATCCGTTGCAGTGCGATCACCACTTCTCCATCGCACACTCATGTTCGTCACTGATTCTCTACACCACCGACTCATCTACTGAGTGTAGCTCCGCAGGCGTTCATCGCACTGGCGAACGGAGAGGTCAAGACATACGATCTACTCTGCCTCCGGATATCCCAATACGTGATACCAAATGTATGGAAGGTCTACGAGGAGAGATCTCTTGCTGGAGGGCCATTGTCCGGGTCACCTACGTCGTGAGTCGAACACTATGCACTCATCTATTGGATAATTCAAATGGGTCCGTTCAACAGGGACATGATCATAGATATTGTGATTCACCCTCGAGACCTGAACCTACTGTTCGTGGCATATGAGGGTACGTGATCGCCATCACCTGATCCGTACTATGCTTATAAAGAGGTCGCAGGCGGTATCATTGTAGCCGACCTAGTGCGTCCCTGTGATGCCCGAGGTGACATCATCTACTCACGTGGGCTATACAGAGAGAGCAGAAGCCTGTCAGGACTTTCGAGCTGACACTGTCTCCTGGAGCACCAGGTGGAACAGGCTATCACTCCAAGGTCAGCGATCCTGACTTACAGAGAGCATCGAGACGATGAGCTCACAACGCACCCGTTAGGACATCCTCCTACCCCGTCGTTCTCAGGTTACGGCCTTGGCCATCCATCCATCTGGCCATCTTCTCGCCGTGGGCTATGCCGACGGGACGATTGGCTTCTGGTCTCTTGAGGATGAAGACAAGCCTCTACTCCTGCGAAGCATCGACAGTCCAGATACAGAGGACCTAAGCTTGGTCGACACCGCCGTCCTCGAGTCCGTTATGTCTGCTGCTAACCAGCATCCGCCGGAGCCTCCTCGTGAACCCATTTTCAAGCTTGCCTGGAGCGGCTTCCCTAACTCATCCGACCCTCGCGGAGGCGATACAGTCCTCACTGTTCTTGGCGGTTCGACGATCGACGCTACTCCTGGTGTGACCACTTTGCTTCTGCATCCCCTGCAGCCTCCAGCGCCTCCCACAGCAGCCTCACCTAAAGCCCAAAGCTTCACCCAAGGGTTGCATCCCGACGTGCGCGCCGCAATGTGCGACTCGCTCAGAGTGAAGAATGCGCATACATACAATGCTTCGGGACCGGTCCAAGATTTCCTCCTGTTCCCTCGCTTGACACCGCACTTTTCTGGGACCTATGATCCTAGTGCGATCCTGCTTGTGTCTGACAGCGACGCTCCGGAAGCGCGTGTATGTGAAGCGTTCGATTTCCCGCCACCTGAGTTCGTCGAGTCCGGGCCTCCTGAGACCCCCTCTGAACTCAAGGACGACCCCACCCAAGGATACCCCGAAGATGGGACTGAGCCAGACTATGGCTTGGCGAAGGAACTGGCCAAGACGCTTCAGTCGATGTCATTATCGGACGATCCTTGGCCAGCAAGGCTGCCTCCGTACCTCTGGAGCGCCATCGGAGAGTATCTTGTCAAGGTTGACAAGCACGCGTACGAGACCCTCGTACGTGACAAGCATGGGTCTATCGAGGGTGAGGTCCCGTTCCCGATGCGTGGCGGAATGGCGTGGTCGGAGGATGCCGACGGTCTTATGAAGTATACCAAGGTTTGTATCGTTACTTCCCGCTTATCCCCTTGGTCTCATTGACCGAACTGCGCCCAGCAACAACCCCATAGGATCTTGATATCGCGTCTTCGGGACCTCTCGATCCGCTTCTCGGATGTGAGCTCCCAGCTTCTCGTCAGTAACGGTCAAGATACCCCTCTCGCGTCGAGTCTCCCTTCGCCCATCCCGCCCCTCACCATCGAGCTCGCCCCCATTCTCATCGACCGCTCTCTCGGCCTGTCAGCAGCCACTGACTATGACCTCCGCTCGAACAAAGACCGCGTGGATGCCGTCTATTTTGCACCCGAATCCCTTGAGTGTGCCACAATTCTCCGGAGCCAGGCAGTCGTCCTGCATAGACTAGACATTCCCGCGGACGACACGACCTTTACTCAGAAGATACTCGAGGACGAAGAGCTGGTTTCATTGTCACATCTTCGTGTCCGCAAAGGGTTGCGCTATCGCCCGGTGTTTGCTGTGCGACCGGATGCCAGGCGCGGGCCGGTGACCGCTTGTGCGCTCTCGGACGTCGGTGTGTCTCGCAAGTTTCGCGATCGGCCGCATAGATGTTGACCGCGTCTATCACATAAAGGGTTCCTCGCCGTCGCATACACCTCTGGGCAGCTGCTCATCATCGATCTGCGGGGACCGCGCGTGATCCTCCGGAGCGACTCGCACGCCCATGGCGGCGGAAGCTTCCTGCAGCGACACGCAGAGCATGAGCCCATTCTGTCGCTCACTTGGACGTGCTGTGCCTTGGATACTGGTCAGTCGTAAAAATCTGTCCCACATACACACACATGAACTCATTTTTACCTAGACCCCGAGGTCCGCATCCGCCTCATCGGCACTGCGGCCTCTGGCCAGACGTCTATCTACACCCTGGAGCATAAGGCGCCAAGCACTTGGATAGTAGAGCACCCACCGGCGGTCGTCGAAGGTTCCGCACGTCCAGTATCTGGAGGTTCGGTCGTCCTCGATGCAAAGTCGGGCGCGAGACGTCCCGCCAATCGTACTGGGTTGGCCTCCGTCCTCCAGAAGGACGAGGCTTTTGGTGCGGATCCGTCTCCGAAATACATTTGGGTCTGCGCAGGTGCGAAGAGCGTACGGACCCTGCTCGACGTCAATGGGGAGCGTATTGCAAAGGTGGAGTGGGGAAGCAAGGTCGGGACGATCGAGCACGTCGAGGTTGTAGGTCGACTCGGTAAGCCGTTCTTACGCATTACCAAGATTTACTGGCTCAGTGGTTGTCGGAACCCCGTAGATTCGTGTGCTTTGGTCGCATACACAAGCCGCGGTCAAGGGCTAATTTACTCTCTGCCACACCTAGAACTTATCCACACGCTCGAGCTGCAGACATCCGCGTTGACAGAGTAAGTCCTGCCTGAGAGCACTTGCCTAATGCTCCCGATACTCAGGTCCGCGTCTCCAGGCCTCCGAGTACTGACGACACTGGCGACTACATTACCCATACCGCATTCCCGGTCCCTGCCGGGTCGTCCTTCCGTCCGCTCCTCACCACCGAGATCCGCACACTCTTCAACTCCAGGCGCGCAGCTCCGTATGAGCTGCCCCTCGTCGACCTCACCCGAGGCCGAGGCTCGGTACCCGCTCAGCCCCAGCCCGTCTCACTCGGGCCACCGTCCGTCATGAGTTCTGTGCTGGGGTACATCGGCTCTCTGACGGTCGCGAGTGCCGGCGACCAGATCGATGCTCTATGTATGTTCCACATTGTGAACGCACATATAGTATGGCGATGACTGACCACGAACACCGTCCGCCAGTGGCCGGGCCTGATAGGCCCATCCCTAAGCCTCACAGCAAGCTAGCGGAACGCCCTCGTGCGAACAGTCCGGAGGCCGGGTCTACTAGCCCTGCTCAGACATCAGTCTCCGCAAAGGCGTCAGAGATGTCGAGTGGTGTGGGTGATCTTTACAATCGCCTAGGTACTGCGCTCCAGGAAAGAGGGTGAGTTCTTCCAGTCGATCCGTCTTTGTATCGTAGGTAATTTAACAATGTATATGCTAGTGAGATGCTTGGGGATCTCCAGCAGAGTCTGGACTCGTTGGAGCAAGGAAGCAAGAACATGGTAGCCCAAGTACGTCGCTCAGTGCCCCATGCGGCCGCGTCCCGTGCTAAACAGCATTATCATGATAGGCTAAAAACCTAGCAGCGCAACAAACTGCGAAGCGATGGTTCGGTTTCTGACACGAGCGCAGTTGCATGTCGACATTTCTCGAATATCGACTCGTTGTACGAATATCCGCGTACGTATGTCACGTCATCACTTCTGTACTCTAATATACTGACCTCATTCTACAAGTACAGGCATTGTCACAATCTATCACAACCCTAGTGAAGTGTCACTTCGCATGCGCTTGCCAGATACTACTTCGGTATTTCCTTGGAGGTGAACATGTTAGTGATGTTCACAGTGAGCTTCTTGCGGTGCTCGTTGAGCATGCCCAGGAACCCGTCTTCGCTGCTCGACGTCTTGCGGTGGTCCCACTCCTCCGTGTGGCGCACCACCTTGTGCTGCTCGTTCGTCTCGAGCGTGAGGAGGGAGTTGACCCTCTGCCATGGCGCATACAGTCACGTTAGTCGCCTAGAAGACTACGAGCAGGGATGAACACCCACCTTAGTAGCAGAAGACGATTCGGGCTTGCGGTAGTAGTCGACGTCCTGGTCGATGAGGATCGTGCTCTTCGGCACGGAAGGCGGGTTCTCAAGCACGCGGAACTTCGGGAGCTCCGCGCGTGGGAAGAGCTGAATGTTCTTGTGAGCAACGTGCCTCAGACACGGCTGTATGCGCACCTGTACCAGGCCAATGAACTGTTGGCGGATGCTATCCACGCCGTTTGCGATACCGACCGGGTCGTGGAACTTCGCATCCTTAGTGTAGATGTCGAAGGTGCTCTGCATTGCGAGTCAGTCTGATCCAACAGTAGCGGTCAAGCTGCAGAGTGTGGACAAATACCTCTTGGGGCTTGCACGAGTACAGCTAACGGTGTGCATGACAGTCGTCAGCGTTAATTGTCAAAAAGTCAGGGAGACTTTCTCTACCTCCTTGATGCCCTGGACGATGCGCTGCTCATGCGGCTCCGGAGACCTCTCCTTGAGATTCCTGCTCTCTTCCGGGGTGAGTCCCGCGGCGTTCTTCGCTTCGGTGCTGGCCATGGATATGCTGCGAGGTACAGAAACTGTCGAGGTGCGAGTCGCTAGTGATTTATATGCGACGAGACTGAAGTGTTGAGGTCGAGGACGAAGAGCGAGCATGTCCGTGTGTGGGGCAACTACGTAGGTATATATGGAATCCCAAGTAGTAGGGCCATTGGGGCAAACAGTGTTAGTTGAAGCCACGCATGCGTACGCTCGTCTCCTGCTGAGATCGAGTGCCAGATGACGCAATGACGCAGGGCATCGGGCACACGCGTCACTGCGTGGTCACTGATGGTACCAGTTACCACGATTCACCGCGACGCGTCCAACACAGGTCAGGTGGTCGCGATGCCCATCCGCGCGTTGCGCCCGTCGCGCTGCAGACCACCTCACCTGTTCACGTGCATTTGCATTTCTGTTGGGCACGCCCGAGGAGTCTGACCATAACGAATATGATATTTCTCCCTGCTGTCAGGTCCGATATTCAAAGTACAACGAAATTCCTGAGTGATACATATGACGGAACGCTACCGGTACAATGCCCTAGCCGTACGCAATTGGGGTCGTGGGTAGATAATGTACGAGATCGATGGAGACAACAACAGATCTACTACTCCCCGAGGCTATTTATCGTCAGTCTACCTGGTCACCCCAACCTCCAGGTATATCATAGTCGCTGCCTCGGCGTGTCGGCGAGGACGGCTGGCCGCCGCTAGCCGTCCTCGTCGCTGTGGGTCGATTCTGGCTCCTTCCGGCGTTGTTGCTTGAGCTGCTGCTCGAACCATGCTCGTTCTGAGGTGCGTTATTCTGAGGCGCGCCAGAGAAGAGACCGAACACGTTCTGCAGGATTCCACTGCCGCCTCCGGAGGAACCATTGTTACCGGATGAACCGGGAGATGACGAACTATCAGACCGGCTTGACCCGGCGGGCGGGGGTCCTGGCGGATGTGAGCTTGGCTGGGGGACGAGTTGATACCTGCGTGATGTTCGTTAGATACTTTGAGGGTATCATACGTGGATGAAGACCTTACCTGCAAACTGGACAGGTACCGCTGTTCTTCAACCAAGGAAGGATGCAAGGCTCGTGGAATGGATGCGAGCAAGGGAGCGTGATAACAACTAGCTCGTCTGGATCTTCCGTCTCGACCTTGAACTGCTCTTTACATACTGCGCAGTCTTTCTCCAAGAGCGGCGCTGATAGGCCGAGGTCAGACTGCGATTGGCCCACTCTAGCGACGAAGACGACGCACATCCTTCTTCGAGAACCTCTCGAGGCAACTTCCCTATCACCTCTTCAGTTGCCGGAACGGGCTGGTGTGAATTACTGTTCTCCATGATCTGGGTAATGATCTGATCAAGGGCTTCAAGATAAGTCAGATCGTGGAATCATGCAAGCTGGTTCGATCGGAAACGCTACCTTCTTGATTAAAGACATAGTCTCCCCATCGCCCATTCTCTGGACCACCACCACCTGGGATCCCGCCAGGGAACATACCGCCCAGTAGCTCAGAAAATGGGTCGGCCCCACGGCCAGGTCCCATAAGTGCAAGGAGATATTGTGCGAGCATAGGGCCCGTAATGTTGGGTCGGTCCTGCTGGGTCCCGTCGGAGGGTCGGGGTGGTGCGAATCTGCACCATGTATATCAGCCGTGTGCAAAAGTACTAGAGCAGAAGGAACCTTACTGAGACAGTCTAGGAATATCGTCATTGCTCCCACCCCCCGGTGGCCCGCCAAGGATGACTGTTCGTCGGCTCCCCGGGAGACTAGAGCGCTCTATCCGGATAGTGAAGCTGTTGTTCCGACCCTGCGAGAAAGTAAAGATGATGTCCGGATATGGGGTAGGTGATGGTCGGTGGACGAACCGTTGTAAACGTCTGTGGCGCATTGGGAGAGCGTGGCCGGTCGCCAGACATTCTGCGATTTTCTGGACTTGTTGAGCGAGCGCGCGGGCTCCCAGAGGGCGCGGGAACTGGAGGTGAAGGATTGGGACCCCGCAGTATCGACCGGAGTCCCGCTGCGCCACGGTCGTCTTTGAGATAGGACTTGCTTGGCAGAGTGAGGAGAACTCACCCAGGAATACGTCCATCTCTCCAGGTAGCGGTCCATCTTCCCAGTTCGCTGCATCGGCCACTGCGAAGTCGCGGGGGTCGTCGGTTGGGTTCTCTATCTGCACGCATCTCCGCTCTATGTGCGTTCATATACGCGATAGAGAGTACGTACCCGCTCAACGAACGTTCCGTTGCATGATGCGCAATGTGGATCTGGCACCTGGCGGGGTGGTCAAAAGAGCGGGAGGGGGCCAAGTTCCGGGGAACGCACCATCAGAGGCCGCATCTCTGCATGGCACTGTGTCAATCCACTTAGCAGTATGTTCTGAAGGAGTCAGCAGGGTATACTTGCCTCATGACAGTACCACATCGGCTCTCTAGTAGACATAGCGGACGGTCAGAGAGGGTAAGGAGGAAGAGTGGGTGAGGGAGGCAGGTTGGGCTGAGGTAGCCAAGCGAGTACGACTGGGAGGAATGACGTCGAGGCGCTGCAAACGCAATCGCGATCATTCGGCCGGAGACGCGGGCCACCGCCCACGGTCTCAGCCACCGAAGACAAATGGAGACAAACAACGCGTACACGAACACGTCGTGCGACTGCCTAGCTGTAGCGCCCACGTCAATCGAACTTTGTACGCCGGCGGCTGTTTTCTGAACCACGACTCGCGCACGCCGCGTCCGTCGCGTCCCTGTTTTGTCTTCTTCTCCGCCTCCCCTCTCCCCTTCCTCATCATCCGCTCTACGAGCTCCTCAGTGCTCGCGATGACTCACTATCATGAGGTCGACTACGACTATGACGACGAAGGCGGGTTGATAGACCCTGCCTGGCTCCTCGCCATCTGCTTTGGTCTCGGAATCTGGCTTGTCATAAACCGATACCAGTCTCTTCTCAACCGCGCCATCTTCTTCAGAATCCCGCCCCCACCCGTATGTGTTTCCAGATGCATACAGCCTATCGCTCGCGTTATTGACATGCGCGCGCATATTTATTCGATTAGCAAATCAAAGAAACATGGACAGCGCAGAAGCTGCCCGAGCCCGGCCTCGAGGCTCATCTCAACACTGACGGCCTTCTCCCCGCGATACCCCTAGAAGGCCGGAAGTATATCACAGCTTACGACCCTGCGACCGCGTACCACCTCGATACCGTCCTCGCTGACACCCCGACCGAGATCACAAAGAAGATCGCGGATGCGTACGAGGCACAAAAGGAGTGGGCGAATACCTCGTTCCATGACCGCAGGCGCGTCATGCGTAGCTTGAAGAAGTGGCTTGTGGATAATCAGGAGACATGCGCGAAGGTCGCGTGCCGGGATACCGGAAAGACCAGTACGTTTGTGCTTGTCACGCCTCTCGCGATCGCACCTCACCAGACAGCCGTCACTTCTAGTGTTGGACGCCGCTCTTGGAGAGATAATCACGACGTGCTCAAAACTTGACTGGCTCATCAATCATGGCGAACGCGCCCTCGCTCCGCAGAAGAGGTACAACAACCTAATCATGTTCTACAAGTCCTCGTACGTACATTACGAGCCTCTGGGTGTTGTCTCTGCTATCGTTTCCTGGAATTATCGTGAGCTTATACTTCCTAGTATGACTAACCGCAGTGGTTGACTATGCTTTGACGTCACAAATTAGCTCTACACAATGCCTGGTCGCCGATCATTGCTGCACTCTTCGCCGGAAACAGTATTGTTCTGAAGTGCTCTGAGCACGTCATCTGGTCGACAACATGGTTCGTGAAGGCTATCCAGGAGTGCTTGAAGGCTTGCGGGCACGACGAGCAACTCGTGCAGGTACGCATGCTGCCATATATCCCTTGGGATGGGAGTTGACGTGCAGGATTAGCTCGTCTGCTGCTACCCTGAGGACGCTGAGGCACTGACCAAGTCCCCGTTCATTCGTCATATCACTTTCATTGGCTCCGAGCGTGTGGGACGTATCGTTGCTCAGGCGGCAACAGAGTACCTCACTCCTGTTACCCTTGAGCTTGGTGGAAAGGACCCAGCTATCATTCTCCCCTCAACTGACCTGGAGAAGCATCTCCCCCTACTTATGCGCGGCGTATAGTACGTGTTTCATCTGGTATCACCGCGCGTCTCCTGCTAATACCGCCTACCAGCCAAAACGCGGGTCAGAATTGCATCGGGATTGAGCGCATCCTTGTCCACGAGTCTCAATATGAGGACCTCTTCATCCTCTTCACTGAGCGTGCTGACAAGCTCCGCCCTGGCCACTCACTTAAAAGCCCAGGAGATGGTGTTGCACCCGTCGCGGACGTCGGCGCTATGATATCTGGTGAACGATTCCCCGGTCTTCAACATGCCATCCAGGAAGCTGTCGATCAGGGTGCGACCTTGACTGTGGGCGGCGAGCCCTGGCTGCACCCATACCTTGAGAGAGGCTCATACTTCAAACCTACGGTGCTGGGAGACGTCAATCCCGATGCTCCCATCGCACAGTCTGAACGTGAGTCGTTTGCGATGCAGGAGTGCAGAAGCACAGAGACTTACCCTTCTGTCCAGTGTTTGCGCCCATTGGGTTGATCATCAAGTACGAGACGGTCGAGCAGGCGATCGAGATTGCCAACGGCACGCGATACGGCCTTGGCGCGAGCGTCTTCGGTCCCGTCAAGGATGAGTGCCTCAAAGTGGCGAAGCGCCTTCAGTGCGGTATGGTTGCCATCAACGACTTCGGCGTATTCTATGTAAGTGATACCCTTGATTTCGACACTTCGGATCGGCTGACTGACGTATATTTGATCTGACAGCTCAAGTGCGTATCGCGGACGCACATCACTGAGTGACTGCGGGCTGACACAGACATCCGCAGCCAAGATCTGCCCTTCGGGGGTACGAAGTACAGCGGCTATGGGCGGTTCGGTACGTCACCAGGACCGTGATGGATAGGAAATAGCAGCCACTGATATTGTGTGATGCATACAGGGGGCCCCGAGGGTCTGCGCGCGCTCACGAACACCAAGGCGATTGTGTACGACCGGTGGGGATGGGCGATCCAAACGACGATCCCGGCGGTCCTCGACTACCCCGTGCGGTCCGTCACCCAGAGCTGGTACGTGTCTCGCTGACCCGCTGTCGACTGCGTATGTGTGGGCGAGGTGAGCTTATGTGTATCGCCGTTGCAGGGACTTCATCAGCGGTCTGGTCGCATTCCTGTACGCGGATGGGTGGCGTCAGAGGATAGACGCACTCACGAAACTGATCCGTGCATCTGGGAGGTGATTGAGGTTGGCCGTAGCAGGCGGCGACGGCTCGCTCAACGTGACCAATGTCGTCGGATATTTGGGGGACCGGCTGCAGGGCTGGTGCAGTGATTTGGTTGTGCAAATGTACTTGACGATCTAATAACGACTCGGATGCCTTCGGACAACGTATGGGCTCGATGTGGCCTGGGCTGTTGTGGCGAATGTTCGCTGCGACCATAAGAGACACCTGTGAAAGATGTCATCCGGGGTACGTTATTAGAGAATTCGAGCATAGCTGCGAAGGACAGAATTAGCACGCTACCATGTGTCTGCCGAACGAGTGCCGGTGTTGTGATCCATATCGGGGTTGCTCCATGCGGTATCTTCGTGGTACCCGCACTGTTCCCCAGCAAGCACAACACCCGTGACAACTCTACTCTATTCCGCCGCTGCATGGACCAATAGCCCCCACGAACGTTCTCATGTGCAAACGTTGCAAGCCCTGTCAAGCGTCTCCAGCTTCGATGCCTTCTTGCCGTCACCGAGGCTGCGCTCGCATTCACGAAAATCCCTACGGTGCCGAGCTGATATCGATGGTTGTCCCGTCCTCGACGAAGGGTCCACATGCGCACATGTGATGCTCCAAACCACGCTGGACGACCATCGACGACAACGCCAGAGATACTTCGGGTGGCGTCTGAACTGTTGTTGATCAGACTTGTGCTGCAGCTACTTATCGTGCCTCGTCTCCCCGTCCGCGGCGTTCGAATTCCCCCAGTCGCGCGCAACGACGCACATGGTACCGAACGCTCGCGTGGGGCGTATCGCTGTCCCATCCGCAGGGAGCCATGTTGGCGCAGTCCCCGGTATCTGTCCAGTTGCTTGCCCGTGCGTATCTCGCCAGGGCGATAGGGTTCCCTCGCGAAGACCGAAGACGCGAACCCTCGCCTTCGATGGCCGGTTGACAATGAACTGCGACAGGACACTGCCGCGCCGGATCCTTGCATAATGTTTTGCCGTTTTGGAGTGGGAGCGTAGGTTCCATATGCATATGGACATATGGTTGTATGACATGCATCTATAAAAGAATCCTGCGCCCGTCACCGTGTCGCCGAGCTCCCTCCACGTCCCTAGCCCTACGCTTGTTCATCCGCTGCCCGCCCAGCTCTAGTCCTAGTTCGTTATGCTCGCTGCTACTCTGGCTTTGGGTGTCGCCCTTGCGGGCACGGCCGTCGCTGGGCCCTCCCCCTTCACTTCCGTGGGCCCCCTGGACCTCTTCAAACGGATCAGCTCTGGCTGCTCGACGAGCGGGCCCGCGTCTTGCCACAACACCACGAAGCAGACCGACCTCTGCTGCTTCGAGTCCCCTGGAGTGCGTGCTGCGGATGCCGCGGAACAATGACGTTAAAGAGTTGACTGGGTGCGCTTCGTGTAGGGTTTACTCCTCCAGACCCAGTTCTGGGACACCAACCCCTCTACTGGCCCGGCTAACTCCTGGACCATCCACGGTACGTCACGAACGTTGCTGGAGCGACGGTACTTCGCAAGCTAAGTATACGCCTCATGTAGGCCTCTGGCCTGACAAGTCAGTTGCTGCGAATTTACGTTCCCGGACGCTGAGAGTTGACCTTGTACTGCAGCTGTGATGGTACCTTTTCCGAGAACTGCGACTCGTCGCGCGACTACACCGACATTGCGGGCCTCCTGACTGACCAGGGCGCGAGCGACACACTCTCGTACATGCAGGAGTTCTGGGTCGACATCAATGGGCAGAACGAGCAGTTCTGGGAGGTGAGCTTCCGTTTCAAGTTAACTCATGCGTAGGATCGGCGAGCAACGTCCTAAACCTTATGCTTGTCCATGTTATTCTAAGCACGAGTGGAGCACGCACGGAACCTGCTATAGCACCCTCAAGCCCTCCTGCTTGCCCTCTGGCAGCCCCAAGGGTGCTGAGGCTGTCGCATTCTTCCAGATTGTCGTGAAGCTCTTCAAGACGCTCCCCACATATGACTGGCTCTCTGCAGCGGGCATTACCCCCTCCTCCAGCAAGACTTTCACGCTCTCCACTCTCACAAGCGCGCTGAAGGACGCGTCGGGTGTCACCCCCGCACTGAACTGCGACGGGAGCAACCTGAACTCGATCGAATGGTACTTTAACGTCAAGGGGTCACTCCTCGACGGCACCTTCGTTCCCATTGGTGAGTCGACGCGGACTTTGTCAAACCTAGGGTAGGCGTCTAACGCCGAATATAGATGCTCCTTCGAAAGGCTCTTGCAGCTCCAGCGGCATCAAGTACCCGCCTAAGTCCGGAGCGTCTACCACCATATCCAAGACCTCTACCGCCACGACGCACAAGTCCACCACCACCAAGACCACTACCACCACCACCTCCGGTGGCAGCTCACCCACCGGCAGCCCTCTCCCCAGCAAGGGCACGATCCATGCCTCGTCCACCGGTGGCCTCATCTCGGCCGGCACGTGGTCCACCCAGACCCTCGCCACCTACACCTTCTCCGGCACGACGAGCAGCTTCACGTTGAGCTCCTCCAAGGGCAGCTGCGGCGTCTCGAGCGGCAAGTTCAGCTGCGGGAGCGATGTCAGCGCGTCCACGTTCTCCGCCGTGTCCTCAGGAAGCGACTTGCTCCTCGCCTTCGGCGGCTCGACGGCCTTCTCGGCGGACGACACGCCCAGCGGCTCGACTCAGGAGACCGTCTACACGGGCAGCAGCCACAGCGAGACCTTCACACTCTCGATCGTCTCGTCCTAAGTCGGGTGTTCTGACATTGGATGTCAGGTGTTCTGACATTGGATGACATTGTACGAACAGTGCTAAACTTGTATCACTGCGTGTATCAGGAGAAATGTATACTGTACAGTAGGTGATCATACGACGTGGCTTCGAGGTTATCGGCATTTATGCGTCGGGGAAGGGTGAGACGTGGGGACAGGTGAGAACCCAGGCGTCACATGCATAGTAAGCACGATTCAAGACAAGTAGATCGTATGAACCTAGGGGCTGCAAACCTGTGCCTACTTTGTGATTCGGGAGTGCCCAACTCACGTCACCTTTTCGTCCGTGCCAGATAGCTATATCTAAGAGACACGCAAGGGTAAGGGCAGTTACTTGGCGCGCGACCATACAGTATACGGCAGCTACAGGCCTATATGTATGTATGTCCTTGGAAGAGTCGAAGGCACTGGGCGTGCTCCCGGTCATCACGTTCAAACTACAGTGGTGTCGAAAGACTATGACAGCTCAAGACAGAAGCCCCTTGGCGCGCCGCTGCAGCATCTCGCGCCGAGTACGCATCTTAAACGTCTCGGGAGAGGGCTCCTCCTCGCGGCGCAAAACATCCTCCATCTCGCGCAGCGCGGTGGCGGCGGCCTGCATGGTCTGGAGGTCTGGCATAGGACGCCCAGCGCGCCTCGCCCGTAGACGGCGAGACACTTCCAACCATGGCCTGCCGGCCTTCGGGTTGATTTCGCAGAGATGGCAGGATGGTGGAACCTCCGTTATGCTCCACGAGGGCGCGCACGAGCTGCAGTTCCAAGCTCTTCGAGCGCAAGTGAACCTTCTGAACGAGCGGTGCATAGGACAGGAAGCGTTCCCAGCGGTCAGGCTCGTTCCACAACTGGCTCTTCAGGATCTGCTGTGTAGTATCGATATACAAGACGGCATAGTCAGATCTCGGATGCACAGGCTACGACAGGTCATGTTGAGAACACATACCTCCGATAGATCTGCACTCCTGCCACTACTGGTTGTTTTGGGAGCCAAGAGGGACCACAGCGGTGCGAGGGACGGCGGCGCAGCCCAGAGAAGGCGCAAAGCGGGAGTGGAGAATGCTCGCGACACTCGAACCCACCAAGCCATGTCATTCTCATGAGGGCTGTATAGGTATTCATCCTCCGGCTGTACTTCGTCGTGATCGAGGGAGGTATATATTCCTCGCCGAAGATGCGCCATAGGATGTCGTAGTTCTGTAGAGCTGCACGGGAGGCCGTGGCACCAGTTTTACTCTCGCGTCGTCCTTACGGCTCAATCGGCTCACGACAGCTGAGCACAATGATTCGGCTCGGACACCCAGCTTAATGTGCCAGTGTGCTGAATACCAGGGAGAACGTGGGTGCTAGCGCCCATGCAACGTTTCGGCAAGTCGCCTGCCTATTTCGGCCGCCAACTACCCGACGCGGCGCAGATCGACGTCCTACTACTTAACCATCCATCCCCAGGCCAGATCACCGCCATATATGTATATAACACTGCTGTGCATGTCGTCCCCACACACACCCCACGTTTACCTGACTTCCAGTGGTCCGGAGGCATGGAGCGCGCTTGCTCCGTCGCTACCACTGCTGGACGAGCAACGGAGTTGAGCGGAGGGTCTAGATCTCCGGACAGAGGATGAGTGGACATCGTTGAACGTCACCACAGTACAGGATCTTCACGGTGAAAAGCAACGTGCGTACTTCGCGTCCCACTTTTGTGTGCGAACACCCACTCAGCCCGTTCCGAAAGCAGGCATAACGCGCGATGGTCACCTCCTTCCCGCGTCATCCCCTGTCTAACCGCGCGCAATGCTCGTCACGACCTTTTCTATGACGCAGGGAGATTTCTGGGCTGGAGGGTACTTAAGCTGGGGATGGTACGTCGAGAACGCCAGAAACTCCTCTGCCATCCACGTATCAGCACATCACCACCACCACTCTCAAAGTCTTCCCCAGCCGTTCAGTCAGTATGCCATCCCAATCGGAAGCTAAGGCACAGAACGTACGTTAAAAATACTATGGTGCAGGCTTATTCTGGTCCTCGTCGCTCACGCTGTATTGTCGCCCAGGTTGCGCGTGGTCACAAGGCAGCGATCAGGTCTGTGTCGGCTTCGGTGCATAAGCTTTACGACCTTGACACGACCTTGTACATTCAGCAACCCGAACGTCTCGGAGGAGGCTAAGGAACACTCCCGCCAAGTCCTCGAGGATATCGAGGGAACCAGCGACCGCGACGCCTTCGTGGCGAGCACCGGGACGGAGAAACATTCCAACTATGACTCTGACCGTGCTGCTAAGACGGCCGGCGACGTACGTGTTGCAAATTGTCAGGAGATCCTCTGCTCAGCCTCGTTTGTAGTAAATGTCACCGCGATGCACGGAATCCAGGAAACTGCAACGACGAAGTAGAGAAGTAGAAGCTGTGAAGATTGTATCCGGACGAATCATGTCGCGCCATATGTTGTAGTCGCAAGCTATTATGTACGTCCGCCATGTGCGATAGGCTGTATGCGTGCGATGTGCGACATTATCGGAGTTGTCGCCGAACCTTCCTGGTATGTTTAGGTACACGGATTGAATGTCTAAGGGGTCAGTCGTTGAAATGCCGCCACACGGTGCTAATAGTTGCCTGGATTGGAACATTGCAGCCAATAGCTCTATGCGCACGAAGCGTAACCGCGGCCCTGTCCTCCTTCTCACTGAAACCTCTCAGATCGGGATCATAGCTGTACGTTGTATATGGAGCTTCGTCGGCGAGTCGTTGCGTCTCCGCTCGTGTGGATGGACGTAAGAGACAAAATCATCGTCGTCCCGCCGCAGCGGACTGATTGCGGTAGTTTGTTTGGCAACGCCAATCTACCCGGTATGCAGGACACGTTGATATCTAGTCATAAACCTAGCCGTTCTTCTGAGATAGGCTTAGTGCCCCGGACGACTGCTCCGAGACGTTGCATGACATCTGGACTTATCGGACTCATCGACGTCATCCTCTGACTGTAGCCAGATTTGATTTGTAGATGTCATCCTGTGTTTTCCATCAAAGAATGTATAGGTCATAATGGACAGTCTTACGCATACACAGTTCCATGTTGTCATTCTACACGACATATAGTGTGTGGCCATGTTGGGAACGCTATGCGAAGCTTCCCACTCGGAAGCTCTGTTTGCGTGACTAGTCAGGATCGTCCGAGAGGTTGGGTGATCCGTCGTGCTGGTTTACGTCTCAGAGAACAGGTGAGCTAAAGCTCGGACTCGCGGAACGGTTATCGGACAGCGGAAAGTTTGAAACTAGGTGCGTTTGCGTAATTGGGCTATGGGCGTTAGGCTACCGGGGTCGACTTCGCGAACGCTTGCCACCTTCCAAGCGATGCTCTGCAGGGGGGATTGACAGGGGCGGTTCCAGGTTTGGCGGTATGCTCGTCCGAGGCTCGTAAGAAAGCCACGAGGATGTGAGGAAGAGGCCCTGGAAATGCACGGCGACTAACAAAGACGCAGAGGCCCAGCACCATGGGGTGCGGAGGCGTGAAGTGGGGCCCCCCTGCGATGCGCGATAGAAGGCGGAGGCGTCGGGCAGATGGCGAGGGTTTGCGTGCAGAAACTCGGGGCGATGAGCAAAAGAGGCAGCCCAGAGGGCGCCAGGCGCGGGATGCGTTTCGAATGGGGGACTGATAATGATGTGATAAGCGGTGGTGCAGGGATGCCGAACGTCACTCGCGTCGGCGCCGCGCGAAGCTAGTGCATCTGACTCCCTGGTGCCGGGTCCTTGGGGAGATTGCGGCGCGCTCGTCGACACCGATACGCCGGCGCTGCGACGTGCACTGTGCTGGATGCAGCGAGCACGCCTGGTCGGGCAGCGGGCGGCGAGCGGCGAGCGGCGAGCAGACGGCCGGCGGCGAGGAAGGCAGGCGACGTGCCCTGGATGGGTAGCAGTCCGTCGACGCGTGACGTCATGGCCACAATGTCTTCAGATTTGGAGAGACGCCCAGGACGAGAGACGAGGAAAAAGCACGAGGCCCGCGAACAAACAGCACATCCTCCCAACTTTCTCTCGTCCCATCTCCATCTATAAAACCCGCCAAGGTCAGTCCCTTGATTCCCCTCATCCGCCGCCTGCATCAGCGCGCCCACACTACACAGAACCTCTCCTCTCCGTACCTATCGCCGATACCCCCTTGTTCTCCTCGTCGTCCTCTTCCTGCGCGGGCACCATGTCTACCGATAGCTACTTCCCCCCTACGCCCCCCGTCGATGTCTCTGCTGACGACCAACTTTCCGACCTCAAGATGAGCCAGAGCCTCGAACCCAACGGCGCCGCTCCGCCAGCCAACGCCACCACTGGCACCAAGGATGCCCCCAACCGCATGTCGCTCAAGCTCTCCCATCTGCCGAGCAGGCAGAAGATCAAGCCTGTGTACCCCCGTTCCCCGTCCGCGGTATGTTCTTTCACCTTCCCCTGCGCGTCTTCAACCCGCATATATGCGCCATATATGACTGACATAATCTCCTAGATTGACCCCAACAACCCGCCATGGCCCGCCTACCGTGGCTACCACGAGTGAGTACGCCCAGGAAGGCAGAAACGAACGTCACACTCAACATTTTTCTTTTCCCCTTGCAGGTACTCGTTTGCCTACGCGACCATGGGCCAGCGTCTGCCCACCATCTTGGGTAAGGGAATCGAAGACGTCGTCCTCACTCTCAACCAGGAGTACGACGAGGAACGCATCGTCGACCTCGTGAAGTGCATCGAGCGCATGGATGCTCTCAAGCAAGAGCTGCAGGGTCAGGCCAAGCTCCGCCCCATCATCGACGATGGCGAGGCCGACGTCGCTCTCTGGAACAAGCTCATTGCAAAGTACTTCCAAGGTGAGGATGCATACTCTTGCTTGACCCCTTTCAATTGTTCGCTATGACGACACGACGTGTCTGGTGGACTATTCCCACGCTGTGCTATCCGTATCACCGGGTGTAGTCTTACCTGTTTTGGACTTCCGTTACTCTTCGTGTCGACTCTACTATGATCCCTAGGAACGATGCTGATAATGTGAATGTTTACAGGCAAGACGTTCATGAACGCACCTTGGCTCTTTGCCGAGGCGTACAAGTACCGTCGTCTGCAGGAGAGCTTCAGTGTCAGCAAACACTGGAAGAACTACGATGTCTTCTTCCGCCAAAAGGTTTCTTATCCTCATACCAGTGGTATGCCCGCTCGTATACTGACGGGTGTTCACAGTGCGATACCTTCTCACGCTCGAGCGAGGCGGTCTTCGAACTCTCGATGCGTTTTGCCGAGCCGTTCACTCTAAGGCCGAACTTGAGTCCTGAAGAACAGCTCGAGGCTGAGCGTTTGATGTTCCTAGAGCTCACCCAAAGTACGTCAATAGACACAAGCACCAAGCTTTATACTGACTTCACGTACAAGTCTGTCTTTGGGGTAACTCAACCGACCTCTCGCTCTTAATCAACATGACCGAGGATCAGATCAAGTCGCTCCAGTCCACCGGTGGTGACCATCTCGCTGCGACTGAGAAGAACATCCTCGGAAACCACATGAAGCGTCTCTGGGAGACTGTCGTTAACTTGCGTGCGAGCACCGGTGGACGCATCGACTTCGTTCTCGACAACGCCGGTTTCGAGTTGTACTGTGACTGTGTCTACGGTACGTTTCCGTCAGCGCAGATATTGTGCACGAGATCTGACCACATGTGCAGCCGACTTCCTCATCCAAAGCGGCCTTGCCAAGGAGGTTCGCTTCCACGGAAAGCGTTACCCCTGGTTCGTGTCCGACGTGACTAAGAAGGACTGGGATTGGCTCTTGAATTCGATGGTCTACGGCCACCTGTTCCCCAAGGCAAGCCAGGAAGAGATTGACAGTCTGCGCCGTCTCGGCATGCGCTGGAAGGTATGCATAAATGCTTCTATGTCCAGCCCCGCTCGAAGGTGCTGACGTCTTGGGGTTCGTGTAGCAATACGAGAAGGAGGGCAAATGGGTGTACGAGCAACATCCCTTCTGGTGCACGGGTTACACCTTCTGGGAGCTCCACAATGAGGCCCCTGATCTGTTCCTCCACCTCTCGCGCTCCGACCTCGTGTTCTTCAAGGGCGACCTGAACCACCGCAAGCTCACCTACGACTGTGCTGCGCCCCCGTCAACCGACTTCGAGATCGCCATTGGACCCATGGCGTCCGCGGCCGGTGCGCCAAGGATTTGCAGTCTCCGCACCATCAAGAGCGATGTCGTCGTCGGCTTCGGTCCCGACGGGGATGAGCTCGCTGAGAAGCTTGACAAGGAGGAGCCGGGTTGGAAGATCTCCGGCAAATACGTACGTGCTCTCTTTGCTTTCATGTGTGCCTGTAGAAGTCCTAATCATACGGATGTTGACAGGCTGTCGTCCTCCTGTCCGAGGGTCGTCCCGGCGAGAAGGTCATGTTCACGTAAGGCGATCTCCCAGGCAGCCGAGCTGTTACCTTTCGCCAGGACTGTGTACGATATCAGATTTCTTGTAGCGATGTTGCATCTTCTCCGGCAGGCCTCGTCATCTTCAACTCGTCGCGTCTTCCATGTACGACCTCATTCCCTGTATCTTACACCTTTCCTCTTTCTTCCGTGTAGGCTGTAGTAGTCCCAATATGACATGTAGAACCAATGATAGAATCGCCATACTTCACGTCAGTTTCTCCGGCCTCGAATGTGAGATGATCGCATGCATACAGCGAGCCTTGTAAGGGTGAATCGGAAAATAGATGCGAGTACATTACTTTTACATGCAGTAGTCCAGGACCTCGAGTAGATTCCCGAGATTGAAGACGCAGGAAACACCTTCCGACTTGGATCTCAAGCGGACACAGCAATGGCTCTGTCGATGTCCATCGGGTGGCTGTCGAGGTCCTCATCGTCGTCGCCGAGTTCGCCGAACATGCCGTCGTCCATCTCCGACAGGAGGTGCTCAACAACGTAGCTGTCTTGCAACAGCTTCTCCATGCGCGTGAGATGGCGTTCAGTGTACGGGATGAGCGCGTCGATGAGCTCCTTGAGCGCGGTCGCCCCACGGCCCTCGACGGAAATTGAGACCGCAGCCGTGCTCTCCGAGTCGAGAGCAGGCACAGTAGTGGCGGCGTTGAATGCTGCCTCCGCGTCGAAGGCGCGGGAGAGGTCGTCGGCGGGACGCAGCTTGACGATCGCGTGCAGGACGCGCTGCGCGACGACGCTTGTCCTGGCGTGCGCGTTCCAGTCACGGACGTAGCGGAGGAGGCGTGCGAGGTCCGTGAATGGGAGCGTGCGAAGAACTTCGTCGACGGCGGCGTGGCCGGTGATGGAGGATGGTGACGCGTCCTCGGCAGACGGGAGCGCAGCAAAGAGAGAATGGAGGCGGCCGGGCTGGGCCATGCCGAGCGCGAGGAGGATCGCGTTGCGGTAATCGTGGAGGGCGAGGTAGTTAGCTAAGTCTTGCTCCCTGTAAGCGGACAAAATGAACAGCGTTCTGCGGTGGGATGTGGGGTGGGTGCGAGAGGTGGGCTTACTTCTCGACGAGCTGTGCTCGTTGCGTCTCCTTTTCGAGCTGCTCTTCCTCAGTGCAGTCTTGCCAGAACGTAACGACGGAATCTGCCGCACCCGAAACGATGGTTGACTCATCGCTGCTGACCGCAAGAGCCCAGACCTATGGGTGGGATGGAGTTTAGACCGAGGCTAGTCTTCGACGAGAAAACCAACGCTAACCTTGTCTTCGTGGTTGTCCATAGTTGCCGCGCAAGTCTCGTCCCGCACGTTCCACAGCTTGACGAGTCCGTCACTCGCACTGCTGACGATTTGCATTCCTGCATTGATGAAATCGACGCGCAAGACAGAATTCGTGTGGCCCTCGAACGTCTTGACGCATGTGAAGTCGTCTAAATTCCACAACTTGACTGTCTTGTCTCCACTGCCCGTCGCGAGGACCCGCTCTGCACGGCCGAACCGAACGCACCAGACACCACGCTTGTGGCCCTTGCACGTCCCCAAGAGACGAAGTTCCCCGCGTACGCCAGTGCTAGACGTGACGTATTCGATTTCCCACACCTTCGCAGTGCGATCTTGTGAGCCAGAGACGAGCAGGCGGTCGTTGGGCGCCACGTCTAGTGAGTTGATGTCCTTGTCGTGCGCCTTATGGGTCGTTAAGCTCTTGCACTTGACCATATGCGTCTCCTCGTTTTCCTCGGATGCCGAAGCTGTGAGCGGCACGGACGACAGGTCCCACATCTTGATTGTGCGGTCCTGACTGCCGGTCAACATGAAGCGCAGGTCATCGCCGGCCCCCATCGCGGAGCCAGAAGCAGAGGCTGAGGCGATTGTGTCGCCCAATAGCGCCTTACGGGACATAGCAATCGCGCCCACGCTCTCTGCGTGACCTTCGCATACAGCTACGCAGCGCCACTCGGGAACGGTCTGCCCTGGCGCTTCGTCTACGCGTTGGAGGACAGGCGCCCATATCCGCGCTGAACGGTCCTTGCTGCCGCTCGCCAGCACGCGACCCTGGGCACCGCTGTCCAAACAGAGCACGATTTCCGAATGACCAGAGATGAGGCGGGCGTCAAGCGAGGACGTTGAGTAAACTCGAATCAGGGAGGAGTTCGTTGCGAGCGCTACGTGGGTGTCGGATAGTGACGAAGTGGACGCCTGTACGGGAAGTTGCGGGGATAGGAAGGTGACGTCGATGATCTCGTCGTTGAACCCGATTAGTTGACGGCTTAGCGTTTGGGTGGAAAGTGAGTGAAAGAGAATATTCTGGTCCGCGTGTACGGAGACGACTGTTGACGCAGACGGAACGTAACTGTGGGTTCTCGTGAGCGGCTGTGCGCATATAGCTACCGAAAGTACTCACACGGCGTCTACGATTTGTCGCTGTTCTTCCTGATCCTGACTGGGGTCATCATGCTCCTGGCCTAGTGTAAAGAGCACGCTGCCATCGCGCGCATCCCACACTCTGACCAAGCCCTTCTCACCTCCGGTGTAGAATCGGAGCTTCTCAGGACCAGATGGCGCACCCGCAAGGTCCTCGTCCGGGTGCAGCAAGCCGACCGCCTCAACGCGCTCAAACACGGGGATGGTTTTGTGAAGGACCGGAGAGAACTCAGTCTCCTTGCCCTTGCCTTTGCTGCTCTTCTTCACTGGAGCTGGAGACGCCTTTGACGAGATGTCCCATATGAGCACCACAGAGTCTCGGCCTCCGCTGACCAGCCACTTCCCGTCCGGAGAGACGTCCAATCCACGCGGAACCGACACATGACCCTCTAGAACTGCTTTGGGCTTTGAACCTCCGCTCGCGCGTGACGCTGCCGCTGAGAGGTCAAAGATACGGATCCGGGTGTCCACGGATGCTGTAATAAGCTGCATCTTTTGCTCCCGGACCACGGAGGACGGGTCGAAGGGATAGTTGAACGCGAGCGCGCTGACCACACCTCCATGGCCTTTGAATAGGTGCGTCACATACCCGCGCAGAATGTCCCATACCTTCACAACACCGTCGGCCGAACCAGATGCGAGGTAGGTAGACGTGGGATCTGATCGGCATACATGTACTGGCGCATCGTGAGCGCGGGCGACCACCCGGATAGGCTTGATGGCTTTGGTCTGTGGGCCGAATGATGATGGAATTTCATAAATTCGGAGTGACAGCGAAGACGTGAATAGCAGAAGATGCGAAGAGGACGGCGTAACGCATAGAGACGTGATGGATTCCGTGTCCTGGACAGTGCAACTCGCGCTGAGCGATCACTGCAACGAGATATAATTCAGTCTAACTCACCCCGGCAAAGCGACATATTTCCACACCAGCCTTAACATCCGTCAGCAAAGCGTCCTCGCCCACGCAGGTGACCAGCCTCGTTCCATCCGGGGTGACTGCTACGGGCCCGGCCGTGTGCAGCGGCGCGATAACGCGGCCTTTTTTGTAACTGTATGCGCGGCAAAAACATCGTCAACGTGTGTCCAAGAGCTACATGACGCGAACATACGCAGTCCGAAGCTTGGGACGGGAGGCAGAGTCCATGGGCGGCGGAGGACTGGTGCGGAGGGCCGGAAGAGAAGCAGGGGCCAATGGCCGGAGGCGCCTGCAACATTTTCGAGAGGGTGTTTGGTCTTGTTGGCCAACGGCCCCAACCCTACTCCTTCCGGCGCCAATCAGTCTTCTGATCGTGTTCCGTGGCGGGAGGGTGAGAACAGAACGAGTGCACACACTCCGACGCCTGCTTCTCGCTTGATGGAGGCAACCACGATGCACGGAGGGCTTTACGGAAGCGCAACGTACTCGGATGTTCTTTGTTTGACACTCTTGCCGTTGTCAGCGGGAGAACCGCGCGGAGTTGTCTGGTCTTCGCTTGTCCTGCTGCACTCACGCTATGACAGGACGCGCCTGTCGATTGCGGTCTTCAGGAAGAGAACGAGAATGAGCTAGTGTGCGCCCTCGAAGTCTACCCATCCTGCGACTTTTCATCGGTGTAGCAATTGCATGATAAACGCGGCGAGCGAGGGAACATCGCTCTGCGCAATCGGCCGATGATCCATTGCTGGACCATATTCGGCGTAGTAAAAGCGGACGGCTAAATCAGGAAGCGCATTGTGTCAAATGCAGTTCACACTCAGACTCCGCTAGCATCCTCTGCCCTGGGTCGCGAAGGTGCTCACCACAAGACTCAGACAAGACAATGCAAATGCAAATGGTACTCCGCCGACGGCGCGCACACCACCTTGTTCGGCGATTGGGGAACACAGTGGCCGGAGCCTGGGAAGCACTCCGAGTCACCTGGACGTCCAGCAGACGTGTAACAGAAATCTCTTAGGCCGTGATGGTATTCACTAAGTGCATTCATAGCAGATGACGGTAGACTAGACAAGCAGAGCAATACTCCTGCAGGAAAATACGCATAAGTCAGTGGGAAAAGCCAAGTTTGATTACAATCCGTGTGCGATCCACAAATAGACCCGCTGTGTAGGACGATGAGGTAGACGTAAGCGTAGATGGGATGACTAGTAAGCAATGGACAGTCAAAATGTACGTGTTAAGCAAAAGCATGGGCATACGGAAATGAAAGCAAGAGAACAATGGGAAAGCGTGTCTTAAGCTCGGGCGTAGGCGTTGGGCTTCCGCTGCGCCCGCGCCTGTGCCTCGTACTGTCGGAGTGATTCCTCCGCTGTCCTCCGCCGCCGGGCTTCTTCCTCGGCATTCTGCTCCGCCTGTAACCGGCGACGCGCTTCTTCTTCGAGCATATTCTCCGCAACCTTCAAAGCAGCCTTCGCCCGGGCCGCATCCTCCTGAGAAGCCGTGAGCTGGTCGGACAGCCGCAAGGATGCATTGACAGCGTCTTGCGACTGCCGCCGGAGCCCTGCCATCTCCATCTTGAGTCGCTCAATGGTGGAGTCGGGGTGATCGGTGTTGGAATAGCTCGAAAAGGCCCCATGGAGGACTGATCGGCCAGACTGGCCTTGCGACCCAGAATACGTACGGTGGCTGGACCCCGAGTAGGAACTGGAGTTGCGATTATGAGCGCGAGGATCATACTGGTACGGCATATCCTCCGAACTCGAGTAGTCGTCATCGGAAAACTGAGGGCCGTCGCCGTCTTCCCAGTCCATATCGTCCTCGTCCTCGTCATATAGCCTGCGAGAACGCATCGTAGATGTCTGACTGAATGACCTACTGTCCACCGGCCTTAACTTCGCGATAGTGGAGACAGACTTTTGAGGATGGGGATGTGGTGGCGCACTCGAAGGTGGCGGTGGTGGGGGCGGCGGGTGTGATGGCGGCTGATGCGATTGCTGATGATGATAGTGAGAGTTGGAATGAGAGGGTGGTGGTTGCGAATGAGCATGGGGATGGTTTGGTGGTGGTGGTGGTGGTTGAGAGTGTGGGTGGCCCTGCGTAGGTGAATGCCCATATGGATGAGATGGTGGTTGAGAATGTGGATGTGATGAGGGCAACGCGTGAGGGTGAGGGACAGAGTGCTGATGTGGATGAGAATGGTGGTGTGGTGGTGGTTGTGAGTGAATATGGGACGAATGTTGCATGTGGGGATGAGGTGGTGGCTGAGACTGCGGGTGCGGCGATTGGGAGTGCATATGAGAATGCTGGTGAGGATGCGGCGGCGGTTGTATGTGTGAGTGCGAATAGGCATGCTGCGGAGGACTGTGCGAAGAGTCATGGTGAGGGTGTGTCTGATAATGGTCTTCGGGCGAAGGATGTGACATGTGAGAGGGAGGCAGGGATCGCACCGAAGCAATACCATTATAAACGCCATTCGAAGACGACATCATTGTAGACGTTGATGGTGGGCCAGATTGCGACATTTGCGACATCGGAGGCGTAGAGTACGCAGGCAGAGGAGGCGGATGGACTTGCATTGGAATAATGACGGTCGGAAGGCCCGATCCCAAACCAGGCCCAGGGCCGTTCTCAGAGTACTCGACTTTATTCGATCTGCCTCCTCTCTTCCTTGGACGCTTCGTTCCGGGGGGTGCTTCGAGGTTGACAGTCCAGTACGACCCGAAACCAGGATCGGAGGGCGGGCGAGGTTGTCGCTCGAACAGACGATTGAGTGAGAGATGGTGCCTCACAGATTGCTGAGCCATACTTTCAGCATCATTCGAGGGGAACTTGATAGAAGGGGGCGTGTGTCGAAGCGAATGGAGGACATACCTTCCATGCGGGACCCGCCGTCTTATAATATGGATACTTCCTCTCCATGGCAGCATATATCTCCCGAATTGTCAACCGCTTGCGTGGGCTTCCAAGGATGGTGCAGCGCAGAATAACGGGAAGTGTATGTTGAGGCCGGCCATCTGTATCTGGGAGACACGCGAGTGTGTCGGGGCAGTCTGGATGGGGTTCATGGGCGCGAATGACGACCTCGGCACGTGGTGGTGGTGGCCTCAGCTCAACTGCAGTACTACTGCTCTCCGAGGTCTTTTCGGTAGGCGAAATAGTAGGGCTCGTGGTGGTGGGAGAGAGGACGGCCTGCAACCTGGGTGATGGAGGGAAGGAGAGGACGTGAGGTCGAGAGAAGCGTGGGCATGCGATGTAGTACTTGCCTGATGGACGGTTCATAGGAAGAGTCCGGGTTGAGGAGGTTGTTGAGGCTGGCCATGAAGGCGGGGCGGGGGGGAGGGAGGAGGGAGCGACGGCGGACTAGTGTGACGGGGGAGAGGAAAAGGCAAGAGTAGGCGCACAAGTTGAGCTTGTGGGTCCATGACCCCCACTAGCCCTTTGTTTCGTATTAGATCCGACACCCGATCCAAACAAACGCACAGCCCTAAATTTACCAGCCATTCGCCCGAGCCTCGCAACATACACATATCGCAGCCTACAACGTACTGTACGTCCCTTTCCGCATCTTTGTGTATTTTTCCGTGATTTATGGACACGAATATAGAGTAAACCAGCGCACCCAAAACACAACAGCGTTTGATGTGGTTTCTCGGACTTCCGCGTGCCCGACTCGGAGGCACAATCGGAAACAAGCCCTAAAATACTGATCGCGAACTGATTATCCATAACGAGCGCGATTGCAATGCCGAGGATTCTCCTGCAGCTGTTTCTACGCAACCAGGCTTTCGTCTTTCGGTGTCCACAGCGGGACCAACCAAATTCGCAGATGCTCACTCCCATCAGGATATGTATATAGGTATAAACCAGCGGATAAAGAAATTTCTCTCGGTACGACGCGCAGGTGCAACCCGCTGACGAATGCGCAATCTGATAAGCTGGTGGTGGGATCGTTGCTGCCAACCGAAGCGCTCTCTGCTCGCACGCAAAAGAGCGCGGCTAAGCCTATTCAGGAAATATACAATGTACACACGCGCCGTCCAAGCAACGGTAATCGGCGTCAGTGGCGAATCGGTAGCCGCTGCTTGCCGTCATCAGTTGAAGTACATCCAGTCTGTGGTATATGATCCGGCCTGTCTACTTAAGCGGGCTGAAGGGGAGAGGTTCAAGGATGATAGAATCCATCAGCATAGAGAACTCCGCAGTCTAAATGAGAACGCCGGCAGCTCAGCAACTCGTCCCATTTGTTCCTTTGTGGATCTGAACGTACCTTTGACACCGTCTCCGACCAGCCGTCCAAAACCCAAGCCCTCTCGCGCAATTCCTTTCGGCTTTGAAGATCACTGATATTGTTAGGTGAGACGAGACAAAGTGACATGATCGACAGGTACAATGCAAATCAAAGCACTTACGGGTACTGCCACATGTGATGCACCTGGTGGAGGCGTCCAACCTGCGAGAACCAAGCCCCAACGGGCTCGACAAACTTACGACGCGCTTCGATACCCTTGCGCCTATCACGCAGTGTCAATTGCTTGTCAAAGCATATGGTACGCGGTTTACGTACCAGGTGTGCTCCCACTGCAGCAACGTGCCAGGGTGGAGTTGATACGTCCGCAACTCAAAAATGCCGCCTTCAGCGCGCGGAGGAACAGTTGGGAAAAAAGCGAACTCCTGGCAGAGCTGCTGATTCCGTGACGTCAGATAAGGTATCAACTTGCGGTAGGCGTTGAGATGCTAGGGTAGCAGTCAATCAAATCGTGATGGTGAGGGTCGAATGCGGCAGCATAAATGGGGGGGCACTTACCTCAGAGTTCTTGATCTTCTGGGTCGTCTTGTCGTAACCAGAGTAATTCTCGTACTCCAAGATATGGTCTGAAATAGCTGCCAGTCAGAATGCTCCGCCGCCTGAGGAAGAGCGCCACGTACAGAACACATCCTGATCGCCAACCACGGTTTCCCAGCTACCGGTAAGCTTCACATGCAACTCTGGATCATCCTTGATAGCTGTATAGTACGCCTCCCTGAAGCTGTCATGAGCACGCGTCAGAACTGGTGAAGGACGAAGTAAGCTTACGCGGCTTTCTTGTACTCTTGCACCGAATCGGGCTTGACCTTGTGTACTGCAAGAGCAGCCCCCCCGTCAGACAAAGGTACGTCGAAGCACTTTCATGACGAACCTTCGAAGCCATGGACATACTTCCCCCTTGCCACGAGCCTAGAATGCTGCTGGATTTGCACGTCACCCTCTTGTTTCGCTTCCGGAGATCCATGTAATAAGGACTACGCGCAATAGCGTCACTTCTTGACGTCCTACACAGATGAGGTCCCTACCTGAACCGAGATAGCCCTTCTGGCATGGGTCTGTACTGCCACTCGAGGAGTGTGCTTCAGTGTTTGTGCGCCCAGACGAGCCAACATGATGGCGTTGCGTGTCTTGCGGAGGACCGAGTTAAGTGACAGAGGTGTTTAAGGAGTGTTAAGCACGGACAGACAGGTCAGTAGACCAGCAGAGACTTGGAAGGTATAGATGGACAGCAGAGAGCAAAGCGGCCGGAGGATGGGACGCGTTGGTTGCGGGGTAGCTCATATGCCGCGGGCGGGGCAACTGCAACCGCGCGTCTCCACGTGGCTGCGTACCTGTGGGGCGTCTAATGCCCTGTCGGTGGTGGCCACCGCTCTCGACATCGCTGGGCCGCCAGTGATCGACGTTGTCCCCAACCAAGCCGTTTTCAGGTCGCCATGATCACCCGCGAACAGATCTGGAGGGCGTTCCAAACAGTTGCCGTCCCCGTCCTGCTCGGACTGATCGCTCGCCAGATTTGGCCGACCCAAGTAGAAGAAACGCCCAAATCCCTCTATCTTCCCCTCCTCGCCGACATTGACTTCATGCCTAGGAAGCTCCCAGTGACCTACCGCACTGATGCCTCCGACTTCGACGCGTATGAACGGATTTCAGTGCTTCAAGATGTCGTCTCGCAGGGAAGCCCCAACGTCACTGCCGTGATCCTCAACTGGTCTCGCTTCCCGAACGTCATGCTCATCACTTCCCTCTTGTGCGGACCCTGGCTCCAAGGAACAATTGCCGAGGTGTTCATTTGGAACAACAACCCGAGGAGGCTCACTTACGAAGTGTGCATACCATGCTCATCCCAAACGCTCGTTCATCCGGGCCGACTGAAGGTTTCTTGCAGGATATGAAGAACACGGGATGTCCTAAGTCGAAGTTGCGGATTCATAACGCTCCTGCAAACTCGCTCTTTCAGGGGCGATTCCTCGCTTGCGCTCAAGCCAACACACCCTACTGCTTCATCCAGGTGAGTGCACGCGCGCCGTCCTCCCCCATTTGAGCGGCTGATATATACTTCACAATGCAGGACGACGACTACCTCATCCGCCCGGAGATCATTCAATCCCTCCAAGCCCGTATTTCCGAACCCGATGCTTCCCGGGCCATACACCTGTTGCCGCCACACGAGCATCTCTCGACGACGTTACGGGAGACACATGTTTCAAGATCTCCCGATCGGGAAGTCTCGGACATCCACACGTCGTTCGCCTGGCTAGGCCATGGTACGATGTTGCGTCGATCAGAGGCGCAGGGTTTCCTCAATCTCTTACGGCACTTGGATGCGCCCGCTGATGACGTGCATATGGCC